GTTTGTTTTTTATCTTTTGTTTTTCGACCATTATAAGCAAGTGCCATATGACAGTCTTCAGTTTTCGAATCATCTCTCCTAGATCCAAATAAACTAAATCGAATTTTGGAACAATTTATCATTGTAACTGTTGCAATATTTCGGTATTTATGGAATTCCTTAAAAAAAACTTTGAAGAACTCAGTTGGCAATTACGCCTTGGCGCGTGCAATTACGGACTTTCATTTTTAGGGCCTGTTTACATGGAGGTGGGGGAGGCGGGTTACCTCACCTTCCTGGGGTTCCCCTAGGGAAATTAGGTCCAGGCCCTTATTAGTGTTCAATTTCAGGCACGCGCTCATTAGCTAATTCAAATGATTTAAATGTGACTGACGTTATATGTTTAAAACTTTTAAATTAAACAGCGTTTTTTTCCCTATAAACCATCATCAATGGCCAGTAGCCGCGTTTCATTTTTAGCGGCCACACCGACAATTCCTTTTTTTCCACTTCAAGAACGAAATCAAACCTTAAATCACAATTTTTTCGAACACGATTTATCATCGACACCACTCACGTTCTCTTAGGGCGGACGCAACTTAGTAATGGCACGACTCCTTTTGATGTTTTATTTTCATGATTACTTTCGGTCGACTGTCTTGTTCGAAATAATTTCACATACGCTTTAATTTTTCAGTAAATCAAAACGCAAAATTAAGCTGACTTGGTCATAAATTTACATACGACTGTTGAATTCAAGAACATGTTAATTTCATGCACGAGCTAACTCCCAAGTGACGGTGTAAAATACCGAAAAAATCAGCGCCGCAAAGAGTTATTTGCACTTAAAACTTTAAGTGTTATTGAGATTTTCATTCAACCGGAAAATTACGTTATTTACAAATGCCCCTTCTTCTTTTTGTATCGATGTAGGAGCTTACAACTTTTCTTTGATTAGCAAGAATCGGTCAGTGGAATGTAAATACGTTTTTATGAGTATAAGATTATGTTTGATTAAAACATCTAATGCACTTGGCTTGATTACATCTAAAATTATAAAAAGATTTACAAGTACAAACTAGTTTATTGCTTGCCTCATCAACTATCTCTTCTGAGTAAATTGTAAAAAAATTTGGGTTATTTTTATTGATAGTCTTCCTGAGTGCAAAATATAAACTCCTCAGGACAAATAGTCTCATCATCTGTCAAAACATCAATACTGTCATAAAACCTTTATTAATTAGATGACATGGATGATTGAGATTAATAATAAATTACCACGAGTTTTATTCTGTTTCTTTGAAGACTCTGAACATTTAAAAGCACATTTATCGGCCGGTAGTATTGCAACTTAGATCTCGACAAAAGGATCGACAGAAAATTCCATTTAAGCCATCGATCAATTCAGGATCTTTACACTGGAATGATGTTGTTTCATTTGATGATCTTTTATTTCGTTTTCTTCTCGACCTCAGGGTATTTTTAACTTTTACACCACTGAATTAATTTAAGTTTACCTTAGAGTTTTGGCTGCTCATGCATACATCCTATTCAAGAAATATTTAGAACCGAAAAATATTTAGAACCGGTGAGTTCTTGATTTATGGGACATCAGTGACTGACTTTGCCAAGAGCTTCAAATTTTTAGGTAAAAGGTATGGATAGAAGCAGATATGTAGCGAACTTAAGAAAATTAACGACACTTTTAAAATGAAAAAAACATGTTTCGACAGTTCTTCTGACATCTTCTGTTCATAATAATACAAAGTACAAAGCTGAATTTAGAGTTTGTAAAAAAATGCTGATTGGACAAAACAAACAATAGAAACAGAACAATGTATGCATTTACAAGAAAAGTTTTGAATTAACGTGGTTGGACCAACGAGAGTTCATAGGATGAAGAAAACCCACCGCGCACGTGGCGGGTGTCAGCCGGTCAGGGAATTTAGATAAGAGATAGCGGTTTCATTGGAAAGTACCGAACTTTAAAGTTTATATAAAAATACACTGAAGTAAAAGAAAAAATATATTTTTTCGACTCTTTGGCGCCATATGGTCACTAAACGCCATTAGGTCACTTCAAGCATTTTGGGGATGGGGGGAGGGAAATCTGTTTTACTCATTTCTTTGTTTATTTTCTTAATCAACTTATCTCAAACTTCTTATTTATTTTACGAACGGAAAACAACAAAATCAAGAATTTTTAGTGAAACAAAAAACATTCCTTTCCTTACTAAGGTTGAACCTTTTAGATCAAAACTCCTGATGATGTCCCAAAGAGTTAGGATGGAACCTTATCTCTTTCGCTGTACACTGTAACTAAGCCTAAGACCCGATCATATCCAGAGACGCCCGAAGATTTCCGAGAATGTCAAAAAAACTTCTGATGATGTCCCGAAGAGTTCGGATGCAACCTCATTTTATGTGCCATACACTGTAACTAAGCCTGAGACCCAATCATATCCGAAGACACTCAAAGATTTCGGAGGATGTTTAAAAAAACTTCTGATGACGACCCGAAGAGTTCTGATGCAAAATCATACCTCAACATGAGACTATCGAATCAAAGACACCCGAACACTCCTAGGGATGTCCCAAAGATTTCTGATGATATCCCGAACCTTATCTTTTGCGCTATACACTGAACTTTGACCTGAGACCGATCATATCAGAAGACACCCAAACACTTCCGACGACGTCTCAGAATTTTTCCGAAGACGTCCCGAAGAGTTTTAACGGCCTTGAACTTATCGCCAGTACATTGCACATTACCATAGCTTAGGTTAAACTTAAACTCACGCAATTTTATCTTGAAGCGTTTCTATTTCCTTCCTCTGGTCTTCAGCAGTTTTTGTTAGCTTCTTGAATTAAAAATGATATTGGATCCGTAATTAAAGAAATATTAGCAAACCTCTTACGACATGCGGCCGGACCAGTTTTAACATTTATAAAAGGTTTTATATTTTTGAAAGATATAGTAAAAATTGGAAACAATGTTATAAAGAATTACTTAAAAGGAAAAGATGAAAGCAACAACCAAGTGTCTTAATGCCTATGTTATACAGCAACACAGTAACACCAACCTTAATCCTTGGATTGTCCTTCTAGGATGGCTGACTAGAAGATTGCGAAACGTGGAAATAAAAAGAATATAAAATGCCGAGTTAAGTTTAGAAAAAGAAATCCTTGAAGATTTTGCATTAAAAAGAAATAAACTGAAAGGGAAAAAACCTCGGCAAAGAGAAAAGTATAGTAATTTAAAATTTTCTCCCTCAAGTCTTCAGAAGTGTAAAACAATTATCTCAGTCCGACGATCGCTGACCGGAAGTTTACGCTCATTACAGGATGTGAATTTGGTTTACATTACTATCTCTGAAGATGTTTCTTTTACCTTTTTTTCTTCCCTTTTTCCGCAGCGCTCTGCTCAGCGGGTTTCACCTTGCATTCTGCGGACTGAAAATGCAACAAAACTTAATTTCTCTCTTACTTTTTATAACCTGTGCGTTAGCAGACTTTTGCATTCAATTCAAAACTAAGACATAAACTCTCTTATTGACCTTTTTAATTTTTAACTTATTTCGCGTAAATCAGCGTTGAAAATCCCCACACCCACTTCGTTCAGAACGCCGTCGGTTTCTGAGATTAGCGTACGTAGTCATGATGACCTGACGTTGCAATGGACTTCATTTGCCATATTTGGAAAAACTCTGGACTTACACGAGCTTCTTGTCGCGCAATCTTGAAAAACTTGCTGTTAACGAAAGGCCTCAGAAAAGTACATTTAATAATTTGATTCGTGGTCATTGATGACGTTTCATGTTCCTTGTCCCAAGTTCGAGAATAATTTGTACTGTTTACCTTTCAAATTGATATCCAGACTTAATGCCGCTGCCAGTCGGTTAAATTTTACGTTTCTGTCAACATCTCCCTTGGTTTGAATCAAAATTTTGAGTTACCTTGAATGAAATTTTTCCAGCTTAAAAAAGGTTTTATCCCAGATGCATTGATGCAATTCATAGCTTTTCGTTATGTTAAATAAAATTTTCACATTCCCAACGAGTGAATATACATTGCCGGCTGAGAACACCCGTAAGTTGGAGTTGCGGACTTCAACGATGTCTAGCTCCGTTTATTATATTCCATAAGAATGAATTATTCATAAACAGTTCGTGATTCCTCGTGAAAATCAAAGATCGATTAAAATACCTTGCAATCTCTGCTGGCGAGGATGAAATTCCTTTTTGGGCAACACGACGCTTGGGTCCTGTCAACTTTCTTAGTTTCTGTGGCGAAAAATATAATATTCGTAGGATTTCGTTCACTACAGATTATAAACAACAATTCTTGAATGAAATAAATTACTCTTGTCGGTTAGGCACCTAAAAAAAGATATCCGAAGAAAATATATTTTTCATCAGTCACACCTAATAGAGCCTTTCAAGAGCCTTGAAAACTCACTTGCATGTACTCCAAACAGCTTCACAAACCATGCTATTTTCTGAAACATCAATATTTCGTCCTTTCAAGTCAAAAGATTACACTCCCCATTCTCTTAAAATAATTTTCGAAAGTTTCATACAGATTAACCGTTTACGAGAGTAAAAATTTATTCGAATATCTAGTTTGCATACTAAAGCGGGACTCAAAGATTTCCCGGCATGCATCACTCCTTATTACTTCTTGGCCAATAAGATGTTACTGCAACACCCTCTGTGAAAAATGGACTTTTTTATATTTCTAGTTCAAGAACTGATTAAAAATAGTATGCTTTTTTAGGAAGAAGAAGAAAAAAATAATGATACTCTATGTAGGTGGATGCATTAAAGATAATTAGGAGACTTATTTGTAGGGAGAACAAGTAATATTCAAAATGAACCTCAAGTGCTTAGTAAAAACCACTGATCAATCCATTTTTGGCAAGAAAAGAACATGAAAAAAATATATGAATCTCATAAACTACATCAAATGTACAATTAAGAAAACTGGTTGTAAGGGCCATGTATCTTAAGACACTTTGCTTGCTTTATTCAGTCCTGCACTGAAGAAGTGTTCAACCCAATAGAACATACAAAGCAAAAGTGAATTGGAAAATTGCATGCCTAAACAAGGCTGTAATCATTTCTCACAATTTTGATCATTTATCCATCAAAGAGACAGACGACAGAGAGAGGCAGTAGGTAGTAGCTACAGAGTGCTATTTGATACAAAACAAAATTCTCCTAACTAATTTACAATGAAGTATACAGCACATAAGCCCAAAAGAGATTGTAGCAAAATATATAGAATTACAAACAGTTTCCAAAAGGAAAGAAAACTTATGTTTTAATTAAAAAAAAAGATAAACAAAATTAACAAAAACTTATCTACTTTATGTACAATAACAAACTAAGATATAGTATCAAAAAAATGGAAGCATGACTAGTGGTTGCAAAGAAACAAATCTGGGGATATCCTTACTGGAATAAGTAGTGCAAAAATCAAAATAATCTATCTATATTTAAATAAATACTTGAAATGGAAAAGAAACTTTATCTAAATAATTGATCTTCCAGAAAATACCATCACAAATATTCACTGTGGCAAAGACCCAAACAGAAATTTTGAAAATCACCTAACAAGAAGTTTCCTTTGTCAGAAAATGTCTCTTTCTTAACTGACCATGCTAAAGCTACTGCAGTTAGTATCAGGCATTATCATCCAACTGCATCAACTAGAGTATAAATCATGCTCAGATGACAGCTGGTTATTTTGTACAAAAGTAACAAACAATACACAATACACAAGCATGACTACTACAGTATACAGTTAATTATTCACATCTAGTATCAGGCATTATCATCCAACTGCACCAACTAGAGTATAAATCATGCTCAGATGACAGCTGGTTATTTTGTACAAAAGTAACAAACTTATATAATTATTGTAAAGAGAAATCTGATGCTAGTCACTCTTAGGTATTAGTCACTCAAAGGGTTAACAATACACAAGCATGACTACTACAGTATACAGTTAATTATTCACATCTAGTATCAGGCATTATCATCCAACTGCACCAACTAGAGTATAAATCATGCTCAGATGACAGCTGGTTATTTTGTACAAAAGTAACAAACAATACACAATACACAAGCATGACTACTACAGTATACAGTTAATTATTCACATCTTAAAGACTTTCAAAAACTTATTTTACAAAATTCTTGTGGAATCGCAACAAGTTGTTTCAACATTTCATTGAAACAGCAGCCATTGCGTCCCTTAGATGAGATATTCAAATGTTGATTTGATGCTTCAGTAGCTGGACTTAAAGAAAGAAAACCTTTCTTTTCCAAAACAATGCAAAACAAAGCAAGCTGACTGCATTTATCACAATAACAAAAACATGCTCAAGACATGTGCTTTTTTTGGCGCAGAATGTGAAAAACGTGCGAAAGTTTTGCATGTGCATTTGCCATCTACCTCTGAGCTGTATTGTATGTACATGTAGTGTAAAACTTTGGCAAATTTTCAAATTTGGAAATTTTAACAAATTCTTCTACTTAACTAGATCCAAAAAAAAATTGCAAAACTTACTACCTTTAGGGGAATGAAAATTTCTAAAACGGGAGAGGGTTTCCTTTTTGAATGACTTTGGTGTTTTTCAGAAATCATATGCAGTAAAGTATTCTTCAAAAATGTAAAAAGTATTCCACAAAGTACCACAGCAAAAGAAAAATAAAATCAGACAAAGATAAAAGTTGATAACAGCACATTTTCTTCCTTGTTAATGTTGGACTGCTTAATCTGAAAACTGAAAAACAACTGTGCTTCCAAAGAGAAATTTCTCCCAATCCGCATTACAAAATTTTTTCCAACCTACAAAATCCAACTTCCACAGAATTTTCATGCTACATCACATGCAACATTATAATTACTCTCTACAACATACATACAGCACAGATAAAATTATTTTAGTTCTAACCTATAAGTATACTGACAGACTGCAGCAATGATTAACAATCATATTGTCAATGGTGCTCAATTTCCCACTTGCCCTATTTCTTTAGAAGGATTATCTTCCATCAGATGATATACCAAGAAAGCTGTAAAAGCAAGAAAAACTCCAACTGCAAGCAGAATTTGAATATGAGGACCACATATGCTATGTTCCTCCTTGTTGGGCTCAGGGGTCTTCTTCTTTGCCACAGTCTCCATGGGATGTTCTTTGGACAAGTTGTTCTCAGAATCCTTGCTAAGGATTTGTTGGGTTTGCTGTGTTGTCATTGTCATGCTTGCTGGGACTCTTTTTGTAAGTGTTGCCTTTGATGGTGTGGATGATGATTTTGGATAGGAAAAGCGCTTTGGAGTTGTGTCTTGCTGGTCTGCAAATTGAGAGAAAAAAAATTAAATAAACAACTTCAACCCTGAGTCACATTATGATGCAAAAATATTCCTGAGCTAGATTCTTATGGTAATACAATGTATCTTTTTCTGAAGCATCTCGCCAGGCTGGAATCTTAAAGAAATGATTCTGATTGGCTAATTGCACACTGATAACCAGTCCAGCTTTTTACAGTAAAGACCACAGTTTGGAACTTTTCCCTAGCATTTGCAGCAAAGCAGGAAAAAACAAACCCTAGCAAAAATTAATATGTTATTGACCAGTCTAGGTCAGTCCAAATTGAGAAAAAATCATGTCCTTAGTCTTGCAACTGGCCTTGACACCTCGAGCACTGTATTTTCCCAAACAGACCTCTGGCCCAGTAAATAACACATAATATTTTTATACACAACTACATACTGATATACTACCTTCAATTCAATATTTGATCAGCAGCTCAAATATATACAAAGTGCCTAATTTTGTTGCCAAAGTAAAAGGCTTCATTTTAACAACAACATACATGTACGTCAAATGACCATATGACTGGAATGCTTTTTCACTAATAAAATCTCTGTCAATATTGCAGGTTACAAATTAAAGTATAAACGTAAAAAAACATTTTTCTTGTAAATTTAAGGTTTGTTACTTTCTTAGGCACAAGAATCAACAGCAAGAAGATTCCTTCAGTACCTTCTCCATCAAGCTCATATGGAAGAGGCTCTACTTCTTCCACTTCTTCCACTTCTTCCACGTCTCTCTCTTCTGATGAAACTTCATTATCATCAGAAAACTCCACATACTCATTACTGGGCTTAACTGGAGAAGCCTTTGGTTTCTTCGGAGAGACTTTCGGCACAACTGGAATGACAGGATTACTTTTCTCTTCTGTCAGCAACTTAGCTAAGAAATACAAAAATTGGGGATAATTTTTTGTAATAAAAAAAATGCCCTGGAATATATGTTTCTGCATTTTTCTCTTAAATATCACAACTCCAAAGAACTTTTTGAGTTAAGGTTACCAATATGGATTCTATCCTTCAGAATCTAATCACAGACTGAGCTACATTTGATCAGAAAGTTTCTTGAATTATGCAATCTACAGTACCGGTAATTGCCAATTATCTAAAGTCAAGCAATTGCAATCTGAGATTATTTCACACAAAAGAGATGCCACATTTAGCTTTTAGATTCCAAAATATTTGTAAATATTTGCCGAGTCGAACTTCCTCAAATTATTGAACAGATACATACTCTGTTGCTGTGCGTCTGTACAATAAAAGATCTTAGGTGGCATCAAAATGTGGTATAAACAAAACAGCAGCACACAAGGTGCAGCCCAGTGTGCCACTGATGTTATTAACCTTTAACTCCCATGAGTGACCAAGACAGAATTTCTCCGTACAACAGCAATACATTATCAACCAGATAAGTAGTTGGGGATAACTAGTTGATTCAATACTAAATTCTCTGAACTACATGTAAGAATTTGTGGTTGAAAGTGAGGAGAATAACAAACTTGATCTAGGAGAAAAAGCAGACTGTTGTTAAGGATGACATCATTTATGCATCTAATTGATCAATTAAGAACAAACCAATCAAAATGTGTACGATTCTGCTTATCATATAAACATTTTTGTCAGCTCATGTGAGTGATTACAAATGAGTATATCACCTTACCCAGTTTCTTTTGATAGATCGGACGTGTGGATTCGGTAATAGGGCCTACTGTAGCTCCAAATGATTTCAGCTGCCTGGCAAGATCGCCATCAGACAAAGCTGCCACATCGAATGGCAGGTCTCCCTTAACTCTTTTATTGATGACAACCTTTTTGGGCAGCTTGACCGGAAGCTTCTGTAAAATCAAATTAATGAAAAAATTAAACTTGTCCCATGAAGATGACCACAAGTGACCAAGACAGAATTTCTCGTTGCAATATCAGTATAATATCAAGTAGACAAGTGATGAGAATTAAGAAAAATATCAATAAGGGGATAATAAATTGATTTGACAACAGATTCTCTAAACAAACATCATAAGAGTTTATTGGCAGATGGTATGGAGAATTACTAATTTGATCTTGGGAGTGTAAGTGGTAAGGGAAGTATTTAAGAGATTACTGTGTCCTGAAAACTCTGAAGGTAAGAACCACTTCATGAGATCTTCCTTAAAGATTGGATATTAAAGAATTCTCTAACTTCTGTGCACAATTTCCTGCTGAAGTTTGGAAGGTCTGAACAGTTTTTGAATCTTTTGTTGGATCTTTTCACTCTCCTATCAGCAAATTTCTCCCTGATAAACCTTGACCAAGGCATCATTTAATTGATAATTAAACAATATTAACAGCAGACAAAACATGAAGTGTGCCAAAAACCTGCATCTACCTACATACCATGGCCAATAGTGGAAGAAGGAGGTTAAGATGCCAAATTGAAAGCAGAAATAAAGAAATTGTCACAGGCTGAGAATCATCATAGTGTGATAAAGGTAATGTTACTTTTTCATTTAACTACCATGCGTGATTACCACCTGCCACTGCTTCTTTTGTGTGACATACAGCTATATTTACATGCACAATGAAGGTAGCAAGTAAACCTAATTTACAATTTAATTAATTTCACTTGTCTACTTTGATTTGTTTAAGACAAACTAATTAAAGATAAAAAAAACTACATTCTTGAAAGTCCAAGTGAAAAGTGTTTAGGAAGCTTTTCTAGCCTTAGAGATCAGAAAATTATCCATCCACTACAAAGAAAGTTCTGCCTAAATTTTGATGGCCTGAATTTACTATTATCAATTTTATCCTCCAATAAACTACAACATCTCTTTATGAGAACCTTGAGTATTGGACTGCTGAAACAGCATTCATGTGTAGATCCTATTCAATCTGTAAAGCACTCAGATGGGAGAGGAACAGCTCTGGAATCAGTTTGATTTCTTATTACCAGTTTTCTTGAATATAGTGGTGGTTAAAATCTTAATACTTTCCCTTGATACTGCTACAGTTGTTTTGCTTTCATTTTTTACCAAGTTGATGCTTCTAGTTCTTTTAAGTGCTGGTGTAGCAAAAATTAAGAGAACCTAATGTTCCTAAATTGTTTAGCCACCATGATAATAAATTCAGTCACGAGTCAATTCACTCCTGTTATCACCTTTTCTCAGACTGCTACATTTCTAAATGAGCATGCTAAATTATCAGTTTGCATTTAATCTTTCATGGAGTATGGAGCTGTCCTTGAAAATAATTGTGAGGAAATTGAAACGAAAGAAAAAAGGCACCGCACAAAACGGACCTGCAAGACCTCTAATGAATACTATTTGACGTGAAATATGTAGTCCACTAATTTAGATACATTATTTTCGATGTAATAAAACGAGTAATAAGTAATGTTCCTTACTTGTTCGGTAGCTGGCATTCTACAGCAATGTACAGCTAATATTCGCAATAATAAAAACCAGGGCGTAGCAAAGCCAACTTGTAAAAGCTAAACCTTTGCTTCAGCTTCTTCATTAATTAATTGGAAACTTTTGAGTAAATTATACGAGTAAAGCCATGAAATCTACGATTACCAGGCGAATTCCAGACAATGAATACGTCAAATCGACTAAATTGTTTTTAAAGTAGAGTTTGTTGAAAAGTAGCCACACGTTCGTTTCGCCAACGAAACAAAACAAAGCCACATTCGGAAAGAAACCTGCTGCTGGGATTGAATTGACAAATCACAGAATGTTTGAAAATGAACAAATTGGCCACCAAAACCGCACACGCCAAAACAGTAAATGGTAAACTTATTTTAGCGACGAAAACACCCTCTTTGTCGCCTTTAAATATTAAAATATTTCAGCAGAATAAATTAAAGGAGAACGTGAGTATATTGGTACCTGGCTGGCTCGCATCGGAGAATATTTGGACATCTCCTCTTCATCGGAAGAAAATTCTTCATTTTGATTTTGCGAAGTCAAACGTTCCAGGTATAAATCAACGTAATAAGCCTTTCTTTGCTCAGCTCGCGGAAGTGGAATACCGTTCGCCTTTAATTCAGATTTTAGCTCATCTTTCGTTAAAAGACGTGGATTGTTGGAAAATGTCGACATCTTGCATCAAACGTTTAAAACTTTTCCTGAGACATGCGAACACTAATCAAATCGAAATCACGGAAGCAAAACTTGTTGGAGGCGCGAAAGCGCGCCTCGCGCGAATCCTTTGCGCATACGCCATATTGTTAACCGCTGAATTCGAGTGCTCGCATTAGGCCAAAATGGCGGAATAGTTGGCGTTATCTTAGTAGAACTTTCTATCGAAATAATGGCCCTTCCGCCGGCCAAGGAGGGTGAAAAGGGTTTAACACTTTGCCGTTTATCAGGTTGGTGCTTGAACGTTCATATCACTGTATACATGGATTCGCATGATCGAGCATTGACACACGAAAGTGAATACTCGTGTTCATCTGTGGGTTAACGGCATATTTCAGATGAGGAACACGTTAAAAAATTTTGCGCGATTTTGATCCCAGAATTATAATGCTAGGCTCAAGGAGTGATGAGCTTGATTACATATTTAATCTTACTTAATTTAAGAAAGAAAAATTCAGATATAGGAAATAACACATTCGTACGCATGCTAGAATGCTCTGTGAATATGCATGAGTATTTCGGCTTCATGATCCGGAAGGTGAAATAGGGAAAAATTAAAAACTCGCCTTGAAACGTTCAAGTATCTGAGTTTTGTGTCCCTGTTTGGGAATAATTCAATTCAAAAGGACCTTGATTGCTTTTCTCACTCGTGAACAACTTAGTTATTTATTCTTTCACCCTAAAACTCTCAAGGTCTGATAGTTAATTCTCCCCGTTAGCTGCTACACGATTCCTTGAAAATTAGAAAGAAGAATTTGTTGTTAGATCAAGAGAATAACCACTTGATAAGTTTTAGTTGTCTCATCACCTGTTTGCTGGATAATTTACATTCTGTATGGATATTACTATAAGGAGAAGTTACTTGTTAATCACTTTTGGGAATTAAAGGGATAATTTATGAAGTTATTTTCCAAGTTTCTCATTTACTTAATCGGTAAACATCCAACTCAGAACTGTGTATCATATCTGACAGAGAAATTGGAGCAAGTTTTGTAGAACATCAGCCTTGTATCTGTGCTCTGATGAATCAAAGATGGGAAATTGTAGAAATATGTTGACAGAATTTTGATTAATCAGCCCTTTCACTCCCAAGACCTTATAAGTAATTCTCCAGATTGTCTGTCGTACAATTTTTGAGATTTTATTTTGGAGAATTTGATATTGGATCAACTAATAATCCCATAATTGATATTTTCTTTTTTTTCAACACTTGTCAGCTTTAGGTTGTATTAATTTATACTGTAAGGAGAAATTCTGTCCTGGTCACTCATGGGAGTTTAAGGGTTAGCAAGGAAGGGGCACAGAATTTGAGTAAAGTGGTCACTGTAGTATTTTTTGTTTTCCATATGCAGCACCAACCTCTCTTCGATTTGAGCCTGTTGGTCGATGGTATGAAGCAAATATTCGCCGCCGTCAGCATGGCTTGTCTTCGCATCACAGTAGCTCCAGTGCTAGTTCGAGTGCTGGCTCTGAAGCAGGTTTTTCTTCAGATGAAGAAGATCATAATTTTCTTCTCACCTTAGATCCTACAGACTGTAAGGTAAATGTTCAAAAAAGTCTTCCATTAAAATAAGATTGTTTCTACATGAATATGTTTAGAAGTCTTTGCACTTCTTTGATTGCTTTCGAGGATGTTAAAGTTGAGGTTTTGTATTGATAAATAAGTCTTATATGTAACTTGTAAATCTTTTGTCAGTTTCTGTAATCATGTGATACACTCAGCCCCTAGTCTTGTAAGAGCCTTGTCTGCCTTCATTTATTACAGGAACTGTATCTTTTAGCTATTGGCACGCATTTTAGAGCACACAATAAATTACATTGTACTTACAGCAGTTAAACCTCACTTGTCTTAGCACCAGGATCATTACAAGGTTTTAGGACTTGGCAAACTCAGACATAAGGCTACTGCTGCAGACATCAAGAAGGCATGTAAGTATCACTTTGAAGCAAAAAAAGTGTACCTACAGGTGTCACATTATAACTAATGCATAGAAAAGGGAACTAAATGTATGTAGCTTACTAATTGCTCTTTGTATTTTGAAGAAAGTTAATTTTGGAACCCATAGTGCTGTAAACTGCATAATAGGGCGCAACTTTTAACCCTTTCACTCCCACAAGTGACCAAGACAGAATTTCTCCTTACAATATCAATACAATATCAAGCAGGCAGGTGATGAGAATAGAGAAGAATATCAATTATGGGATTATTAGTGGATCCAATACCAAATTCTCTGAACTAATGTCATAAGAATTGTATGGCAGATAGTAAGGAGAATTACTAATTAGATCTTGTGAGTGAAAGGGTTAAGTAACTCATTATCAAAATATGGTAAGAACAAACATTGGCATATGAGGTGCTGCTAAGAGTTGCAGATGTTTTTACCCTATTTTGATGTCTTCTGCATTCTATTACTGTACACACCCACAGTAACAAGAAATCTAGGAGAATTAATGATGAGATCTAAAAGAGGGGACTTCAAAGAGTTAAGATCAGGAACTAAACTATGCTGTACCTTCTTCCTATGTTGAATTCTGCTTGTTAGTCAGGAAGATGGTGCTTAAACATCATCCAGACAAGAAGACCAAAAAGGAAGAACCTTCTAAGAAGAACTTTTCTGATGAGGATCTGTTTGCATGCATCACTGCTGCAAATGATGTCCTAAGCAGCAAAGAGAAGCGGCGAGCTTATGATAGTGTGGATCCAATGTTTGATGATACCATCCCTTCAGTAAATGCCAACTCGAGAAGTAATTTTTTCGAAGTTTTTGGCCCAGTGTTTGAGAGAAATGCCAGGTAAAATTCTTAGCATTGTTGTATTTTCTTCTCTTGTCCATTGAAGTTGCATTCAGTTCGGCTTTTAATTTACATACACAGGAATAAAATTTTCTTCCAGCTCTAGACTAAGTAAACTGTAAGGTTTCTTCAGGCACAAATTTAAGTGCATCTTCAGGCATATATGTTCTCACAGAGGGCTTCTTGAACTACAAGTTATAGATGTGAATAATCATGTGATTGCATTTTTTTTTAGAATCAGAAAAGGTAGAGAGTGGCTGGATTTGAGTTTGTGTCGTTTGTGAAATTAAAATATTTTAACAGAGGTTTCTGTGTCGTAAAGTTGCATGTCAAGCACTTTGTTCTTTGCTTTGATTTTAAGTACAAGAAAAAATTGGTTCCTTGAAACTACAGATAGAGATCTTTGGAAAGTTCTTTTGTCTCCAGCCTAGATTCTCAATCCTTGATTCTGGATAGTTTCGAGGATCAAGGATCAAGGATCAAGTTTTGAGTCCAAACTGTCAAATCACTTTTGAGTGATGCTGTATGCTTGAAGTGTCAGCAGTTGATCAACAATTACTCTTCACCTTCCATTGTATGATTGAGTCTATTGTTCTCTGTTTTTTTGTTGCAGATGGTCCAAAGTTCAACCTGTCCCACCATTAGGAAATGTAAATTCAACGTTCGAAGAAGTCGATAATTTTTATAGCTTTTGGTAAGATTTTACTTGTGTTGTAGTCCTAGTATGAAATTTAAAAAGAAGGTGACTACATAAAAACCTAACTACAGAAAACCATGGATTGAGCAGAAGCAGTTTTTGATCGGTTCTCCCTTATCTATGATCCATTGACAGACAGATTTATTTTCATGTTTATCTACCAGGTATAATTTTGATTCATGGAGAGAATATTCTTACCTAGATGAAGAGGAGAAGGAAAAAGGGGAGAAGTAAGTTGTATATTTATATGATTTAAAAGCAAATTTTAGCCAATACGCTTATGATTTCTTTTCATGCATTTCTTTTGAGAGTAGTTTTGAGAATATGGAATAAACAAAGATCTTTCCCTTTTTGATGGGTTAATTTGCTCTGTTACATCAACCTTTTACACCTGAACATCAGCATGCAAATTCTCCGTAGTTTTCTCTATACATTTCGTTAGGCATAATTAAGGAATTTGCCATGACCTTAACCCTCTAACCCCTGAGAGTGACCAGCATCAAAATTCTCCTCACAATATTACCATTGAGTCACACATTAATGTCATGAGAATAAAGGAAATGATCACCAACTAAAGAAACTCTTGATTGTTAGACAAATTCTCCTTGTCAGCACCTTAGTAAATGCATAGAGAACAGTGTGGAGAATATAGATACTGATGTTAAGGTGTAAAGGGTAAATGTTTGATTAGGGGTGAAAAGAAAGGGAGAGTATAGTTGTAAGTCACCTTTAAGAATTAATGAGTGTTTTGTAGGACCAATCGTATAAGACTTACAATTCATGTAGGGATTAATAACAAATTCAACTAAATTTTTATCTTTGTTTACTTAAGGGCTTGCCATGGTTAAATGTTGGCACAGTTTTGGACAGTTTCCATAGTCAGTTTACATGAAAATTTTTTACTCTTGAATTGTGCCTTGCAAAAAGCGTATGAAAAGCATTTGATGAGTGTAAAAAAATCATCCCTTTGAAAGAGTGTCTTTACATGCTTTTCAACTACAGTAGATCTTGAAGCCATTTTGTGAAAATTGGACTCACGCATGCGCTAACGGCCTCGACAGCGATTTGTGACGTAAAATGAACGACCCCAAGAACATAGCTCCTAAGTAATACCTAAGGATGATTTGACGAACTAATGATCTGCAAGTATCTAAAGTTGTGTTAATGTTTGTTTACAGTCGTGATGAGAGGCGCTGGATTGAAAAACAAAACAAAGTTATGAGACAAAGGAGGAAAAAAGAAGAAGTTGCTCGAATAAGGACTTTAGTAGGTAAATGCTCACTATGGTAACCTTAATTATTCATCATAGTTTAATTTATGTCATAAATTATGATAATTTATTTAATTATCTTTGTCGCGGTTGTCATTTTAATGCAAAATTTGTTAAAAGTATGTGAAGCGATGTGAAGCTCATTAACATTTGGAATGATTTGAGGAAATGGTGTAAAACGATCAAGCTGGATGAGAAATTTGCGAAATTAAGGCGCGGCAAGTACATTTTTATGTACATCTAATACTTTAAGTAAAGCTTTCAACAAAATGCAGTTTTAAAGGCTAATTAGAATTTAACGTAGAAACTCATAATACTTTTTTCAAGGTCTAAAATTCAACAATAAAATGTTTAGTTTTCTACGAAAGCTTGATTAGTTTTCAAGCACAACATTCAAATAAAGAAAATGGAGAACGCAATCACATTCACTGTTGTTATCAGAGAAGAACAGCTCATTGTCAAATAATTATCATTTTGTGCTTTTTTTAACGTATGCGTATTTCCCTTTGTTGCAGATAACACTTACGCTTGTGATTTTAGAATAAAGAAATTCAAAGACGAAGAAAAAGAAAAGAAACTTGCCGAAAAGAGAGCGAAAGAAGAGGCGGCCCGGGCGGCTGCTGAAGAGAAAGAACGAGTCAGTGAAAGTTTTACCTCTCTCTTCTCTGTATTAGCACTTTTTGGTTCTTTAACAGTAATTTTCAATTGAGTTTAGAAAATACTCTTGTATTGCTTCGGTTTCGTTTTACTTCGCTCTATGATTGGTCCAGAAATCTCGTGCCATCCTCTCAACCAATCAAATGCACAACTGAAAACTAAACGCTATTTGGTCACCTGCGTTTTCCCGCGCTTCGGGCAACTTGCTCCTTGTAGTGAAGTTCTCATTGGTTCCCTTTGATGTTTGCTTTGTTCTGATTGGCTGTTAAGATTACTTTGGTTCTAGTTTTGTGAGACTCTGTCAAAAAGCGCGTCCAATTTTTCATATTTATTTCATGTGAACTTTATAAACATGCTTTGCTCACCGCTGACGTGCAGTTACTAATTCTTTGGCTCATCAGCAAAGACTTGAAGTCCTAGAAAATGAAAGGAAATTGAGAGAAAAAGAAGAGCAAGAAGCAAGAGAAAAGGTAGGAAAAAATTCCTATCTCGCTTTTTAGCTCCCTAACAAAACGGATAATATGATGGAAATGTTCATGTTAAATAGTTTAGTTTCCAGGATTACTATTTATCTCTTGGAAGTGCAACAAGAGAGACCCTGGGAAGGACAACACTAAAAAGTTTATTGCCAGGGTCTGGTGAATGGGGGCATAGGGCAAGCGATACACTAGTTCCCATTCTCCTTTTCAAGTTCTAAGAGATTGAACGATCTAAAGTTTCACTTATTTTGCCTTTCATTCTATCTCAGGCGCAGGCAGCCAAAGTAGAGAAAACAAAAATGAAGAATTTAATGAAGAAGGAAAGAAAAACGATACGAGCTGTAATAAAGGTAGGGCTTCACTCGAAAGTTTTTCAGTTTTGCTTCCAGGTTGTTACGATGTCTGTTTGAATTTTGAAAAACGTGTTAGCTCACTTGCAAAGCGCCGGACTGCCCCTGCAGAAGGTCAGATCCAGGCCCCAGACCGGACCAACACTCATGGTCTTAAAATGACTAAGGAAAATGTGCTGCCTTTGCCATGACATTCATACATGGTTAGACATTCTAGTATTTTCGGATAAGGACAATCAAGTGTCGACCACTTTTCCTGCATCTTTTCTGAACTACTCAGCAAGGGACGTCAAAGAATCCACTCGCACTTCTCGCAAAGAGAAGGGAATAAGCCAACCCTGTACCTTGACAAGTCAGGCCCCCATTTAAACCAGCTTTAAAGCTGAACTGGGCCAGCCTGTCTAGATAAATAAATAATTTATTTTGGTCTCTCTGTTCCTAGAATTATAATTATTTTGTTCAAGACGAAGAATCGAGAATACGTGAAATGGAAGTTATGGACAGACTACTTGAAGTTATTTCACTGGAAAGGTGACACTTTAGATGGAAGTTGTCAGTGACGATTTTTGTGTCTGTTCGTGACGTTAAACCTTTTATAACTTTCAGCTTTTCGCTTTTATAGCTTACAGTCCTTTAGAGAAGGCATCGAAAAGGCTCAGTCAAAGGACGAAGTAAAAGAAGTTTACGAGAAAGAGGTATGATAACGTACTCTATGGCTTTTATTTTATATTTGCATCAGAAGGAGACTAAAGAATCTACTACAGGGGTCTACTTTGTGTTGGTTCACGTCCTAATTTGCTTTCACCCGTTGTCATTTATCTTTATTTGAATGTCTTCTCAGATGGAACAAATGAGAGAAAAAATGAGACAAGAAGCTAATGCGGAAACAAAACAGAGCTCAAAGAACAAAGAAAACGATGAAATGGCCAGCGACGATTGGACAGAGGATCAAACTCAGCTTCTTATTAAAGCCGTCAATCTCTTTCCAGCGGGAACCGCCTCAAGGTTTTATGAGAAAAGTCTAAACGTAACGTAGATATTGATTGAAGAAATGTAAAATGGTTTCCGTGTTTACATAGCCTGATGCTTCACGTCGTGGTTTCCAGCTTATCTCGTGTTCTCCCAACCTCCCGCGCGTTTACATCAGGTTATGTAAACACGGAAACCATTTTACATTTCTTTTATAAAATAACTAATGAAAGAGGAACGAAAACCGTGAAACGAAACGAAACGAAACGAAAACCGTGTTTACATACGCTCATATAAAATGGTTTTATGGCCAATCAGAGCGCGCGTACTATTTGAATTATTTTATAAAGATTAATTTTTAATTGAGTGTCGAAAGTAATCGGAGACTGCGTTGGTCTTGCTTTAACTCGCTCTGTGATTGGTGCAGAATACTCGCGTCACTCTGTCAACCAATCAGATGCAAAATTGACACCAATCACGACTTGGTCGCCCGCGTTTTCCCGCGCTTTAGGAAGTTTAATTTTTATTTTGAGTTCTCATTGGCGCCCAAAAGTATTTCCTTTCCTTTGATTGGCTCTTGTGATTACTTTTGTTTTGTTTTACAACGCTCAAAATTCCTACAGCCAGGATACGAATATTTTTTGCGAATTTCATTGAACGCAAAGTTTCATGTAAGCAATTAAGTCGTGAATGCTTAAAATTTATGCGTTGCATTTAAAATAGTCAGAGGGAATCTGACTTTTTTGACTGTTTGTTCTTCTTTTTGTTCGCTATCAGGTGGAAAGTGATCGCAGATTATGTCAACATGCACGCTAAAACTGGAACCCTACGAGATTCCAAACACGTGATCAAAAAAGTGAAGAACTTACAGAAGCTAGGTTTGTAGCACTCAATTTATTCAGTTATTCATTTCTTTTGAGGTAAAACAGTTCTAACGCAGGAAATTTGGTTTTTATCAACTGAGTTTATGATCTAAATTGGCCTCGTCAAGACTCTAGAGAGGTGATGTTTTGATCTTTAGCTGTTCGTTAGCCCTCGCTTTCCGCTCAGACAACGAGCGTCAGCCTTTGAAACTCTGCCATTTAACATTGTAAACTCAGTTGATGAAACCAAATTAGCTTGCAATATCCCCAGTGACGCAACACCACAGTTTCTTCAGGAACTGACTCCCTCTAACCCAGGAAATGTTTTCCAACAGACCCAACACTGAAACAGGAAGTGAATCGAAACGCATTCGCGAAATTTGACAAAGATCACCATCATGGAAAAGCTTCTGCATCGGCGGAGCCTAATCTAACAGTGAGATACGATGGTTAGTGGTTGATCTTTAAAATAATTACCGATTTCCCTTTTAACGACTTGAATTACGAATTGCTAGCTTATGCATCTGATTGTTGATGTTACACAAAGATAGTTACACAATAAAATTAAGACATGTTTGTCACGCCGGATAATTACGAGTTATAAGCCTCACTCGCGCAGTTTAAAGAAGCTATGTTACTTTAGGTCACGTTATGGAAGCAATATTTCATACTTGGTCACGCAGGTCACGCCATGAAAGCATAGTATCATACTAGGTCACGCAGTCAAAGGATAACGCTTGATAAATATGTGTCAGTCATTTAACGCTTGGTCTTTGCAGGTCACTCACCTTTTGTTTTGAAACTATTACGGATTCCAACTGTCATCATCACACCAAAACAATCCTATTTTCTGATTTTCTCTTTATCAACTAATCAGATTCGACCTGGTCATTCGCGTTTTTCCACGCTTTAGGCAGCTGCGTTTTCCCGCGCTTTAGGCAGGCGCGTTTTCCCGCGCTTTAGGCAGGCGCGTTTTCCAGCGCTTTAGGCAGGCCTTTTCCTCATCTTTAAGTTCTCGTTGGCTCTTTTTGATATATTCTTTTGTTCCAATGAGCTGTTGTTAATTAGTTTGTTTTTGCTTTCACTCTGAAATGTTACAATGACACTCATGTTCATGATTTTTTCCTTCTGATGTTTAAGCAAGCCAATCTGGTGACGCTGCTCAGCAAACGTCTGCATGGACCTCGGAGGAGCAACGAGTAAGATTTTTTAAAAGAACGAAAACAATAATTTTCAGTCCCTTGTAGTTCAAAGAATGCTTATAGCTATTTACAGTTAGATTTGAAGCTAAATTTTTGTCCTGAAATTTTTATGGTTTTGGTCTTTTGACACTCAGTGGAAAATTGCTCTGATAATAATCGAATCCTTGTTAATTATACTAACATTTTTGTTTTGCAAATCTATTTTCTAGCTTTTAGAGAATGCTCTGCGTACATACCCCACTAGCACACCAGAAAGATGGGAAAGAATCGCTGAAGCGGTCCCTGGACGAACAAAAAAGGAATGCATGAAAAGATACAAGGTCTGGCTCATGAAAAACAATTTTGTCTATTCACATGTTTAAAGTCGTTGTTCTTTCGTATTAATCGTGTAGGGTTCGATATAAGTTCTTTGAACAAAGTAATGCAATCGGCGAATCACACCAGGGCAAGTAACACCAAGCAAAGCGCGGGAATTCGTCGCGTGTGGTCAAACGTGACCGACACAAAGCGCGGGAATTCAGCGCGTGTGGTCAAGTAGCGATTGGTTAAGGCTCTTCTTGTTCTTCATCTGATTGGTTTAAAAGTAGTGCCAATTTTGTAAGCCAATCACATAGAATCAAATCAATTTGCTGTTCTTGAATCTGTACTCGAACAATCCAGTATCCTCTTTGACTTTATCTTTCGGTCTATGAAATTAATTCTTGTTTTATGGTCTCTAATTTAACTGCTCAGTGCAGTTGGAACACAATTGTCATTTAAGCTAACTTTTTATTTCACTGCACCCTTGTAGTCTACTTTTTATGCAATCAGGACCTATTAATGCTTCTCTGGACATGCTGTTTAGTACATTAGAGAGTAGACTACGAGACGTCCCTAATTTTCGGGGAAGTCCGTCGCGGGAGTCAAAAAAACTAGCGAAAATAAAACGCGCGGAACTCTGGGAGTACACCTCGTTCTCAGATTTCTACGCGGCGCACTAGACCCATGTGTTTTTTTTTTCGACTCGCGCCGCTGACTTCGCCGAAAGGAAGAACTGCTCGTCTAATCAAAGAGTGATTATATGTTTGTTTGTTTGTCTTTTGCTAACTTGTAGGACCTGGTTGAGATGGTAAAAGCCAAGAAAGCAGCTCAAAGCAAAGGAAAAGCCGCGTAACACCAACTATGAGAATCAAGCTGCCAAATTAGTTCTTACTGTATATTAAGAAACTGCTGAATTCCTCCTGGCTCCACAGTCCTAAAACTGCTTTGATATATGGAAACTGGTCTCTCTTTTCCATTTATATCCTCTTGTAAATAAAGCAATTGATTTTCTCAGTTAACGTGTGAGTTTGGTTTACGTATGGAATTAAATTTTTAGCTTCGCACTGGTTTGAAACAATTATGGACCAGTCATTATTTCATTATTTATCGGGGGGAGGAAGGATTTGTGGGGGATCACATGGTTTTCAAGTAAAACGAGGGGGGAATCAGTCTTCGGTAACATAGTTTAAACAGGGGGGCTATAGAAAATTGATTGCCGATTAACTGCCAACAAAGCGGGTATCATAAGATTATTACAGAGCCTTACTGGGGGATCAGGTAAATTTTATCGTTATAGAACCAAAATATTCGGACCATCCCCACCCCCTCTCCCCCCCCACCCTCTCAAGCCGGCGATACATGGTGATGTATTCCTTCCTGTTGGAAGGGGTGAAGCTTCCAGCTTTGCATTTCCAACAGGCCTTTGTAATCTTTGTAGGAGTCCTGTGGTTTGAAATGGTTTGAGTAATTTGAATTTTCTCAGTCTCTCTTGATGTAAGGATGTACATTTGTTAGTTTAACAACCTTTCTACTCCTAGCAGAGGCTGAAATAACAATCTTTAAAAAACTCGAAATTCCAATTTGAAAACTCTAGGAAAAAAGTTGTCAAAGTTGTCAAAATTCTACTGAAGAGGTTCCGTTAGATTGGGTACACTCAGAGATTTAGTCCACGCTTGCAGAGATTAGAATGAAAATCACTTTACCACACGTGATGTGGGAATCGAAGTGTTTGGAGTGATTGGTATTTAATTTCTTCTTACAATATCACCATTGAATCACACATTAAATGTCACAAGAATAAAAGAAAATGATCACCAACTAAAGCAGCTCTTCTCTTTGTCAGTACCTTAAAAATGTATAGAGAACAGTATGGAGAATATGCATACTGATGTTAGGGTGTAAACGATTGAGGAGATTATTGAAACCCATATTTTACAGCAGTTTGGTCATAGTTTGCACTGTCATTTGGACTATGACAGTATTTGTTATACATGAAATGACTTACAATATCATTCCCTGCCTAGGAGATATGTTTTGATCAAATTTTCATGATATATTTACGTTTTCGTGAGCAACGAGGAAAAATTTAATCGAAGGAGTTTAACTCATCGGAAACATGAAATTTAACTCGTAAGCAGGTCATTAATTTTTCTCATTAACACCTCAGCTGGCCATATTTTTAATCTACCATTGTAAAAGGATTTTGTTTAAACTCTTTGAATATCTCTTTTACATATTTGCAAATCTATATCTGTTTCGCTGAGATTACACGGCGCTGATTTACGCATAGCTCCTTCGCCTTTTTTTCTGTTCACTCGCTGAAAATTAAACTTAAATTCGAGACGGTATAAACTATAATTGTAAATCTTATTCAAAGTTTCTCCTGTCGGCTGAATATTGTCATTTCCCAATCCCAATTAATGCCCAATGAATTTTCATTATTCAGTTCCGGCACAATAAGGTCGACTTTTATTTTGTTTACTAATCCAGTCGCCAGTATTTTGAAAGTTGTCACTCAAAATGACGCACGTAACCAAGTAGAGATATTAACTTATACATTCCAAATAAGATAAAATCTTCTTTGTGAATGTTTTACGATCATTTTAAAGTTGATCTGGTACGGGGGAGCTGAGTTGAAAGTCTCCTTAGTAGCCGAAGCAAGACTGATTCATCACGATGGGAATCGCTAATCTGATTTTTGTGTGTCTTTTACTGATGGAAGGAGCTTTACTCATCGAGAGCAGTTTAGGTAGGTGGAAAATTACTGGCATGCAATTAAGGATCTTGCTGCGACTGTACTGAAAAAGATAAAAATGAAATGGGGTATCTTTTGAGTCATACTTTTATGTTTAGAACGTGTTTTGCTTTATTTTAGTCTTGGAGATCCAGGAATTCAGATTTCCCTCATTGTAGTGGAATACACTTCGCCCTGACAATTGCATCGTGAGGATTAAAGTTGACATTACGCATCTAATAGCGCTGAGTTATGGTTATAACAGCAATTTATTGCTTTCATATAGAAAGGCCTTCAGGATGACACAATTCTAGGCCAAAATCGGTTGCCGACAAATTGGCCTTGACGACCACAAATGATCTTTACTGAATTTTTTTCTTGTTTTGTTTTTTTCAATCTTTGCCGCGAGGTTTGATTGCTGTTTCAAAAACACTGGATTTAATTTTTTGGCACCTTTCCAATAACAGATCAGATATGCCCGCAAATAAAAGAGTTATTAACTGGAAATATATGAAATTATCGAGCGTTTGTAAATAGCACTAACCCACTTTCGAAATATACGAACTCGATTGAGGAAAGCTGGAACGAAAACATGAAATCGAGGCTTATGATTATTTGGGTCTGCGTCTCACTCCTTCCACACCACTATATTTAGTCTGTCTAATGGATCTGAAAAGCTTATTCTGACATTTGGTAGATTATCATAAATATCTGTATTTGTCTTTGATTAGCTGTAGATTCTTACACGCGTTTTGGTTAGAATTTTGTGAACTATTGGCCATTTGTTTGTTTCACCGAACCTTGTTACTTTGGTTACAAAAGTTAAACTTCTCGTGGATTTTGCCCCACTCCACTTCGGTGCAAAGTTGAATGAATAAAAGAAGATTGCATAGTGACAGGATTAATATCCGTCAGGAAGGTCGTTAGTTCAAAATTGGATGTTCTGTTTACGGGGTTTTTCAACACAATTTTTCCACGGTTGTAGCTTTTTGATGGAATACTTCGCAAGCTATGACTCGGTCTTAATTCAAAGCTTTCTACTCTCCCCGGTCTACTCGCCCTACGGGGATTGGGGCGAGGAGACATCAAACACTTCAGACAACTCATTATTTGTCTTCCATTTTTTAGAATGTCAAGACCTTCAGGATGAGTTGTTATGCTTGGAAGAAAAGGAAGCTGGCAACTGTTTAGAACTTCCGTGGAGTGGATCATGTCGGAAGACTTGTGATCTTTGTGGTTAGTTCAAAATATAATACTTCATATCAATGATTTTTACTTGACGTTGAAATTTCGCTTTTAAGACAGAATACACCTTTGACGGCTGGCTATGGATTATGCATGTTAAAATCAGAAAAAAAATGGCTGAAAGGATAGAAATCACAATTGCTGGAAAAGAAAATCTAAGTAATTGTGGAAACTTTATCAGAGCAACAAAGGAAGCTTTAATTGTTAACCGCCACCCCGGGGGGAGGGAGTGGAGGTGAATAATAATTATTTTGGGGGGGATGACATGGTTTTAGGGGGGAACAGAGGGGAGATCAGTCATCGCCAACAAGGTATTAAGGGTAGGGGGGGTAATGGAGAATTGACTGTCAATCAATTGCCAATGAGGAAGGGGGGTTCATAAGATATTACAGGGCCCTGGGGGGAGGGAACAGGTAAATTTCATCGTGACACATTTAAATCCTCCAAAACCCACCCCCTCTCCCCTCCTTAGGCAATGAGTAAGACTGGTCTCTAAAAAGCAATTAGGTTAGTTTGAGATACAACTCGTCTATAGAATTTTTTTCTTTTTAGATGAGTGTTATGATGCTCAGAACATTGTAACTTGTGAAGACGAATCCGAGAAAGGAAACTGCGGAGACACTGAAGTGGCCCACGTCTGCAGCCAGACATGTAATGTGCTGTCTTGTGCTCAGGTAACAGTTTCATTTCTGAATTTATCCCCTTAGGGCCTATTTACACGTACTGTCGCATGCGACAAGACATGACTTAACACGAATTGTTTCTAAATCAAACCTACAACTCGCTTACGACTCTTAAGTCACGTAGGCCTTTCATTTCGCATGAATTTAAATAGGCCTTTAGAGTACCCTCCCTTAATTTTGGTTTTAGGAAGTCGTTTTCGTCTTCTTCCCCCCTCCCTGGCACAAATGCTTTATTGCTTTCTCTGTACTGCTTCTCCTGTTGCTTCAGTCCAGGCAATCAATATGGGGCTATCGTTAAGCTAGCTATGCCCATTCATGAATCCGTGCGAAAAATAAAAACCTTTGTCCACCCGTCATCTACTTCTAAGATCTGAGGGAAATTATTTGACCGGATAAGAGGCTAGAAAATACTCCACGTGTGCAAGAAGGCGCAAACCTTGGTGGGAGGGAAATACTTCGATAACCTGTGCTCAGCGTTCGGTCGGTAAAACGAGCGCAATAATAAACGAAGCGATAGAAGCGGGGGAGTGAAAAGACGAGTGAGGTTTGGTTCGAGTCGCGTGGTGAACGAAGTATTTCGCTCCCTTTTACTAGCTAAACGCCTGAAGCAGGCTATTGCTTCAAGTTCCCTCCACAAATGTCTGCCGCTAATGGTTATTGTGTTTACAACATTTTATATCAGGTACTCAGTGTGGAAAAGAAGGGTCCCCATTTTGGTCCTATTCACTCCACACCCTTCACTTCAACTGCCCACCTACCCCTCCCCTAACCCAACATTAACCCTAACTTGTTATCAATTGACTGTTGAGTTAGGGGAGGGGTAGGTGGGCAGTTACCCAGATATTGATATTGATCCAGCCACTAATTAAAAGGGACTGTACTAATCGACGAATTTTTTCTTAACACGATGATAAACTTCGATCAACAGGAAGCTACCAGCGCCAGCCAGCTACTTGATGCATAGTGGTTAAAATGAAGAGATGATGACATCAATCACGTCTATTAATTTTATTAGTCGTTAAGAAAATGTCGTCTGAATCTCATTAGATAACATTTCCGAGATGTTCAAAACTTCACTCTCTCCATTTTTCCTTCGACTATAATGTAGGTATAATGTACATCTTTCGTTGAGAAACTGCCCCAGTCACGCGCTCCTATTTACAACTCGTTCTCAGTCCCCATCGTGTTTTCGAAGTGTATTTAAAAAAAACCCGTCTCTCGTCTGGCTTTTTCATTTCTTTTCTTTTTCACTCAAAACGTTGTGCTTAATGTATTAGATTGAATAAAATTGTTTCCCTGGGTATCAGCCAGATTGTTTTTCTTGGTTTTTTGTTGGGTCTTCCCTCTGTCTTGCACATATTTCATCGTTGCCTTCGAAGGGAATAAATGAGATTATAGGAAACCTTATCCAGTCAAATGGCAATTCATTTATAGTGCGTGTGAAGCTGAAGCACCTCAGGGGCTAACTTGTTTTACATTTGTCAGTCACCTGTTTATACAGCCACAAGAAAATATCAACAGTTGATATTCTCTTGACAGCCAATAATTGACGTCCCCTGAAAATCAACCGGATTACACCAGCCGACCATTCCAGATGTTGTTTTGGATCCATAATGCCATCCGGGCGGTGTTGATGTATTTGCTCGCGCGCAACAGTCTTACTTTAAACAGCTGTACACAATGAAAACAATTCATTATTGAAGGATTCGAGCCTTCCCTTTCAAGTTACCGGCGCGCTAACATTACGAGAGGTGCTTGAATTAATAGAGATGGTGCCGTTTTGAAAATTCTGTTGTTGCTGTAAATTTAGGGACAAGATGAACGGGTTTAACGTGAAACACTAGTCGTTTTCCCATCCTCTAAGCTTGCAATTAATTTATTTTATCAGCACGTGCACAAAACAGCTTTTTCGTTCCTTATCAAAATGGCAGCACTTGTTATTAGTTGGTTCGAAGATTGGTTTCATTTATTGGTTAAAGACGAACAGAAAAGGCTTTCAAATCTCTCTCGAAATCATTTTTAACCAGCGCGTAGCTTATAGTTTACTAAAACAAACAACAATTAAAACCTATGATAGCATGAACACTCTAACAAACGCGCAAACGTTTTCGGAATCCAAAAGTTCAATTTAGTATGGAGGTGTTAAGTTATGGATGAACAAGTTGTGTACACAAAATTTATTGAGAAGGACTACTGTGCACAGACGTCAGAAATCTAGCGGGCTTAACACAGGGTTCGCAATCGAATGGAATCCAGAACATGAGTACAGAACTCAAGTTTAAACTAAGATGGTATGGTAGATATTCAAAACCTCCGTTCTATTCAATTACTTCTTATAAGTAATGTTCTGTGTAATAATGACTTTGCTGCTCTTTGACTTAGCAGAATTTTTCGCTGACAACTTGAACCTCGATGCATGGCTTCTTTCGGGTTGCTACATAGTGCGAGAAATTTGAAGGTTTCAAAAAGTTGTTCTCACAAATATGATGTAACCATTCATGCTATTAAAAAAGATTCTGATCTAGAAAATAATGTAAAATTTGCGTTATTACAGAGACAAACACCTATTTCATTCTTCGTTTAGGATGACGATATCCTTATGCAAGAAAATATGCCTGCTACACAAAATTGAAATCACAAAATTTTTACGAAAATTTGGAAACTTTCGAAGATTGTAATTCGAGGTTCTGCCAACAGCTGCGAACTGATGAGTTCTTTTTCGGGATATGGAAACCGTCTAATTTTGCCCACATTTCATAAAACCATTATTTTTATTGTTAATTTTTTTCTACAGACCCGAGAGACGATATCCCTCTTTTTCTTCTCAGTCATAACAACGACTGTAGCAGCAACGAACAGCGCCCTCTTCAAGATAAGAGAAAATTATTTTCGTCCCGTAGAAAACACGATTTGGGAAGGCAAGACAGCTTCTCCGCTGTCGTGTTCACAAAGGTGTGCTATTCAGCTCGGTTGTAGAAGTGCAAATTTCCTGGTAAACACAAAAAGGTGTTTACTTTCGGCTGAAAACAAGGAAAGTCTTTCCAGCGCGCTGCTTCATCAAAAAGATTCTTTTTATTTAGAAAAGGTATGTCCGTTATGTAGGAGAATGAAGTGAAGTGTTCCTCGCTGCTACAAAAATTTTCATCAGTTAGCTACTGTGTTGTGGTTTTGGCAATAAGTCATGTTATTTCAGTCTTTTAATTGAGTGTTCTATGATCGAACCATCCGCAATTTCTTGGGAAAAGCTCATATTTCAGGGGTGAATAGGGGAGACCAAAAACAAAAAACTTTTCCTAATAAATAATTTTTCAAGAGTACGCCCTCGAATTATCACCAAAAACAAAAGTTCTCGTAGTTAGGTGAAAACAAAATTCTAAAACTTCCCATAATCCCCACCCACCCCCACACCATCTCTACACTCGCTTCGTAGTCAACTCGTCAATGTTTTTATATTTTTTTTTGTTTTTTTTTTTCCAGATCATCCTAAAAACAAAGAGATCAAGACCTCGCATTAAAAGAGGTAAGTCGGTGAGTTTCTCGTTTCCATCCACGCTGCTAAAAAACAAAAGAGAGTCGTAGGGAGTCTTGGCGAGAGCGTGTAACTGAGGGGTGAGGGGTAAAGACCGAGGGGTTAGGAGTGGGAGGGGGAGTAATGGGAGTGAGGGATGGGAGGATGTGAGTATTGGCGTTAAGGGTGAGAGGGAAGGGTGGGGCGATGAAAGATTAAATTTGAGAGGACGAAAGAGTTGGTGTCTAAGTCTCAGTTTTTTGAAAACCATATTACTTTCTTAATAAAGCTGGAAAAAAAGGATAAATCGGCAGGAAACCCGTGGTTAAATAAAGTCTATGTAAGAAAAGTCTCGAGTTTTTCTTTTCCCTACTTTTGTTACCTTTAATTTACAGATTTACAAGAACGTTTGAACGTTTTTTCCTTGGAAATTTTGCACGGGAATTTGGCGCATGGCCAATCAAAATTGTCCTCCTACGCATGTCTTACTTTTGAGCACTGTATTTTGTGCTCCAAGGGTGAACTCGGTTTATTTCAAAAGATTCATGACAAACATAGGATACCGTTGCGCAGAACCACGACAAATTTTCTTTCATTTTTTGCAGGGAGAACAAAATCCTCCGCTGTCCGCTCCTGTGAGTACCTCTTCGACCAAACTAGTGCACGATCTCTTCCCCCGCCCTCTGGTGTTTATTGGGTAGATCCAGTTGCTGGTTCCCAGTCAAAGCCATTTCAGGTTTACTGCGACATGGAGACTGATGGAGGAGGCTGGACTCTAGTTTGGAGTTATACGTTTACTAACTACGATGATTTTACAAGTGTTACAAACGCCGTGACTCCAAGGCCCAATTGGCCAGTACACGGTTTCGATGGTATATCAACAACAGCCCCAATGAATGAAATAGATTACAACGCCATGAGCTATTCACTCTGGAAACAACTCGGCAGACAATTTCTTATCAAGAGCAACATAAACAACTGGCTAGTGTGTCATCCGGGAACCGGCAGCTTGGTTGATTGGCAGGAAGGCGATGTCAACTGTCGGATTGTCAAGCACGTGACTAACACGTGTAATGACGCGTTGCCGCCTTCATTTCTGCGATTTGACATAGCGAAAGGGGTGACGCTTTGCTCCAATAAGAACCCTTACTCACACATCTACTACCGCTTTGACTCCAGCCACAAAAGTACCTGGCCTGTCCATGACCCTTGTGGAAAAGAGCGTGACAATCATGTAAAAAGTGTCCTTAATCCACACGGGAACATTTATATTCGTACCTGATAAATTCCACAGTTTTACAAGGCCTTCCTCACCTGACATAATAAACTCAGGTGTAATGGTCCGATCCTTAGTTATTGGGGTTTGGATGAATACGGGGGGGGGGGTATTACATGTTTTCGGGGAGAATGAAGAGGGGGATCAGTCGTCGTTAACTGAGGAGAGACTCTGATAGAAAATTGACCACCAATCAGAGGGGATTTTGCTTTTTGATGAAATTACAGCACATGAAAATAAAACTTTGAAATAAAATAGTTGACAGAAAGTAATCATTTTTAATAGTTTCTATTATCGCACCCTTTCTACGATCTCTCAGGGGGTCCTTTCATAGTAAACTACATTTCTGAACGAGTTTCGCGCCGTCAGCTGAAAATTTTTCGAAACGTTCTGAGGCCCAAATCAAATTGACCAAGAAGAGACCGAGGTACCAAGAATTGAATGAGTTTTTCCTAAAACGAGGAAATATTCTGATATTCTCATTAGACCTTTTTCTGTGCATCGCCATGCACTGATGCCGTCAGAATTGAATACAACTCAGCTCATAGAACTAAATCAGCGATACTAGCAATCACTATTGTTAGGCGACCCACCGAGATTGATGTTGAAAGTTTTTTCCTCCCTCAGCCTTTTTACTTACTGTCTACCATACAGTTCTTGTGATGTTAGTTTGGAGAATTTGGTATTGGATCAACTTATAATCCCCAAATTGATTGGCTTTTCTTTTTTCTCATCACTTATCTGCTTGATATTGTATTGATATTGTAGGGAGAAATTCTGTCTTGGTCACTCATGAAAGTTAAAGGGTTAAAGATAAGACTATTCCCAGCTGAGCCGCGATCATTCCAATTCCTGGCAGAATGTCGTTTCTATTAACTTTCCCGTTACTAATTAGTTTTTTCAGCAAATAAGAAATCAGGAAATTCTATTTCTTCCTGAAAGCGCTAAATCAATGACGCTGGCGCAGTTTAGGAAATTAGCTTGCAAACTATCAGGGGAAGGGCAGCCACACTTTTACACTTACCAGAGAGGAAGAATTTCCGTCATTCGTCGTGTATTGTACAAGAATTCACCTTAGTGTTTATCTAAAAATTTTTCACAACTGCGCGGACGAAATTTAATAATTAGCATTTTCTTAAAAGCTAGGTTTTTCGTTTGTCTCATGATGTAGTCACGTGTGATGTAGATCGCGTTTTACATCACACGTGACTACATCGTGAGACAGACGAAAAACTTACCTTTTATTGTTATTCACCACGATGAATAACCACAACCTTTTCTACGAAAGAATTTTCTTTTGTTTAAGCAGGCAGTTGTTCGTATTCCCTAAAGTTCCTGTTTTTCTCAAAGGGTTTTCCCCTCTGAGCTCGTACGGAAGATTAAATCTAGAATTCCCTCTTCCCCTGTAAGCCACCGTGCTAGTATTGTTGAGATGGTTTGAATCGCTAATAATTCACCGTGAAAAGTACTTGAAATCTTTGAATATACCAAACATGAAATATTACCCAATATAATGCTGCAGATCATGAAAATTGATGAAAAGGGCATTTAATTTTTCCAATTAAAACAGCAGCACTCTACTTGAAAGAGTTCCAATATTATGTGCGGAAAAGGGCTTTTCAGCGTTGATCTAGATTTGCTTCAGCTTCAAACTCGATCTACATCTTAATCTCTGAATTTTAATAAAAAGCTTAAAAGCTCTGCACGCTATCGGAAACTCGCATAAATCAAGAGCTCGAGTGCAGTGCAGGTTCCTTGCACAAGTTGTACAGCTTCAATCGCCAAACGTCATCAGTCTATAGAGACGCCGCCTAGTGAATTGAAAATTCCAGAATGAAATCTGGCATCCTGCAGATGATTTTCACCTTAGCTGCCATGTCATCCATGACTTTCCGAACAGCAAGGTAAGACAATACGCTATGTTATACTATTAATTAATTCGGCCTTCGTATTATTTGTGACGAAATCGCTTTACTGACGGAGGAACGATATTAAGGAAGTCAAGAGATCACTCAAATTTGTCCTCACAAAACGTTTGGCTTCGCTGACTAAACTTGTAGCATCACCAACAATTTAACTGGGAGGCATATAGGCTCTGTAGAAGCTTCAATTGTTTTTTAGGAGCTAATTTTTTTTTTCCAATTGCCTATGTTACGCTTGTGATAATCAATTTTCCTCGACACGAGGATAATACTTCGTCACGTAGAGAGATGGTTTTTTCCTTCTTTATTTCTTAGCGGGCAGGACCTACCAAGGTTCAAAGTGCTTGAGATGAACACAAATGGAACACTTTATCTCCACAAAACTTCATTTCTGTGCACGAGAGAGATTGCCAAACGTCTTACTGAAGGGAAATATCAACTTGCTGAGCCGAACAATTTAGGTAACAAATTACAAACCTTGTTTTGATTTGAGTTTCAAATTTAGGAGCTGAGTAATGAGGTAATTATATATCATGTTGAGTTATCGATTAAATAAAAAAATAATATAATTAATGAAATACAGTTTTTCCCTTTTAGTTCACTAATTCGTATGAGTCAATCAATTCGAAGCTTCAACATCACCCCCCTCCCCGGGCAACTCCTGGGAATTTGAACGTTTGAAGATTGGTTTGTACAAATTATCTCCCCACGGGACAAATATTGAGTTCAACTGCCCTACTTAAGTGCCGGATGTGATGGTCAGTTTTTTCAGTTGTTAAGGACAAAATCAGCGACCGTATGCATGCTTTAAAACTTAAACCTTGTGGAACCTTATTTCCGAGCCAATTGCTCACGAAGGTGAAGCTCTCTATCACTAACCAACACCATATTTAAAGATAAAACACTTGTATGAGGGTCTCAAAGAGGTGATGGCTTTTACAGCTGACGATCAAAATGTTCGCCAATTTACGGCTAACGGTGAACGTCTTTCCATTGTTTTCACCCGGAATTTTTTTTTTTAAGATTAACATTTTAACAACTATCGGTCAAAATTTTTCAATTTTTACGCTTAACAGTTAAATATTTTGTCCGTTTAACGGTCAACGATTAACCTCATTTAGACCTTCTTTATTCCACTGCAAAGACTTGACACTTCCGGTTTTAATTCCCCACCCCCACTATGGAAGGTTTAAGTTCCCCATCCCCCGGGCACGGATGATAGTCTAATGCCCGTAGGTTGCTTTGGGGGATGTTTTAAGCTTTGGATTGAGCGATGCAAACGTCGAAAAGGCAGAAGATGTGTTTAGTGTATTTTCGTTTTGCAAATTGTCTCTAAAAGATTGTCCAAAGATTTCGCGGCGTTAACTTGTAAAAATCTGAAAGAGAAAGTTCCCTCAGCCGATTCAGGCGTTTATTGGATAGACCCCGACGGTGGTTCTCATTGTAACGCGTTCCAGGCTTACTGCGACCAGCAGACTGAAGGGGGAGGCTGGACACTAGTTTGGAGTTACACTTTTACAGATTATTCGAATTTCCAGAAGGCATCTAACGCTGTCACTCCGCGTCCATCCTGGACAACAAGCAACGCTAACGTTCGAGTATCCACAACAGTTCCACTCAGCGAGACCCATTATGAGGCCATGGACTTTTCCTTGTGGCGCAGCATTGGTAAGGAATTCCTGATCAAGAGCAACATCAACAACTGGATCGCATGCAAGGAAGGTTCTGGTAGCTTGGTGCAACAGAGGGACGGGACTGTAAGTTGCAAGCTGGTCAAACAACTCTCTGGACAGTGTTCTGGTGTAGTGCCGAACAGGGTTAAGTCAAGTAGTGCTGAAAAAACTCTTTTAAGCCGTCATCATTATTACTATTTTGAAGGTGACAGGAGTGGGGGTTGGCCAACACATGACCCATGTGGAAATAATCAAGCAAATCAATTGAAAGGTGTGGCAAACCCACATGGAAATATTTTCATTCGTTAAACTTGACCTAGATGTTTATAGTGGTTTTATAATCATGATAATTATGATAAGATACAAAATTTAATCTCAGTCTACGATGTAAAAGTCTGTGAATAAAATAAGATAAAATAAAACTATGAACAGTTCAATAATAATAATAATAATAAAACTATTTACAGATCAATGTAACTGTATGACGTCATTTTCTTTTTTCCTTTTTACAAGCGTCTTTTAAAGCTTCTTAGGTCAGTCTCATGTTTTAATGCTTCCGGTAATGCATTCCATATCTTCGGGGCCAGGTATCGCCAAAATCTTAAGATCTTTGGTACCATATAAAACAAATTTTTCGGTCATAGATCACAGTAGACGTCAGACGTGAGAACATCAGTCAAATCACGTGTGCCACTTTATTGTTCATACGATATTTTGACGTCATCTGACGTTATGTTACTGAAAAGACGCACAGAAACGTGGAATGTATTTATTAATCCTTTAAACCCTAAGAGTGACAAGTATCAAATCTCTCCTTAAAATATCACTCCTGAATCACACAATAAGGTCATGACAATGAAGGAAATGATCACCAACGATAAAAGCGTTTGGTTGGTAAACAAAATCTCCTTGTCAGCTCCAAAGGAAATGTATAAAGAACAGTGCAGGGAATCTGCATACTGATGTTAGGGCGTAAAGGGTTAAAGGTGCGTGAAGTGCAAGGTGTTTTGCCTCAGGCGTATTTTTTGACAAAATGAACTCGACACAAAGTAAACATGAATTCTAGTGTGGTGCGGTGATTGTATTTCTCGATGTCTGGTTATTCCTTTATTATGTTCTGCACCGGCCCAAGTGGTTACTCAACGTGCTTACTCAGTAATTGTCTTCAACGAATCCACGGATTCTAGAGTATGCACTTCGATTCCCACTTTTGTTGTCGTCGCACAATGCACAAACAAATCAATAGCAATATTTACCATATGGCTGCCAGTGCCCATGTGCAATATGAAGCGGATCCTGTGTTCTGATTGGCTACCCGAGCGGGCAAGATGGGCCGGAATTGATTAATTTTTAATTCAATTCAGCCGGACCCTACATCACGAGTACAACTTCAACTTGTGCAGTCTCCAGACAGTCCATCCGCAACAACTTAATTTTACGAGTGTTACCATCTGCGTTCGGTTTCCAAGCTCGACAATGCTTAACCATGTAATTATTAATGTTGCTTTGCTCTTCTTCATAACTTGTGGCTGGACTCTTTCAACATCAAGGTAAGAAAGAAGTTTTGTTTTTCTTGAATAAAATGCACTTTATAATAATCCGTCTTGACGGAACGTTCCGAACTTTCGCGCTTACATTAAGAGTTTCGATATAAAAAGCTCAGTATTTTTTATATATATAAATGATAGTTTCAACTTTGCTTCCTGGTCATAACAAACTACATATATTTTCTTTAATGCCGTTCATTTCGAGTTGTATTTTTCCTCTCTAGCTTTTGAATGTCGGAACTTGTCAAGATATGTTTGGTATGTATCCCGTGATTTACATGGGATGATTGAGTGAAAAATAAAAACAAGGCAAATTTCCATCAGTTCTTGTGTAATATCCGGAATATCAATGGTTTTGCTTTACTACGCCCTGTAATTGGTCAAGAAAACTTACACCACCCTCTAAACCGATCAGATGCCAAAGCTATTCGCCCACGGTCGCATTGTTATATCAACACCTAAGAGAGGGTGGGTAACTGACCTCTCAATTAAAAGACCTACACGTCCGTTCAGATTATATTTGATAAACGCAAATCATACGATCTCGTTAAACTGTTGATTTTCCTTTATCTCTTAGCGGGCAGGATGCACCAAGGTTCAAAGTGCTTGAAATGGACTCAAATGGAACACTTTATCTTCACAAAACTTCACTTCTTTGCATAGGCGAGGTTATCAAACGTCTGACTGAAGGAAAATATCAACTGGCTGAACCGAGCAATTTAGGTAAGTAAACAAACCTTGCTTTGATTTGAGTATATTTTGATGAGTCACGTTTGGTCGAGTTCGAGTTATGGGGATACAGAATATATGAGTAAAAGAATAAACGGGATACTTGAAGAAAAAAATTACCGGGATAATGGATATTTAAAATAGGGATTCCGGGATTCTAAACCCGGAATCAGGGATACAAACCAAAGGAATTAACGGGACACAGGATTTATAGCCCAAAAATTAACAGGATACGGGATACTCAGACTCCTCCCCCCACCTCCCTAATGAGGCCTCATTCGTTTTTAGCCGGGAGGATGCGGTCAATGAATTTTTGTTGTGCAATTTGTCTCAATAGGATTGTCCAAGGAATTTGCAATGTTGAACTGTAAGGACCTGAAACAGAAAGTTCCTTCAGCCGATTCAGGTGTCTATTGGATCGACCCGGATGGTGGTTCCCACGGTAACGCCTTCCAAGCTTACTGCGACCAACAAACGGATGGAGGAGGTTGGACTCTAGTTTACAGTTACACCTTCACAGATTACTCAAGTTTCACGAGTTTTGAAAACGCTGTCACCCCGCGTCCATCTTGGTCAGCTAGTTCTGCTGACGTTCGAGTGTCCACAACCGTTCCTTTGAGCGAGACCCATTATGAGGCCATGAACTTTGCTTTGTGGCGCAGCATTGGTAAGGAATTCCTGATCAAGAGCAACATCAACAACTGGATCGCATGCAAGGAAGGTTCTGGTAGCATAGTGCAACAGAAGCCGGGATCGATCACTTGTAAACTGGTTAAACAGGTTTCTGATCGATGTCCCGGTATAGTGCCGAAATCATTATCGAGGCATACTAATGGAATGTATCTTACCAGCAGTAGTCTTTATTATGGCTTCGATGGTAGCACAGGCGGCGATTGGCCAACGCATGATCCATGCGGAAATAATCAAGAAAATAATTTGAAAGGTGTGCCGAACCCACACGGAAACATTTTTATTCGGTAAACTGAACTCCAAAAAAAATTTAAATCAAGTAATGCAATCTCCTCTCTTTAAGAAGGATACTTTTAGAGAGAGATATTATTTTTTTTCGTCTTGTCACGAGCGTGGAACAAGGATAAAATTCTGAATCCCCATAGGCAATGGGGGACTAAGAATTGTTTTCCTTTGTCCCACGCTCGTGACAAGACAAGAAACATTTTTCTTTATATCTTTACCGGGCTTAAACTATCTTTCCTATTCTGTTACAACACCCTAAGTCATTGTGAAACGCTGAGTTCAAAGACACAAAAAATGAGTATTGAATTAAGTAATACTGAAATAAGAATCTTGGTCAGTGCTTTGAAATAATTTTTGGCTCCTAAAGGAGCGATTTTAGTTTGGTTTGTTCTTGAATGAACAGTTTCAAGTCGCGTGTTAAACTTAAACTCACAAAGGTGGCAGGGGCGCAGTCGCAAAAGGGCGAAACCTACAAACAATTTTGTCGTTGGTTTGTAGCGGATTCCCGAATTTAGAAACTTGTGTTTTATGTATGACATGCTGTGAAATGTCCAATTAAACATGGTTGTTTTGAGGAAGTCGATGTGTAATTTTATTTTCCTTTTTTACGTTCTCTCTTTTTATTTTCTGAAGGCCTCCAGGCTTCAGGGTTTGCGCTTTTCTTACCCATATAATGAGATATTTCGCATTCATTTTAATTGAGCATACAATTTCTGATCAATTTTAACCAGAATTCGATCAGTGGGCAGCCCATGTTTCGTGAAGGATGATGCAGTAACATCGCCCCGTGCAACCTGCGGATATTTGACTGTCGTCTATACCCAGGGGGTGGCAAATTTGAGCCAAAATTTAAACCAGAAGTGTCGTCCTTCCAGAGGAATACAATTGTTTTATCTTTCAATATGAAGGCGTTGAAAGGACAGTTAAATTAGCGAGGGAATGGCTAAGAAATAAACATATGCAAGGTTTAGATTTTAAAACATGGACAATGAATAGAAAGTCGTGGTCGCTGATACTTCATTTAAAAAGGAATGTACCATCAAATCCAGTGTCTGAGTGGGGCATTTGAGCACAAATTTGTCTTGTGGGGCTGGAATTAGAACGAACAATCTCCATAATTTCAAATACGTGGAAGAGGAGGAGGTCGTTGAATCTCCGAATTGATCGACGCATTATGACCGATAAGCTCAAAACGAGCATGCCGGGATTTCCCGAGTCTTGCTCGAGTTTGCAAACTTTCCGCACAGACAAATACTCGCGAAACTGTGTCATCTTTCTATCAGACTTTTCAGAGCTTTATCAAGAGAATGGAGAACGAAATCTGTCACGGGAGTTTGATTTGGAAGGACAAAATAGTGATGTTTCGGAAAATGGCATGGTTTGGGAAGTTGTTTGAGGTACATGCAGGTGAGTTTTCAAGATTCTTGAATTATTAACACTATTGGGCTGTTTTGCCCTTTTACGGAGAGAGAATGAAGCAGAATCACATAAAAAAGAAGAGCTATTTTAGCCAGGATAACATCTCTCAACCTCTTTCAAATTTCAAACGCTTCAGTTGGGTTTTGATTAAAAGTAAGGTTCATAATTATAAGGTATGATTGTTTGATTAGTTTAGGACGAGGTCACGGCTGCACGGCAGCTTTTTCTTCACTGCTTCTTTCAAAATTTCTCTATCATGTGGAAACTGTGCTGTCTTCGAATATCAATTTTTTAAGTAGCTTAACCGATAGAGTAATTTATTTCATTCAAGAATATTTGTTTACAAATCTACAGTGAACGAAATCTTACCAATACCTTTTTTTCGCCACAGAAACTGAAAAAAAGTTGGCGACACGCACCGCCGTGCTGCTCCAAAAGGAATTTCATCCTCGCTAGCGAGGATCGCGAGGTAATTGAACCTATCTTTGATTTTCATAAGGAATCATGGAATTTTTATAAAAGATTCATTCTAATTGGTTTGTAAAACGAAGAGAAATAAGTGTCTTCGTTCAAGTCCGAAACTCAAACGCATGGTTCTTCTTAATTAACCGCCGCATGTAGATGCGCTCGTTGGAAATATGAAAATTTCATTTAAAACAAAGAAATTTTGAATGGCCCCAATGCATTCCAGATAAAACCCGTGAAAATTGAGAAAATTCCTCTTCTATTTTTAGGGAAGAAAAAAATTTGACCAAATTCCACGAAGTTTTGATTCCTTGCTGAAGTAAATGTGGACAGAAACGTCAAAATATAACCAGTGACATGAAGTCTGGATATCAATTTCAAAGGTAAACAGCAGAAAGTATCTCGAACTTTACACAAAATGCCTTTAGTGACCATCGTAATATTCCGAGGCCTTTCGTTACTGGAAAGTTTTTAAAGATTGCGTGACAAGAAGCTCGTGCAAGCCCTGTGCTTTTCCAAATATGGCAAATTAAGTCTATTGCAACGTCAGGTCGTCATGACTACGTACGCAAATCTCAGAATCTCACTGCGTTTTGAACGAAACGGGCGTGGAGATTTTCATCGCTGATTTACGCGAAATTATTTTTAGTCAAGGAGAGAAACAAAGAGTGTTCATCGAAAATGGCCTCAATTAAAGACGGTTAGTAGAAGTTGCTGCTTTTTTTTTCGTTTTTTTCTCTTTTAAGTTCGTTTTTGTGTCGAAAGAAAGTTCTTTCATACTCGAGTCGTAAGTGGAGTTTCTCTCCTCATCGAATGCGCGTTTCGTATTTTTCCTAGGAGAGATCCAGCAGGCTAATCAAGAACAGGTAAATTTTACATTTGCACAGTTTGTATCAAGTTTTCTAACAATGAAACTGTTGTTAATCAATTTTCATTTGCTGATTTATTCTCAGGTTTTAGCCGAAAACCAGGTCAGTAAGAGAGTTTTGAATTGAACGCAAAAGTCCGCTAACGCACAGGTTGTAAAAAGTAAGGAGTAAAATTATATTTTTGGCGTTTTCAGTCTGCAGAATGCAAGGTGAAAGCCCCTGAGCAGAGCACTGCGGAAGAAGGGAAGGAAAAAAGGTAAAAGAAACATATCATTCAGAGATAGTAATGCAAACCAAAATCACATCCGGTAATGAACGTAAACTTCCGGTCAGCGGTTGTCGGGCCGAGATTAGTTCTCTACTTTACTCTTCTGCTGAAGAAATATTCTTTTCCCTTTGCCGAAGCTTTTTTCTTTTCAGTTTCTTACCCTTTCATGCAAAATCTTCCAGGCTTTCTTTTACAAAACTTAACTGAGCGTTTAATTTTCTTTTTATTTCCATTTTTTTCGCAATCGTTTAGTCAGCCATCCTGGAAGGACAATTCAGAGATTAAGGTTGGTGTTGCTGTGTTGCTGTATGACATAGTTTAAGGACACTTGGTTGGTCCATATATGGACAATAAAGAGTCTCTAGCCTAACCCTCTTTAATTAAGAGATCATAGTCATGTACCTGTTGTAGTAGTTTCCACTGCATTTGTGTCGTTTGAATGTTCTCTTTTTAAGGAATTCTTTACCCACTTGTTTCTAATTTATACCTTGAATGAGGCTTAAAACCGATTCAGCCGCATATCGTGTAATACTTGCTAATATTTGTTTAATTAATGTTTCGATATCAATTTTAATTAAAGGATCTGAGAAAAACTGCAGAAGACCAAAAGAAGGAAATAGAAACGCTTCAAGAGAACATTGCGTGAGTAGAAGTTTAACCAAAGCTAAGGTAACGTGTGAAGTATAACAAATGAGTTTGCGTTAAAATTCTTTGGGATGGTCTCAGCCTGAGGTGCAGTTTATAGCGCAAGAGATAAGGTTCCATGCAAACTCTTCGGGATATTATCAGAAATTTCGGAACATCCTCGGAAATGTACGGGTGTCTTCGGATATGATCGGGTCCCAGGCTTAGCTGCAGTGTATAGCACATGAGATTAGGTTGCATTAGAACTCCTCGCAATATTATCAGTTTTTGGAACATCGGGTTTCATCGGAAACGATTGGATCCTTTAACATAAATCTCACGCATTTAAAGCCAGTTGTAGAAAAGACGGTAAATTTTTCTTCCAGTTTTTCTTAATTTTTCCAATCTGTCTCAAACACTGGACACTGATAACTCTGGTAAACTATCCTTCAGTTTTCAGAAGAGACTTGACTAGACACTAGTTTTTGAAAGTAGGTCAGTGTTTGAGGTTGGTCGTCTCCTTTGATGCTAGAGATGGAATCTAAATATTTATCCGCTCCACTACAGGACATCGCAATTAGCTTTGGCGCAAGAAGAAGTCGCCACTTTAAAGCTTACAAAGGACGCTACCCTACAAGCTCAGTGAGTATCAAGTGTATTAAAACGATAAATTTTATCTTCGCGTGCATGGATGTGTTTTGGGCCAGACTCAGCGCCATTTTAGCCTGAGCCACTACGCCAAAGTTAAAATGTCTCTTAGAAGAACCAACAACAAATTTTTGCCCAAGAGCATAAACTGTATCACTTAGGAGGGCGTGGACAAAATAAAAACAATAAAAAATGATAACAAAACAGTCTGGTTAATCGGGTAAGCGAGCAGGTTAGAATACGTTTAGAGGATTGAAATTCTACAAGTGTTCTATAGAAAGATGTTATTGTATTTTTGTTCAGGGAGGTTCATAGTGCATTGAAATGTTTTCCTTTGTTGCATAGGAAAGTAAGAGATCGCGAAATTATGGTCAATCATTTAAAGAGAGAGGTATGTACTTCGCTACCACAATGGTCCTGTTTTAAGGTTTCGGAGCATATTAGATTGAGTGTGGCGCGTAGTCCTTCAAAATGTAAGAGTGATTAGCATCTAATTTCTCCCTAAGGCCGATCAAAATGACGAGAAGCGCGGGTGACAGGAATCGAGTAATTGAGATCTTGCTACTGATTGGTTAAAAGGGTGGATGGCGCAAGTTATCTGGGCCAATCATGAAGCGGAGTGAAGCGAAATATTAAATTTCCCGGATAACACTCAATGAAATCGCTCTGTTTGTGTAATTTAAGTTATGGCTATATTAAATAATTACGGCTGAGAAGTTACTGTCCGCCTGATTCATCGAAACAAATTTACCAAGAGTTATTTACAAAGAGTAATTTTCCTCTCCTGCAGCTGAAAGAAAAGAAGGAGTCAGTAGAGTGGATGACCGACAAGTGAGAGAAGCTTTTATCGTTTCGTAATTAACTATTTTTTGTGTTACAACACAGCCCCAGTTGTTTGAAGGGTTGATAGCGCTATCCACTGGATAAATTTCTCTCCAGTGGATAGCGCAGTTCGTTGTTTAAGTATTTATGCGCTGGTTAGCGATTTATCCGTCGGAAAGCGTTATCCACCCTTTAAATGACAGGGCCCAGACTTTTATTATGTTTTCCCAGAGAATTTTTCGGATGACCTTTATGAGTCGAGCTCATAACTAACGATGATGCCCCAATGTAAGAAGAACTTAGCCTTAGATGCATGTAATAAATGTATCCTTAGGTTTTTGTCGTTTATTTTTCAATAACATTTAAGTTGTAGGGCTACAGAAATTTCCAATCAAATTATGTCACTGACATTTTTTTTTTCTTGTCTGTAACAATCATTTTTAACTTGCTCACTTAAAACTCAATCTGTAGTTTAACTCTCTGTGTTTTAAACTGAATCATGTTTAAGGTTTAAGAAAGAACGAGAGAATCTGCTTGCTATGAGTACGATGTTTAAATATGTACAGAATGAGACCGGCAAAGTCAAACGATCTTTACAGGTAAGTTGCGAAATGAAACACTTTTATTCGTTAACTGACTTTAGTTGCAATTGTTAGACTAGTCAGGCCTAGGCCTTCCTCAAAGAACACACCACGTGGCATGGGATTGCTAACTTGTTGTTTCAAGCTGGGTTAAGATAACCCAGTGAAATCTGATTTCAGAGCTGAAAGCTTTAGAAGAAAATTGGTTATAACTTGTTTTGTCAGCAACTTGGTGATTGGATGCTCTAACATGACTAGAGAAAATTATCCCAAAGACCGGGCTTTTGAAAAAAATTGTAAAAAACCTAGATCAAATTTAACCTTGGGTTAGCACTAATCGGCCTTCGAACAACTGGGCTTGGTGCACGGTGAAATTCGGTGCGCATGCGTCGCTTTCCCTATTTTCGCCCTGTCCTTACGAGGTTAAAGGATGGAGGACCTGGGTTCAAGGCAGATCAACCAATCACAATTATCTCCTTGGGAAAGATGCATAAAAAGAACATATACTGGAAAGAAAAATTAGAGGAAATTTGAAGTTCACGAGTAGAAAAATGTGTAAAAAATCGTTTTCCTTACTGCTGGTACAAGCGTATAATCAATCATTTGTTGTTTGCTTTTGTTCTGTTAATTCAGGAAGAAAGAAAAAGCCGCGATCGGTGAGTGTTCATTTACGTATTTGTATGATGTAGTTAAACAAGAAAGGACATATCCTCTCTTGATTTCTAATACTGTATAAAATTTGTGGGGTAAAAGTTAAGTTACTGTCGACGGTGCAATTGTTTACGTCATCGATGTTGCGTTGAACGAAAAAAAACCGCAAATTTTGCACTGAGTGTCGCAAAAACAAAACTAAAATTTCTTGCTCTTTGACCCCAAAGACTGACTGCATCTATTTTCTCAATACAATATCACCCCTGAATAGCACAGTAAAGTAATAAGAATATAGTAAATGATCATCTACTAAAAAAGCTGTTGATTATCAAGCAAATTCTCCTTGTCAGCACTTTAGAAAATGAATAGAGAACAGCTTGGAAAATATATATTCTGATGTTATGGTGTAAAAGGTTAACTGATGCCAATCATAGCAGAGGTGAATATCACTGAGTAGCCTTCAGTTTTTGCGTATGCACTGTACCATGGTACATTTAATCTAAAAACTTCAACCTGTTTTTTTCTCTGATTTCCTGCTTGGAATAGGAAAGAAGCTGAGCTAAAGTGTGAAATCTCCAGTCTAAGCAACAAAGGCGCTGGGCTCCAGTCGAGGGTGACAAATTTGATGAACAAGATCAGTGAACATAAAAAGGAGATAGAGAAACTGCGGACTGCAAAGGGAAAGCTTAGGGATAACGTGTACAAGCAAGAGATAACCATAAATAAAATGGAAAAGAAGCTTGGCAAGGTCAGTGAATCAAGTATCAAAAAAACCTGTTTATAGAGCGCTTTTACATCAACCTTCTGGCACTTTGACTTCTTAAAATATTTTTACTCCGGAATAAAATGTCAAGATCTCGAGGATGAAGGAAATGATTACCATGACTGCAGACGCTCTTGATTGTGAAACAAATTCTCCTTGTCAGCACTTTAGGAAATGCAAAGGGAACAGTATGGAGAATATACATACTGATGTTATGGTGTAAAGGGTTAAAGAACAGCTAAGGTTATCTCCTTGTCATATAAACAACGCGTTTGATGGGAAAGAGCGTGCGAATATGTTGGTCAGCTGACGTTCGCGCATGTGTAAACGTTGTAATGGCGAGGAGGGCCTACACAAGCCAATGAGTCACGCTGTGTTATGGTCTCATAGCGTTCTGGTAAAGCTCAACAGGTTAACCGAACTTTGTGTTTGAAAAGTCTCGAGTTTTCTCTTTTTCCTTATTTTCATTTCTTTTTACAGACCTCTTTGAACTTTTCATGCGGTAGCAAAGATTACTCTTATTAAACTAAGTGATCCTTAATTTTGTTGTTTGTTTTATCTTTTAGATGGAGAATCGCAGTGAGAACTTCAAAATGTAAGTGAAGTGTGATTATTTCTTTCATAACATGCAGGATTTTCGTTGTATCACAGTAAAATTCACCCGACCCCACCCATAAGGCCCTCCCCTTTTATACTCCGTCAGCGACAAATGTCCCCTCCCCCCTCCGTTCCCCCGGAAAACCATGTGAACCTCACAAAATCCTCCAGACCCTCCTTAGGTGACAAATAATTACGGGTCTCTATATAGAGGGAAGACTGGGGATGAGTCGGGTCTCGATCTGAGGTTATGTGACCATTGCAGTGTCCAGGCATACAGGTTTTGATTTTACATCGGATCATGTCTGATTGCTTCAGTTTCCTCGTTCACTCACTTTATGTCTCATTTTTCCGCAGGCGTCTTCGTAAAAGCGAAAAAAGGAAGGATGAAAATATCATGAAGGTGAATTTTCTTTCTGTGAAAAGACTCTGGAAAAAATACCAAGTATTTTGATAATTTTTAATTAATTTTTTTTATTTTTGATTTCTTTAAGTAAGCTACGACGGAATCCTTTTTCAACCTGTTACTTAGCAACGTAATCAGGCTCACGTCCTTTTAGGGTTGATGTGAACTGATTGATGGAAATGAACATTGTTAAACACGTGGGTAGCTGTACATACTAAAACTTTAAGCTTCAGAGTTAATGTGAATTGTTCGAATGTAACATTATTTTCCATTGTAAATTGTAGGGCCTCGAATACAGGAAAATCCTATCACAGAAAAAGAAAGAGTAAGTAATAACATCAGTTGTTGTTAATTGTATTTATTATGAGCTTAGAGACCACTCATTGTCAATTGCCGGGGGGGGGGATTTTGGGGTAATTACATGGTTTTTAAGGTGGAAGGGAGGGGGAATCATTCGTCGCTAAAAGAGTATCAAGGGGAGACTATAAATTAATGACTGCCAAAGAGAGGGGTTCGATAGAATGCTACGGAGCCTGTGGAAGGGGGGGGGGGGGGGGAGAATCAGGTAAGTTTTACTGTGACAAACCAAAATCCTCCAACTCGTTCCGTACTTTTTATAAAGTCGGCAGAGTCCTCTGAAACAGGTCTCGTAATTCCAGTATGTGACTTTTTAAATCATGTAGTCCAGTAACCAGTTTTCATTTAGGAACTTTTGATAAGCCCCTTGAAATCTGACGCTATCTGTGCTTCAGCGCGGTCGTAATTCATCTTAATATCATTCCATCAGGCTGAAAACGATTCAAGAACAACACAAGGCAGAGAAGCAATCACTCCTTGCACAAATTGAAAGTTGCAAAGCCGAATGCCGAAAGAGAAGAAGAATTATTGAGGTAAATATTGATCAATTAAGTTAAGAATTCATTTGTCATCAAAGTTTGTAACTTTAAATAAGTCGCGTACGCCAGTCTCGTTTCCAAGGCTTTCGAAAACGAGGCGGAATGTGGGTAATGCTCTGCGCGCAAACGAAAGGCATGACGTGAAAGAATCTGGCGCTACATCGAGTTGAACTCTGTGCTAGTCCTCTTTCCTTATCTTGAAACAAATAACTATTGGGAAAAAATTGACCAAAACAGCTTAAGTCGTTTCCCTTCTCCTTAAGAAACAGATATATACTGAATTGATGTTACTAAACAACGTCTTAAATTGTTTAACTTATTTTCTGTTTAAGGCCGACAAAGAAATGAAAGTTACTTTGGGAGGGTAAGTAAACTTTGCTGTTCTGTTGGCAAAAGTCAGATAAAAGGGCAGAAAGAAAACAAAAATTGATGCTAAGATTTTCCTTCGATTCAATTTGTTTGCAAATTGCTGGTGTGGATTAATGCGCCAATCAGCTATCACTATCACACCAATCAGCGTCACTCGCCTTTTGCACCACTCTGCCGGTCAGGTTGATTAAAGAATAGCAAAGCATTTACCATTTTTAATCCAAAGTCGTTTATGGAATTTCTTGTTAGTTAAGGCCTATGGTTTTGATATGATAAACAAACTGATACATATCTGCGCTCTCTCGTGAGATATCGAGTTGAACAATTGAAGAGAATTCTACTATTCTCTGTTTGAAAATTTAAAGTTTTGCATTTAAATAAATTCTTTACTAACACAGACCTGTCCTTTATTTTAAGGACAATCGAATTTCTTCGACAGAAGGTAAGAAAATTCCCAATCTTCCCACTCCAAAATAAATCGAAATTCACATTCCCCTTTTCGTTTTCGATTGTAATTTCATGATTGTTTGTTATGTGAATGTGGTGAGATATCAGGGCAAATGTTGGATGATGATGACAAAATCTTGATCATCGTCACCAGATCGCTTTATAGCATTGAAGTTGGGCCATTACTGTCTGAGCAATAATGATCAGTAATCCAGGACTTGCTTTGGTTTTTACTGTGCCGCGTTCTCTAGTTGGTCCAGAAAACTTTCGCCCACTCAGCTATAGCAATTTTCAACTGAGTGTCGACAGTAGTGTGGGAATATATTACTTCTGCTTTAGTTTCAAAAAATTCGCGCTTTCTTCTCAAAAGATCAGCTGATACAAAGATACAAAACCAATCATTACTAAGTCGCTCGCGTTTTCCCGCGCTTTGGGCAATGAGGTTGTTTTCACTATGAATTCTCGTGGGCTCTTAAAGTTATTTTCTTTCTTCTTCAGATTGGCCGTTGTATTTACTTTAGTTTTTGTTTTACGACATTCAGTCGAAACGCATTCTATCCAAAAGGTTTTTTTTCTTTTATTTCTGATTGGAAAACGACGTCATTGCGTCACGACATCATCACTAATTAATTTTAGTTCACTTAATACTTTTTGATCGCAAATACCTTTGACGTAGTTTCCCATTTTTCATCTACAACAGGGACATATGCCTCCTCCACCTTCGATGTCCATGAACTCTCACTTATAACCCTTAGACACGCCTAATACTGGTACCAAACTGAATAAACCTTTTATTTTCCTCTTTTTTTTCAGAATGCCTTCCTCCTACGAGAACTAACCAGCGGTTTCGTTGGTAAATACAGAATTGCAAGGCAGTTCTTTGGAGCTGTCCTTGGCGCAATCAGAGCGCGCTTCCACTGATCACTTCAAGCATTTCGGGGAGGGGGGTACAGGGGGATTGAAGAATGGAAGGATAATTTTTCCATTCATCTTATGTTAATCTATAAATTATGTTAATCAGTAACTAAGAGGGAATTAATTATTTAATTAAGGAATTAGTTTGTGAGGGGACAGCTTTGTGCATCAGTTCATTTTTGTAACCGTGGATGAGGCCGCGAAATGTTGCGTGGGCAAAAGGATACGCGTTTGTTTTTTGATGATGGTTAAAAAAAGGAGAGGCTCGGCTGATAAGTTGTGGATAAAGTTTTGATTTTGTTCTCGAAGTGAAAAAAAAAACATTGTAACCGTAGGTGAGGCCGTGAAATGTTGTGTGTGCTAAAGGATACGCGACTGGCTTTTGATGATGGTTTAAAAAAGGAGAGGTTCGGTTGATAGTTTGTTGATTAAGTTTTGATTTTGTTCTTAAAGTGAAAAAAAAGAAGAAGAAAAAGGATTTTGTAACTGTAGGTAAGGCCGCGAAAAGTTGCGTGTGCAAAAGGAACGCGACTGGCTTTTGATGATGGTTTAAAAAAGGAGAGGCTCAGTGGATAAATTGTTGATAAAATTTTGATTTAGTTCTTGAAGTGAAAAAAAAAAATTTGTAACTGTAGGTGAGGCCGCGAAAAGTTGCGTGTGCAAAAGGAACGCGACTGGCTTTTGATGATGGTTTAAAAAAGGAGAGGCTCAGTGGATAAATTGTTGATAAAGTTTTGATTTAGTTCTTGAAGTGAAAAAAAAAATTTGTAACTGTAGGTGAGGCCGCGAAATGTTGTGTGTGCAAAAGGATACGCGACTGGCTTTTGATGATGGTTTAAAAAAGGAGAGGTTCGGTTGAGAAATTGTTGATAAAGCTTTGATTTTGTTCTCGAAGTGAAAAAAAAAACAAACATTGTAACCGTGGGTGAGTCCGCGAAATGTTGCGTGTGCAAAAGGATACGCGACTGGCCTTTAATGACGGCTAAAAAAAGAGAGAGGCTTGGATGATGAATTGTTTTCATAAAAGTTGTTGATAAAGTTTTGATTTTTACTTTAAGTGAAAAAAAAATATTTGAACCTTGGATAAGGCCGCGAAATGTTGCGTGAGCAAAAGGATGCGCGACTGGCTTTTGATGATGGTCTTTAAGGAAAGGAATGGTGTTTAAAAGAAAAATGGTGTTTAATGGAAATCATTGATTTAAATCCTGACTGCTCTTAAAATGAGTACGAGTATTGGAGAAGGTAGCGAGGCCGGTGGGCGTAAGCTAAATGCTACTATACGCGACTGGCCATTGCTGATGTTTTCTTTTACAACATAAGTTTTAACTTTGTTGTGAATAGAGAGTACTGAGTTTGTTGGTAGGGCTACTAATGCGTTCGCTAAAGGATACGCAAGTGGCTTTTGAGAATTTTTTCAAGGGAAAGGATAGTGTCTAAATAAGGTCTCTTTGTATTATCAAAAGTTGTTCAGTAAGTTAAAAATAAATAATATGTATTGGATAACTTGGTGAGGCCGGTGGGCGTACGCTAAATGATACGCGACCGGCCATTGCTGATGTTTTCTTTTACAACATAAGTTTTAACTTTGTTGTGAATAGAGAGTACTGAGTTTGTTGGTAGGGCTACTAATGCGTTCGCTAAAGGATACGCAAGTGGCTTTTGAGAATGTTTTCAAAGGAAAGGATAGTGTCTAAAAAAAGGTCTTTTTGTATTATCAAAAGTTGTTGATTAAGTTCTTGGCTGCTCGTAAAGATTAATAAGATGTATTGGATAAGTTGGTGAGGCCGGAGGGCGTACGCTAAATGATACGCGACCGGCCATTGCTGATGGTTTGTAAGGAAAGAAATTGTTGATTAATTTCTTGCCTGCTCATGAAATAAATAGGATTCATTTGATACTGATAGGTAAGGCCAGTGGGCGTACGCTAAAAGATACGCGACTGGCCATTTTTTTTTGTGGTGGTCCTCTCTTGTTCGAGAATCTTCCCATTAATCCTTCTCTTTCCTATCTCTAGTTTTCTCTAGTTTCATAAAGTGGAAAGAAAGAATTGGGTTTGTTGGCAGAGCCGCTGATGCGTACGCTAAAAGATGCGCAAGTGGTCACTGATGATGGTCTGTTAAGAAAGGAATAGTGTTTAAAAACATAATTGTTTTTGATGGAAACAGATTTGATTATTTCCTATCCAATTCTGAAATGAACGGTAGTATTTGATAAGTTGGTAAGGCAGGTGGATGTACGCTAAAAGATAGGCAAATGGTCATTGCTGATAGTTTCTCAAGGAAGAAATGGTGTTTTTTGTGTGTGAATAGAGTATTGAGTTTGTTGGTAGGGCTACTAATGCGTTCGCTAAAGGATACGCAAGTGGCTTTTGAGAATGTTTTCAAAGGAAAGGATAGTGTCTAAAAAAGGTCTTTTTGTATTATAAAAAGTTGTTGATTAAGTTCTTGGCTGCCAGAAAAAATTATTAAGATGTATTGGATACGTTGGTGGGGCCGGTGGGCGTACGCTAAATGATACGCGATCGGCCATTGCTGATGGTTTGTAAGGAAAGAAATTGTTGATTGATTTCTTGCCTGCTCATGAAATAAATAGGATTCATTTGATACTGATAGCTGAGGCCAGTGGGCGTACGCTAAAAGATACGCGACTGGGCATTTTTTTGTGGCGGTCCTCTCTTGTTCGAGAACCTTCCCATTAATCCTTCTCTTTCCTATCTCTAGTTTTCTCTAGTTTCATAAAGTGGAACGAAAGAATTGGGTTTGTTGGCAGAGCCGCTGATGCGTACGCTAAAAGATGCGCAAGTGGTCACTGATGATGGTCTGTAAGGAAAGGAATGGTGTTTAAAAACAGAACTGTTTTTGATGGAAACAAATTTGATTATTTCCTGCCCAATTCTGAAATGAACGGTAGTATTTGATAAGTTGGTGAGGCAGGTGGATGTACGCTAAAAGATACGCAACTGGTCATTGCTGATGATTTGTAAGGGAAGAAACGGTGTTCTTTTTTTGAAAAGTTCTTGGTTATTGATTGAGTTCCTTCTGTTCGTAAAATGAGAAAGAGGTACGAAATAAGTTGGAAAAGCAAATAAAAAAAAATGAATGAAAAAGGTTTCCCTCCCCCCTCCCCGAAATGCTTGAAGTGACCTAACGGCGCAAATATATATTTTTCTTTACCAAAGTGTACTTTTATATAAGCTTTAATAAAACGGATAATTTGTGTGTATGTTTGAGCTTTGTTTACATCGTAGTATACGAAGAATGCGAAGTAAAAAAAAGTAAGGGACCGGTCGTAATTTTTCGCCGGCAAGGGAGAGTGGAGGATTTTGGTTGAGTCACAATATAATTTACCAGACCCGACCCACCCCCTTCCCCACCCTCCAATGGGTAGGCCTGTCCCAAGATTGTGCTCGAACGTTGCTCACTGGGATGCCAGTTGTTAAAAAATTGCAAAAAATCCAAGAAGTTGCTACCTAAATTTCAAAAGTCTTCTCCTAAATTTCTTGATATTTTTATATAAGAATTAATTATTAGCTTTATTTCTCGTTCTTTGCAATAATGCACTTAGCTTTAAAGAGTTGCTAGCAAATAAAGACTGCATCTAATCTTTCATTTCCGACTGCAGTCATTATTAGATTATTTGGTGCATCCTTTTTAGCCGATTATCCGTTCTAATAGTAGACAATAGGACTATAGAACATTCTAGAAATTTGCATAAATCGAAGTTTTGTATGAAATCGTTGACTTTATCGCGTCTATTCCTAAGAGTTGCTAAGAAATTCCTTAGAATGGCTGCAAAAATTGCTCGAAGTTGCAAGAACCGCAAAAAGTTGTTTTAAACGCCAAAAGTTGCTAAAAAAATTGCCGAGCACAATCCGGATAGGCCTACTCAAGGCTCAGCATTATTGTGAATGATGCCCCTCATTGGCAATCAATTTTGCAAAAATCCTCCCTCTATACTATGTCAGGGACGACACGCCCCCCCCCCCTCCGGTGATGAATAATAACGGTCCTAAACCAGATGAAAAGCGATGAAAAGAGAAGAGAAAACATGGGCCGAGTGGGTGGGGATTTCAGGAAGCGGATAAAAGTTATCGGAAATCAGATTAATTATGATCTGAATGTAAAGTTCAAAGAAATCCTGTTATTGTTAGCAAGTGACCCGACTGAGAGCGCTGGTTTGTGATTGATGACCTGAGCGGGTGGAATCTATAAGCCATTTTAGAAATATTTTTAAAAAAATTTATTAATTAAATCCAAATGTTTGTCATGATTATGGCAAACTTTTAGCCTTCAGGTTTATTCACAGAAGCCCGTATTTCGGTCTAGCCAACGGAAAAAGATTACTTACTAGTTCATCAAAAGTAGCCTTGCTAAGATTTTACCCTTCAGATGGGAAACAGAATTTCCGTTCCACCTTAGAAGTGAACAAAGAGCGACCTTTCGATTTTGTTACTTTAAGCAGCTCGGATTTTCACATAGGAAAATTTGTCATTTTCGTTCACCGAGAATTTGGTAGCAAAACCGAATTCTCAATTTAAAAAGAGCTATGATGTAACTCTCCTTATCGACGGAATACACCGCGAATTTCACGAATTAGAAGGAAAAGACTTGTTTGATAAGGCCTTGTTGATGTGATTCGATAAAGAGACTTTACACAGCTGTTGACAAGAAGTTATTTGTTCTTTCTAACTTTTTACTCCTTTTTATGTTTCTATGATGTTTTGATTCATGGTCAAACTGTGTCTATATTTATACAAACACCGACAACCTCCACTTCCTTCAAAATTCATGGTCTCACTCTGATATCTGCGTAAACTCAATTAGTGCGCGTTGCATTTTATCCTTAAATACCGTCGACTGGAAACTATACCACTCCTTTATCACATTTATTAAGTGTGTAACATTAATTTGACCCCAACCCGTTGAAAGACCTGGTTAGTTGAGAATTTACTCACAGGAGTTAACGAAGAAGAGAACTTGTGCTAGAAACTTCAGATTGGTTAAAGCGTGGGAGGGTTATAAGCAAAGAGAGTGCTAAAATGAAATGATAAAATGTTTTTTAGTTGACAGCTATTTTATGTATTACTTAGTAACTAAAGCACTTAGCAAAAATGTCAACAATGCTTGGCTGGCGCCGTTCGGTACTTTGAGCCACGTAGGAGCTCAATATAAAAAAAAAAAAGTCGGGTGACCTTTCAAGTTGTTCTGACCCCGACTGCGAGCAGTCAAGGATTTTGCTTGTAGGAAGCAGAATTGCACTTAAAATTCAAACCTGCTAGAGTAAACTTCACAGCTAAAACATACTCAGTCTCGTTTCGTAACCATAAAGAGAGAGAGTGAATTTAAATTTAGTCTTTGTATACCAATACTATAGTCCAAAGCGATTAGAGGGCAGACTGATACAATGTTTACATAAGTGGCTGACAATAACGTCATAATCGGAAAGTACTATCCTTTTGTAATCAAAGGACTGTCTTGGGGTTTTAAATATTGAATTATGTACCGGATCGGGAACTCAGAATCTCGCATACAGTGGAATGTAGCCATCAATGGTGAAAGATATTTGTGCTATGAATTCCTCATCAAGGGTTGTTGCATAATATTCAATAAGATTTCAAGGCAGCGTCCAACATTCGATGCTGTAGCAGTCACACGTGCGACGCAAGTGCGAACGATCTCACAGCCTCAGGCACGTGCTCAAAAAAGGGGTGTCACTGCCTCATTGGTGATGCGGAGACCCGCGAAGTCTGCTTCTACGTGAAAATTATGCGAGAGAGCGCGGACAGTTTCACTGCTCTTGACGCATGCACAAAAAAGTTAAGGACGTCGCTGCCTCGCTAGTGATGTGAGAACCTGCAAAGTGTACTTTGCCTTTTGCAAAAGTACATTTTGATGTAATCCATGAAAATATGGGAAGAAAGCCAGCTGAATTATCGTACTTGAACCGCTAGACTTAAGCGAAAGGTAAAGCAACTTCTTTACCAAAGTTTTGGAGGGTGCTTTCAGAAGGAAAAGGAAATTGATATGATCAGAAACAAATTGAGTTTGTTTTTTTTTAATAAACCAACAATATCTCTTAATGCAGCTAAATAGAGTTTTAAAATTCTGGTCAAAATTGAATAGAGATTTATCAAGGAATTCGTTAAGAACTGGTCTCGGAAAGAAGTTCAAAGGTCAAAACGTCACGTTGCGAAAGCAGAACTCTTTGGCTGTGCAACGCACAGTAGACAGGAAAAAAAAAGCCGTAGACTAATCCGATTTAGTTTGACCCTGATAAAACATTTGTTACACTACTCTTCTTCGTATTTATGTAACGCACGTGTCCGTTGACTGCCACGCATCTGCAGGAGTTTCATGAGTTCATGCAATAAAATGTGTTGCGCAAACGTGACCAACTTAACTGGAGTTAAAATGATTCGGAAAAAGTGCAATCAATCTCTTTGCTTTCACTTTCATTCAGTTTTTCTGAAGCTTATGTGATCCTACGCGAAAAACGTTTGAGATTATTCTGCAAACTGGCTTTCGGGTATTGATTGTCACAAAGCTAACTGGGGTCATTTCCTTTGTGTGATCATTTTATTCGCGCACGCAAACCAGAAATGGTGACAGTTTTCGCCATCGTTAGAGGACAGATTAAATTTGTTTAGGGTTGAAATGTTACCAAACATTGAACCTGGCGAAATTTTCATCCGAAAGGCAAACAGAATATTATTTTTCATCATAACCACGTGAGATAAATTTGCGGAAGTGAATGATTTTGTTACCATGCTGGATGTGCGCTGTTACTGCATCACAATTCATTTACAATGCAGTTGAATATTCTAGAAAAGAGATCACTCCTTCAAATCAGGGCTATGGGCAATAAAGATAACATGCAGTTGACGAGAATGCCGTGGATTTTATGCCGGTTCAGCTCTTTTAAACATGAAATATTCAAGTCTTTTCCTTCAAGCGCCTCATAGGTCATTAAGTGGAATGTTAAAGTTCTTCTTTCCCTATTGGATAAAGCTCGGCAAGGGGTAATTAGGAAAGCTATCAAATTCGCGGGTCCTATTTCGTGGTAAAAAAGTACACTAGACAAAAGGTGCTGTTGCACAGGACATTGCACTACAACAAAAGCCACGGGCCGTACGTAATTAACGGTAAGCTATAGCAATCCAATTTGTGTGAATCTTTCTTGCATTCGAAGCTGTAAAGAAGTAATATCAATGTTTGAGGAACGCAGTTTTGTTATCGATTTTTCGTGATGTTATTTCTGTAAGCTTCAAATTTTGACATGAATATCACTGGGGCTCGCCTCTACAGGTCAAATGCCCAAAGCCCAAATTCGAAGAAAAAACCCATTTGCTCCGGAACTTAACTCAGAAACAACGCCCCAAAATAACTGAGGTAAAACCATCATTTCTAGATTTCGTTTGCAATTTTAAAATTATGAATTGCGCCAACGGTATTTTACTGCCTTGCTAAAAATAGCATAAGAGGGTTTGGTAGCCCAAGAATGATAGTATTATATTGTGCGGTTATGTATCACGCTGTTTTCTTCCATGCTTTCAAATTTCATGAGCCAACATTGTGTGTATCTCTTTGAACGTATTTGCCACCCGATTATGTGATGTAGCTGTAACTCGTTATCGATGCTTCTGTGGTCGTGAATAGAAAGACTCTCAACTCTGCTCAAGAGGACATTGTCTAAACAATGGGTCTCTCATATAATTGCTTTTAGGTAGGCGAACTTTTGAGACATGCCTCAGGGCAGCCGTTCACAGAATATTCGGAATAAATAATAATTTGTTGACATTGGGTTCCGAGTCACACTGTCTGTGAATGCGCAAATATTAAAAGATTTATTCTGAGAGTTCTGTATTTAGGGTTTTTATACTATCGCCAGTATTTGAGCGAAATATAGATCAATGGGATGAAAGGTTAAATGGTTTCAGCGCTTAATAAGGCAAACTACTATCGCAAAAGAATTACTCCAATTATCTTGAAAATACAAACCTAAAATGCTACTTCGCTCATCAAGACCAAACTGAAAGTTTTCACGCGAGCTTGAATCTGGAAGTTGCTTCCTTCATATCTAAGCACTAGAATGCTAATCGCATATTTTTGTTGATATTTATGGAAGAGTAAAGTAAATATGTTTGTCGTGTTACTCAGGTTTCCAAAGCCTTCGACGCACAGACTCCGTTACGTAACACATACAATGTCAACTCACCGAATAGCGGATTGTGACACTTTCACGCAATACTTCGCTGTGACTCAAGCGCCAATAAATTCCCTATGAAATCTCTTTTAAACTTAAGTAACATAATTTTAATGAGATAAACATAGGGATTTAAAAGCCATTTTGTCGAAGTGAAAGCTGGTTAAGTTAAGATCGTGACGTTATTAAAATATTATATAGGCCAATTAATTCAAGTTGGTTTGCACAGTGTGGTCTTTGAATGATTTCGTTTCACCGCAACTTTAAAAGGACTTTCGCGTTTTGTGGTCAACACATTACCCCATAATCTCTAATTCTCTAATTTTGCAGACTTGCACGCTTCTTAAGAAATCAAAATGGTCAACAATTTTTTGGTTGATGTGTTATGAGCACGCGGAAATAACAAGTTTCCTAGAGGGCACACGTTTTTAGGTAAATTTCAATATCAGGTCAAAGCTTGGAGTGGACAGGATACATTGAACGCAAGGAATCCACTTTGATGTATCTTTTAATGAACTAGTTAAATCCAATCTCTATTGAATGTTTGCAGGAGCTGCAGCTGCAAATTCTTTATGAATTTCTCGAAAAAAACAAAACAAAACAAAACAAAACATAACAATGAATATATCTGAAGATGATCAGTTCTTGTTGAGTATTCTAAGTCTTTGTTGTCATCCAAAACAGTTTCAATGTGTTAGATGCTGTTCATGTCAGTCGAAATCGATTCTGCAACCTTTACGTCGTTCGAATTATGAAATTTCAAGGACTTAAAAAATGTTGCAATTTTTTTTAATGATAACATTGATAATGATGATGATGATGATAACAATAATGATGATCATAATATTTTGTCAATCTTTTTTTATCTCCGGGTTCGATGGTCAAAGTTTGAATTTGCAATTGCTCACGTCCAATTTTTTTTTTTTTTAATTTCGCTCGATGAAGGTACAACTTTTTAGAGGTTACGAGTTTAAAGTGCAACTTTTTCACACTTGCACTGTTTTGAAGAATATCGAATCATAAGAAGATAAAATACATTTAAGGATCAACAATTAGTTGCCTGATTAAAATAAACAATGTCAATTACGAAAAAAAACATAGAATTTGAGTCTTTGTTTGTTTTATGTAAGCTTATAAGTCAAGTCTTAAGATGATTTGCAAGGAGAGTCCAATCAGCTCAAGCGTACAATTTATTTTTAGTTGTTAACTAAATAGATCTATTTTTTGTAGTGATTATTTTTGTCAGTCTTTGAAGTCAGTTTACCCTTTCGATCCGCCGTCCGTCTTTGGGCTTACTCCCATTCCTGTATTTACGGATCAATAGGCAATGCTTAAAAACAAAGCGTTGGGGGTTTTGAAGGAACCAATCACAAATCAAAACGTCAGAGTGCTGTGTCACTCACTCCTTTTTCACGCCCCCAACTCTCCCATTTACCGAAGGTTCCATCGCGTTTTGCAACATTGCCTTACGTAACATTGAGTGTAACTTGAGCTGGTTGCTTCTTCATTCGCAGGAAATTTCATCAGGAAGCTGTTACCTCGCCGAAATCTCCTCAATTTCTGAAGTACGATTTGAAAGGTTCAAAGGGCAAAAATTTGCAATCAAGACAGCCGAGGTTAGCTGCTATTTTTGAACAAATTGAGTTGTTGCAACGTGGAACTTTGGCGCCCCTCCGTTTTGATCCCTGAAAGACAATAAACATGACGTTGGATGCTGAAGACCAAAAGCGCCTGAAGGTCGCTGACTGGATCATCATCGCGATCTATTTTATAGCGTGTATGATCGTGGGACTGTGGGTGAGTTTAACACAATCTGCAGTTCATTAAAAGCCATCGGTCGTAAACCTAGGCGAGGTTGTTTACAACTTACGCTGTACGCCTCATGAGTCCAAGTTTTGTAAGGCCGTAAGAATATTTTACAGAAAATTCTAGTGTTACTGCCTTTCGGTAATTGTCATATTTTAGGAGACAGCATGTTAACTAAATTTGATTTCTAGGAAAGGCTATTTGTCGAACAAGAGTAGATCTTGAATGCAGACATAGCCAAAACTCAAGATGTTGACAACGCATCGTCTCAAAACAAATTTGTCGCGGCGTTCTGGAAAAAAAAAAAACAACAACACCCACACTAGCCATCTGCTACGGTTGCTTTGTTATATTTTAACCTTCGTTCTCCTCGCATTCTGAAATTTCGATGGAGAAAGTCTCGCAATGTAAGTAGTTTGTCTTAGTAGACCGTAGTGTCTGGGACCTGTGCATAATTTTACACATGTTCTTGAATAGAGTAATGCTCAGTTGACCTACGATAAAAGTCGTGTGCAGATTTGTCTTTTTCGATCCCTATTAAAACTTTGGTTCGAATATAGGACTGTAGTGAAAAGCGTAATTACAGCGTCGTCTTAGCCAGTGTGTATCGTGAGCTTCTGTGAAATTCCGCGCTTTGAGTTGAGGGCAGTCGACAAATGACCCAAACAGATGTAATTTTACGAGACTGACAGGTTCTTGATAGATCTTGGTTGATTTTTAACTTTTCCAGCAGAGCGCTGTTGCATCATTCCTTTTTCTGTTTTTTTGAATTTATTTTTCCTACAGTACTAGCGATGGATCTCTGATTTGGTTGTGTTGGTAACAGCCACTTAAGTTGGGAAGGCAATTGTTTTTTTAAGTTATCGTTTCCTACGCATTGTATGCTCTCTGTTTGGTTGTCAATCATCTTAAATATGTGACAGCATGGTGTATGCAAATTGCAGACTCATGGGAGTTTGCAAGAACAACACACTTTAGAGTTTGCATCATATATGTTGGCAAAATTTGTGCGATAAAAAAGGTCCTTTGGAAAGGACAGCACTCAAGAGTATGAATTAGTGCAGTTATGTAACCTTCCTTGACCTCTGTAAAATACAAAGCCATATTTTAACCTTGGGAATGAAGCCAATATCTCATTGATAGCAATAAATGTTTTGCTTTGTTTGTAGACATATGGAGCTCTTTTGCTTTTCATAGTGACTGTTTTGACCATTTTAAACCTCTGCAGTGTGAATGTTTTTTTCAGAATACCGTGAAAGTGGAGTCAAAACTATTTTTAGGATTTAAAACAGTTTCATATGTTGTCTATCTTGCCACTGCCTTGAGTTCTAAACATATTTTTCAGGATTAATTGGTCTAAAAATTTTCAAAACTCCTCTTCAATTTATGGGAAAATCAAGAGTGTTATTGAATCAGACATCTTGCTAGAAAGGAAATGATTAGAAACAGCGGCAATATACAGCTGAAATGCTTTAACTTGTCTCTCAATGACTGCATTGTTATTAGGGATTCTTCCACTGAAATTTTGTTTTGATCTGTTTGTAGTAATATGTAACAAATAGTAGAGTAATACAGTTTATACCAAATATTTATTGAAAGCAGATAAAGTGTGATATAAATTGGCAAACAAGCACAATAATTCTAAGATCTTGTTTAAATTTCTATAGACAGTGGAATTAACATGAGTTCTACTCATGCGGAAAAAGTTTATTTGATGGTTGTAAGCTTGTGCCTGATCTTCACAAGTATTCACAGATTACCAGGTGTCTCATTAGGATATTCTTTGTTATTTAAAATCTAACTCAAATTTATTATTGTTATTTTTTCTTTTTTTTTTCAGTCTAAGTTCCGAAAACAGAGAGGCAGAAATGAAACTGCCGAAACATATTTTTTGGCGGGAAGATCTGTGATGTGGTGGGCGGTAAGTTGTTTTCAACCTGCATATTCTCCATGCTGTTTGCTATACATTTACTAAGATGCTGACTAGGAGAATCCATACAAAAATTGAGAACTTCTTTATTTGTTTAATTCTTTTGGGCTGAATAATGTGTGATTCAGGGGTAATATTGTAAGGAGAAAGTAGAGGCTAGTCACTCTTTGGTGTCAAGGGTAAATGATAAAAGAAGAGGAGATAAAAAGCTGTACTCCTTTTGATCTGTACCAGGCTCAGGTTAAAAGCATCTCTCCCTTTTTTAATCGTCTGGTAAATTAAGTAGCAAACTGTGTTCTTAAGGACGGCACTTGGGACAAAATTGCTTGTGATATACAATACATCGAGGAAGCTAAGAATCTACCAAGTTGACATGTTTTCCCATAGTAAAGTACTGTTTTTATTCCAAAGTTAGGAAAGAAGAAGGAGTGTATTTGGGGTAAGGGGGATGTGTAAAATGTACCCTTAAATCCTCTGAGATATGGTTACACCCGTGATTGAGCCCTGAGATAATCCGCTCGTGGTCAGTTTGCATCTCATCCCAATGTGATCTTGATTTCTCAAACATGGAACATAACCTTATGTAATCCAATCAAAAGCTGGCTTTCCTTCCTCATCCAACATTGTCGTTTTCTATCCTGATTATCCTTGTAGTCCTTGCTATCATTTTGATTTTCTAACTCATGGTTTTAAACCTTTGGTGTTCATCCTTAGTTTCACAAAATGCATCATGAGTTAAAACAAAACTGGCCTTGCCTCTTCAGTCAAGCAATGTTATTAGCTCCAGATTACTTTGATGTTCTTATAATTTAAAACAAATCCTCTCTTCCTCCCAACCCATTTGGAAAAGTCTGGATGTTTTCGTATTTGGATTGATACACAAAAGATATCAAACCATGTGCTTGTGCCATGTAATAAACCCATTGATTTTTTTACAGCACATGTCTTTGACTCAAATTCTGTTTCTTGAATGTATTTCAGGTGGGGCCCAGCCTTTTTGCCAGTAACATTGGCAGTGAGCACTTTGTCGGATTGGCTGGTTCTGGAGCAGCAACAGGGATTGGTGTTGTGTCATATGAATGGCAGGTAAGGGTGCTGTGTAATCAGCTTGGATTGATCTCTCAGTGGTTATCATGCGATTGCAGTTATTTGTAGGAATTGCATGCATTCTCTATGCTTGTAATGCTGCTGTATTCAGGAGATGTACATTGTACCTGTGGAAATAAGCATTTTTACATTTGAATGGCTACAAATAAAGTTTTTGTTTCTGTTTACTTGCACTAGAAGACGTAATTGAGTCGGAGAAATTTTGCAAAGTCCTTGTGGTGGGACATAATTTGCTCCCTGTTAATGATCACTTCATTTCAAACTGGTGTGAGCTTTGCTAAAATTGCAGCAACAAGAAGAGTTGTTAGTAGTGACTTGTTTTGGAAGGAGCAAGAAACAAAGCATGGTGATGTTCTTTTGCGATATTATGCTTGTACTCCCATCTGGTTTGTTTTCTTAAATAATGCGCAGCTGATATTTGTTCCCAAATGCTGTGTTCTAGATCACAAACAAGTTTAGTTTAGGTTCTGTGTAGGTATTGGTGATCTTTTTGTTTTGTAATGATATATGTGATCAGGTGCTAGGGAATCAGAGCATGTCTTTCTTTCTAAATAAAAATTCACAACAGGAGAACAAGGCAAACGAAAAATTGCAACATTTTTTACTTTTCACTGTGGACACTTCTCTGTCTTTTCAGTTTCCTCCTCCACGCTTGTTGGCATCCTTAATAGCAAACCCCCAAAAATGCCTTTAAAACGATATATTACTCAGTAATCATGGTCCAGTTGTTCATCATTCTTATTTCAAGCAAATTTGGCATTTCCCTTGGGCGGGATTGAATGAAATGAAATTTTAATTTTTATAGTTACTTTCATTTAAACTCTCTTTGGTTGTTTTGCGGTACAATATTAACAATAATCGTCTAGGAAAAAAAATATTTTTCATTAAAAAACAAATTTAATTATTTCCCAGCTGCATCTCTATTGCAAGCAAACAAAGAGACTTTATCATGAGTGTCTTTTGTCAAAATAAACTTTGAGTCAAAACACCCCAGAGCATGTTTTCTAAAATCATAATTGATGCTTTCAAAAAACAGTAGTCCTTTCACTAGAACAATGTAATCGCTCTAGCTTATCTTTCCACTTCATAATTGAAAAGGGTAGTTAAACCGCAATCTCTTTTTGATAATTTTAATTTCAAACAATGGCTTATTGGCCTAATATACCATTCAGATAATGTTGTAGTGACATTTCAGAATTCTTGATGATAATAACACCATGAGTGGCTGTTTGGTGCATTTTTTCTTCTCTCTCTCTGATTAGTATACTTTGGACTCATTTTGATGAAACTGTTTTATAAACAGTCATGCTACGTACTGCGTAACAGCTAGGAGGTGCTGAAACAAGCTGTTGCTTTTATGGAGACCTCAGTACTTGTATATGCAGCAGCTATCTAAAGATTGACACGTTATGATTTTGAAGTTACGTTAAATGAAATTGCATTATAAACATTCTTGCCGCATATTACATAACAGGGAGGTGCTGAAACAAGCTGCTGCTTTCATGGCACATTAGTCAAGTGTGGAGACCTCAGTACTTGTATATGCAGCAGCTTTCTAAAGATTGACACACATTAAGATTTTAAAGCAAGTTATTTTCAATGAAAATGCATTATGAACAGTCATGCCACATATTACATAACAGCTGGGAGGTGCTGAAGTAAGCTGTTGCTTTTATGGCACAAGTCAAGCGTGGAGACCTCAGTACTTGACTGTATATGCAGCAGCTATCTAAAGATAGACACATTAAGATTTTGAAGCAAGTTATGTACTTGAATACTCTTATGAATAAAAGGGATACTTGTGTGACCTTTAACAGAGGTTCAATACAGGCATGAAATAAAGCCTAATTAATGAAGGTGCCATATTCTGCCAAGGTTGACAACTTAATGTCTAAAATGTGCGGCTAAACTAAGAGGCAGATAAAAGTTAGCCCCATTGTTGTACAGCAAAACATTTTGATTGTTTTGTCAGTGGGAGACTGTCTGTTGGAGTTGAATTTAATTTAACAGTCAGTTATGTAGTTCTAGTTTGTTCCTAATAGATAAAGCTATCAGGAAGTTCTGATAACTTGCCATAAATGTTTTTTGGTCTGCTGCTTTTGCATGTAGCTGGTTGCTTATGCCTTGTTTCCATATTATTACTGTTTTAAGAAATTATAATAATATTATTGATGTGTCATTGAATAAATTCAGACTGAAGCCATTACCTCTTTTTTTAGAGGAATTGAATGTATAATAATTATTGACCTCAAACAGGCTTACATTTGGGAGTTATTGTTTTTAAGTATTTGCTGGAGGTTTCTGCATAATCAGTGGAACATCTGAATAATTTCCAGACGGTGTCGTATAACATTTGCCAAAACATCACGGGATCTTCAACAATCTGACCTATTGGCCTTTTGTATTTGCTATGAGAAAAGAGAAGAATATCAATCATGGGATTATTAGTTGATCCAATACCAAATTCTCTGAACTAACATCATAAGAACTGTATGGTAGATAGTAAGGAGAATTACTAATCAGATCTTGGGAGTGAAACCCTGATGAGTGTATTTACCATTGAAAATCCTAAAAAATGGGGAAGATCATCTTTACTTTAGGTAGCTTTGATTCTTGGCCAACATCTCAGTTCAATTGTCAGCCAACTTTAGGAGTAGCAAGTCAGGCTGACAATTGGGAATAAATTTATGCTAGAATTTGGGTTTCAGTCATGCAAGTTGCAGACTGTGGGTGACTTTATGGGGATTAAAATGCAATCATTTTAGGCTTCTTGATTAAAAAATTCCTGATTGGGTTACTACTTGCTAACTGTTGTTAGCAGGCTACTATTCAAAGAACACCCTTGTGAATTGAAAAAGTGTCCCCTGACTTAATACATGTTCCTTGAATGAAGGTTACAGATGCATTAAGCTTATCAAGGCAGGTTATTTCTTTTGGAATCAGGGTTTGTCTCTTGAATGGAGGGGTATACTGTGCCTTGATTAAGGTGTCTTTGAAGAAAAGTTTTATAAACTGTAGTTTATAATTACATTTCATGTAGAACAGTCCAATTTGTTTTTAATCATTTGTAGGCCTGCTGGGTGTTGCTGCTTCTTGGATGGGTTTTCCTGCCAATTTACCTGCGATCAAGGGTAAGGATTCTGGCTATAATCCTTTAACTCCCAGAATTGATTAACAAATAACTTCTCCCTACAATATTCATTCACTATCCAGCAAACAGGTTATGAGAATATTCAATCTTGTCAGGTAGAGGTTCTCTTGGCCTAACACCAAATTCTTGCAACTAATTAAAAGGAAAAGTGTAGAAGTTGGAGGGGGGAATTTATGATCAGATCTTGGGATTGAAACGGTTAATAATTTAGAATGGAAAGAAAAAGTTACATGTTTTTACTTTTGCTTTAATTTGTTTCTTTAATTTAAAATTTCATTTTCAAGCTCCAAATCCATGTCACCTTATGCTAAATTTAAATTTATTTGTTGATACTGGAATGAGCTTTGTAGTAATTCCAGTTATTCTCCTATGCTGATGTGACCCTCAACTCACTATGAATGTATTGTGTGCAAACATTTGCAATAACAGTGTTTTTTTTTGTTTTTATTTTATCAACTGCAGGTGTTTACCATGCCTGAATTTCTGCAAAAAAGGTTTCAGAGCCAGTGGGTTAGAACATACCTTACTGTGGTGGCTTTGTTCTCATATGTCTTCACAAAGTTTTCGGTGAGTACACCTTGGAGTGAATTGTTACAGTACTAACTGAAACCTCTAGCACATCATGTGTATGTTTCATCCAGAGAGCCAGTGTGCTATGCTTGTGCAGTGACTTGTGACAGTTCACTTGGAGCGGTTTCCTATTGGAGATCTGCTTGACTCAATCTTCCCAAAAAAAAAGATGATACCATAGAGGGTCAGCAATATTTCACCACCCACCCTTTAAAAAAAAATGGAAATGCTAGGAACCCCAATTTGGTCTGACGCAAGGGCTTTGGAAGTGAAATTGACAAATTTTGACTCCATCTCAGATTTTCAATAAAATTCCATTATCAAGGGTGTCATAAATCAGTAGTCATTGTTTGTATTGTAGGTTGACATTTATGCTGGTAGTTTGTTTCTGTATGAAGCAATTGGCTGGAATATTTATATCTCTGCTGCTGTGACCTTGGCAATAACGGCTGTCTACACTGTCCTGGGTAAGTTCAATACTAACAGTTCCTAACTAAAGATAGTTGTATTATATCTACATGTACTTGTGTTCAAATGTGGCTCATGTTGTAGGAGAGGTGGAGGCAATTTTTTTGGGCTGGTTGTGGGGTCAGGTGTGAGAGCCAGCTGGGTCAGTGTGTTCAGTTCCTGAGCAAAATGTATTACCCTCTCAGTGCTCTTCACCACCCAGGGCCCAGTTGTTTGAAGGCCAATTAGCACCAATCCAGGGTTAAATTTGAATCCAGGTTTCTTTGTTTGTCTATTCAAGAGCCTTTTTCAGAAAAGTTTCCTTGTTCTTTTAAGAGCATCCAATAATCAAATTGTAGACAAAAAGAGTTAAACAGAATATTTTTTTTTTAAGCTTTCAGGTCAGAAATCAAATTTCACACTAACCCCACAGAGATAACACATATATCAGTCACAAAACATTCATTGGTACCTTTGATGCTTAACATGGAGTGAAAGTTTAATTGTTACTTATAATTATTTTCTGTCTTCTCTGCAGGTGGTTTGACTGCTGTAATCTTCACCGATGTCCTCCAATGTACCATCATGATTTTGGGTGCCATTGTACTGGCAATATTAAGTAAGAGCACATGATTACTTACATTAATCAAAACTGAAACAAAATTCTTGGATGTGATTGGTTATCACCAGCCTGATTTGAGCACTGATTGGGCAGTGTACATGTCATCCTTGTAACTTGATAATGTAATAGGACAGTTAAAGGGACAGTTAACACCTCATGCCTGTGTAAGTGGACAGAGTGCGTCATGTGCGCATGCTGTTGTCTTGCATTTTGCTGAATTAACTATCTGTGGTTTTTTTTTTTTTTCCATGAAAAGATATATTAATCAATGCCCATAAAGAGTGTTTTTGGTGTCATGATTTACTGTCTAGTCCAATAATGAGAGGTGTTCACAAATTATTTGTAAAGCAGCACCCCCCTCAAATCTTTAACTATGCTAGTTATCTTTTATGGACTTGGCGGGCATTAGTACTGATGTTTTTTCTAAATATGGTTTTAAGGCTTTGTGAAAGTTGGAGGATACAATGGTCTTTGGGAAAAGTTCGGAAGTGCCCAGGGTAGTCCTTATGCACCTACCATTGTTCCCACCACAATGACAGTCAATATGACAAATGCTTCAATGCTGGCAAACACGACGACTGCTATGCCAACCACTGGACCCGACCTAAGCGGGTGCTTCAAATTGACTCCTTACTGGGCAAACATGTTCCGTCCGATAGACGACCCTGACTATCCATGGCTTGGATTGTGGACCACTCTTCCTATTATGGGAGTCTGGTATTGGTGTACAGATCAGGTAGGTCAAGTGTATTTTTAACCCTTTACTCCTTGACATCAGTATACATATTCTCCATTCTGTTCTCTTTACTTTTCCTATGGTGCCGATGAGGAGAATTTGTTTGAACAATCAAGAGCTTCTTTAATTGGCTAATGTTTCTTTTATTCGTGGGACTTTAAGGTTTTGATGAAGGGGTATTGTTGTGAGGAGAAATCAGGTGCTTGTTGAAGGGTTAAAAGGTCAAGGGTCAAAGGGTTGAAGGTATCTGGAGGGTTTGCCCTGTTGCAAGTAGGCCCCATATTTGTTTCACCCACCCAAAAATTTTGCACCTGCTTAAACCAGCTCAACCCTTTAAATTATCATATTATTTCCCTACAGTAGAATTCATTCCTTTTGTATCGAAATTGTAATTTATTGTGATCAAATGCAAAACCTCAACAACACACTTCTGTATATGTGGTAACTCAGGATGAAAATGGTTACACTTGATTGCACTTGCATGCACATTTTCTGTCAATCAAAGATATTAACTACAATGTATGTTCAGCCCCAGTCTTCGACAAAGTCAAGTAATCTACAGCTTGAGCAAGGTGACGCTTCCATCTTTGACATCTTTTGCATCTTTCTTTACTTCCAGGTGATTGTTCAGCGTACCTTGGGAGCTAAGAACAACATTCAGGCCAAGGCAGGTTCCATTTTTGCTGGCTTTCTGAAGATCCTGCCCATCTTCATAATGGTGATGCCAGGAATGATCAGCCGTGTCCTCTACCCTGACTCCATTGGTTGTGCAGATCCCGTCAGCTGTAAATTTCACTGTGATAATGAGTGGGGCTGCTCTAATAATGCCTATCCCAAGTAAGTTTATTGTTTAGCCTTGTTGTGTTTGTTGTATCATTTGCAGATAGCTTACCTTTTGAAGGGCACCATGATGGTGCACATGCTATTGAAGAATTTGGCTGTGCATGACTATTAGAAATATATTGTGTCCCCTGGAATGTTAGTTATGCATCAATTATAATTTTTTGAGACAGATTCTTGAATGCAAGGAAGAGAAGGTTTTCTTGGACATGTGTGCTCAGTGAAGTTCGCTTAAATGCTCTCAAAGAATTTCTAAGTTTAATTCGTATTATTGTGGTGTACTTGGAAATCTCAGGATTAAAGAGGAAGTTTTCACTCTAGACTGTCATCTAAAAATTACCTCTGATTTACTATGATACCAACAACTTTACTTTTTCAACCATGTACACCCTAAAGCACACCAGTATATTCTTCATACTGTTTTCTGTTTTCTGTTGGTACTGACAAGGAAAATTTGTGTAACAAGCAAGTCGGAGCTTCTTTCATTGGCAATTATTTCCTTTAGTTTTGTGACCTTATTGATTGATTTAACGGCAATGTTCACAAGAGGAGAAATTTGAATTTCTCCCTTTTGTATTAGAGGAGTGAATTTTTTCTAAAATGTGTCTGAAATGGGATCAGGATCTCCCCCACCCTTCCCAGCCCCTTAATCCTTGCTACTCTCCTTACACACATGTTCAGAGAGGTTACTAGTCTTGGTACCCAACCATTTTTTATCTGACGGTGTGTGTCCACAGTTTTTTCTTATCAAGACATATTGGTTTGTTTTTTTTTCTTAATAGACTGGTTCTTAATGTTCTTCCCACTGGATTGGTTGGCCTGATGATGGCGGTGATGATGGCAGCACTGATGTCTTCTCTTTCCTCTGCTTTTAACAGCAGTGCCACCATCTTTACTGTGGATGTGTGGCTCCGCTTCAGGCCAAGGGTATGAAAATGTCAAGGTTTTCACCCAGAAAGCATAAAATAGTGTTAACCTTTTACACCCAAACATCAGTATGCATATTCTCCATACAGTTCTCTATACCTTTCCAAAGAGGCTGACAGGGAGAATTTGTTTAACAGTCAAGAGCTGTTTTTGTCAGTGATCATCTCCTCTATTCTCATGACTTTCATGTTTGATTCAGGGGGTGATAATTATAGTAAGGAGAAATTAGATGCTAGTCACTCTTAGGGGCTTAAGGGTCAAGTAGCATAAAAATATTCTTTGCAGCCAAATGAAAAATAGGCGTGGTCTTAAACATTTCGCTCAAGAATTTGTGGATTGGGTGGAGAATTCTCTGATCTTTGGTATCCAATGAGCAGCCTTAACTTTTACTGTGGTTTTTAACTTTGATGAGCTTTCAAAAGGTCTCCTGTCACTCCACCTGTCACGAACAGACCTTGCCATCATAAGTACATGTAATTCTAAACTTTACTTACCTGATGCTTAAAATGTAAACAGTGGAGGGATGGGGAAGTTGAAAACTGAAGGCAAAAGCTACTGTTATCAGAGAAATGAGTTTAGCACTTTGTGGGATTCTACATACACGTGTACATGTACCTTATTATATACCTCAGTCGCGATAATGAAGAGATCCTCTGGACAGTATTTGTAAAGAGGCTGTTTCTTCAGGTAGTGTGTTAGCTAAGCAAAGACTGTCCTCTCTTTGTAAGTATTTACAAATTGCATTTCTTTCTTTTTCATGCTGCAGGCCACAGAAAGAGAAAAAGTCATTGTTGGCCGGGTGGTTGTTGCCCTCCTTGTGGTTGTCAGTTTATGTTGGTTGCCAATCATTCAAGGTATTTCAGCTCATTATTATCAACATCATCATCACCGGGCATCATATGGATTCTGTATGTCACTTAAGGAATGAACAAGTTTCCAGAATTTAGCCAGCATTTGAGGGCCACAAAGCTGGCTCCAAAAATTAATTCTTTTGAGTGGAGTCCTGGCGATTGTGTTAATTGTTCTCTCCATGATTTTTTCTTCTTTGGTGCTGCATGTAGGTAGCCTACGTGACAATTCTTTTTCTCACAACGCTGGAAATAATTTGTCCAGTTAAACTTATTTTTACTCAGGCACAGCCCATTATTGGCCAAAAGAATATTTATCATGCCATATCTTAATGAATTTTCCCCCCTGCCTCCCATCCCCACAAAACAAGTTTATTTACAATTCCATTATTGCACATGCAGCCTTAAATACACCTGTATTTAAAACTTGATTCTTCTCTGCATGCTCAAACAACTGGACAAAATGACCAGCCATCCGAGGAGTTAACCAGACTAAACCTTTATTTGGACATTGGCTACTGAGCACCAGTTATTTCAAGCCCTGAATTATGTAAATCATTTCGCTCCTGACAAAACAGTACTATCATAATTTTCAAGCATTAAAAAGATAGGTAACCACTTGATATCAGTTTGCTTTTTTGTGAATCATGTCCACATGGCTATAGAACACTTTCGAGTCAAACCAGTCATTGTATATTTATGTACATTTTTGTCAACAGGTGCTGCAGGGAAACAACTTTTTGTTTACATTCAGACAATCCAATCCTACCTTGCCCCACCAATTACTATGGTGTTTGGGTTGGGTATCCTGTGGACAGGTCTGACAGCAGCAGGAGCGCTGTCAGGCTTGGTGATTGGGTTCTTGCTGGGAATGGCCAAGTTTATTGCTGGTAATATTTGGTCAGATCCTAAGTGTGGTGAAGAAGATACACGACCTGGATTTGCTAAAATGCATTTCATGTTTTATGGTGAGTAAATTTGATTGTTGAGGATAAAAAGTTTTGAAAATTATACAATAAGAGTGTCAGCGAAAGAAACAAAATGAACAGGTTAGTGTGCCAGAATCTGCTTTCCTATTCTTCAAATTTTGATTTCAAAATATGGCTTTGGACTCTTTAACTCTTTAGTTAGCAGGACTTTCAAGAAACAGGCCTCTAGCCCTGTTTTTTTTTTTTTTTTTATAAGATTGGATAGCTCTATTCATTGGATAAATTACTCTTGGATGGATAGTGCAGTTCAATTTGTTCACACTTATCCACTGGATAGCGATTCATCCATTGGACAGCAATTTATCCATTGAATAGTGGTTTCTACCCTGAGAGCAACCAGAATCTAAGGCAAGATGGCCAATTGAGGGAAAAGGAGCATGGAAATGCTCTTTATTTTTGCTTTGGTTTTTAACAATTACACTTAGGGATTCTCACCCACAAACTAAAAGTTAGAGCTATTTTGTCTGGCAAAATGAACCATACCCAGTTGAGCAAAGGATCCTGTAACAGTTATAAACTCGAACAGAACAAGAACTGCCACCAAAAGCATGTTGAATGGTATCTGTGTGAGAGTACTTCTCATCACCCTTTCCGGCTTCATTTCAATGACCACAACCCTGAGGGCAATGGGTGTTTCTTAAATTTCTTACTCCAGGCTGATGGTCCAGTTTTATAGAAGTTCATCAAATATCAAAATTTTAACTTTTTCATTTTCTAGCTATCATTATTTTTGGAGTGAGTGGCTTTATCATGGTTGTGGTGAGTTTGTTCACAAAGAAGATCCCACGAGACGAGCTTGGTGGCCTGACTTGGCCAACAATCAATGAGCCTCCCATCTCATTTGGATCCATTGGCGAAGCAGATGAAGCTGAGAAGGTGGAAATTGGTGGTGTGACCGGTACCGAAAAAGTCGAGCTTTTGGAAAAGAACGGTAAGGTTTCATTGTTGGTGAAGATTATTTATGCGGAACATTTTGGGGATTTTGTTTATTGTGGTTGAGTTACAAACAGTTGCAGAATCAAAACAAGTCGTGGTGGACCAAATATGTATTGTGTGAATGATGAAATATCACCCTACAGTGTATTTTAAAATGAAACTCTCATGAATAGCCAAGACGGAATTTTTTTCAAGCAGACAAGTGATGAGTAATGTATCAACATTGGGATTGTTAGTTGATATAATACAAATTCTCGGAACTAACATCGTAAGAATTGTACGGTAGACAGTAAGGAGATTTACTAATGAGATCGAAAGGGTTAAAATTCTCCGCCGTTGGTAAATTTCAGGCCATCTAAGTCCAACAACTCGTGTGGAAACTTCTTTCGACGCTGAAGGAGAAGTTACCAAAATCGAGGAAAAGAATGCTGTTCCACCCAAGCCGAATGTGAATGGCGAGACTGTGGCACTGGAAAATGCAACAGGCGAGAAAATCAAACTGAGTGTAGTCCAGTTTGTCGAGGAAGATCCTGCTCTGAAGTGGTTTTTACGAATCATGACTGTCTTGTTACTGGTTTGTCTAGTTTTCCTGTGGGTGTACTTTCGCTAAGCGACATGTACAGTATAATTTGTCGATCCTCGCATATAGTGTGATGTAAAGATATGCTAAGGTGCGATGATCATATTAATAGGATGCGCATCACCATTTACATCATGTATATCCTCATATAATCTCATGCTGGTTGATAAGTACCTAAATATGTACGTGAAGGTCGAGAAACCGACCACAAATGTTTTAATGTATGTGCAATAAGAGGTGTAATGGTATTTGTGTTGTCTCTCTGATAGAAGAGAGATGTGTTGGAAACGGTGAAATCTTTGATTAATTTTGTGGTGTAGACGATTTTTCCTTTAATGTAGTAAGGGTATAGTCCTGCAGATTTTCAAAGCCAACCGGGACGTTCATTTAATTATGCTGGTGAAGACATTGATCTGGAAACCAAAACCAATTTTAACGACACTCATCGTTGTGGTCATCGTCATCATTATCATTATCATCATCGTCATCGTCATCACAAACAACAACAAATATATTAAATGGAATTACAACAGTAATCAAAAGAATTCGAGAAAGTCTTAGACCTTTTATGGAATAAGTTAAAGTAGCAGGTTGATCGTAGGATCTAAGATAGCGAACCTGTGTTGGCTTTTTCTTAGAATTACACCTCCATTTTGTTTTTCTTCATTACTGTGAAGCTTGAGGGAGTATCGAACCGTTTGAATCAGGTCTAAATACTCTTGTATGGCAAGTTTCGAAGTTACAGTCCTCATCTGAAAGTTTTGAAAGCTTTCTTGCCTCGTCTTCCCTTACTTCTATTGTCGAAGACTATTCTGTTTAACTGGAGAAAAAGAAAATAGATTTAATATTCACGTAGAAGTGTATATTTAATAAGGTTTGACAGATAGGTTTGCGTGTGTATAATGTAAAGATCTCGTATAAGCTAGACTTTGCTCCGGGGCAAGTGTTTGCATAGCTAATTAAACGTGTAGCCTTTGGTCACGATAAAAACCTGGCTAGGTTTTGAACCAATTTATACAAAAGAGATAGAAACAGTTTCGTTTAACTCTGTGCTTTGCATTAGTTTTCCAATTTTTCTGCCCCTTTTTACTGACAGCAAGCTTTCGCGCGCTTTTATGTGTTTTGCGCTCTGCGCATCGGTAGCAGATTTTCCCGCTCTTGACACTGGTTACCAATATTTTCGCGCCTTTGGAAGTTTAAGCTGCTAAGTTTCCCGCTCTTTGTATTGGTAACAGATTTTCCTACTCCTACCACCGTTAAAATGCTCGCTTTCCCGCATTGGGCGTCGGTCTTCATTTTTATGCCATTTATCAAGTCGTCATGTGGTCTCAAGATTATTTTTTTTCCGTTGTTGTTGTTGATTTAAAGTAATTTTTCGCCAGGAACGAACAAAAACACTTTGAAAAAAATATTTAAATTTTTTTTCGTTATAGAAAAGTAGTTTTATGAGTCAAAGGTTTCTGTCTTTCTTTCCTTTGTTTGTTTGTTTGTTTAGGGGTTTTATCATTGTTATTTTTTTCTTTTTCAAGTGAGGTCAGATTTCTCCATTTTTGAGGTTTTTTTTTTTTTGGTTCGATTTTAAGCAGTTTTCTCGTTCAACATATTTTTTCCTTTGTGTTGAGCTAGCAAAACAACGTAAAGAAAAACCCAAGCCAAAGGTTTTAACCATAGCATTTACTGTACGCATAAATTATGGATTTAGGATTCTTCACATTTAAATGTTAGGGTGTGAGCTGCTCTAGACATTGCTTGCTTTAAAGTGGTGAAAATAATTAAGATATCGGCGTGACATTTTTGTAGATTGAGCAAAATTGTTCAAGGATTGTGGAGCAAAACCTGTCTAGAGCTTTTAACATGTTATCATATATATATTTAAGATGAATATAATGTGTAGACCTAGGAATTGTTAAGTATACCAAATTCAGGTTAGGCTTGAACTGTCAGGAGTTAAAGAGTAAATTAAGAGCCAGTTCAACATACATACTAGCTTCAATTATCCTCTCTAAACTAGAAAGTCAGTATTATGACAAAGTGGCTTTCTGAAACGGAGATGAGAGGTAAAGATTGGGAAGGGGTAGGTGTGGAATGTCCCTCCCGAGTTGGCCGAGATTGAACCAAAGTGGAACTCACAGCAAATAATCCTTTACCTCTCGCACCCGTTTAGATTTCACTGTACAAACGGGACTTCCGATCAGGAGTGTAGACAGTTGATTAAAGCTCAATGTACAAGTTCTTGATGTGTTCGTAGATCTTGAGTTCCCGAGTTCCCGTGGTCTCTAATTTACACACCCCACCCCGGTCAAACTTTTTGTGCCCCATTAAGAATAGCAAACTGCTCTCCTGCGCTTAAAGAGGTGAAGTTACAAAATTCACGCCAAAAAATTCGACTGTTGTCAACACTCAAAAGGGGTGGTAAGGGGTGAAGTTGTCACAGTTGGCAACACGTGACGAACATTGGATCTTTGGTATCAAAATTGCCATCCCAGTGATGATACCGAATGGCAATGTGTTATCCCTCGCCATGAATCTTTCTGAGTACACTCTTGCTTTTTCCTGCTTTTCACAACGATGAACTATTAGTGCCCGTGGAAGAACTGAGCCAATGGAAGGAAGGAAGGAAACCTTCGGACCAAACTTAACGTCAATGATGTTTACTTATCGCCTAGGTGGGAGGGCCGGAAGGGAAAATATTTGGCTCGTGGTCACTTCAGCTTTCGCAATGTTTCCTTTTGGATTGCACTTATGGACTCTCATTTTACGCCCTACTTCATCTTCCGTCGGAAATATGAGCCCGCGCTCCTGAAGACCGGACGCGAAAAAGTGGTGGAATTGAGCCCAGACTGTGGCGGGTCATGATAAATTCCATTATTTTCTTTCTTCCCCTTCCGGTGACAAGCTCCCCTTCTTAAACTCTAGTCTGCAGTAATTTTTCCTCTTCAACGTTTCCCACTCCCCTCGAAATGAAAAACTGTACAATACTAAGTTGGTTGTCTTATAATTGTAGAAGGTAGCGTTGCGGTACAGAAAATACTTGTTTCGAAAGCCTGCAACAGCTTCCGGTTTTAACATCAAAGGCTCTGAACCGTAGAGCAATAAATTATCTGTGATATTCATTTCATGTTGGCGACAAAGCAGGAGAAAATTAAGTAACTTCTATTTCAACTAGCTCGCAGAAAAATTTTGGTAGATAAGTCCTTCCCTGTTGAGATTTCCCACCCCCTCGATCTTCCCTCAGCCTGCCATCAGGCTTCATGAAAGCTTGAGATGTTAGTAAACTCCAAGAGTCTGGGCTCCATTTTTCGGTCTCTGACCTTTGTTAGAAGGTGTCTCATTAAAGCATTAAATATTCTTAACTGCCAAGCCATCATTTTCGAACTGTTTACATTTCCAGTCAAATTATGATTTAAAGTTAAAAATACGTTGTGAGGCTTCCAGTTCCTTTGTGTGACTTGGGATCTCGAGCGAGGTCTGGGGTAAGCGTCCTAAAGCCTTGACTTTTCGCCGAAAAAGGCCGGAAACATTTTGGAGTTCTTGGAAAGATACGCATCAGTGAGACGTGTCAAAGACGTTTCATGTGGAATTCAAATTTGCGTCATGAAATGATTTGCTTTCTATAGAAAGACTATCAAACCTTAATTTAAAGAGGGCTAACAGATCGCAACCACGAAAGTTCTCTTATCGCTTTAAGGGCTCCCGCGATCACAGACCTAAATCAAATTTGGTAGAAAAAGCGATCCATACAACATGGAAGGAGCAGAGGTTGATGTTTTTCATCTCGATCGTCTGCAAGCTTTCAACGACGCCGTTTTCGCCATAGTTGCCACTATCTTAGTTCTGCCGGTGCGAAAACTCGAAGAGACAGGGGCCTCGGAGCACGTCAGCTTGGAAGAACAACTGAAACATAGATGGCCCCAGCTTGTGATCTACATGGTCGGTTTTCTCATGATGTGCGCTGTATGGGAGTCTCATGTGCTTCGATTTCGTATCTTGTCACGGGTGGACGATGTCATGATCTGGTTCAACCTTACTTCTCTGCTGTTTACTTCGTGCCTCCCGTTCACGTGCGCTCTAGAGGGAACGTTTACAAGCAAGGGTACACCAATGGCGCTAGTATGTGGAAATCTCATTGCTTTGGAGATATTAGAGGTAATCATGATAGTATATGCTTTCCGCCAGCCACGTTTGTTGGCTCAAGAATTTGACACTCTCACCCAAGATGAAATGAAGCAAAGAATGAAACTTATGCTCGTAAAGAAAGCCGTCATAGTAAGTCTTTACGTGCTCGCTGGTCTCCTTAGCTTCTTGCAGAAGCCGCTAGCGCTCGTGGTAGCGGCTGTTGTCGCCGTGTCCCCTTGGATTAATCGTCTTGTCGGTGTTACTTATCGCAAATGGTCGCATATTCGTCTGACTGACTCGGAATTCGATCGCATGTTCGGGAATTTCATCGACAAAGAGAGAGTGGAATTCTTTAGCGACGGAGTCTTCGCTATCGTGTCTACATTGTTAATTCTGGATGTTACAGTCGAAGATTTCCCGACGAAAGCGGAAGTAAGCAGCCATGGTTTTGTATATACGATGCAAAGCGTTAGGCCGGACATTTCCACGTATGCAGTCACGTTCATAGTCGTGGCTCTTCTGTGGTTCACGCACCATTCGCTCTTCAACTACATCCATACACTAAACCAAGTAATGCTAATTCTCAACAATTTATCTCTGGCTTTCCTGGGTCTTTTTCCCCTGATCAACGCCACACTGGATCGTTACGCCGGACGCGGCAAACCAGATAGTCGCCTTGCTCTCCAAGCGGCTGCTTCAATCGTTTTCATGGCCGGCATATCTCAAGGAGTAGTGTTTATTATCGCAATATGGAAAGGCCCGACTGATCCGGAATCGCAAGAAAATCCTCGCGAGGATCCTCGCTTTCGGTGTACGGCACACTCGTATCTCGCGTTCAAGCTGGCAACTATTCCTCTCATGACCTTAGGGGTGTATTTTTGGGCAACATTCGGCCCTAACACATCCTTTTCAGTTGATGTTTATTACATAGCCGGTGGATTAACCCCAGTTCTTTTCATCCTGTTAAAGCTCGTGTTATCATGTTTGCAGAGGGTTCACTATCGCCGCTCATTTCAAATACGAGAAGAAAACTGGACCATCGTAACTCATGACCTGGAATCAGAGGATTATCCCAGAGTGGTTTAGAGCCTTTAACAGAAGCCTGCAAGAAAGTTTCATTCGGAAATCGCGAGATTGTGGGCAGTCATTTGCGTTGTGATGGTGCCCGTGACCTGTTACTCCTTATCTCTTTGCGCTGGCGTGACTCGTCGTTGCGTGAAGCTTCGCTCTCGCCATTTGTGAAAACGACGGAGGCTTGGGTCGGGGTACGCCGCTTGACCCAGGCCTCTCTCGTTTTCCAACCCTCCGCTACCATCGCACTGTTTGCTACCCCAATTCGTTTTTCTGACTGAACGCTTGAAACAGGCTTTCCAATTGAGTTTGGACAATTAATGTTTCGAAGTAAACCTGGCTAAAAGCAGAGACAAAAGAAAATCAACAGTTTTCTTTAAGAGGGATTTCTCTGAGCTTCTATAGAAGTAGTTTGCTTTAGAAACCATTTAATGTTTAGTTTAGCTCTTAAGATTACTTTTAGAATTGATCTACTGACTGCAAAGAATAACTTAATTTTCTAGAACTGTTCTCACCTACGTGCTCAACGTTGATTTCGGATGCCGCCATTTTGAATCTTGCTTAGCAGCCTGGCCGCGCCGCTGTGACGAAAGATAGTCTCTTTATTTCTTTCGATTTCTACTATGACAAGGTATTCCGTTTTTCAAAATAATTAGGAGCTATGCGAAAATCTATTCTTGATTGGAATAAATATTTTCTTTTTAGGGACAACCAGGGCAGCAGTTGTTAGTGAGAATAGTGCGTTGTAGTTGTAGCTGCCTGGATCTGGTTGTAAATTCTCCCCTCCAACTGTTAATAATTTCCTCGTTAATTTATTAAGTTTGGGTCTTCTCATTACCTGTATGCTTGGTAATGTATGGATTTTATTGGGAGAAGTTACATGTTTATCACTTCTGGAGGGTTACATGGTTAATAAAAGTTTCACTTTACCCTGCTCGGTTCTTGATAAGCTAACTTCCCAGATCCGGAATTTCAGAATATTTGATAACTTGTTCAATGCCATTCTTTCACAGAAAAAAAAAAAATATAATAGAAACATCTGGCCTGGGTCGTTCATAGCTGAGTTTAGATAACCCAGGAGTTAGTCTGAAAGCTGATTTCTGGTCTGAAAGCTTCAAAAGATCTAGAAAATGCAGTTCAAATCTTTTTGCTTGCAATTTGATCACTGGATGTTCTAACGAGAATAGGGAAAATTGTCTCTAAAAGGTTTTTGAACAAAGGAATAAAAAAACCTGGATTAAAGTTTACCCCTGAGTTAGCGCTAATCGGCCTTCGAACAACTGGGCCCTAGGCACACATGAAACTGTTAAGGGTGCAATGTGCGAAACATTTTCTTCCTGTTTACATATCGACATTTTTTTTTAGATTTATTTGACAAAAAAAAAAAAAATATATATATATATATATATATTTTTGTTGACTACACATTCAACCTTCTTTAGTGGTACTATTGTCTGAATTTTTCATTACGTTGAAATGGAAAAGATCTTTTCATTTTATAAGTTCGTAAAACCCCATCAGTAGGGTTACCGCTAATTGATGAATGGACCAACGTGTGAGGAACCTTTTGTCCACAAATAATGGTGAAAATTAATCAATTCTTGCCATGCATACAGGCTTTCAATGTCTTAACCTTGTGGACGTAAAGCGAGATCTCATTGGCAATTTTTTTGTCGGCACGTGGAGTTTTGTGCCGGTCATAAGGTTAGCGCATGCGCTAAAAGGAAAGGGGAACGGTGCGTGGGGGTCAAAACTTTGAATCCGTGCGACGACGTTGGGTTTCAATCTTTCAACGCTTACCTTTGCTTTTATTTTAGTTTAAACCGAGCTCTTTTTCGTTAGACTTGTCGTGACTGTTCTTGTGCTATTATGGAAAAGTCTTTCAAATACTTTTAACAAAAACAGCGATAATTTTTCAAGTTCGTGATTGTGATTGATAAAAAGAAATTTATCACAGCGGGCGTTCTCTTAAAGATAATCTCTCTATTTTTTAAAATTTTTGGGGGTAAGTTTGACTTCAATTTTGCATTTTCTATCAATACAGCTGTCCAGGTTTTCTCAGTTTTTTAGACAGACATAAAAAAAATTTGCTGGTTCATCTGTTCGACTTATAGAGCCTGTCAATCAGGGAATCAAAAACAGGAAATCTTTTCGTTATATTTCTCACAAATCCTTTTGAAGCATCGGCCTAATAGCAATGCTTTCACCAAATCAGGAAAAATTTTAAACAATTTTTTCAAACAACTGTTTTGCGTGTGGTCTATTAATTCAAGCCCTCGAGCCAGGCGTGTAATTTATATAAACAGTTCATTTAGCTACTGAGTAATGGCCGAGACCCATATATAATGTTAATTGATCAAATGTATTTCGGAATGAGATGCAAGACATCAAATAATGCCGACGAATATTTAGAAGGAAGTCAAATGTGAAATAAAATTTTATAAAACAAGAAATGGAACAACAGCGCCAGCTACATAAAAGAACAGCTTTACACTGAAACGTGTATTGTTGTCGGAACAATTTCGGCGGCGCAAAAAACAGAGAATTTCTTTAAATTCATCTATAATTTATTATGATAACCTAAAACAAGACAGGTAAAGTAAAGATACCCCGCAGGGTTTTAAGTTTACAACAATCAGAAAATTTATCGCTATTGTTAAACTCGAGCAACGAAATTAATTGTCCCTTTTGTCTCCATGACGACTGCAGCAGCTGATGGTTTTCTTAATACGAGAAGGAAAAATTCCCTTGTGTTGTAAATCACAACTAGCTTTGAAAGGATCAAAGCACAGATATTGCAAGGAGAGTTTCACTAATGGCAAACCCGATCTTCGACCTTGGGTCGTTATGTTCTAGCCCGATATTGTACGGAGAAGGCGAAGATTTTCTGGAACAGCCTGTAAACACGTTCTTCGATGAAGATCTAAATTTCGATTTCATTGACGCTTTTGAAGACGGGTTCTCGATATCTGGGAACGCAAGTGAAGTATGGAAAGGAGATACTTATCATAAAAAAGATTGGCAATTTTCAGTACAAACGCCGACCTTGCCGATTGCCCAGACAAATGGCGAAGGCCATGTGGGAAGGACATTTGATATCCAGGCTCAGAATACGTTCTCGGGTGATGAAGGTGTAAACGGGAATGATCAGGTGTCTCCTAAAGAAAACAGCATTAAGCGTTGCACATATACTTCCGAATATACAAATACCAGCGCAAATGAAGATAAAGCGAGCGATGAGGACACAGCCTTAAGGACTTTGTCCAAAAATGCAAAAGAATTGTCTAAACATGTCATATCACAAAGCCAAACGGAACTGGCTGACAGAATGTCTTTGTCAAAGAGTGGTTTTAATAAAAGTCGCATTACAACAAACAGCCAAGCTGATATTCGCTCGAATACCACAGAAACCGTTTCAGCAGATGATTCCATACAGAACTTCGAGGATAACACTTATATTAGCAGCAATGTTAATGAAAAACCAGCACTTAATAAAGAGACATTATTATCGCGCGGAAGCGAACACACAATGAACACCATTGGCGCAACCAAAGAGAAAACGCCAAGCACAAAAGATTTAAAGAAATTGGACGATGCTCCTTTCGCACCGAAACATTCAGGTTTAAAACGATGCGTGGTTCCTAAAACTTTTTATTCACCGTTTTGGAAACCGGATAAAAGTACACCCAAAGGCGATAAATCGTTGGAAGATAGTTTCATAAACACACAACGTAATGTAGATATATTGTATTGTTGTAATTGCAAATCGCAAAAGCCATTTTCCAGGTTCGTCGCATCGAAACCTCTAAGTTCGACCACGAACGCTCACAGGGACCGCAATGATTACGTTGATTTTCTTAAACGGAATTCGACGCTCGAGCCACAACGAAACTGCCATAAAAAAGGCCAGAACAAGACAATTAATGGAGAAACGTCGAGTAAGATAACTTTTAATGAGGTACACAATGAAGAAAAGTGGATTTTGCCTCCAATTTACACATCAAAGACACTTCGACAAAAAGCTGTCAGAGAGAGAGCCAGCGAATCTCTTTATTTGAACTCACTTTCGACGGCATCTGTCGAAGGATTGATCAATAAATACAAAGGGAAACATCTAGATCTTGTGGAACAGCAAAAAAGATATCAACTTAAGCCTTTTAGATAGATAACTGTAAAAGAGATGGTACCCTAAACAGGCGTAATGATTCATTTCATTGAGACCTGTGCAGTTAATTATAGCGTTATCTATAAATTAGCAAGTACTTTCAGACGCTTAATGAACATTTTATTTTAGAATTTTAGTACATTAAGACTCGGTTACTTGTTGAAGATAGAACGCCGGCATTCTACAATACAACTGCTATCGTGTAGTTTAGTTCATAATGATATTCCCACGTAAAGGGATTCGATTGCCAAGCCAACTGTTTTCATCTGGTCTTCACACACTCTGTAATGCGATTTGCTCTGACAAAGCGCCAACGCTCAAAACGACAGCTTTGAAAACTCTTTACGGCGGCTAATTTACATTATCAAGTCAGTTGATAAAATCAAATGATTTAGTTATACCCTAACCGTCGCATCATGGCAAACTTACCCCCTTTCATCACATCCTCTGTTTCAAATTATGGATTAATAAACAAGCGCCTGCATAATTTTCTTTATGTTAAACTTATCAATCATGGAATTAAGAAAATTCTATTTTCATTTTTAACCGCTTTAAATAAAAGTTTATAAGGCCGGTTATGTAAACAAAGTTAAGCCGTTGTTTACAAACTTCTGTGCCAAGCTAAGCCATCTTAGCTTCTATTTGGCCGAACCTTTAATCTGAACTTTTATCTCTGTGAACAGTGCCAAAAGGGCCGAAAGCTTATAGTGGAAGGACATTTATTTAATTACATCAACCCTCTTATAAAGAATCTCAGAGGCCCATTACTTGCCTAAAACCGTGGTTTGGGTTAGACCTCGTGTAAATATAATCAGCCTTTAATATTCCGAATAAAATGGCCTTGAGGCAAATATATATGCCATCCAGGTAGCCAGGAATACATCGCATTGCAATAATTAATCGACACCTGTTTGGTAAAACATAAACAAATAAACATATAAATCAGAACGGGTACTTTGTTATTTTTCTAACGAGCTTATGCTAAAGCACCTCAGTTTTGCTTTGTGACCTAGCCTGCCCGGTCGGTTGACCGGTTTCATTAATCTCTTCTGGGAATTGTCCATTGCTGAAGGTCTCAAGAGGGTCTCAATGGTGTTGTTAACCGTTAGCCGTATAAACGGCTAAAAAAATTTCTGCCATTAGGCGTAAAAATTGACAAATATGAGCTTAGGTCGTTAATGAAAATTAAACTTTAAAGTTTTCAAGCAAGGAAGTTAGCTGTTAGCTGTAACATGGCCAAAACTATAACCGTCAGTCTTAAAAGCCTTCACTGCATTGGGACTCTCTCTCTGTAGGGTGGTGGCTTTTGTCTCACGGCTGGCGTTAAGAATTTGGCCATTTTACAGCTAACGGTTAATTTCTTTCCTTGACGGTAAAAAAAATTGAATAATATTGAAAAATACTGGGGTTACTTTTTTAACGATTCAATTTTTACGCCTAATGGCTAAAATTTGTTGCCGTTTTTTTGCCGTAAACCCATTTGAGATCCTCCTTGTTCCTCTAAACTGCTTTAATTTATCTGTTCGCAAAAGATTATTACATTTGAAAAGATTCTTAACAAGGAATTATTTCTATTCCAATAAAAATGATAAATTGTGGTAGTAATTAAGAATACTGTCTATTTGTACTGCAATGGAATTTCGCGCCTTGAAACGGACCCTTTCCTTAATTAACCCTTTTTGAAGTCACTCTCAGAATTTAAACACTCTCAAGCAGACAAGTGATGAGAATAAATACAGAAAGGCAAAGAAAAATATCACAGTTACGGGATTATTGTTTGATCTAATACCAAATTCGCCGAACAAACATTATAAGAATTGTACGGAAGACAGAAAAGAGAGTTGCTATTGAGATCTTAGGAGTGACTAAATACACCTTGAAGAAGACTAGCCACGCCTGAAGAAGACTAGCAGTATGCATTCGAAACGTCGCGATCTACATCACACGTGACTACATCGTGAGACAAACGAAAAACTTAGCTTTTATTTTTAAATACACCTTATACGATCTTTGAATATATAATACGTGTGGATATTTACAAGTTGCGTGATGCATAAGTACTGAGCAATGAGAAAAACCTTGCGGTTTGATTAATCAATCAATTTCAAATATCTTTTTGCGGGTTGACTCCTGCCCAGCCTCAAGATGTGTTTGTTTGAAAGAGGTAAGAGCAAGAGCCCAAGTAATGGGCTCCTGGTACGACCTTGAACTCATCGCGAGGTCTGGTACAGAAAGGCAAAGACGTCTGTCAGGAGCCCATCAACACGAGCATCTGTCTCTCTTTGAGTCCACCCTTTTTTTGGAGTAGACCTTTTTATAGAAAGGCTCCCAAGAGACTTTTCGTGTTCCAAGAACCAATCTAGACAGAGCTATGACAATCCTTTTGTTTTACGTCAAACATCCGCTCACATACATTGGGCAGCGCAAACAGTTTTTACGATTCGCGGTTGACTCAACGGAAGTAAGATATTATTCGCTGCGAAAAGCCGTTCTGCTCTGAAAATTTGACTCAAGGAATCAGCGGAGGAAGAAGCTCACGTTGATGAGTCTGGTCAATTTTTATACGAGTCAGATAATGAAGCCTAAAGGACTGTTTAAGCTATTAACTTGATTACAAAAGAATATCTAACCCTTTACAACCCAACATCAGAATCCATATTCTCCAAACTCTTCTCTACACATTTCCTTTGGTACTGACAAGGAGAATTTGTTTAACAATCAAAGCTTCTTAGGTTGACAATCATTTCCGTTATTCTCATGATCTTAATAAATGATTCAGGAGCATCTCTGTTAGGAGAAATTAAATGCTGGTCACTCTAAGGGTTTTAAGGGTTAAAGTGAAAAATCCCTGTAATCGACAGTTTCAAAATGCTGTTAAGTTGAGAAGTCCTCCATAGTGGTTATTGAGGCACCCAATAGCAAGTATCCCTCGTTGTTTACTTAATTATCATCATCATCCTCATCAAAACCTCATCGTCATTTAGTATCAATGTCACATGCAACATCCTGTATGTTTCAGCGCATGCGCCATACCCTGGATGCCACTTTATGTCCCGTCATGCCACACTAGTTTCTACACTTTTCAGACAAATAATCTCGTAACTTGGTTAAACCAAACAAGATCAGATGTAAAATTGGCAGAACCACAAGAAGAAATACGACTAAAAGTATACCAATGGTCAGCTGGAAATCATTATAATTCAGGGCAGAATAGATGAAAGGTTCTCCTTTATCATTGGTCCCATCAGCTAACCAATATATCACTGAGAATAGAATGTATATAGCGAAATATAGCAGAGGGTAGATCCAGTGGAAGAGGAGGATTGGGATCGAACTCAGAAAAGTGTCAATCACCATGAAAACAGAGTTTAGTGCGTGCTTTGTGATGTTGTTGGCGTCAACAGGATCGTCTTCGAACAGAACGGTCCAGTATCCAGCGGTAATCCATACTCCTCCTGTCGCGGAAATGACGTAGATGAACCAGAATATTTTATGATGCCACCGCAAGGCATCAACCTCGCGGGCGTTGGCACCATTGCTGTTGTCACCAGGCCCCATTTCCAGATCTTCAACCGGTCCAGCTTGACTGCCCCTCATAGGAGCAGGCCTCTTTAGCATCTTTCGGTTTTGATGGAGAGCGATACAAGAGAGCGTGGTTGCAAAGACAAAGTAAATGTTCAAGATTAGGAAAGTCCAGTTTGTTAAGAAAATGAAAAGTTTGGCACCAGCGACATAAATGTTGTAACCAAGCCATCCAAGGTTGTAGGCTGTGACGATCAAACGATACGCCACAAATACAGGCAAGGACAGCCACTGAAAGAAATGGAAATGGAGTGGTTAAAATTTTAATACTGCTGAACAATAATACAATTCTCGCACATGTGCGAATAGTTGAAATGGCTAAGTGGCGTACCCTGAGGCTGTTAGAATCAAGTATTACATTAAACATTTTTTGATAAAGCTCAAACTGAAACGACAAATCAACAAACTGACGCCAAAATGTCACAACGAGGCTCTTTTCAGTTTTTCAAATTAATTCAAATTTCTTTCAAATTAAAGTAATTCGTCTTGTTATACTCCATTGTGTTTCTGCATCTTGAAAACGTGTGGCACTGCGTATCGCAGTAGTTGCCCCAGAGATACAAAATACTCAAGGAAAGAAAGAGAGAGAAAGAGCCATGGTCATTTGATAAACCACATATTGACTGAGTTAGGTCGGACCAAAAGAAAATTAAAAAAATATTTGCTGACGGTCGCGATGCATGAACTTCCCTGCGCTCGGCCAGTAATTACGTCATGACCTCGAAGCTAAATACTTTCCCGTCCGGCCCTTCCACTAAGGCAATAGGCGCCTTAAGCAACGGACGTTTTCTTTGACGACGGCGATGTAGCTACCGATAAGAAACTGGGGGTAGAACGGCTTCAGGCTGCGGTCGCGACTGCGAGTTGCCATCCTTAAGCAGAGCGTCCGAAATACGTGACGCCGCGCCGAGCGAGCTTCGCAAATTTGGTGGTAAACTCATAATTCACAATGAAGTTCTCGATTCCTTCCCATTGTCCGATCTTGTCGAGCTTGAAGGAAACGCGAGATTTACTTTCGGTTTCCTTTATTAAAAGAGTCACAAAAGCAAACGAATTTGCCATTCTTCACGACGTAACGATCTCTGACAGCTCTCTGAGATACTGTGAATCCTGGATGTGTGTTCAGATTTTGCGCTATTTGGCTCCATGCAGAACCACGCTCTTTGGAGCTAGCCTTGAATTAAAAGGGTTCACATAATAAGATTTTTCCGACCAACATGACATCTTTTTGTTCTGAATAAAGGGGGTAAGTTTCTAAAGAAACTGTGGTGCTGTGTCGGTGGGAGAGTACAGCAGGTAATTTAGTGTTAACAACTGAGTTGAATACGTTTTCAACTCAGTTGTTAACACTAATTTATCTTTTTGTTCTGTCCACTTTATCTATGGGTTAAACATACACTTTATATGAAAAATAAACCGACGAATTTGAGCCTCACACTATTAAAGTTTTTCTTATAATAGACACATCCCTTTTGAAATTATTATAGCCAAAAATCACAAACTATAAAGCTGAAAAGAGTTCTGTCTTGGCATATCAATGTCGAAAACGTGAAAAAGCCGTATCACGCTTCTTTATAAACTCACGATTTGTTCGCTTGATTAAAAAATTTTGCTTAACTACGCTTCGGTTGACTCCCACTCACAACTCTCGGCTTATAAGAAGGAAACACACTCAACGTCTCGTAGTAAGCACGTGGAACAGTGCCATACACAGGTTGCTTAGTTATGTATAAATAAACGAAATCCCTTATAAATGTCAATCAAATTGAGAATAATTAACGTATCGTACAGTTTCCAACAATCAAAGACAGAAATTGTTTTACATGTTATATGTGTAATGTTAAAGCGATCAATTACCATCAGTTGTATACTCATTATTTTTATTAGCTATTTTGATTCAAGTGCCGGAAAAAAAACTTTTTGCGAAGAACGCAACTACCTCGTGTGCAAAAGCAGCGCGCATTTGTCTGCTTGTGAACATGGCGATTAATTCCCACACTAAATTCGGCACACTAAATACAAAATTAATTTGAGTCGATTTAAAAGCTTCTATATTATATGAATGGCCAAGAGGAAGGAATTACAAAAATGACTGAAGTATTATTTCAAGCTATAACAATCCACCGGTTATACATTGAAAAATCGGAAAAGACAACTAATTATTCCATTGAATGAAAGCAACGCTACGCTGAACACTAGTTTAGCATGTGAAAAAACTTAAAAAAATGAGCCTAATAATGCTTGCAGAACATTATTTCACACATAAAATTAATCATCATGTAATTTTACCTAGCTTCCAAATTGAAGTCCGAAAGTAATCTAAAAGTGATCATAAAAAAGATTAAGTGATCACGTTCTCGTATTCAACGGCAAATCACAACTTGTTGTATATGCGCGGTGAGGACTGCAAAGAAATTTCACGTTTCCGGTTGCCTTCGTGAGGCCGGAGACGTCTGTTGCTTAAGGTGCCTAATAACTAGATAAAATTTACTCGTATAAACTTTTTTTCGAATAATTTTGAGTGAATTGCCGTCTCATTTTTCCAAAAGTCTCCTTTCAGTTGAGTCATTGATATTTCCAAAGACTGGTAAATAAATGGCGTAAATGTCACACAGTGTGCCGTGGTTGCTAGTTGCTTTTGAAATTGTTTTGATGTAACTATCTGTTGCTATGAGCCAACCTCACGAAATATTTCTTTATCTATTCCACATTCACTTTACGTCACTATAGCCAATATTTCTTACACTAACGTTAAGAAAACACCCACTCTACCATCACAGGGCCGATAAAGGTGTAATTTCTTTCATTGGATTTCAATAACAGCTATGTAATTGTTAAAAGAAGCTAGAAGTGTATCGACATAGAAAACATTGTACTCAACTGTTCACAACTTGAAAATTTTAATCGTCGTTTCAGAGTATCCAACAGGATTTAAAACGTACGCTAGATGATAATAAGCTAAAAAAACCGGCTCTGTTTTTCTTTCAGTCGTGAAGTGATTTTAAATTTGCATTTTGCCCAATTAGGTTTTTAATTTGATGTCACAAACCGTAACGTGTTACAGTTTGCGAATCCTGGTTTGGAGTCGATCAAGCCATAAATAAAACCATATTGCTGGTGTAAATCTTGAAAATTTGAAATGATGAGACGTTAAAAGATCTTTTACAATCTGTGTGCGAGAGACTAATACAACTGCTGTTACATGAATTTGAACATGTTCAAATTTGCAACAATATGTAAAGGGTGGTCGCCTTCTTACATAGAGATCAAGTAAACAAGGTCTGTGCACGACAGGGTTCGATACCTAATAACAGTTTCGTTATCAATGAAAATAGATTGTAGGCAGTATAGTTTGTAATATCTCCACTTTCTTACCCTGAAATTCCTAGTTTTATGACTTATGCTTCAGCCCGATGTTTTTTTCCAAGATGCATTGCTTTGAATAAAGCGCCTAAGATGAGATGTACTTTACAACTTACAAAACTTACCCGAGACTCGCAAAACTCACGATAGATTGGGTGCCAAAATTTGAAATTTCTCAAGCGAAATTCCCTCCCGCACATTTTTAAGTTTCCTCTAGCTGTGGAAATCAGCGGTGATCAGCTAGAGATAAACGGGGAAAAACTTGCTTCGGCGAGGTGCTCAATACTTTTGAATGTTTTTTTTTTCTTACGTAGGCGAGTGAATTTACATAAAAATTGAGCGGCAGCCGGACATCATTCAAGTAGAACTACGTCACTTGATGCCCCAATGTGCTTCTCACGCACAGCACGCAATATTACGACATCAGTGCTGTAGAGCGACGAAGTTTCCTTCGCATCAGCTTGATCCTCTATAAAACTGGTATCTATTCTAATCTTTAATCGCTGTTCGTAAAAATCGCATCAAATACGTGCAATTTATACCGTCTTTTTTGTTGCTTTATTGACTGTTTACATGTTCAAATAAATCAGTACATTATGAATTGACGAATGTGAGACGTTCGTGACCGCACATAAATAAACATAGGCATGCGTGGCATACAAGAGTTTTTCTTTCGGCTGGGCGGAGATGGGACACTGTGTAACTTTTAAACGGACGAAAATATCGCGTTACTTCAACTAAGAGAGAGGAAAAAACTGATTTATATGAACTCGCAAAGGTATTTTGTGGTCTACTGTCTAAATACTTCAAAGGCCATCCCCTTTAAAAAAAAAAAAAAAAAAAAACTGAGAAAAAAAAGAACAAACAAATGCAAGAAGTATCTGAATTGGAGGCCTATTACCCCTGCAGTCTGAAAACAACAAGACATGAACCCAAAATCAATATGGCGGAAAGGTTGGTTGATTTTATTGTAAAATTATGACAACTTTGGAAAAAGGATCGACCACCTAAACTCCTATGCGCCATACCAGCATCCCTCACTTTTCAACAAATGCTTGAAAAGGAAGTCCTGGTTATGTCAAACATTACGGCTTCGTACCGGGTTGGTTTTAAGAACTTGGTAAGCGATTACCTACAGACTTCGTAGCCGTGAGACTGAATGACTCGATTGGTAACTTCAAGTTACAGGATCCTTCATCGGATATTACATCAAAGAGCAGGATTACGTTTAAAGTTAATATTATCATCTCAGTTGATTAACAACGAGGATGACGTGAAAAGTGAATATTTACGTATTTGGACTAACAAAATGCACAATATACTGTAAAAAGTGTTCCTGTTTTTGTTCCTGTTTTTCTCTATGCTGTTACTGTACTCATTTTTCAGATTAAAAGAATTATTTAAAGTGAAAATTGTTTCACAACGTCGTTACCTTTTTTTTTTTTTTTTTTTTTTTTTTTTTTTTTTAAATGCCAAAAATTTGGGTCGGTCGGACGACAATAAACGGAGAAAAAAAATGGCCTAAGCAAAAATAAAATGCATCGGTGCCACACTTATTGCTGTTTCCCTCGCAGTAGTTTTTTAGTGTCGTCGCACAACGCCATGTTGAGAGAGAGTGCGTTGTGTAATGAGACCAAATAAATGTTGCGAAAGAGACTACGCTTACTGCAGTTCCTCTGACAGAGAGAAAATCGAAATTATTCGTCTACAGTTACTTGCCTCAAAAATAAAATTCCAGGTAATTTTACTACCAAAAGCAAACTGAAACTCTGTTGTATCTCCAATAGACCCTAGCCAAAGACATATTGCAATCTCGAATAAGTGAAGATATATCGAGCAAGAGAAGAGGATCATATTTCAAAGATTGCTCCCCGATTGGTTATTGCCCATCTGAATTTTGCCCACTGTGTGTGAAATACGTGATAAAATGCAGGTTATTTACAGGGGAATGACGAGCGATGGAGCGGAGTATAATTTGGCAAAATGGAATTTGCTGGGTGGAATTCAGTTCAGGCGCGTGAAAAATTGCCCAGTGTTCATGTATTGCAATGATTGGGTATGTTCTGAATGGACTTTGAACATTGTTTTCATGGTACGTGATGTTATGTAAGTTGTTTGACGTGTAAGTTGTGAGTAAAAGAGCGGATAAAACACCTTTTAACTTAAAAATGACACAAAGAGATTAACTGCGAACCTTTCATGTCCCGATAAATCTCGACCTTAATCAACGAGGCTCTTGATAAGGACACAAATCATTACACTTATCAAAACTAGCCCAAAGTTTATGGTTTATGTCATTCTTTGTGCACAGCCACCTGGTTTCATGACATCATTTGTAAGAAAGCTGTGGTATCATTGGTGCGAGATACATACCCGATCACGCTCTGATTGATGCACCATATCCAAATGCTGTGATATGATTGGTCCGAGAAGCGTATCTTTAAGCGGCAATCTGATTGGTGCGAGATACATACCCAGATACGGCGATCTGATTGGTACGAGCAACATACCACTCTACATGCTAACATAGAGTTATTTTTTATATAAAAAAAACAGAACTAAAAAAGATAGCGAAATGAAAGGAAATAAAGCAAACAAAGAAAGGGTAAGCCCGAAGTTTTTTTTAGCGAAATGAACTCTGCTGTGTTAAGGGTATTACAATCTGGCAAACCTTGATATAATGAATACACAGATTCGAGAATTGGAGGTCTTCTTGTCATAAAGTGTGATGTAAAGGCGTCAAGAGAAAATTACATTACAAATTACATGTGAAGTGGAACACCGGTTAATTTTTTGGGATTGTGCATAATACGAACATCAATGACACACTCTGTCGGCTGCGCCTTGCATGCGACTTAATTATGAGCTTATGGTTTGTGCTACACTTTTGTTCTCAGTACATTTTGACGTCAATTATTTCAGAACACACACGACGACATGGTATTTATCTATAAGATAACTTGTAATTAGATCGTGTTTGGGCTCGTACGTATAACGAACCCAGTACCTTAATTAAAATCATTATTTGATGGACTTCGCTCAGAGCGCATTCATTGAAATCGTTATAAATGTCAATCAAACAGGAATAATCAACATATCGTACAGTTTCCAACACCTTTTATTAATCTAGAAAAACAAATCTCTGCAATCACATCTGCAGGTCAACTACTGAGCTGAACATATAAGACGACTTTTAGAGCATCTAGCTAATTAACCGATCTCACTTAAAGATCTATTTGTCAAATGTAAGATTGAGAATCTCAGAAAATATAAGCTAAATCTTCAAGACCTACCTGTGGGCAAAGAAGTCGATTCAATATTGCTTCAATATTGAAGAAGGCGATTTAATATTGTCTTTGGTTTCTCACTCTTAAATGAAATAATGTAAAAACAGTCTTCTAAGTCGACAATCATCAAACCATCTACCAAAACCTTTTATAGCCTGCGGATTCATAACTCAGCTGAAGCTCTTATTCAAAAGATTCCTTTATATGATATAATATTTCCACTTTCATTTTTGGTAGCTATCAGATACGACTGCGACTATATGCAAAGTATTGGCTAAGTTGTAACTTTGTGTATAAATAAATGTCTCTATCATTCACATCATCGTCGTTAGCTATTTCCAACAACAACAAAGTTTTTCTGTACCACATATCATGTTAATACAACCATATCATATAAATTTTAATTTACACTTAATGTGCAAGGGACCCGAGACCCAAAATACTAACCACGGGTTGAAACCCTTAGCCCGTAAGAGTGACTAGCATCTAATTTCTCCCAACAGTATATAACCCCTGCATTACACAGTAAGGTCATGAGAAAAAAAGAAATGATCACCAACTAAACATTCTCTTGATTGATAAACAAATTCTCCTTGTCAGCACCTTAGGATATGTATAGAGAACAGTATGGAGAATATGCATGGTGATGTTAGGGTGTAAATGTTTAAGGAAACTGACTGCCAGTATGTATTTAAATATATATAGAAATCATGAGGTGGGTACAAACCACACAAGTTACATTCACACGTATACAAACAAAGTATAATTACGCAAAAATAACAAAAACAGGATCGATAATTATCTACATATATATGGTGTGCTGTTAAAGTAGAGAGAAAGAGGGATCCTTATTTGCAACAAGGGTATCACATATTTATGGTTCTTGAAATCAGATGTATAAAATTCCTGTTAGTTTTGGAGATTATAAGTTTTTTTTGCAGCTAAGCGTGTATTGTGCCTATGTGCCTATTGAATCAAACGTTTTTTGAGGTAGGACAGGAAACTTGCAGAAGGTAGTAGACTGCTATGATAATTAATTTATACATAAAAATTGAAATTTGAAAAGTACCCTCACATGTGTTGTCGTTCTCATTATCGTTATAATAATAGTCAGTCTACAATATCGTGTTCCCTAATTTTTTCATTGGCTTTTATACTTTTTATAGAAATAATCTCGTAACTTAGTTAAACCGAAGTAAATCAGATGCAAAATCGGCAGAACCACGAGAAGAAAAACCACCATAAGAATTGCGGTGGTCGTCGGGAAATCACCGTAATTCAACGCAGAGTAGATGTAAGGTTTACCCTGATTATTGGTACCTCCAGCCAGCCAATAGAAAACCGAGAAAAGAATGTATATGACTGAGTACAACAAAGCGTACACCCAGTGTAAGAGGCGGATTGGAATCGAGCTCAGAAAAGTGTCAATCACCATGAAAACAGAGTTGAGCGCATGTTTTGTGATGTTATTGGCACCGACAGTGTCGTTTTCGAAGAGAATGGTCCAGTATCCAGCGGTAATCCATAGTCCTGCTGTTGCTGAGATGATGTAGATGACCCAGAAAATTTTATGATGCAACCGCAGATTATCAACTTCGCGGGCATTGGTGCGATTAGAGTCGTCACCAGTCTCTATGTATTCATCTGGTCCGTCCTTGCCGCTTGCTTTTGAAACAGCTTCGTTCTGCTTCTTTACATCTTTGTAAAGGGCAATACAGGATAGAGTAGTTGCGTAGACAAAGTAGATGTTTAAGATAAGGAAAGTCCAGTTTGTTAGGTAAATAAAAAGCTTGGCTCCGAACAGGTACATGTTGTAGAACAGCCATCCAAGGTTGTAGGCAGTGACTATCACACGGTACGTCACAAAAACAGGTAAGGATAGCCACTAATAAGAAGGAAAAAGCAGATAAACGCAATATGATTAACCGTTTAACTCCCAGAAGTGATTAACACGTAACTTCTCGCCACAATACGCATACATAATCCAGACACCGGGTAATGAGAATACTCAGACTTATCAGGTAGAAGTTATCTCAATTTAACACCAAATTCTCGTTACTAATTCATAAAGAAATGTGTAGAAGCTAGAGGGGAGAATTAACAATAAGCTCTTGGGATTGAAAGAGTTACTCTTATCATTTGTCATCGATACAATTAAAGGACAGAGATGTTGGCTTTGGAGGAATATGGAATGAAAATTGAAACCTTAGTTCTTGACCTGGGGTAAGAGCATATAGACTGTTTTACACTCCCATGCTTTGGGATATTCCCCCTTTTTTCTGAGTCTTTTTTTCGGTCCTGCGTGGCAACTTTAGATGTAAATGTGAACTCTTTTGGTCTTATCATCACTGAAGTTTTCTAGCTGTTTTTTTTTTTTTTTTTCATTTACACTGAGCACAAAAACCTAGAAACCATCAGAGTGTAAAGCTGTAGTAGCAAAGAAGGATTGCAACGCTACACTTTCGTCTGTAAAAAGATTTCACTCAGTCGTAAATCCTTTTGTTTGCGTATGGAGTTAAGGGAAAGTATATTTCATTTTCTTCTACAGTCAGGGGAACATTTGGATCACACCTCTCTCCTTCCAATTGCTTGTTTAAAACAAAGTGTTTCTATGCAGCCCGCCGTTGATATTGAGAAAAAATCACGATAACGACTTGTTTTGAATAGCTGGGAATTTTGAAATGGCCAATATCTTGATAATCCGATAAACTACTTACACCTTCACGTATGAGGTCAAGGTTGAAATCACTTCAGAAATTAATACCGTTAAGGAAGCAAATAACTCGAAGTCACCTCAGTGAGTGCTTAGAATGAAAAATCTTTGATCTCAGTAGCGAATTTCGATCACAAATCTTACAATGAAATATAGAACTCTAAAATTTGGTCTTCCCGATATGGCGATATAGCGTTGTAGATATAGGAACAATCTGTTAGATATTTAAGATGTTTTTCATAAAGTTGTCTCGTTAATTTGCACGTCTTTCGAAATTTAGAGAAGACAGCTTCATCACCTTGACAACGAAGTGCCTTAAGAATGCAATTTTACAGTTAGAGCGGTTGGGTTGGTTGGTCAAGAAGATAAAAAAAGGAGAGAAAGCCTAAACTCAGGAAAAGCTTGGTTATGGGCATTAGTTTGTTAGCTGTTCTTCAGCTGTTTTCTGATCCAAGCGTAGGCGATATATAAATAGAAACAGATCATAATTTCTATAGTGAAATTTGAAATGCAAATTTTGTTAACAATAACGAAGTTGCGAGGTTTATGGGCGTCCTTTCCATCTCCTTGATTTTCCCAGGAAATGTTAAAGATAGATTAGATTATGAAAATAATTTTATGGAGATGGCCTAAATTACTGAAGGTTGAGACAAATATGGATCTTTTAGGGAGAGATTGGCAAAGCTGCCGAGTTAGAATTCTAATGAAAATATTACCGAAATTTTTCAAAATGAACACCCTTTCAATTTCGTACGATCTCTATTTTGTTAATAATGTACGAAACTGATTGAGTCTGTTGAGTTTTGGAAATAGTAAAGTGAGCTCTCTTGCCACATTTTTAATGCACTCTTTTCATAATTCAATGCCTAGATTAATGTGTAATTTGCTTCTTATTCAACTTACCCTCGATTCCGAGAAGTCTCGTTGAAATGGATGCCAAAATTTAAAATTTCTCAGGCGAAACTCTTCCCCACACATTTTCGAAACTGCTTGAATTCAGTCCGGGATCGTAATTCACAGGCTGAAAACCAACAAGTGTTTGCACTGTGATTGTCACGTCAAATAGATTTATCTGATCCGTGGGTTTGTGAATTAACTAGAAATGTTAATAAGCTTAGGGTCCTCAAAGTCACGCGCCTTGCAACCGGTTATTTATTGTGACGTAATAGCTCTGTCAAGTCACGTCTCAGGTTAGGTCAGAGGACATGCGGTGGCGAGGTGTGAGCACGAGTCAAACTCGCAATAGGATAATATACTATAAACACTAACAGCTTAGTACAAACTTTTGCGAGGTCAAATGGACTGTTTTCTCCCAGTTTAAGATAACAATTACTCTACTTATAAAGGTAGGGTAAGGTAAGGTAGCTTTATTAATACACGGTATTTCCTTCAGGTACATTAAATTTACATTCCGAGAAAACTAACTTCCTAACTAAACTAGAATCTAAGATAAAATAATTGAGATGAAAAGAAAACACCTGCTTTTCAAGGAGGCCATGTGTAAGACCGCCATCGAAAGAGGAAATTATTAATGCTTACAACATTTTTTAACTGAATGGCTTATGCTTATATGCTATTTCCATTCATATTCCCAACACCAACGTAAGGAAGCTCTAATAATGCTTCCAGATAAGATACGTGTCAATTTTATCGTTTGAAAATGATAACCTCCCCCACCCCGCCCTCTACCGACTGTGACATTCGTACATATCTCATTTTATCCTTTTCCGTAGGGCGAATACAATTGGAGCTCGCTTGAAAGAGCACTCTGTACTTAAGTTAAAATTGGATGGACATAATCTCCCTTCGCATAGAGTGAGCAGATTTAGTGATTTTTTTCAGATCATTTGCAGTATTCTTGAAGGACCGATCACCTGCATTCTTCCCATTGAATATTTTCGTTTTCATATTTGCTCGATTGGTTCCTTTTGATACCGCGAATGTTTATGACAATATTGCAAATTTGCGGTTGATTTTAGGATGCATTTTGTATCGGACCACAATGACGTTAACTCGCATTTGTGCAGACCACTCACGCGCAAAGTGATAAATATTTGACGCCGATTTGAATGGGACGTGAAAACATGTATAATTTACAGTGAGGGACCAAGAAAATGAGCCACAGGAGACCAAAGCGATGAAAGAAAATGGACTATTGAAAAACTTTTAGGATGGTTAGATTTTAATCCAAAACGAAACTAATATATGTACGTGAGAAGCATTAGCCAATGTGCATTCAAGTGTTACTCTGCAAATTAAACATAGGCTATACTTAAGCGCAAAGATGTTGTCACGTTCAAAAGCATCTGCAGGAAATAAGTCATTCTTGAGGGAACCTCGCATCGACTTCCCATCAGGTAGGCTCGGAGATTTTCGGGATTTTTTCCGGAAATGTCCGACTTTTAAAACGGTTCTGAGCTAAGCCCACTCAGTATTCCAGAGTTCCGAGGTGGCTTCGCATGACTTCACGTCGTTTGTCATGCGCAGGAAGAGTCCTAAGGCTGAGATTGACTAATGATTGTCCTTATGCTCACTTATGCTTAGCACAGCGGTAAAATGAGAGCGCATGCTCTGTGTAATCGATAGGAATGGGGCAATTAGAATGCTGAGGGCAGTCGTCCTTCCTTTTAAGGATCTGATCTGACCATACCTTTTCTAATTCCTCTCTCCATCGTTTTTGGGCCTAATGAAAGAAAAGCAAATTAAAAAAAAAAACGAAATAAAACGCCACTGAAAAGACCAAGTAGCAACTTGTGAGTAACGACAGAGGCAGAAGAGACTTTCAAGGAAACATAAATGGATTTATTCCAGAAAAATATTAACATATTCAACGTATTCACCTTGAGTAAAAAAAAAAAAAAAAAAAAAGAAAAAGAAAAAGCTGCTGGCTTTTTATCAGAATGGGTGTGAAGTAATTTCAATAAAAGCCGGTTACCGACGGTCGACCGCCGCCTATCATAAAAAGAACGAAACATTTCCGTTTTTCCTGTACTTATGTTGTGAGTGTTCTCACTTGTTTCTCTCAATTGTTATGCTAATGCTTATAAGTATACTTATGCTTGTACTTGGGTTTATGCGTTAGCGAAAGCCAGCCTTATAGCCTCTCGCCGCCGCCGTTTCGCCTGCATGCGGGCTCTCGTGTTTAGGTTTTGCCTAACGGGCCTTTTATGGACACAGCCTCCTATTATACTGTACTGGCAGCCGCTTATTGAAAAAGTTATTGAAAGACATGGAAGAAGTGCAATCGGAAGAGGCAACTGTTCAAATTCCTTTTCAAAAGAGGAAATGTAAGGAGAGATTTAGTCGTTGTGTTGTGTTCCTCGAAGGCAATCTCTCAACTTGACGAGACCAAACAACATCAGCTGTAAAACTGGCAGAACAAGGAGAAGAAAAAAAGCTACCAGGCAGCCAGTGGACGCTTCGAAGTTGTTGTAGTCAAGTAGTTTGTAGATATAAGGCTGCCCTTGGGTGTTAGTGCCGCCCAGCTGCCAATAAACCACAGTAAAGGCCAAGTATACGACGATATAAACCAGGGCGTATATAAAATGGAAGAGGCGTACTGGGATCGAGCTAAGGAATGTGTCAATCACAATGAACACGGAATTGAGGGCGTGCTTGGTTATATTGTTCAGGTCGACTGGTTCGTCTTCTTCATACAGCACTTTCCAGTACCCTACGGTCACTAATAAACCTGCGTTGGCACTGATGATGTAAAGAAGCCAAAAAAATTTGTGATGAAATCGCAGAGCATCTTCATCGTGAGCTACTTCAGTCGCGGTTTCACTACTTTCGGGTTTGTCGTCACCAGATCCCATCTCGACCGCGACGCTCGACTCTGGTTTGTCGTTAGTTTTGGGGTGAGTTCCACGGCTATTTCGGTATTCGTTACAAAAAGCGCAAAGGGAGAGTGATGTGGCTTGTAGGAAAAACAGGTTGAGGATGAGGTAAGTCCAGTTTGTCAGGAAAATGAACAGCTTAGCCCGGTAGAGGTAAATGTTGTAGAGAAGCCAGGCGAAATTGTAACCAGTGACAACCAAACGGTAGGCAAGGAAAAAGGGCAAGGACAGCCACTAACAAAAAAAAAGAATTAAGTGAGAGATAGATCGTTATTTATCTCCTAGGGGGAGGGGACGAGGGAGGGTCGGGTTATTTTGGCTTGTCACGATAAAATTTACTGATCCCGATAAAGGGCTCTTTATTATTCTTATTATCCCCTTTCATTGGTACTTCAAGTTAATGGTTAATTTTATTTAGTCCTCCGTGTAAACTCCATAAGCGACGACTAATCTCCCACCGTTCCCCCTGGGAGTCATGTAATCCTCCAAATCCTCCACATACCCCCCCCACCCCTTCTCCCCTAGGTGGTTCCTAAGCAAACAAGGAACTTATTTAACTATTACAGAGTTCGGGTAACAGATATTATGATAGGACGAGAAGCTATTTTTCCATGCGCGGCTATAAAACAGTGGCGTGATGTGACCAAAAACCTGTGAGCTCCTTTGCTTACCTAACTTCGTTTCGAAAGTGTCTTACAATTAACGTGGCTCACGAAAGACTTATCTTCGTAATCATGATTTTGTAGTCTACGAGACGAGACAACCGTCCGTGTTTGATTCCAATGGCTGCTTGAAATCTGAATGCGTCGACAATTTAGCACAGCACCTGTTTTGTTTCAATGTATTTTTTCAATTTGTTTATTTTTATATTTTCTTTTGCAATCTTTAATTTTTTTTCGCTGATTTAGCGCCATTACTACGAGATGATTAGGAAACGCTAGAACCAAACATTTTTGACCAGTAAAACGTCTGGAGTGTAATAAAACCCGAGACACACGCATTTATCACAGATGCAGGCAGATACCTCTACCCATACCACCTGCAAGAATCAGTTTTGCTTCCAAGCAACCTAAAACTCATTCATCGCGATACGAGCCCAGAACTGAGGCTGAAATGTAGGCCATATTTTTTTGGCACTCCGACTACACCACTTCAAATCCCATCTTTTAATCTCCTTTTTCGCCTTTGAATGATTTCATAAACTTCACAATACAATTTTGTTATTTGTTGCCTGTGATAGATGGGTAGGTGTAAATAAATCTTTTTTGCCGGTCTTTTAACGATGGCAAATAGTGCTAGCAAATCTGAATTTATCAGTAGATCAGTCATGCATCCGAATAAGTTTTCACAGACTCACGTACCGTGTAAAGTTACCCACTCTTGCCCAGAGCACCAGATCTAGCGTAATTGTTTAGTAAGTAATCATCGAGGTGACCACAGATCAATATTTGAACTTACCCGGGAATGTGTAAAATCTCGCAGGATTGGGTGCCATAATTTAAAGTTTCGCAAACGAAATTCTTCTCGACACATCTTTCAAGGTGGACGTTAGCGATTAAAAGCTCTTAGTTTCTTGCCTCCAAATTGATACAAAGAAACAAACCAAAACAAGAGATTGTTAAGATAGAGAGAGTTTATCAAATATTTAAAATGTTTTTCATGAGCTATTTTTTGTCCATTCAAGCAACCCTAGCAACTAGGCTAAAGTCACGCAAAATTTGACATTGCAAAAGAAAAACATGTAAACACAAGAGCAAAACATTTGTGAAATCATGAATTTTTTTAGGATGCAAATTGGTTAAAGAGAAAAAAAACAAAGCAAAACATTAATCAGGGAATGTCCATTCTGGCCTGGCTGCTAAGAGAAAATTTATCCGCGCGTTCCTGGAGACGAACAAGATCTAAGATGGTGGGTTTTACACGTGTGTTTCGTTATGATGTTTACGTTCGCGTATTTTGCTCTTTTAACCAAACTAATTAGGGTCTTTTTATTGTTTATAAGCAGTTAAGGAGACAGGCAAGGCTCAGGAGAGAATACCTTTATCGAAAGTCCACCGAGGATAAGGAACGAGTGACTTATGAGAGAAAGAAAAAGTTGAGGACTGCTTTGGAAGGTAAGCGAAGAAAGCTTTTATTCGACGAGAAATGTACCATGCATAAGTTTCATTGAATATGAAGGTATTTCACGATCTATGACAGAAATGAAAGTCTATATTCTTGTCTTAACTTTTATCGAAATCGCTGTCTTTGAAATGCAAGGTCTTCAGAGTATGGCAGAACTCAACCAAATCTCGTGCCTGCAATTGCAAAGGAGATTCTTCCGTGTGAAATGTATGAAAAGAGGGGATAAAATCACGCGGGCATCTGCCATACTCTGCAGACAAGCGAAGTGATGGTCTTAGTTCTTGGAACACCTACATGGAACACACACATGGTACACAATGCAAATATCCTGATTTTAGTTATTGTTTAACAAACAGATTTCCTGTTGTATTACGTCTGTTCAGTAACAAATCACAAGTGATGTCAAAATGTGGTAAGAACAGTTCAGTGGCACACTGGGTGAAGTATTACAGTCTTGGATATCATGGCTAATTAAAAAACAACCATCTGTGCATGCTTTTGATCTTGCACACAACAACAGTTTGTATTTTTATGATAATGATGTCAAGAATGTTGGTGCTTAGTTGCAAACTCTCATCTGCAATTACTTTTAGCATAGAATGTCAAGTCATTCTTTATTTGCCTTTCCAGAGGGAAAGCCCATTCCAACGGAGTTGAGGAAGGATGAAGCTGCACTAAGAAAGGCCATTGAATTTGATGATGAGAAACATGAAAGTGAGAATACTGTTGTTGCTGTGATTTGTTTAAACAATAAGTGTTGATAGCAATTACTGTTCTATTATTGTTCTTGTTGACAGGTGCTGTATAGCAAAACCAGGGAATAATAACGAATCAGTACATAAGCAACTGCACCCTTACCCCTCCCCTCCCCTAACCCAACCTTAACCCCAACTGGTCATCAGTTTTCTGTTGTTGGTTTGGGGGAGGGGTAGGTGTGTAGTTGCCCAGATGCTGACAGTGATCCACAAATCTTTTCAAAATATTGTTCTGTAATTTCACACGCAATAATGAGATGTTAAGATTGAACTGAAATGATCTAGTGTTTATGTCATTCACTTGTGACCAAACTTTTCATTAACATTTTAACTTTCAAGATCTGATTGTTAATTCTCCTTGCTAGCTGCTATCCATTCTTTTAAAATTAGGGATGAGAATTTGGTGTTAGATCAATATAACAACTACCTGATAAATTTGAGTATGCTTATTACCTGTTTTCTGGATAATGTATGAATCTAATGTATGGAGAAGTTACATGTTAATCACTTAAGGGTGAAAGGGTTAAAGAATCTGCAGGTTTGACAAGGAGGGTGGAGGAGGGGGTTTAGACATTCAGATCCTCCCTCTGAATCCTTTACTGTACCAACTGTTTACAAAAGGATAATATGGTAATCAGTTGTTTACTTGTGTATGTTTAGAGACTGGCTCTCACCAGGATGATGAATATGCCTGGGCAGGAGTGCGAGATCCCAAGATAATGATAACAACATCTCACAGCCCAAGCTCAAGGCTGAAACAGTTTGCTAAGGTAATAACTATGGTATCATTGAACAGATGCGTGCAAGGTTTCCATAACATTTTGCAGAAGTGGCTGTCAATGGTGCAAAATGAAGCTGTGTTGTAAGGGAAAATTCAAAGATAAGAATATGCTCCCTGGCTAAACAGACAGCAGTGAGAGATCTTACAGGCAGTGGAAGGCTACTGATGACTAGCTTTAGTTGACACTGCAGCATGTGTATCCCTTGGATCTTGGTAGTTCTAGAACTCATTTGTGTTACTTTTGTCAAGAAAATCAAGTGATTGAAACTCAGGACCAACAACTTGTTAGGCTGGATTTCAAGTCATTTGAAATGGTTATAACTGTTGGATTTGCATTGAAAGTAAAACAAGTCAATTTGAAATTTTTGTTAATTTGTTAGCAGGGTACAATCCCAAATTCAAAGAAAACAGATGAACTACCAAAATGATTTTCATTTTTCCATTGAAAAAGGTGCTAAATAAAGGCAAACAATAAAAATACACTTATTGTTTGGCTACTAAAACAGGTTTAAATTGAAGTGATTCTTTTAACAGAGTGGACAAGTGTAATTGACCCATCATGGCGTGCACTATAAGTTAGATCTACTGATCATAAATTTTTATTGCTTAAACTGATGTCTTATACTTTGTAACACCTATTTCTTTTACCCCACAGGAACTACGATTAATTTTTCCTAACAGTCAGCGATTGAATCGTGGTAACTATGTGATGAGTCAACTGATTCAGGCTTGTAGAGCTAATGAAGTTACAGACTTAATATTGGTTCATGAGCACAGAGGAGAACCAGGTATGCCTTGGAAAGTTTTCTCTTTTCATTGCAAAATGTTTCAATTTCTTTTAATGTAGGACCTGTCGAAGTGAAAATTAACATCTTTTCTTTTCTGAGTCCTCATTCATTAAAGCTGGCTTATGAATGAACTTGAGATATTTTTTAATACTTCATTTTGTAGTATTCTTTGAGTATTGTCAGTTTGCAGCATTCTTTAGCAAGTATGCAGTTATTTGCAGTTTAATTGCAAACTAGAATTCACACAAGTATAATTATGTTGACACCTTGATGAGGCTTTTAAAAAGACTGTTAAAATTGTGTGGCATGGCTCTTCTTAAAAGCTCGGAACTGGTTATTTTAACCAGCTCCTCAAATAATTATTTAACCAGCTTTTTCACAGAAAAGTAGTTACTGAGCTAATTGTTAAACAATGGTAGTTTTGTTCAAACACCAAAATCCATTGTATCCAATTAGAAATCTTGCTACTCTTTTGCAAACCAGTTTAGCAAATATACCTCTTTGGTGATATTACCTTGAAAATATGTCATGTCTTGAAGAAATCCTGCTTCACTTGACTGACCAATTCATCCCTTGATGACAACATGCATGATCCATCACTTTTATTTATGTTCCTATCACAGCTAAACTAAAAATCACATCAGTTTATGCAACCCCCACACCTTCAACATGAAGGGCAGGTGTTAAGATTACTAGTAAATTTGTTATTTTTTTACATTCTATGAAAAAAATATTAGCTTAAGCTTTTCTAAGGTGGGGTCCTATCTCATACCTTTGTCTGTTCTCATTACTATTTTGCCGGATAATGTGTTAATATTGTGTGAAGAATCTGGATGTTAACAATTTTGCACCACATTCCTTTGCAGATGGTCTGGTTGTTTCCCATCTCCCATTTGGTCCAACAGCTTATTTCACATTATCAAACACAGTCATGAGACATGACATTCCTAAAATTGGCACCATGTCAGAAGCATACCCGCATTTGATTTTTCATAACTTCAATTCGAAACTTGGAGAAAGGGTAAGTTTGGAAATATTTAGGGTCCAGTTGTTCGAGGGCCAACAAGCGCAAACCCAAGATCAAATTTTTATCCAGGTCTCTTTATTCCTTTGTTCAAAAGCTCTTTTGGGATTATTTTCTCTATTCTGTGTGGAGCATCCAATCATTAAATTGTTGATCAAAAGAAGTATACTGAATTTTCTTTGAAAGCTTTCAGATCTGAAATCAGATTTCACACTGTCCTAAGGTTATCTTAACTTAGCTTTAAACAACTCGACCGAGGTGCTCTAGCTCATGAAAAATATAAATTTATACATGTAAATCTCTGAGATTCTGGGATTTATTTCTGTCCTTTTTTCAGCCAGATGTTGATGTTGGAATCAGTTCAAAAGTACCTTTTTTTCTTGTCCTTCATCACAATTCACAAAGTGCATGGGGCAAAATTATCCTACAGCCAGCAGGTTCCCACTTCTGACGGGCTCCCAATGGCAGCCTTGAGTTATGCGACACTTTTGCCCATTTTTTGATGGATAACCCCACTTTTCTTATGACACCGCGATATGTGTGATTAGGGAGGTTAAGAAACGACGACGGCGACGCCGTGGATAACGTCGGCTAAAAAGTGAACCTATGTTTTACCTACGAATCTCACGACACTCTAAAGTCATTTAGTTTGTTTCTCGCTCTCGAAACTGAATAGGAAACACAGCGTAAAATTGGAAAAAGAAATTAAAAAAATTAGCCGTCGTCGCTCACGTTGTTGTTTTGCAGAGGACGCAAAGAAATGTCGAAAGATTTATAACGCACGTGCATAGCCATTGTTCTGCTTATTAAACCTTTTTGTTTCGTGACGTCGCCGTTGCCGTCGTGGTTTTCTTTAACTCCTTAATATGTATACAGTACAGAGACAGTTGTTTTCATTTTATGCCAATCTCTTTGAAGTTGATATGTACCTGCATGTGTTATGCTCCAGCAATGCGGTATACGAAATGCATAAATACACCAAGTGATAAAGATTATGAAAGGCTGTGGCATTTTGATTTAGATCTTTTTTTTCTTTTAATAGGTCAAAAGTATTCTAAAATATTTATATCCAGTTCCTAAAGATGAGAGCAAAAGAGTGATCACATTTGCAAACCAGGAAGACTACATATCATTCAGGTCAGTGACTGAAAGGGCGAGCAGCACCTCGAAGTGAAGATGAAGAGCAGTTTACTTGTAACAAACGAGTGTCGAAAGTAATCCGGCGCTGCATTATTGTTGCTTTACTTTGCACTGTGATTGTTCCAGAAAACTCGCGCCACTTTCGCAGCCAATCAGATGTAAAACTGAAACCAATCACGACTTGGTCACTCGCGTCTTCTCGCGCTTTAGGCAGTTTGGTTGTTTTTACTTAGAGTTCTCATTGGCTCTTAAAGTTATTTTTCTTTCTTCTGATTGGCCTTTTTGATTACTTAGGTTTTGGATGTACGACACTCAATCGAAAAGCGCTCAAGAACAAAGGAGATTACTTTGATTGGTGACATCAAAAAAACTTTCTGAAGCGTGAGGAAATTATCGAAAGGAAGCATCTTTTGCTTTGAATCTGATTGACTCAAAAAGTGGCGTAAACTTTCAGGACCATTGCAAAGAAAATTAATTACAAAGCGATGCCTGATTTTTTAGCAGTCCTAATATACCTTTGAAAATTGTGAATTGGGTTATTAACATAATATTAATGTATTCTAAAATTTGTACCAATTTTCTTTTCTACTAGGCACCACACTTACAAAAAAGTCGATGGACAGGTTGAATTGGCGGAAGTGGGGCCAAGATTTGAAATGAAAGGTAATTTTTGTAGCTGTGTTGAAATTTGTCACTTATGCAGTGCCATCCTCTAAGACAAAGCAGGGTAGCAAAGTCATAATTGGGCGACCTAGAATCATAAAATGGTCACCCGAAAGAGTCTTGGTCGTCGGGGAAAAAGGATAAGAGCACTTTGTGCGCCCTTCGATGCCCTGTCCGCGTAAACAAGATTTTTCCCTCGCAAATGAACAAATAGGTTAAGGGAAAAACGCAAAGTAATTTGTTTGAAGAGGCCTCCTCGAAAACACTCGCCAGTTACGAGAAGGCTCTCGCGCTTTGATTTCGCCTTACGGCCCCTTTTCCTTGCACAGCCGCTAACAACTGCAGCTTATGGAAAAAAATATTGAAATCCTAGCGAAAGTGTTCAGTATCTAAAGCATTTACCACAAACTTGAGTCTAGGGAAAGGTTGAGAATTGTATCCTTTTCCCTTTCAGTTTATGAAATCAAGCTTGGAACAGTTGATCAGAATGAAGCTGATGTGGAATGGAGGCTACGACCCTACATGAACACATCCAAGAAGAGAAAAGTGCTTAGTAGCTAGACAGATTGGACTTTAGGTAATTAGAGAAGATAGGTGATAATGTTAGGAAACACAAAAACTCAATTCTTTATTTACATGTACAGCCATGAATGGATCATTTCTATTGAATATCTGTTTTCTTTATTTTACAACTGTTTTACTATGTAACTCCTTAACCTCCAAGAGTGGCTGGCTTCCATTATCTCCCCACATTATCACCCCTAATATATCACCCCCACAATATCCGAATAAAGGAAACGATCCTCAACTGAAGATGCTCTTGACTGGTCAACAAATTTTCCTCGTCAGATCCTTAGGAAATGCATGAAGAATAGTATGAAAAATATATATACTGACAGGTTGTCGAAACGTTGGTCACCAGTCCTTTCCAGCAATTCCCTCACTCAGAGGATTAGACCACATGTGATCGCCTGTTACTCCTTTAACAGTCTGGAGAATATCGTGTTTTAGTGTAATTTCTCTAGTGATTACAGAGATTCGCGCGCCCTGATTGGTCGAGGATTGCGTTATATCTCGCTATAACCTCCTTGCATGAGGTGATTATTGTAGGGGCGTTTTCATCACAAATAACGCTGGATAAATATCCTTGTATACTTTTGTAGCCAAAGCAGGCTATTGCCAATTTACGGGCCTAAAACGACGTATATGGTTAACTATTTGCTAAAAAAAAAAAAGGTGGAAGGTTTTCATCTCGTTAGAACGCCATAGCTGGAGCCACCTAGCACCCACAGCAAAGATTAGATGGCGCCATATCCGGTCCAAAAGAGAAGGAAACTTGAACGTCATCCCTTGAGACCGGCTGAAAACGTTTCAACGGAAGAGGAAGCATCGCAACGGAGGGTCGAGTGACAATTTTGCTGCATGAGAAGTAAATCTGAGCTTCGTTAATGAACTCTGAAAATATGAAATGGGGAAAATAGATCATCCCTGACCCTAGAGATCTCGTTTGCCTGTAAATGTAAAACATATATCAGTGCAAAAGTTAAAGTTCATTGCCTAACGAATGAAAATGTTTCCATGAGGCTCAGCCACGCCTTTCAAATGGTTGGACCAGTTTTGTCCGCATGGATTATGAGTTGGCCAGGAACTCCAGGTGTAACCGTCGAAATAATAGTACAAGTTGGTGTTTAGGAATTTCGGTCCATTGCCTGTACTCACTTTTAATACCGAAGGTGCAAGTGTCTCTCTGCACGTGGCAGTCACATATTTGATGATCCGACAGTTGATGTCACCATCCTGCCAATCTACCAAGCTGCCAGTTCCCGGATGACACACCAGCCAGTTGTTTATGTTGCTCTTGATGAGGACCTGTCTGCCGAGTTGTTTCCAGAATGAGAAGTTCATGGCGTTGTAGTCTGTTTCGTGTAATGGAGGGTCAGAAGAGATGGGAACATCTGCTTCAGCTTTTACATTCCAGTTGGGTCTGGGTGTCACTGCGTTGAAACTTTCTCTGAAAAAGCTGTAATTGGTGAAAGAATAACTCCACACTAGCGTCCAGCCTCCTCCATCAGTTTCCATGTCACAGTAAGCTTTGAAAGCGTTGGCTTGGAGCCCACCAACAGGATCAATCCAATAAACACCCGAGGGAGGGGGAGGAGGAGTTTGACTGATGAGGGACTGGCACGAGGGAACCGCTGACGATTGAGTAGTACCTGAAAGCACAGATAATTTCTAGTTTTTATTATTATCATTATTATGTTTGTTTTGGTTTTTTTTGAGGGAGAAAATAGAGAGACCACCTCGTCATTCATTATTAGCTCCTCGAATGGAACGCTGTTTGCGGGAAGTCTACACCTCGATGCGATTCTTTAGTGTAAGCAGTATTTAGTCAATGAAGTCCTAACTAGTTTCCAATCATCTTTTAAAAAGGGGGGGGGGAAGACGTTACCCCAAGACTGGAGAAAAATTTAGTGGTGTCTTGTTCTGTTGCCTTTGAGTAATTCTTTATTTCATTGTTTCTTTGTTCATTTCACATTGTTCTGCTAAACACCCACTCTTTGTTTTTCCGATGTTTATAGTTGTAAAGTAAGAACCCACACAGGGTGCCAGCGAAATGTCGTCTCACATGCAGCTGTAAGAAATACTGGAGAGTAACTTATGATTGATTAGTATATACCTACATCCCATTACCATCCCTTCCTATGGGAGTTTTCGTGCTATCTTTTAAAAAATCGGGTCCGAAGCAGTGAGTCCATTAGCCTTTTTTCTGCGACTTTGTTGTTCTTGTAGATTGAAAAATTGTGAAATTTTAGGCTCTCTATTTGAGATGGAGACTGCTCTACTTACCTAGTGATCTGTTGGAATTGAATCAAAGAACTGTCAAGTAAGCTCGAGGTAACAAACAGAATGAACGGAAGAGAACAATACTCTGACAACAAATAAAGAAAGTTAACAAAATCTAAGGAAAAGAGACAACAGCAAAAAACTTTTCACGCTTTCGAAGCAAGGTGTCAACTCGCTTTACGGTTCTCATGGTTACCATGAAAATCTTCTTATCTATAGAGCACTTAGCATTTTGCGGTTTCACAAAATTATTTTAAAAAAAGTCAAGGCGTTGTAAAGAAATAAATTTCATGTTACCAAACCTTTTCAAGGTAGAACACGTCATCTTGCTGGGGTCGTTTTTGGCCTTCTTCTCTTTGTGCTGTATAAAATAGCGAGCAAGTTCTTTGATTTACCCAAAACATGGCAATTTTACAAGCTTCGTGCCTCGCACACAAGTGGGAACAAGACATAATAGAGCCTGTCTTTCCGGTCCAAAGGGTGTTTTCCTCCGAGAACGAAGTGCCATCTTTGATTTGAAAATGAAACCCAAACAACTCTGCTTGTACCTCTGTCGTGATGATCAAGAGGAACAGAAACATCCCCGCCATAATCTGTCAAAGAAAGAAGCAACGACGAGAGTTCATTGAACCCTTGTAATTTGGATTTATGAATTCATAAATAGTTTGTTTTTAATTGCCTTCTTTTTCGCAGATTTTTCTTTCCTATGCATTTGTTTTTAAATTAAACATTGGCGCGTCAAGAGTCGAAAAAATTATTAGAAATGTTAAACAATTTTTAAAACAATTTGTGTGAGTAGTCTTGTAAAGTATTGAGTTATAAATGATGCTGAGACAAGCAGCAACATAATCAATGCAGGCTTTAAGAAAAAAAAAAGTGAGAAAGCTAGTTTAGACAGCTTACAATTCTGGCATTCAAACTGAAAGATGTTCTTTTATCTCGTTCACTTTAAGTATTTTCGAGTGAGACCAAGGTGTTCTCTACGTTTTTGTAGGATTGATATCATTAAACGTAGCTACAGGTATCGTAACAGTGAAAGATACTTGTTTCTATTCGCGAGATTTTAAGCTTGCTTTTGCATCGAGCATTAATTTGTGTTCTGACAACTTTCTCCGCTGCAGGGTACTTTTCAAATAAAGTTTGTTTTTCCACACATCGTCTCAATATTGGAAGAAGCGTTATGTCATAAAAGGCAGTTTCATAGACTATAATTTGTGATAAATTGCTTAAATCGTACCTCCATTCTGAATCAGGCAGGATCGTAAGCTGTTCTGTAGCTTGCGCACGTATATATCCCTTCTTTTAAATGCTCCAGTTCAACTCTGATTCAAGTGGAGATCACTACCTTGAAGAACTTTGTATAGCTACTAAATTATTAAGTGAAATCGCGCCTTGCACGGAATCCTAGAGCAGTTAAACTAATTTAATTATGAAATATTAATTTGATGCCTGGAGAGGTCCAATTCAGGCAAGGCATAACAAACTGAGAAATGTTTTCAAATAACTTTGTAAACATAAAATCTTTTGTCACTTTTATGACTTATCTTTGATGGTCCCTTAGCGACACTCAGGGAATGAAACAAAATTTAAATTCTGTTTTATCATTCCTTATCGCCCACTGATATTATATTAAATAAACCAGGCTTGTTTCAATTTTGTTCTCAGTCGGGTCCGACGTTATTTGTGAAGAAAAATTACAAAACAAAACAGAACGAAACAAAAGTAATAACAAAAAAATTCATAACTTAGCGAATAAAAATGTTCCTGTGAGGCTTAGCGACCCCATTCAATTGAATGCGATCGTTATGTCCACATGGATCATGGTTAGGCCAGGTGCGCCTTACGTAAGCATTTAAGTGTCAGTAGTGGTAGGTGGCTATGAATTTTAGTCCATAGCCTGTATTCGGTTCAAAAACTGACGTTGTGTGTTGTGTTAAAATTCATATAATCAAAACCAGAGCCTTCTGAGGGGATCCAATGAATTTTATCGTAAATCAACCAAACATCTTCTCACCCTCGGCGATAAATAATGACTGACGTCAGAAGCCCATTATTTGAGTAATGAGCCCGTACTAGCGCCTTATGGATACGTTAATCACAGTGCATTACATCTTTATTAAGTTTCGCCTTTTCTTTCGATCCCTTCATACTGTAGTCATAACCGCTACTTTCCCAACTTTATTTACAACACTATACGTTACAAGGATTACATAAAATGCCCTTAGATAATATTACATGCACTTGTCTCACTTTACAAGACAAACATTACCCTCAGTACTTACTTTGCCTAAAATGCCAACAATTGAATACAACGAACATTCCATTTCTCCCCTTACCACATCAACACTATTTACAGTAGTACCATTGTTTAGCCTAGTCGATGAGCTGACCATCCTGGGTTCCCACCCGGTCATCTAGGTTTAGAGCATGCGCAGAGGTGGCCTCTTCAAATAATGCCACAAGGCCACATAGTTAAAACCTCTTCCTTTCAGATTGCCAGTTTTTATTCAGTTATTGGACTTAACTATGTGTTTCACCGGTTCCTGATTGTGTGTATACTGGAATATCTGTTAATAGTTTTTCTCAACACCATCGCCAAAGGAATTTCGCCTAAGGATTGGTTTAAACTTGGATTTTGCATGCTTTTGCATGAATGCATGATATTACCTCTCCCTCCCCACTCCCTATTTCCTTCCTATTTCTAGCCGTTCACTTTTGTTTCAAGGTAATTAGAGTCTTTTTCAGTTTCTCTTAGAGTCTCAAGTTACTGGGAATCGTCTGTAAACAAACAAAGCAATCGTGGATAAATATCGACGTCCAATTGAAAATTGCTCTAAAAAGGGGAATCCAGGTGGACAATCAGTTGATTTTACATGATGAACGTAGCCAACACTCCGCTTATGTTCGTCTAACCCGAGAAAATGCCTAAAACGTCAGCTTTAAGATTTGGTGCTAAATTCTTACTTTTCGCTGCTATAAGCATATCAGAATTTAATGCAACATAGAATAAGACAGCTGATCATTTCATCGATTCTTATCACTTTTTTGCTAGGTAGTTTATTGATATGTAAGAAGAAAGTAATCAGCCCTCAGACGTTATGTTTGTGAGAATTAATTTGTTACAGACTGCCTTGGCTATAAGCCTCGAATAAGAATATTACCATGTGGAGTTACAACATTTCCCATTTGGTTGGGCGAGTTTGTTCCGATACGATCATGGGTAGGAAAATGGTTCATGGTAGAGCCATCAAAATAGTAGTACACGGTGTTCCACGGCCTACTCATGGAGAACAGTGGTCCATAGCTTTGGGGCAACTTGTTTGGAAAAAAAAGGGAAGGAACCAACGTGCTACTCGGATCATCCGGCACCTGTTTAATTATGGTACAGTTGACGTCACCTTCCTGCCAATCAACCAAGCTGCCACTTCCCGGATCACACACCAGCCAATTGTTTATGTTGCTTTTGATGAGGACCTGTCTGCCGAGTTGCCTCCAGAGTGAAAAGTTCATGGCGTTGTAGTCTGTTTCATTTAATGGAGGAGTTGTGGAGATAGGAACATCCGCTTGAGATCTCACCGGCCAATTTGGCCTCGGAGTGATCGCATTTGATTTACGCCTAAAATGACTGTAGTTAGTGAAGGAATAACTCCATACAAGAGTCCAACCTCCTCCATCAGTTTCCATGTCACAGTAAGCCTTGAAAGGATTGGCCTGAGATCCACCACTTGGATTAATCCAATAAACACCCGAAGGGGAAGTGGGATATTTCCTGAGGAGGGTCTGGCACGAGTTTCCTATTGAATGCCGGGTTGAACCAGAGTGCAAAGGAGTGGTTTGACCTGGTCCAAGAAATTTAGAGAGAGGATGACAAGATGTTTAATGATTGAAACTGGGTTTCATAAATATTTCCTAATGGTGCCGCGTTGGTGGGAGAGTATAAAAGGGTAATTTGGTAATATCAACTAAATTGATAACGTAAATTGGCCACTGTACAGAGTTTCAAAGCTGACGTTGCGAGCGTTAGCCCTTCGTCAGAGCGATTGGAACTGGCTTTGAAACTCTTTACGGTGGCCAATTTACGGTATTAACTCAGTTGATAATGCTAAATGATAGTTTACATCAGTGTTATAGTTACCAATTCAAACAATTTGCGTCTCAGTCTTACCTTGGGATGAGCCGGATTTTTTTGGTAGGTCAACCTGTATTGGCGTTAGACAAAACATCTCAATTAACATCCATACTTCATGCCATGTGCATCTTTAAGGAATTCCTAAAGGCCCATTGGCACACAGTGTATCTTTACACTTTTGGCTTCCACTTTTAACCGAGCGTTTTATGGGTGTTTGAATAAAGAAACTGATATTGAATGAACTGCCTTTGATCATGCTGTCCCTCCTAATTAATTAACTAAAAGGGTTAAGTTTCTGAGGAAACTGTGGTGCTGCGCGTGTGGGGGGTATCACAAGATATTTTGGTGTTATCAACTGAGTCGTTAATGTAAACTGGTCACCGTAAAGAGTTTCTAAAGCTGACGTAGGGTTAACGCTTGAAACGAATACTCATCTCAATTTATTTACGTTGATCTTTAGAGATATTTCTCTTTCTTTGGACTTACAGTGCAATGTAAATAAAATGCCAAAGTCCTGTTTTGTTCATAGTTTTTCTTAAACAGAAATTACATTTTGTGCAATGTTTTTCTCGTGAAATGATGGTGAAAGTAATCATGATCGCTATGGTAGTGCTAAAATTATCGTGTTTTGAATTATCATCTGAAAACTGCAACATATCATCAATGGCAAATACCTTTGTTAAATATGTAGAACCATCTCGCTGGTAAAGATGCCCAGCTGCTGAACTTGTTTGCACTTCGCCGCGAAGAAGGTGACAAAGTCTTTGGTTTTCGAGAAAGTTTGCTCTTCTGCAAGAAGTTTCCCGCCCACACAAAGCAGAACAGAAAAGTAAAGAGTCAGTTTTGCCAGACCAAACGAGACTTTCCTCACTGAAACCGAAAAAGGTGTTTTCTTTGATTTGGAAAAAAACGCCATGGTCGGCTCCTTCAGTTGTCGTCGTTGCCAAGAACAAGACGAAAGCAAATCGGTACACGACTTGAAATAACATCTGTCAAGAGAATCTTACGACAAATTTTTTTTATTTAGTAAACGTATAAAAATAAAAATTGCCTACCTGTTGAGAAAATAGTAGAAAAATCAGAAAAGCAGAGAATATTTACTTACGCTTTTCGTTTATGAAAAACACCGCGCGACAGTCAGAAACCTTTCTGAATAGATCTGCATCGTTAGTATTAATTGTAAATTTGCTGATTCTGTGATCTTCGTCTGAAAGTGTATTTCTCTCTTTGAGTGGTGCAATATAGCTTTGACATTTTGCTTTCTAACAATAAATTTTCAATTACTACCAACTCTATTATGACATTTAAATGAAAATCGCAAGTCCTGCAGGTTTTAATGCAATCATCATAACGTCTAGACAAACAGAATATGAAAACACCGGAAAGACTATAATGTGCTATTTCACCTAAAAAAGAGAAAACCATTAAATTTAGAGTAAAAATTCTATCCTGTTAGATATCTGGCATTGATTGATAATTGATTTTTTAAGTGCAAACTGTAAGAATGAAAAGCTTAATTTCTGTTTGGCTAAAACAGAGTCACCATCAGACCTCGTAAACATTTAAGACGGATGGAACAGCCTCATCTCAGAGGTAGAAAGTTTGAATTTTAAGTCAAATCCAGCCGAATATATTCGCAAAAATGATGTTTTTAAAACTCGGAATGTCGTTTACTATGTTAAAATATATTAAAATATCACCAGTTATTCATTAAGTAATCCTTTCAATCTAATGTTATACTTTAAATTTATTCGTTGCATTTATTAAATTTAGTAATATGTGTTTAATGACCTTTTCAAGCTCGAACTAAAATGTCTCTCACGCATTTTTTGCACCTTTGATTCCTTAAATATGTTTTTAGGCCGGTGTCAGATAAGTAATGTTCACTTACCATTGGTGTTCTATGTTCTTTCGATAGTGGCATTAAGCCTTTTGGTACAGAAAACAAATCAGTTTAGACTCGTGATACAGCAACTCATCCAAGCTGCTTAATACGCTGGATGAAGAACCTACATACTCTTTGATTCATCGTCATCATCAACATCATCTTTCATTTGCCTTATTTACACATTACAAAAAATTTATTTACAGCAGTTATAGCTGGAAGGCGAGGAGACCCAGGAAGCCACCGGGCTTATGGGAGAGCCACCTCACTTACATTAATAAATCAAGTAAAGAAAAAGTGCTGAGAATGTGCGGCTAGGCCAATTCAGTGATTATTTAAGCAAAAACTCTTGCATTTTCGTCTTAAAACTAAGAAGGTTTGTCAAACGAGTGACTGAAACAGGAAGAGAGTTCCAAATGTTAGGACCTTGATAGAAAATTGTAAATTGCTTGAGATTTGTACGGCACAAATGCGTTCGATAATTACTGGCTGTTCTAGTACCATAGTTGTGAATTTGACTATTCGTTACAAAAAGATTGAGGAAGCAATGGAGGCAATAAGTTATTTCTATAATAAAACATGAATTTGGCGATTTCAAGCGTATTGACTTGGAAATATATGAAATTCCTAGTTTGGAGAATAAAGGAGCGGAATGGGCTCGATACTCTGAGTTGGTGATAGCCCGCACAGCTCGCTTTTGCAAGTAATAAATTCTGTTTAAGTTAGATACGTATGTGGACGACCAGGCGCAGTTACAATAGACGATATAAGGATAAATTAATGTGTAGCATAAAGCGAGTTTGGTTGTAGAGGATAGGAAAAAGCGAGACCTGAACATAATACCTATTGATTTAGCGATTTGTTTACATACATAGCTGATATGGTGTTTTCAGGTGGGATGATCATCAAGATAGACCCCAAAGAATTTAGTTATTTTAGATTGTTGTAGGGGTTTACTTCCAAAGGAGAGAGAAATGCTGGAGTTAAATTTCTTCTGTCTGGGTTTAAAATTACGTAGTTAGTTTTCTTTATATTAACTGAGAGCTTATTGCATTTTAGCCAAACATCAATATTTTGGAGTTCATCATTAAGTAAGGATTCTAAGCAATTTGGGTTTGACTGAGAATAAAGGATACTGGTGTCATCAGCGAAAAGCAGAGGGTCTGTTAATTCAGAGGCATTAGGGAGCTCATTTATGAATAGAATGAACAATAGAGGGCCTAAACTCGAACCTTGAGGCACACCACACTTGATGGTTTGCACTGGAGAGCAAGCTTGATTGAATTGGGCAAATTGCTGGCGGCAAGAAAAGTAGCTTTTAAACCACTGCAGAGCCGCCTCACGCATATAATAGTGCTCCAATTTGGCAAACAAGATTTGATGGTCGAGAGTGTCAAATACTTTGGAAAGATCTGGGAAAACACCCACTGTTGTTTCGTGTTGGTCGATTGCAGAAGCTATTTTATTTACCAAATGAATTAGTGCGTACGATGTTGAGTGATTTTTCCGAAATCCAAATTGACAGCGGTAAAGTATATCGTTTTTTTTCAGCAAATTCTACTGAGCGATTGCATATGACTTTTTCGAAAAATTTGGAAAAATTAGACAACATAGAAATATGTCTGTAGTTTACAAAAAAGTTTGGATCCTCTGCTTTGAAGATGGGAATAATTGTGGCGATTTTAAGTTTGTCCAGGAAAATGCCTTTTAGCAGAGATTGATTAATAATATCTGCCAATGGAACAGAAATAAGGTGAAATGAATACTTAGTGACATGCATTGGGATACTGTCGTAGCCAGGAGCCTTCTCTGAAGCGAACATGCCACAAATGCTTTCCAGTTCACTAGCTGTGGTGGGCTTTAAGTTAATGGAAGGATGGTTATTATCACCAAGATAAGAACGAAAAGAAGGATTCACACTGGGTATAGATTTAGTTAGGTTGGAACCGATGTTTGTTTTTTTTCATACCCTTTGTAAAGCCCGAAATGATTACCAAATCCTATTAGGCAGGGCAAACTCTACTAGGTCATATGAAGAGGTGCTCCCTACCCCTCCCCTATCAAGCCTAAAGCTGTCGTTAGGGCAAACTCTTTTAGGTCAAATGTAGAGGTGCTCCTTACCCCTCCCCCATCAAGTCTACAACTGTTTAGTAATCTGAGGTTTACATCGCAAACTGTAGTTCTAAACATGTTTAATGAAGTGATTGCGTAATAGATATCCTGTGCAGATTAACATCAGTTTTAACGTTTAGAGTGCTAACTGTACTGTCTTTCAGAAAACTAAATGTTGTTTTGCGTTACACATTTTTTATTGCATTACCAATTGGCGCATGTTCTCTATAGAGTGTTCCGCAAAGTAGGAGATCTCGCTCAATTAACATTATCAACTCAGCTGATAAAACCAAAATACTTTCTTTAACGCGTATCTCCATTGATTATGCTGCTCTTTATGAATATTCATGTGCTTTAATACTTTTCATTTTTAATTACTTCGGCGCGCTATGAATTAAACGCTCTAGTCTTTTTCGTAATTTTTTTTTGACTGAAATTAAATTTGGTAGAGTTTTTGTCTCTTGAAACGATGGAAACAGTCATCAGTTTTGCTGTGAAAAGTCTTCCCTTTGATGGAAAGATCGAGCAACGGTTTTCTGGGTCGTGATAATGCTAAAATGATCGCAAGTTGTCATCCGAAAACTATAACATGTGAAAAAATCAACGTGAAATACCTTTTTTAAATAGAAAGAGCCATCCCGCTCTAAAAGCCGCCCAGTTGCTGAATTTGTTTGCACTTCGTCGCGAAGAAGATAACAAAGTCCGGCTTTTTCCAGAAAGTTTACACTTCTGCAAGATGCTTGCCTCATACACAAAACAGAACAGGAAAGCAAAGAACCCGTGCCAGACCACAAAAGGCTTTCTTCTCCAAAGCTGAAAAATATATTTTCTTTGATTTGAAAGAAAACACCATTTTCGGCTCCTTCAGCTGTCTTTGCCGCTAAGAACAAGACGATTGCAAATCGGTACTCGACTTGAAGTAACATCTGTCAAGAGAATCTTGAGACAAAATCAGGTATAGTCAGTAAACGTATGAAACATATAAATTACCTGCCTAAAGACAGAATAGTCAAACAAGACAGAAAGATCAGAAAGGAAGAGAAATTTAAAGCCACCCTTTTCTGTTGATGGAAAAACACCGCCTGACACAGAATTATTTGTGAACAGATCTGTATCATCAATATTAAATGTAAATTTAATGATTCCGTGATCTTCGCTTGACCGTTCTATTTTTCTATTTGGATACAGCAATACAGCTTTGACATTTTGTTTTCTTAACAACACGTTTCCAATTACTCCACAACTCTATTTTGACATTTTAAATGAAATGCACAAGTCTTGCAGGTTTATAATGCAATTATCATGACTTTTAGGTAAACAGAATATGGAAATACCGGAAGGCTGAAAAAAAGAAAATTGGTAAGAGACAAAATTAAAACTGATCATGAAAACACAGCCTTTCGTATTAAACACCTGGCAAAGAGGAGTTATTTTCCTGAATGGAAATAAAAAAGCAAGGCTTGCATAATTCAGCGAGAGAATTGGATCAATTACAAGTTTGATGATGTTGCAGATTGTTGGCTACAGTTATAAAACGTGCTAAAAAGGGCAGGCTAAATGTACAGATACCAAATAGTGCCGAGAATTTGCTAGAAAAATGAAAGGATCCCTCCCTGTGATTTTTAATGATTTCTATTTTGCTTTTCGTTCGGCTTTTTTTTCTTGATGTCTTTTGTTTGTTTAATAAAGTTTGATAAAGTAGAAACAATAACATCGCAAAAATTTATAAAAATTAAATATACAGTCCGAAAAACAAGGATTTTGCCCTAGGGAACAGCGACAAGTATATTGATTAAATTGTAACGTTCTGTCAGAATATTCAACGTTTTATTTACATAAAATCAATTTAATCAAATTGTAATAATTATTTTATTTGACAGTATTTTCAAGGGAATGTACTATCTTGTTATTGCTGATTTATTAAAATATCATCAGGGGTTGGGAATTCTCTGTGTCTTTACCAGCTGTTTTAGCAAGAAAAACTAATCAAGTAATATGAATTCGTTTCACTTGAATTTTCCTTATGACTGTTTTGTATGCCCTTCCCTGGGTAAATGTGCTATAAGAAATATACGGATAACGGGAACAGGTACTCATCACAGAGCAACTAACTTTCATAAACTAATTTAACAAATGAAATGCTCCTTGATCATGGACAGGCCAGTTACGCCCTGTGGAACCGTTAAAATAATAGTACGGGTTGACGGTTTAGAAAATCGGTCCACAGCTTACTATCCGTTCAAAAAATGAGGATGCCGGTGTATCTTTGCACGTTTCAGTCACGTGATTGATGACCTGACAGTTGATGTCAGCCAATTTTGCAGGTGGTTTAACCAATTCTCTTTCTCCGTGGGGTCAAAACTGAACGACACAGCAAGAAAGAATCTAAAGGAAGGACCATAAAAAGAATTGGCTGCCAATTAACTGTCAATTAGGGGGACCATAGGAACATTCCAGAGCCTTATTAGGGATCCAATGAATTTTATCGCGAATCAACCAAACATCTTCTCACCCCCGGCGACAGTAATGACTGGCGTCTTAAGGATACATTAATCACAGTGCATTACATCTTTATTTACTTCCGCCGCTTTTCATTCGATCCCTTCATACTGAAGTCAAAATTTTAACTACTACTTTCCCAACTTTATTTACAACACTATACGTTACTAAGTGTACATAAAATACCCTTAAATAATATTACATGTCCTTATCTCACTTTTCAAGACTAACATTATCGCCAGTGCTTACTTTGCTTAAAATGCCAACAATTGAACACAGCGAACATTCCATTTCACCCCTTACCACCACAACACTTTTTACGGTACCACCACTTTTTAGGCTAGTCGATACACTGCCTAGCCTGGAATCCCACCCGGTCATCTAAGTTTAGAGCATGCGCAGAGGTGGCCTCTTCAAATAATGCCACAAGGCCACATAGTTAAAAACTCTCTCTTTCAGACGATGTGTTTCACCGGTTCCTGATTGTGTATACACCGGAATATGTATTAAGAATTTTTCCTCAACGCCTTCACGAAAGGAATTTCGCCTTAGGATTGGTTTATACCTGGATTTTACATGCTTTTGCATGATTGCATGATATTGCCTCTCCCTCCCCGCTCCCTACTTTCTTCCTATTTCTAGCTGTTCACTTTTGTTTGAAGGTAATTAGAGTCTTTTTCGGTTTCTGTTAGAGTCTCAAGTTACGGGGAATCGTCTGTAAACAAACAAAGCAATCGTGGATAAATATCGACACCCAATTGAAAATTGCTCTAAAAAAAGGAATCCGGGTGGACAATCAATTGATTTTATAGGATGAACCTAGCGAACACTTCGTTCGTGTTCGTCTAACCCTTGAAAATGCCTAAAGCGTCAGATTTAATATTAGGTGCAAAATTCTTACTTTTCGCTGCTATAAGCATAACAGAATTTGATGTAAGATAGAATAAGACCGCTGATCATTTCATCGATTCTTATCACTTGTTTGCTTAGTAGTTTATTGATATGAACGAAGAAAGCAATCAGCCCTCGTCATATGTGTGAGAATTAATTTGTTACAGTCTGCCTTGGCTATAAGCCTCGAATAAGAATATTACCATGTGGAGTTACAACATTTCTCATTTGGTTGGGCGAATTTGTTCCGGAACGATCATGGGTAGGAAAATGGTTCATGGTAGAGCCATCAAAATAGTAGTACACGGTGTTCCACGGCCTACTCATGGAGAACAGTGGCCCATAGCTTTGGGCGACTTGTTTGGAAAAAAAAGGGAAGGAACCAACGTGTTACTCGGATCATCCGGCACCTGTTTAATTATCGTACAGTTGACGTCACCTTCCTGCCAATCAACCAAGCTGCCACTTCCCGGATCACACACCAGCCAATTGTTTATGTTGCTTTTGATGAGGACCTGTCTGCCGAGTTGCCTCCAGAGTGAAAAGTTCATGGCGTTGTAGCCTGTTTCATTTAATGGAGGAGTTGTGGAGATAGGAACATCCGTTTGAGATCTCACCGGCCAATTTGGCCTCGGAGTGATCGCATTTGATTTACGCCTAAAATGACTGTAGTTAGTGAAGGAATAACTCCATACAAGAGTCCAACCTCCTCCATCAGTTTCCATGTCACAGTAAGCCTTGAAAAGATTGGCCTGAGATCCACCACTTGGATTAATCCAATAAATACCCGAAGAGGAAGTGGGATATTTCCTGAGGAGGGTCTGGCACGAGTTTCCTATTGAATGCTGTGTTAAACCAGAGTGCAAAGGAGTGGTTTGACCTATAGGGTCCCAAAAATTTAGAGAGAGGATGACAAGATGTTTGATGATTAAAACTGGCATGGGTTTCATAAATATTTCCTAAAGGTGCCGCGTCGGTGGGAGAGTATAACAGGGTAATTTGGTATCATCAACTAAACTGATAGCGTAACTTGGCAACTGTATAGAGTTTCAAGGCTGACGTTGCGAGCGTTAGCCCTTCGTCAGAGCGATTGGAACTGGCTTTGAAACTCTTTACAGTGGCCAATTTACAGTATTAACTCAGTTGATAATGCTAAATGATAGTTTACATCAGTGTTATAGTTACCAATTCAAACAATTTGCGTCTCAGTCTTACCTTGGGATGAGCCAGATTTTCTTGGTAGGTCAACCTGTATTGGCGTTAGACAAAACATCTCAATTAACATCCATACTTCATGCCATGTACATCTTTAAGGAATTCCTAAAGGCCCATTGGCACACAGTGTATCTTTACACTTTTGGCTTCCACTTTTAACCGAGCGTTTTATGGGTGTTTGAATAGAGAAACTGATTTTTAATGAACTTCCTTTGATCATGCTGTCCCTCCTAACTAATTAATTAAAAGGGTTAAGTTTCTGAGGAAACTGTGGTGCTGCGCGTGTGGGGGGCATCACAAGATATTTTGGTGTTATTAACTGAGTCGTTAATGTAAACTGGTCACCGTAAAGAGTTTCTAAAGCTGACGTAGGGTTAACTCTTGAAACAAATATTCATCTCAATCTATTTACGTCGATCTTTAGGGATATTTCTCTTTATTTGGACTTACAGTGCAATGTAAATAAAATGCCAAAGTCCTGTTACGTTCATGGTTTTTCTTAAACAAAAATTACATTTTGCGCAATGTTTTTCTCGTGAAATGATGGTGAAAGTAATCATGATCGCTGTGAAGAAACCTCCCCTTTGGTGGGAAGGAAGGAGGGTTGAACTTGTTCGTGGTAGTGCTAAAATTATCGTGTTTTGAGTTATCATCTTAAAACTGCAACATATCATCAATGGCAAATACCTTTGTTAAATATATAGAACCATCTCGCTGGTAAAGATGCCCAGCTGCTGAACTTGTTTGCATTTCGCCGCGAAGAAGGTGACAAAGTCTTTGGTTTTCTAAAAAGTTTGCTCGTCTGCAAGAAGTTTCCCGTCCACTCAAAACAGAGCAGGAAAGCAAAGAGTCAGCTTTTCCAGACCAAACAAGACTTTCCTCACTGAAACCAAAAAAAAGCTGTTTTCTTTGATTTGGAAGTAAACGCCATGTTCGGATCCTTCAATTGTCGTCAAGACGAAAGCAATTCCATACACGACTTGAAATAACATCTGTCAAGAGAATCTTACGAAAAATATTTTTATTTAGTAAACGTATGAAACATACAAATTGCCTACTTGTTGAGAAAAGGGTAAAAAATTCAGGAAGGTAAGGAATATTTACTTACGCTTTTCGTTTATGAAAAACACCGCACGACTGTCAGAAACCTTTCTGAATAGATCTGCATCGTTAGTATTAATTGTAAATGTGCTGATTCTGTAATCTTCGTCTGAAAGTGTATTTTCTGTTTGAGTAGTGCAATATAGCTTTGACATTTTGTTTTCTAACAAAACATTTCAATTACTCCACAACTCTATTATGACATTTAAATGAAAATCGCAAGTCCTGCAGGTTTTTAATGCAATCGTCATAACGTCTAGACAAACAGAAAGAGGAATCACTGAAAAGGCTACAATGTGCTATTTCATCTAAAAAAGAGGAAAACTATTTAATCTAGATGAAAATTTCTATTCTATTAGATATCTGGCATGGAATAACTGGTTTTGTGAGTGCAAACTGTAAGAATGAAAAGCTTAATTTCTGTCCGGCTAAAACAGAGTCACCATCAGATCTCGTAGGCATTTAAGACGGATGGAACAGCCTCATCTCAGAGGTAGACATTTTGAATTTTAAGTCAAATTCAGCCGAATATATTGGCAGAAATAATGTTTTTAATGCTCGAAATTTCGTTTACTATGTTAAAATATATTGAAATATCATCAGCTATTCATTTAGTAATCCTTTCAATCTAATGTTATACTTTAAATTTATTCGTTGCATTTATTAAATTTAGTAATATGTGTTTAATGACCTTTTCAAGCTCGAACTAAAATGTCTCTCACGCATTTTTTGCACCTTTGTTTCCTTAAATATGTTTTGTGTGCCGGTGTCAGATAAGTAATGTTCACTTACCTTTGGTGTTCTATGTTCTCTCGATAGTGTCATTAAGCCTTTTGGTACAGAAAACAAATCAGTTTAGACTCGTGATACAGCAACTCATCCAAGCTGCTTAATACGCTGGATGAAGAACCTACATACTCTTTGATTCATCATCATCAACATCATCTTTCATTTGCCTTATTTACACAATACAAAAAATTTATTTACAGCAGTTATAGCTGGAAGGCGAGGAGACCCAGGAAGCCACCGGGCTTATGGGAGAGCCACCTCACTTACATTAATAAATCAAGTAAAGAAAAAGTGCTGCGAATGTGCGGCTAGGCCAATTCAGTGATTATTTAAGTAAAAACTCTTGCATTTTCGTCTTAAAACTAAGAAGGTTTGTCAAACGAGTGGCTGGAACAGGAAGAGAGTTCCAAATGTTAGGACCTTGGTAGAGAATTGTAAATTGATTGAGATTTGTACGGCACAAATGCGTTCGATAATTACTGGCTGTTCTGGTACCATAGTTGTGAATTTTACCATTCGTTACAAAAAGATTGAGGAAGCAATGGAGGCAATAAGTTATTTCTATAATAAAACATGAATTTGGCGATTTCAAGCGTATTGACTTGAAAATATATGAAATTCCTAGTTTGGAGAATAAAGGAGCGGAATGGGCTCGATAGTCTGAGTTGGTGATAGCCCGCACAGCTCGCTTTTGCAAGTAATAAATTCTGTTTAAGTTAGATACGTATGTGGACGACCAGGCGCAGTTACAATAGACGATATAAGGATAAATTAAGGTGTAGCACAAAGTTAATTTGGTTGTAGAGGATAGGAAAAAGCGAGACCTGAACATAATACCTATTGATTTAGCGATTTGTTTACATACATAGCTGATATGGTGTTTTCAGGTGGGATGATCATCAATATAGACCCCAAAGAATTTAGTTATTTTAGATTGTTGTAGGGGTTTACTTCCAAAGGAGAGAGAAATGCTGGAGTTAAATTTCTTCTGTCTGGGTTTAAAATTACGTAGTTAGTTTTCTTTATATTAACTGAGAGCTTATTGCATTTTAGCCAAACATCAATATTTTGGAGTTCATCATTAAGTAAGGATTCTAAGCAATTTGGGTTTGACTGAGAATAAAGGATACTGGTGTCATCAGCGAAAAGCAGAGGGTCTGTTAATTCAGAGGCATTAGGGAGCTAATTTATGTATAAAATGAACAATAGAGGGCCTAAACTCGAACCTTGAGGCGCACCACACTTGATGGTTTGCACTGGAGAGCAAGCTTGATTGAATTGGGCAAATTGCTGGCGGCAAGAAAAGTAGCTTTTAAACCACTTCAGAGCCGCGTCACGCATATAATAGTGCTCCAATTTGGCAAACAAGATTTGATGGTCGAGAGTGTCAAATACTTTGGAAAGATCTAGGAAAACACCCACCGTTGTTTCGTGTTGGTCGATTGCAGAAGCTATTTTATTTACCAAATGAATTAGTGCGTACGATGTTGAGTGATTTTTCTGAACTCCAAACTGACAGCGGTAAAGTATACGGTTTTTTTTTCAGCAAATTCTACTGAGCGATTGCATATGACTTTTTCGAAAAATTTGGAAAAATTAGACAACATAGAAATATGTCTGTAGTTTACAAAAAAGTTTGGATCCTCTGCTTTGAAGATGGGAATAATTGTGGCGATTTTAAGTTTGTCCGGGAAAATGCCTTTTAGCAGAGATAGATTGATAATATCTGCCAATGGAGCAGAAATAAGGTGAAATGAATACTTAGTGACATGCATTGGGATACTGTCATAGCCAGGAGCCTTCTCTGAAGCGAACATGCCACAAATGCTTTCCAGTTCACTAGCTGTGGTGGGCTTTAAGTTAATGGAAGGATGGTTATTATCACCAAGATAAGAACGAAAAGGAGGATTCATACTGGGTACAGATTTAGTTAGGTTGGAACCAATGTTTGTTTTTTTCATACCCTTTGTAAAGCCCGAAATGATTACCAAATCCTATTAGGCAGAGCAAACTCTATTAGGTCAAATGAAGAGGTGCTCCCTACCCCTCCCCCATCAAGCCTAAAGCTGTCGTTAGGGCAAACTCTATTAGGTCAAATGTAGAGGTGCTCCTTACCCTTCCCCCATCAAGTCTACAGCTGTTTAGTAATCTGAGGTTTACATCGCAAACTGTAGTTCTAAACATGTTTAATGAAGTGATTGTGTAATAGATATCCTGTGCAGATTAACATCAGTTTTAACGTTTAGATTGTTAACTGTACTGTCTTTCAGAAAACTAAATGTTGTTTTGCGTTACACATTTTTTATTGCGTTACCAATTGGCGCATGTTCTCTATAGAGTGTTCCGCAAAGTAGGAGATCTCGCTCGTGCTCATCTCATAAGAGCGAATCAAGCGTGAACCTTCAGCTTCTAAAATCTGATCCGAAATTCTTCTTTCCAGTCCAATGTTTTCAGTGAAAAAAGTTTGCTAGGAGTTAAGAGTTCTATCAGAATAACACCATCTAGCTGATACGTTGATTGATTTTCGTCATTTGTTTGCCAGGTAATGTAATGATTTTCCGGGTAATGCAATCAAGTTTTAAGATTTAATCACCTCTTGAAGTATTTGTGTGCAAGAGTTTGTTATTATGTCTTTGCTACTCGGCTCGAATAAAAATGTTGCCATGTGGATCAGCAACATTTTTCTTTTGGTTGGGCTTATTTGTTCCCAGAGGATCATGGGTAGGCCAATGCTTTCCTGTGCAACCGTCAAAATAGTAATAAAAGTTACACGGGGCACACTCAAATAGAACAGCGGTCCATACCCATTTTGTTGGATGTTGAAAATTTGGAAGGGACCACCTTGTGACTTGGATCAGTCACCTGTTTGATGATAGTACAGTTGACATCACCTTCCTGCCAATCAACCAAGCTGCCACTTCCCGGATGACACACCAGCCAGTTGTTGATGTTGCTCTTAATGAGCACCCGTCTGCCGAGTTGTTTCCAGAGTGAGAAGTTCATGGCTTTGTAGTCCGTTTCATTTAATGGAGGAGTTGTGGAGATAGCAACATCTACTTCAGATCTCACCGGCCAATTTGGCCTCGGAGTGATTGCATTCGATTTACTGTTAAAATGACCGTAATAAGTAAAGGAATAGCTCCATACCAATGTCCAGCCTCCTCCATCCGTCTCCATATCACAGTAAACCTTGAAAGCGTTTGCCTGAGATCCATTAAAAGGATCAATCCAATAAACACCAGAGTTTGAAGTAGGATTCTCCCTAAGGAGGGTCTGGCATGAATGTCCTACTACTGAGTGCAAGTTTGAACCAGAGTGCAAAGGAATGGTTTGACCTATTGGGTCATAAAGTTTTGAAAAAATGGATAACAAGTGTTTCAATTATTAAAACTTGGTTTTGTAAAGATTTTGTTATTGAAGACCAGTTCTCTGTCCCCAATTCGTTATCCAGCTTTTATTCCCTCACCTGCTCATCGATCTGACAATTCAACGATATTTCAGACAAGTATTGCTCATTTTTTAAATTTTTGTTGTTTGCCAACTTTATTGCGACATCATGATCACAGTCTTTCAAAACCATGTAATGTCCAACAATTTTTTGCGTCGTGTTTTTCTGCGGTATGAAAGCTAGGGAAACTGCCATCAACTTTTCATTAATAACTTGACCCCTAAGAATGCCCCCTGGCATTTTCTTTTTCTTTACAAAATCACCCTTGAACCAGAATCACGATAATAAAGGAAACGATCACCAACTAACGAAGCTCTTGATTGATAAACAAATTCTCCTAGCCAGTACCTTAAGAAAAGTATAAAGACCAGTTTATGCAGAATATGCATACCGATGTTGGGGTTCAGAGGGTGGAATTTGGCAGTTTAAATCAGTCCCCTAGTTATTAATCTCAACACAAGTCTGCCGCTCTCACCTTGGGGTGAACTGGGTATTCCTAGGAGGTGAACCTGCATTGGAGTCAAACAATACATATCAGTTAATATCCATACCTCATACGCATGCGTACGAAATTCTTGAAGGCTTATTGCTTAATAAATGTACGTGCTCGTAGTTGTCTGTGGCTACCGCTTAAAACTGGACGTTTTATGTGCTTTGGATGATAAGCTTGATTTTGTATTTAACTTCTGGTAATTGGTTATGTCTTCCCTATTTTTTAGCTAAAGGGGGTAATTTTCGAAAGAAGCTCTGGTGTTAAATAGGTGGGGTCAATGCAAACTGGCCAACATTGAGTTTCTAAAGCTGAAGGAGGGCCATAGCTTGAAAGGTTAGCTCTTAACAGTCTTGAAGGCGGCCAACTAACATTATCAACTCAGTTGATAAGGTCAAAATATATTTTTTTAAAGAGTTGCTCTTTATAAATATTCATGCATCTAAGACTTTCCCTTTTTTATTACTTCGGCACACCATGAATTAAACGCTCTGGTCTTTTTCGTAGTTTTCTTAAACTGAAATTAAATTTAATAGAGTTTTTGACGGTCTCTTGAAATTATGATAACAGTAATCAGTTTTGCTGTGAAAAGTCTTCCCTCTGATGGGAAAGATCGAGCAACGGTTTTCTGGGTCGTGATCATGCTAAAATAATCGCAAGTTGTCATCCGAAAACTATAACATGTAAAACAAAATAGATGTGAAATACCTTTTTTAAATAGAAAGAGCCATCTCGCTCTAAAAGCCGCCCAGCTGCTGAACTAGTTTGCATTTCGTCGCGAAGAAGATAACAATGTCCTGCTTTTTGCAGAAAGTTTGCACCTCTGCAAGAAGCTTGCCTCGCACACAAAACAGAACAGGAAAGCAAAGAATCAGCCCCAGACCAAAAAGGGCTTTCTTCTCCAAAGGTGAAAAATTTGTTTTCTTTGATTTGAAAGAAAACACCATTTTCGGCTCCTTCGGTTGTCTTTGCCGTTAAGAACAAGACAAATGCAAATCGGTACTCGACTTGAAGTAACATCTGTCAAGAGAATCTTGAGACAATATGTATAGTTAGTAAACGTATAAAACATATGAATTACTTGCCTATAGACAAAATGGTCAAACAAGACAGAAAGATCAGAAAGCAACAGAACTTTTAACCCACCCTTTCCTGTTGATGGAAAAACACCGCACGACACACAGAAACCTTTGTGAACAGATCTGTATCGTTAATATAAATTATAAATTTAATGATTCCGTGATCTTCGCGTGATAGTCAATTTTTCTATTTGGATATAATAATAGAGCTTTGACATTTTGTTTTCTTAAGAACACGTTTCCAATTACTCCACAACTCTATTTTGACATTTTAAATGAAATGCACAAGTCCTGCAGGTTTATAATACAATCATCATGACTTCTAGGTAAACAGAATATGGAAATACCGGAAGGCTGAAAAAAGGTCTTTTATGTAACAGCGAAGAAATAAAAAATTTGAAATACAAAGTTAAAAATAAGAAAATAACAAAATTGTTAAGAGAAAAAATTAAAACCGGACATGAAAAAAAAACCGGCCTTTTGTATGAAACAACTGGAAAAGAAGAATTACTTTCCTGAATAGAAATGAAAAAGTAAGGCATGTATAATTCAGCGAGAAAATTGGATCAATTACAAGTTTGATGATGATGCATATGGTTGGCTACCGTTATAAAACGTACTAAAAGGGCAGTCTAAATGTACAGATACCAAATAGTGCCGAGAATTTGCTAGAAGTGAAAGGATCCCTCCCTGTGATTTTTAATGATTTCTATTTTGCTTTTCGTTCTGCTTTTTTTTCTTGATGTCTTTTGTTTGTTTTTGCTTTTATTCGTTCGTTTTTACTTAATAAAGTAGAAACAATAATATCGCAAAAATTTATAAATATTAGATATACACTCCGAAAAACAAGGATTTTCCCTCAGGGAACAGCAGCAAGTATATTGATTAAATAATAACGTTCTGTCAGAATATTTGCGGAGGAGAGTCAAGTGGTAATTTTGTGATACGAGAAAAAATCTTAGGTTTGTCAATGAATGATTTTAATATGAGGAAGCGAGAATCTGTAGTGACTTAACTTAAAGATCGCGATCAACCCCTATAAAGAAAAGGTTCACATTATTGACAATACAAGACAACGTTTTATTCACATAAATCAATTAAATCAAATTGTAATAATTATTTTATTTGACAGTATTTTCAAGAGAATGTACTATCTTGGTACTGCAGCTGATTTATTAAAATATCATCAGGGGTTGGGCATTCTCTGTGTCTTTAAGTAAGAATAACTAATCAAGCAATATGAATTTGTTTTACTTGAATTTTCCTTATGACTGTTTTGTATACCCTTCCCTGGGTAAATGTGCTATAAGAAATATACGGATAACGGGAACAGGTGCTCATTACAGAGCAACTAACTTTCATAGACTAATTTAACAAATGAAATGCTCTCTGATCATGGACAAGCCAGTTACACCCTGTGGAACCGTTAACCCGCCATTGTTCCAAAGTGGCCATATACGGTCATTGTTAGTCTTAAAACAAAGCTGCTCAACTTTAGTCCGATCCGCTTTTCTTGATACGAAAATAATAGTACGGGTTGACGGCTTAGAAAATCGGTCCACAGCTTATTATCCGTTCAAAAAATAAAGATGCCGGTGTATCTTTTCACGTGTCAGTCACGTGCTTGATGACCTGACAGCTGATGTCATCTTCCCTCCAATCAGCCAAGCTGCCAGTTCTCGGATGCAATGATTTTAAGAATTCAATCACCTCTGAAAGATATATGTGTGGTTTTATTACTATGTCTTTGCCACTCGGCTCGAATAAAAATGTTACCGTGTGGATCAACAACATTTTTCTTTTGGTTTGGCTCTGTTCTTCCCATAGGATCATGGGCAGACCAATGCTTCCCTGTGTAACCGTCAAAATAGTAATAAAAGCTATGCGAGCGCTCAGTCAAATAGGACAGTGGTAATATATAATTATATATAAAAGGATATAGACCTGGCTCCGGTTCTTCGAAGGGCAGACATAGGTATCCACTAGATAAATCTCTATCCGATGTATAGCGCAATTTTTTGTTTTCGTTTACAGTTATGCGTTGAATAGCATTTATATGGGAAAGTGTTGTCAAAAACGCACTAACACACGTTTCCTAATAAATCTGCACCTTTTTAATTAACGAGCTGAAGATATATGACGACCTTTTACCCTAACAAAAGAAAGATCATAATCCCGAGTTTCCGTTTTCTTTTCAACGTGTGTCTGGTCTCTTAGTATAACATAACAACGACGAAATGATCGTCTACAGTTTCCGACAGCAAGGCCCCGAAGACCAGCCTTATGTTTACTGGCATACGCTTTTACAGACTTTTTTCACAATTCCATTGAGCTGTATCAGACAATTATTAGACTCAAAACATTTCCTCTCTATGAACTTTGTCTGATCAATGATACTTTACCAATAAGCGGCCCTAGAGTCGTTCGAAACTATTCTAAGTAGCTGTATACGTTCCGACTTTTCGTGTCGTGTTTTGACGGCGAACGAAACTTAGAAGACTGCTCACAACTTTTTAGTGCGAAAGAAAACCTAAAAATGGCAACGATAAGAAAGGAAGGGTCATGGAGGAGGTGGAAAAGGGTGACACTAAAACCGGGTAGAGATGGTGAACTAGGAAAATGTAAAAGATTCAAGTTTATCTCGGTGCATCAAGACTTATCAATAAGAATTTGTGGCTTTCACCTTGGGGTGAGTTGGTTCTTTCTGGGAGTTCGACCTGTATTGGAGTTAAACAATGCATACTATAATGATTAATAAATGTGCTCATATTTATCGGTGGCGTGCACCTCCAAGGGAACATTTTATGTACCTTTGGATACAAAACTTGATGTTCCAACAAACTTCTGTTTGTCAATATTTGCCGCTAAGAGCAAAGACCAATGCAAATCGGTACTCGACTTGAAATAACATATGTCGAGAGAATCTCACGACAAATTTTTTTCTTTAGTAAACGTGTGAAACATATAAATTGCCTTCTTGTTGAGAAAATTGTAAAACAATCCAGAAAGGGAATTTTAACTCGCTCTTTTCTTTTAATGGCAAAACACCGCGCGACACACAGAAACCTTTGTGAATAAATCTGCACCTTCGATATATATTAGTTCAAATTTGCTGATTCCGTGCACGTGATCTTCGTCTGAAAGTCTATTTTCCTATTTAAATAGAGAAATACAGCTTTGAAATTTTGTTTTCTTTACAATACGTTTCCAATTACTCCACAACTCTTTTTTGACTTTAAACTGAAAAACAAAAGCCCAGCAGGTTGATAATGCAGTTATCATGACTTCTATAAATAAACAGCATTTGGGAAGAACATCCAAAAGGCTTCAACGGAAAAATGAATGACGAAAAAATTAGTGGAAGACGAATTAAAACTGAACATCTAACTGCAGTAAAGTTGTTTGAAACACCTAGCAAGGAAACTTAAATGTTTTGAGTACAAATGAAAATGTAAATGTTTAAAAATGTGTGTCCTAGAGCAAAATTATTGTTACCAACCGGCCTCGCAAACGCATTTGAGATGAAACAAAATAATAACGTAGATGCCGAAGTCAATATTTCAGTCTGAATATTTTTAAAAGTAATGTGTATTGAACGTTTTAAAGAAAAAATGTTTACAAAACACTTAATTTGAATTGCGAGTCATCAGCCGGCTTGAACTTCAAAGTGATATTTAACTTTTTATTTATGCCATTTATTTCATATACTAATGCATCTTTAATATTTTCAAGGTCGAACAAAAATGTTTCCATGTGGATTAACAACATTCTTCTTTTGGTTAGGCCTATTGCTTCCACTAGGATCATGGGTAGGCCAATGATTTCCTGTAAAACCATCAAAGTAATAGGAAATGCTCCCCCAGGGTGTACTCAGGTAGAACAGCGGTCCATAGGCTCGGTTCGGCGAAAACTCAGAAGGCGCAGAAGAAAATGATATGCTTGGGTCAATCACGAGTTTAATTATCTTACAGTTGACGTCACCTTCCTGCCAATCAACCAAACTGCCATTTCCCGGATGACACACCAGCCAGTTGTTTACGTTGCTCTTGATGAGAACCTGTCTGCCGAGTTGTTTCCAGAGTGAGAAGTTTATGGCGTTGTAGTCTGTTTCATTTGATGGAGGAGTTGTGGAGATAGGAACATCCACTTCGGGTCTCATCGGCCAATTTGGCCTCGGAGTGATTGCATTTGATTTGCTCGTAAAATGACTATAATTAGTGAAGGAATAGCTCCACACTAGTGTCCAGCCTCCTCCATCAGTCTCCATGTCACAGTAAGCCTTGAAAGCGTTGGCCTGGGATCCACCATCAGGATCAATCCAATAAACGCCAGAGATCAAAGTAGGATATTTACTGAGGAGAGTCAAACACGAGTGTCCTGCTGAATGCTGGGTTGAACCAGAGTGCAAGGGAATGCTTTGACCTGCAGGGTAACAGATGTTTCGGAAAGACGATAACAACATGTTTGGTGATCAGAAGTAGGATTTATTTCCATACTGGCAACAGTCGGGCTATTCATCGACAATACAATCATGTACGAATGGGTATAAAAATTTGACTAGTATCACCTCTTTTACAGTTTCGGGGTGATATGCATTTAAACCATCATAAAAATTAGTTTAATTGGTGATATATATAGGAAAGGAAAAACTTCGAACCGTTTAAGTTAACCTCCCCCATCAGTCTCCATGTCACAGAGAGCTTTGAATAAGTTGACAGGGGATTCACGATGAGGACCAATCCAATAAACACCCGAAGTCGAAGTGGGACATTGGTTGAGGAGAGTCTGGCTCGCGGTTACCGCTAAATGTTAGGTTGAACCGTGCAATTCTGGGCATGGGCACTCTGGTGCTTTGTCCTGATGGAATGGGGTCGACTAATTTGCCCTGCGTTACAAAAGTACAGAGCTCAATTACAGGGTGGAACGTTGCTACAGTGACCTTATGCGTCAACCCCTTTTTCGTTGCGGTGCATTAAAAGGTGTGTGGTACAATTAGTTCTTTCGAACAGCTTTACTTCTATTCATAGAATAGGTCTTAATCACGGAGCCCTTTTGGGTACAAGGAAGACATGGTGAATATAGAAAATGATCACATACCTCGTGGACCAGATATTCCAGGAGAGACAACCTGTGAACCGCAACGAAGTTCAATTTTGGTCATCTTTTTTTGCTCTAGGTTTTTTCTCTAATAATTTTTTAAACTGTTAGCTTGCTGTGGAATTTTATCACGGTTCATTTAAAGTAGTCTTTGATTCAGGCTACCTAAGAGGGTACATACAGATGAAAGCGACAGGTGCAATTTTCTTTTCCAATACTTCAAAGTAAATTAATGGGAATGAATAACAAACATTTACAAAATGGATACGATAGAACATGCCGACATCTATCTTTTATTGATCCGGTCTTCCGACCATATGGCATTTCCGACACTAGAACATAGAATTTCCAGTCAAGCTTTACGAAAAGGAGAAAGTTTCAGAGAAAGTTTCATTCAGTTGAGATCGCACTGAATAAAAAAATAAATGGCAACGGCAAAGTATACAAAATTTACGAAATACCTTTTTCACATAGAAAGAACCTTCCCGTTTTACAAATCTCTCCAACTTTTTTGCTTGTTGTCCTTCGCCAAAAAGCGAACAGGTGCCTTTGTTCGCCAGGAAATTTGCTCCTTTACAAGAAGCCTCTCTCCTACACATTTGAGCACAGGTCAATAAAGAGTGAGCGTTTTCACTTTGAAGAGCATTTTCATCGACGAGACAAGCGTTTTCTTATATGCGAAAGAACATGCCCCGATCTTCCTCTGCAGATATCTTAGGTGTTACCAAAAAGGCCCATATGAGAGCAAATATGTCCCAAGGAAAGATCTGCAAGAAAGGAAATTAAAATATGATAAAATAAGGAAGAACAGTCAAAGTAGGAGGACCCTGTTGGATTATTGCTTAACATATTGCAAAACTTTGAAGAGAAGTTACTCACAAATTTTAAAGCCATCATCGATGGGAAAAGTAACATTGGGAGCAGATCTTTACTCCTTGTGATTTTATCGAGTTTTCTTTGTCAAACAAAAATAAACGCAATGTATTCGAGTACAACATAAAAGGATTTTATGGTCTGTTTTATTTGTTAATACTTATCATTCTCTCGGGGATCGGAGAAAGTATGGGTGTGCGAGTTTTTGGGAAAAAAAATTGAGTGTTCAGAAGTTCAGAACGCGTGGTTCAAAACCTTGAAACAAAGATCAGCTTTAATTTGCCTTTTTTTATCGAATGAATCTAAGAAAACAATCATAAAAGGCAAAAACACCTGTAATAATATCCAGAAATCTAACGAGAATTGATTTGATCAGGTGGCTGTACTCAATTACCAAAAAAACTCAAAGTGGTTTTGGAAAGCTCCTGAAATATATCAATTAAGGTTTATAAATGCAGAAGGAGTAATAGCAAACACTATGGTCTTAACATGAAGTAAAAGTTGTTTTTATTAGCATTTCGAAGGTAGTTAGCATAAAAAGGAAAACTCAGTTTCCACGCAGTACACCATTTTCAAAACTCCGTTATATGTTTTTACTATTGATTAATGCTCATTACTCAACCCCTTTACTCCTGGCCTTTCCATGGAAATATGAAAAGAAAAAAAACCCCGTGGCGACAATTATTTAATGGGGTAATTGATCCAGGCTTCCCTAAGTGAATCTTATTTACTCATTTTATTCTAAAAATTGCTCTAGCTGATTGCAACTATCTGGTTTAGTGGTTGGCACGAGTTTTGTAAACATCAGCGGTAAAAGTAGTCATGATTAAAAACATTGAGAGCTTAAATTTTGTTTTACAACAATAAAGAAGAAACTAGCACCTAATCAAGTCAAAGTTTCGCGAAGTGATTTGAATTACCTAAAATTCCATTGGAAAAAAAACATTCTGAAAGATAATCTCCCGATCTCTCATGATGAGTGTAACTGGTGCTTTGCCTGTTGTCATCTTACGAGAGTGATACACGCTTGAACCTTCAGCCTCCAAGATCTGATCCGAAATTCTCCCTTCTAATGGGGTTTTCTCAGTAATTACGATAGAAGAATTTAGAGTTCTATCAGTTTAATACCCTCAAAGTCCTGATGATGATTCTCGTCACACGTTTTCAAGGTAATGAAATGATTTTGTGCAGATAACTTAACCAACTCTAGAAGATACGTGTGTAAAGGTTTGTCATTGTCTGTCTTTGCTACTCGGCTCGAATAAAAATGTTACCGTGTGGATCAAGAACATTTTTCTTTTGGTTGGGCCCATTTCTTCCACAAGGATCATGGGTAGGCCAATATTTGCCCGTGTAACCATTAAAATAATAAAAGTTGCTGACCCAGCGCCCACTCGAATGGAACATTGGTCCATGGTCGATTTTTGGTGAAAACTTGGAAGGCGCCGAAGCTGATTCTCCAGGGTCAGCCACGTATTTTGTGATAGTACAGTTGACGTCACCTTTCTGCCAATCAACCAGGCTGCCAGTTACCGGTTGACACAACAGCCAGTTGTTTATGTTGCTCTTGATGAGGATCTGTCTACCGAGTGTTTTCCAGAGTGAGAAGTTCATGGCGTTGTAGTCTGTTTCATTTAATGGAGAAATTGTAGAGATAGGAACATTCACTTCATTTTTGGCCGGCCAATTTGGCCTAGGAGTGATTGCATTTGAATGATCGTTAAAATGACTGTAGTTAGTAAAGGAATAGCTCCATACTAATGTCCAGCCCCCTCTATTCGTTTCCATGTCACAGTAAGCCTTGAAAGCGTTGGCCTTGGATCCTCCATCAGGATCGATCCAATAAACACCCGTAGACGTAGCGGGAGACTGTTTGAGGAGAGTCTGGCACGAGGTTACTGCTGAGTCCTGGTTAGAACCAGGGGGTAGAGAGATGTTTTGCTCTACAGTCATAGAATTGAAAATTGAAAGTGAGTCTACTGAAGTATCCTCTATGTTTACTAAAGCCATGTAAGGGAAAATAGAGCTGGCAACCTAAATTCAGTTACGAGTATCAAACAAGACTGAACTAATTTTATGTTATTGAGCAATTTAAAAGGATCTAAACTTAAACACCGGCCCAACGTTTCCTGACATGCGTTCTAACTTGGATTTATCTTTCCTTTTTTTTTCCAATTCCGTTGAGTTGTCTCAGACAATTAGGATTCAGGCTCAATCATTTCCTCACTATCAACCTTGTAAATAAATGATTTTATTGGTGAACGTACAACTACTAAGACAGTCGAAACCATTCTACGTAGCTGTATAACTGTCCCGATTTTTTGTGTTTACTTTAATGACAATCGAAATTAAGGAAAAAGTATTCAGTGCAAAAAAAAAAATTAAAATTGGTAGCAATAGGCCAGGAAGGATAATGGAAGAGGGGAAGAACATGGAGGACACCAAAACGTGGTAGAAATGAAGAAATTGAAAATTATAAAGGTCAAGTTTGTTTTGGTGCATCAAGGTTTATCCAATAGCTATGGGTGGTAATTTACATTAGTGCTCGGGTTACTGATCTTAATAAAACTGAATTCCTAGCTCTCACCTTGGGGTAAATCAGTTCTTTCTGGAAGGTCGATCTAAATTGGAGTTAAACAAGACATTTATAGTTAGTATCCGCACTTCGAGTTATGTGCATATGTACGAAATTGTTGAAGGCTCACCGGGCGACTGTGGTCTTATTTCAGTTGTTAGTGGCTTCTGTTTATAATTGAACGTTTCATAAAGTTTTAAATTATGGTCTTGATGTTAAGACAAGCTTCTGTGGGTCTTGTCGTCTCAACCTTTCCTATAAGGTCTCATCTCAATTCATTCACGTTCCTCCACAAATGTCCTCTCATGTTTCAGCTTTTTTCCTGCTAAAGCGCAAATTACTTTAAACGCCCGATCAAGTCTCATACGTAGATCTGATGAGCTAAATCAAAAAGTTTGCGGAGTTTTTGTTTCGTGAAATGATCGTAGCATTTATCTTTATCGCTTTCAAAAAATCTCTATCGTACATCAGCTAGGAAAGAAAATTAAGGCCATTCCGCACTAGCGAAAACGTCACGGTTTATTTTGACAAATTTCCAATCATCATAAACAAACAGGTGAAATCCTCGGCAAACTATGCTGGCTGGTCTTATGAATAGATCGGGCGTTGACGGAATTTGACGGCTTTTATATATAACAGACGGAACAAAAATTTGTCATGACAAAATTTGTCCTTTCATTTTAACCGGGCAATTCTAATTTTGTCTACTAGTGCGGGAAGGCCCTTAAACTTGTTCGTGATAAAGTGTACATTATCGGAAGTTGTCACCAAAAAACATGGTATGTCATCAATGCCAAATACCTTTGTCAGATAGAAAGAGCCATCTCGCTGTAAAAGTCGCTCAGTTCCTGAACTTGTTTGCATTTCGCCGCGAAGAAGGTAACAAAGTCTTGGGTTTTCCAGAAAGTTTGCACTTCTGCACGAAGTTTGTCTCGCACACAAAACCGAACAGGAAAGCAAAGAATCAGTTTCTCCAGACCAAAAGAGGCTTCCTTCTCTGTAGCTGAAAAACGTGTTTTCTTTGATTTGAAAGAAAACGCCATTTTCGGCTCCTTCAGTTGTCTTTGCCGCCGAGAACAAGACGACTACAAACAGGTACTCGACTTGCAGAAACATCTGTCGAGAGAGTCTTAGGACAAACTTATGATTAGAAAATGTATGGATCATATAAATTACCTGCCTTCAGACAAAATTGTCTGACAAGACAGAAAGGGAGAGAAATTTTAACCCACCCTTTGATTTTAACAAAAACAGCGCGCGACACGCTCAAACCTTTGTGTATAAGTTTGCACCGTTAGTGCCAACTGTAAATTTATTATTGATTCCGTGATCTTCGTCTGAAAGTCTATTTTTCTATTTAAGTATAATAATACAGCTTTGAGCTTTTGTTTTCTTAGCAATACGTTTCCAATTACCCCACAGCTCTGTTTTGACATTTAAATGCAAACACAAGTCCTGCAGGTTTATAATGCAATTATCACGACTTCTAGGTAAAAAGAATATGGAAACACTGGAAAGGTTGCGATCAGCTCTTTTATGAAACAGTTCAGTGAAGAAGAAAATAATTTAAAATGCAAAGTTGAAAATAAAAAGAGTTGGTGGGAGACTCTATTTTGACATTTAAATGAAAACAAAAGTCCTGTCGAGAGAATCTAAGGACAAACTTATGATTAGTAAATGTATGGAACATATAAATCACCTACCTATAGACAAAATAGTCAGACAAGACAGAAAAGGAGAGAAATTTTCAACCCACCCGTTGATTTTAATTAAAAAAACCGCGCGACCCGCTCATACCTTTATGAATAAGTTAAGAAATTTTAACCCACCCTGTTACTGAACTTGTTTGCATTTCGCCGCGAAGAAGGTAACAAAGTCCTGGGTTTTCCAGAAAGTTTGCACTTCTGCACGAAGTTTGTCTCGCACACAAAACCGAACAGGAAAGCAAAGAATCAGTTTCTCCAGACCAAAAGAGGCTTCCTTCTCTGTAGCTGAAAAAAGTGTTTTCTTTGATTTGAAAGAAAACGCCATTTTCGGCTCCTTCAGTTGTCTTTGCCGCCGAGAACAAGACGACTACAAACAGGTACTCGACTTGCAGAAACATCTGTCAAGAGAATCTAAGGACAAACTTATGATTAGTAAATGTATGGAACATATAAATCACCTGCCTACAGACAAAATAGTCAGACAAGACAGAAAAGGAGAGAAATTTTCAACCCACCCGTTGATTTTAATAAAAAAAAACCGCGCGACCCGCTCATACCTTTGTGTATAAGTTTGCACCGTTAGTACCAATTGTAAAGTAATTCATTCCGTGATCTTCGTCTGAAAGTCTATTTTTCTATTTAACTATAATAATACAGCTTTGACCTTTTGTTTTCTTAACAATACGTTTCCAATTACCCCACAGCTCTGTTTTGAAATTTAAATGCAAACACAAGTCCTGCAGGTTTATAATGCAATTATCACAACTTCTAGGTAAAAAGAATATGGAAATACTGGAAAGGTTGCGATCAGCTCTTTTATGAAAAAGTTCAGTGAAGAAGAAAATAATTTAAAATGCAAAGTTGAAAATAAAAAGAGTTGGTGGGAGATTAAATTAAAACTGGACATGAAAACACATCTTTTATGTTTGAAACACCTGGCAAAGAAAAAGTACTTTTTTGAGTGCAAATGGAAAGGTAAGGCCTGTATTTGTAGAAATTATTTAATATGTTATTTATTAACCAGTCCTTTCAAACTGATATTTTTCCTTTTATTTCTTACAAGTAGTAGTAGGCCACAAGTAGTAGCCTTACCGTTTTTAAAAAGCAACTTAAAACATTTCTAATTAGGAAAGCTTTTAGTTTGTTTTGATAGATCTAATGTATATTGCCTTTGAATATTTAAATTTTAATTAGTATAGAACTTTAACTTATGTAAAGCGCTTCTGAATATTGTTTAAAGTTTGAGCGCTATAAAAATTCCTTATCATTATCATTATCGTTATTATTTTTTACATAAAGTAATACATGTTTGATAATTTTTTCAAGATCAAACAATCATTTTTCACTTGCTTGGGCTCGACTCTTCCACTAGGATCACGTATAAGCCAATAATCTCCAGAGCAACTATCAAATTAAAAGTAAGACCTAATTCAGCGCATGCACCGAGAGAATGGCGGTCCAAAGCCTTGGGATTTGTTGGGTGAAATTTTAAAGTAGTAAAGTAGAAAAAGTAACTTTGCATAAAATTCCCTTAGCAGATGTGGGGCCATCATCCCATCACTCAAGCCTCCAAGATGGGATTCAAATTTCTCATTTTTAGCTTCTGTCCTCTTGTACAGTAAAGTAGTTTAAAGAATAAAGAGAAATATCAAAATGATACCCTTTTGCTGATAAGTTCGTTCATTTTAATTACTTTTCTGGTGGATATGGTATTGATATTGTGAGGAGAAGTTAATTACTTCTGAAGTTATTTGAGTAGAAATTTGTTAAAATCTGTCTTTCCTACTCGACTCGAATGAAAATGTTAGCATGTGGATTTGCAACATTTTTCTTTTGGTTAGGACTATTTCCTCCAAGAGGATCATGAGTAGGCCTATGGTTTTCAGTGTGACCATCAAAATAATAGTTAGTGCTGTTATAGCGTTTGGTCATACAAAGCAGCGGCCCATAGCTATTGTTTAGATTCGGTGAAAACCTTGATGAGACCAACTCGTGACTTGGGCCAGTTACGTGTTTGATGATCGAACAGTTGATATAACCTTCCTGCCAATCTACCACGCTGCCATTTCAACGGTTTGCCGGGTCGTAATAATGCTAAAATGATCGCAAGTTGCCATCCGAAAAACATGTAAAACAAAATACATGTAAAATACCTTTTTTAAATAGAAAGAACCAGCTTGCTCTAAAAGCCGCCCAGCTGCTGAACTTGTTTATATTTCGTCGCGAAGAAGATAACAAAGTCCAGCTTTTTCCAGAAAGTTTGCACTTCTGCAGGAAGCTTCCCTCACACAAAAAAGAACAGGAAAGCAGAGAATCCGTTTTAGACCAAAAAAGGCTTTCTTCTCCATAGCTGAAAAATTTGTTTTCTTTGATTTGAAAGAAAACACCATTTTCGGCTCCTTCAGCTGTCTTTGCCGCTAAGAACAAGACGATTGCAAATCGGTACTCGACTTGAAGTAACATCTGTCAAGAGAATCTTGACACAAAATCAGGTATAGTCAGTAAACGTATGAAACATAAATTACCTGCCTATAGACAAAATAGTCAAACAAGACAGAAAGATCAGAAAGGAAGAGAGATTTAAACCAACCCTTTTCTGTTGATGGAAAAACACCGCCCGACACACAGAAACCTTTGTGAACAGATCTGTATCATCAATATTAAATGTAAATTTAATGATTCCGTGATCTTCGCGTGATAGTCAATTTTTCTATTTAGATATAGCAATACAGCTTTGACATTTTGTTTTCTTAACAACACGTTTCCAATTACTCCACAACTTCATTTAACATTTTAAATGAAATGCACAAGTCCTGCAGGTTTATAATGCAATTATCATGACTTCTAGGTAAACAGAATATGGAAATACCGGAAGGCTGATAAAAGTTCTTTATGTAACAGTGAAGAAATAAAAATTTGAAATGCAAAGTTAAAAAAAAAAAAAAAAGAACCGAAATTGGTAAAAGACAAAACTGAAACTGAACAGGAAAACACAGTCTTTTGTATGAAACACCTGGCAAAGTGGAGTTACTTTCCTGAATGGAAATGAAAAAAGTAAGGCTTGCATAATTCAGCGAGAGAATTGGATCAATTACAAGTTTGATGATGATGCATATTGTTGGCTACCGTTATAAAACGTACTAAAAGGGCAGGCTAAATGTACAGATACCAAATAGTGCCGAGAATTTGCTAGAAAAGTGAAAGGATCCCTCCCTGTGATTTTTAATGATTTCTATTTTGCTTTTCATTCTGCTTTTTTTTTCTTCATGTCTTTTGTTATTTTTGCCTTTATTCGTTTTTACTTAATAAAGTAGAAACAATTACATTGCAAAAATTTATAAAAATTAGATATACAGTCCGAAAAACAAGGATTTTCCCTCAGGGAACAGCAGCAAGTATATTGATCAAATAGTAACGTTTTGTCAGAATATTCGCGGAGGGGAGTCAAGCGGTAATTTTGTGATATGAGAAAAAACCTCAGGTTCGTCAATGAATGATTTGAATATGAGAAAACGAGAATCTGTAGTGACCTGACTTAAAGATCGCGATCAACCCCTATAACGAAAAGGTTCACGTTATTGACAAGACAAGCCAACGTTTTATTCACATAAATAAATTTAATCAAATTGCAATAGTTATTTAATCTGACAGTGTTTTCAAGAGAATGTACCATCTTGGTATTGTTGATTTATTAAAATATCATCAGGGGTTGGGAATTTTCTGTGTCTTTACCAGCTGTTTTAGCAAGAAAAACTAATCAAGTAATATGAATTTGTTTCACTTGAATTTTCCTTATGACTGTTTCGTATGCCCTTCCATGGGTAAATGTGCTATAAGAAATATACGGATAACAGGAACAGGTGCTCATCAGTTCTCGGATGCAATGATTTTAAGAATTCAATCACCTCTGAAAGATATACGTGTGGTTTTTTTACTATGTCTTTGCCACTCGGCTCGCATAAAAATGTTACCATGCGGAAAGTTACCAATTTTTTTTTGGTTTGACTATGTTCTTCCCAGAGGATCATGGGTAGACTAATGCTTCCCTGTGTATCCGTCAAAATAGTAATAAAAGCTATGCGAGCGCTCAGTCAAATAGGACAGTGGTCCGATTTTGTTGGTGCAGTGAAAACTCGGAGAAGATCACCAAGTGACTAAGGATATATATAAGGATATAAACCTGGCTCCGGTTCTTCGAAGGGCAGACATAGATTTCCACCAGATAAATCTCTATCCGGTGGATAGCGCAATTTTTTGTTTTTGTTGACATTTATGCGTTGAATAGTGTATATATGGGAAAGTGCTGTCAAAAAAGCACCAATAATAAATCGGTACCTTTTTAATTAACGAGCTGAAGATATATGACGACTTTTTTCTCTAACAAAAGAAAGATCATAGTCACGAGTTTCCGTTTCCTTTTTCATGTGTTTCTGGTCTCTTAGTAAAACGTAACAACGACGAAATGATCGTCTACAGTTTCCGACAGTATCATCTACCTTTTGAACAACAACATGGCCCCGAAGACCAGCCTCATGTGTACTGGCATACGCTTTTACAGACTTTTTTCACTTTTCCATTGAGCTGTATCAGACAATTATTAGACTCAAAACATTTCCTTTTCATGAATTTTGTCTGATCAATGATACTTTACCAATAAGCGGCCCTAGAGTCGTTCGAAACTATTCTAAGTAGCTGTATACGTTCCGACTTTTCCTGTCGTGTTTTGACGGCGAACGAAACTTAGAAGACTGCTCACAACTTTTTAGTGCGAAAGAAAACCTAAAAATGGCAACGATAAGAAAGGAAGGGTCATGGAGGAGGTGGAAAAGGGTGACACTAAAACCGGGTAGAGATGGTGAACTAGGAAAATGTAAAAGATTCAAGTTTATTTCGGTGCATCAGGACTTATCAATAAGAATTTGTGGCTTTCACCTTGGGGTGAGTTGGTTCTTTCTGGGAGTTCGACCTGTATTGGAGTTAAACAATGCATACTATAATGATTAATAAATGTGCTCATATTTATCGGTGGCCTGCACCTCCAAGGGAACATTTTATGTACCTTTGGATACAAAACTTGATGTTACAACAAACTTCTTCATGACTTTTTGCTCTCGATAATGGAAGCAGAGGACGATTATGTTGAAGTGCCCATTCTCCAACAAAAAATGGCAAATTCTGCATCCTCGACTCAATGTATATAATTGATAGTTCTGTTAGTAGTAAATTTGATTGTAATATCATTCTGTAAGACTATATATTTTGTAACTTTAGCTTATTTATCCAGATAGTTTATTTAGTTACTTTACAATTATTATATTATCTGTTATGACTGTTGTAACCTTTCCTCTCCTTTCCTAACCTTTTCCTCTTTCCTTTCCTCTCCGCCTGCCTCGTCTAGCTTTTGCTATTTGCGGGTGGAGATGGCAAAATGATTTGCATGAAATAAAGATAAAGATCTTAGTGACTTCTGTTTGTCACTATTTGCCGTTAAGAACAAAGACCAATGCAAATCGGTACTCGACTTGAAATAACATATGTCGAGAGAATCTCACGACAAATTCTTTTCTTTAGTAAACGTGTGAAACATATAAATTGCCTTCTTGTCGAGAAAATTGTAAAACAATCCAGAAAGGGAATTTTAACTCGCTCTTTTCTTTTAATGGCAAAACACCGCGCGACAGACAGAAACCTTTGTGAATAAATCTGCACCATCGGTATATATTAGTTCAAATTTGCTGATTCCGTGCACGTCATCTTCGTCTGAAAGTCGATTTTTCTATTTAAGTAGAGAAATACAGCTTTGACATTTTGTTTTCTTTACAATACGTTTCCAATTACTCCTCTTTTTTGACTTTAAACTGAAAAACAAAAGCCCAGCAGGTTGATAATGCAATTATCATGACTTCTATAAATAAACAGCATTTGGGAAGAACATCCAAAAGGCTTCAACGGAAAAATGAATGACGAAAAAATTAGTGGAAGACGAATTAAAACTGAACATCTAACTGCAGTAAAGTTGTTTGAAACACCTAGCAAGGAAACTTAAATGTTTTGAGTACAAATGAAAATGTAAATGTTAAAAAATGTGTGTCCTGGAGCAAAATTATTGTTACCAACCGGCCTCGCAAACGCATTTGAGATGAAACAAAATAATAACGTAGATGCCGAAGTCAATATTTCAGTCTGAATATTTTTAAAAGTAATATGTATTGAACGTTTTAAAGAAAAAATGTTTACAAAACACTAAATTTGAATTGCGAGTCATCAGCCGGCTTGAACTTCAAAGTAATATTTAACTTTTTATTTATGCCATTTATTTCATATACTAATGCATCTTTAATATATTCAAGGTCGAACAAAAATGTTTCCATTTGGATTAACAACATTCTTCTTTTGGTTAGGCCTATTGCTTCCACTAGGATCATGGGTAGGCCAATGATTTCCTGTAAAACCATCAAAGTAATAGGAAGTGCTCCCCAAGGGTGTACTCAGGAAGAACAGCGGTCCATAGGCTCGGTTCGGCGAAAACTCAGAAGGCGCAGAAGAAAATGATATGCTTGAGTCAATCACGAGTTTAATTATCTTACAATTGACATCACCTTCCTGCCAATCAACCAAGCTGCCATTTCCCGAATGACACACCAGCCAGTTGTTTACGTTGCTCTTGATGAGAACCTGTCTGCCGAGTTGTTTCCAGAGTGAGAAGTTTATGGCGTTGTAGTCTGTTTCATTTGATGGAGGAGTTGTGGAGATAGGAACATCCACTTCGGGTCTCACCGGCCAATTTGGCCTCGGAGTGATTGCATTTGATTTGCTCGTAAAATGACTATAATTAGTGAAGGAATAGCTCCACACTAGTGTCCAGCCTCCTCCATCAGTCTCCATGTCACAGTAAGCCTTGAAAGCGTTGGCCTGGGATCCACCATCAGGATCAATCCAATAAACGCCAGACATCAAAGTAGGATATTTACTGAGGAGAGTCAAACACGAGTGTCCTGCTGAATGCTGGGTTGAACCAGAGTGCAAGGGAATGCTTTGACCTGCAGGGTAACAGATGTTTCGGAAAGACGATAACAACATGTTTGGTGATCAGAAGTAGGATTTATTTCCATACTGGCAACAGTCGGGCTATTCATCGACAATACAATCATGTACGAATGGGTATAAAAATTTGACTAGTATCACCTCTTTTACAGTTTCGGGGTGATATGCATTTAAACCATCATAAAAATTAGTTTAATTGGTGATATATGTAGGAAAGGAAAAACTTCGAACCGTTTAAGTTAACCTCCCCCATCAGTCTCCATGTCACAGAGAGCTTTGAATAAGTTGACAGGGGATTCACGATGAGGACCAATCCAATAAACACCCGAAGTCGAAGTGGGACATTGGTTGAGGAGAGACTGGCTCGCGGTTACCGCTAAATGTTAGGTTGAACCGTGCAATTCTGGGCATGGGCACTCTGGTGCTTTGTCCTGATGGAATGGGGTCGACTAATTTGCCCTGCGTTACAAAAGTACAGAGCTCAATTACAGGGTGGAACGTTGCTACAGTGACCTTATGCGTCAACCCCTTTTTCGTTGCGGTGCATTAAAAGGTGTGGTACAATTAGTTCTTTCGAACAGCTTTGCTTCTATTCATAGAATAGGTCTTAATCACGGAGCCCTTTTGGGTACAAGGAAGACATGGTGAATATAGAAAATGATCACATACCTCGTGGACCAGATATTCCAGGAGAGAAAACCTGTGAACCGCAACGAAGTTCAATTTTGGTCATCTTTTTTTGCTCTAGGTTTTTTCTCTAATAATTTTTTAAAATGTTAGCTTGCTGTGGAATTTTATCACGGTTCATTTAAAGTAGTCTTTGATTCAGGCTACCTGAGAGGGTACATACAGATGAAAGCGACAGGTGCAATTTTCTTTTCCAGTACTTCAAAGTAAATTAATGAGAATGAATAACAAACATATACAAAATGGATACGATAGAACATGCCGACATCTATCTTTTATTGATCAGGTCTTCCGGCTATATGGCATTTCCGACTCTAGAACATAGAATTTCCAGTCAAGCTTTAAGAAAAGGATTATGAAAACCAAATTGAAACATAAACATGTGAAATAAAACGATAAAATGAAAAAAAAACACAACAACTGCACAGCATTGCCTAAATATCTGGCTCTCAAAGAAAGTTTCATTCAGTTGTGATCGCACTAAATAAAAAAAATGGTAACACAAAATGGCAACGGCAAAGTATACAAAATCTACGAAATACCTTTTTTACATAGAAAGAACCATCCCGTTTTACAAATCTCTCCAACTTTTTTGCTTGTTTTCCTTCGCCAAAAAGCGAACAGGTGCCTTTGTTCGCCAGGAAATTTGCTCCTTTACAAGAAGCCTCTCTCTTACACATTTGAGCACAGGCCAATAAAGAGTCAGCGTTTTCACTTTGAAGAGCATTTTCATCGACGAGACAGGCGTTTTCTTCTATGCGAAAGAACATGCCCCGATCTTCCTCTGCAGATATCTTAGGTGTTACCAAAAAAGCCCATATGAGAGCAAATATGTCCCAAGGAAAGATCTGCAAGAAAGGAAATTAAAATATGATAACATAAGGAAGAACAGTCAAAGTAGGAGGACCCTGTTGGATTATTGCTTAACATATTGCAAAACTTTGAAGAGAGGTTACTCACAAATCTTAAAGCCATCATCGATGGGAAAAGTAACATTGGGAGCAGATCTTTACTCCTCATGATTTTATCGAGTTTTGTTTGTCAAACAAAAATAAACGTAGTGCATTCGAGTACAACCTAAAAGGATTTTATGTTCTGTTTTATTTGTTAATACTTATCATTCTCTCGGGGATCGGAGAAAGTATGGGCGTGCGAGTTTTTGGGAAATGTAATAATATCCAGAAATCTAACGAGAATTGATTTGATCAGGTGGCTGTACTCAATTGCCAAAAAAAATCAAAGTGGTTTTGGAAAGCTTCTGAAATATATCAATTACGGTTTATTAATGCAGAAATAAGTCATAGCAAACACTATGGTCTTAACATGTAATACAAGTTGTTTTTATTAGCATTTCGAAGGTAGCCTAAAAGGCAAACTAAGTTTCCACGCAGTACACCATTTTGAAACTCCGTTACATGTTTTTACTATTACTTAATGCTCATTACTCAACCCTTTTACTCCTGGCCTTTCGATGTAAATAAAAAAAAAACTGCGGCGACAATGATATCCAGAAATCTAACAAGAATTTATTTGGTCAGGTGGCTGTACTCAATTGCCAAAAAACCTCAGAGTGGTTTTGGAAAGCTCCTGAAATATATCAATTACGGTTTATAAATGCAGAATAAGTAATAGCAAACACTATGGTCTTAACATGAAGTAAAAGTTGTTTTTATTAGAATTTCGAAGGTAGTAAGCGTAAAAAGGAAAACTCACTTTCCACGCAGCACACCATTTTCAAACTCCGTTATATGTTTTTACTATTAATTAATGCTCATTACCCAACCCCCAAGAAAAAAAGACCCGTGGCGACAATTATTTAATGTGGTCATCGATCCAGGCTTCCTTAAGTGAATCTTATTTACTCATTTTATTCTAAGAATTGCTCTAGCTGATTGCAACTATCTGGTTTAGTGGTTGGCACGAGTTTTGTAAACATCAGCGGTAAAAGTCATTATTAAAAACACTGAGAGCTTAAATTTTGTCGTACAACAACAAAGAAGAAGCTAGCACCTAATCAAGTCAAAGTTTCGCGAAGTGATTTGAATTCTCTAAAATTCCGTTGGAAAGTAAAATTCTGAAAGATAATCCCCCAATCTCTCATGATGAGTGCAACTGGTGCTTTGCCTGTTGTCATCTTACGAGAGTGAAACAAGCTTGAACCTTCAGCCTCCAAGATCTGATCCGAAATTCTCTCTCTAATGGGGTTTTCTCAGTAATTGCGATAGAAGAATTTATAGTTTTATCAGTTTCATGCCTTCAAGGTCCTACAGATGATTCTCGTCACACTTTTTCTAGGTAATGTAATGATTTTGTGCAAAAAGTTAACCAGCTCTAGAAGCTACGTGCGTAAAGATTTCTCATTGTCTGTCTTTGCTACTCGGCGCGAATAAAAATGTTACCGTGTGGATCAAGAACATTTTTCTTTTGGTTGGGCTCATTTCTTCCACAAGGATCATGGGTAGGCCAATATTTGCCCGTGTAACCATTAAAATAATAAAAGCTGCTGTCCCAGCGCCCACTTGAATGGAACATTGGTCCATAGTTGATATATGGTGAAAACTTGGAAGGCGCCGAAGCTGATTCTCCAGGGTCAGCCACGTATTTGGTGATTGTACAGTTGACGTCACCTTTCTGCCAATCAACCAGGCTGCCAGTTACCGGTTGGCACATCAGCCAGTTGTTTATGTTGCTTTTGATGAGGAACTGTCTACCGAGTGTTTTCCAGAGTGAGAAGTTCATTGCGTTGTAGTCTGTTTCATTTAATGGAGAAATTGTGGAGATAGGAACATTCCCTTCATATTTGGCCGGCCAATTTGGCCTAGGAGTGATCGCATTTGAATCATCGTTAAAATGACTGTAGTTAGTAAAGGAATAGCTCCATACTAATGTCCAGCCCCCTCCATTCGTATCCATGTCACAGTAAGCCTTGAAAGCGTTGGCCTTGGATCCACCATCAGGATCGATCCAATAAACACCCGTGGACGTAGCGGGAGACTGTTTGAGGAGAGTCTGGCACGACGTTACTGCTGAGTGCTGGTAAGAAGCAGGGGGTAGAGAAGTGTTTTGCTCTAAGTAAAAAATTGAAAGTGGGTCTACTGAAGTATCCTCTATGTGTACTAAAGCCCTGTAAGGGAAAATAGAGCTGGCGACCTAAACGCAGTTACAAGCATCAAACAAGACTGAACCAATTTTATGTTACTGAGCAATTTAAAAGGATCTAAACTTAAACACCGGCCCAACGTTTCCTGACATGCGTTCTAACTTGGATTTATCTTCCCTTTTTTTTTTTTACAATTCCGTTGAGCTGTCTCAGACAATTAGGATTCAGACTCAATCATTTCCTCACTATCAACCTTGTAAATAAATGATTTTATTGGTGAACGTACAACCACTAAGACAGTCGAAACCATTCTACGTAGCTGTATAAATGTTCCGATTTTTTTGTGTTTACTTTAATGACAATCGAAATTAAGGAAAAAGTATTCAGTGCAAAAAACAAAAAAAAAATTGGTAGCAATAGGCCAGGAAGGATAGTGGAAGAGGGAAGAACATGGAGGACACCAAAACGTGGTAGAAATGAAGAAATTGAAAATTATAAAAGTTCAAGTTTGTCTTGATGCATCTAGATTTATCCAATAGCTATGGCTGGTAATTTACATTAGCGCCCGGGTTACTGATCTTAATAATACTGAATTCATAATTCTCACCTTGAGGTAAATCGGTTCTTTCTGGAAGGTTGATCTGAATTGGAGTTAAACAAGACATTTATAGTTAGTATCCGCGTTTCGTGTTATGCGCATATGTACGAAATTGTTGAAGGCTCACCGGGCGACTGTGGTCTTATTTCAGTTGTTGGTGGCTTCTGCTTATAATTGAACGTTTCATAAAGTTTTAAATTATGGTCTTGAATTAAGACGAGCTTCTGTGGGTCTTGTCGTCTCAACTTTTCCTATAAGGTCTCTTCTCAATTCATTCACGTTCCTCCACAAATGTCCTCTCATGTTTCAGCTTTTTTCTTGCTAAAGCGCAAATTACTTTAAGCGGCCGATCAAATATCTTACGTAGATCTCATAAGCTAAATCAAAAAGTTTGCGGAGTTTTTGTTTCGTGAAATGATCGTAGCAGTTATCTTTATCGCTGTCAAAAAATCTCTACTTCTGCTAGGAAAGAAAATTAGGGCCATTCCGCACTAGCGGAAACGTTGTTTATTTTGACAAATTTTCAATCATCATAAACAATTTAAAAGTGCGGATTGGAGGTGAAATCCTCGGCAAACTATGCTGGCTGGTCTTATGAATAGATAGGGCGTTGACAGAATTTGACGGCTTTTATATTTTTAATGCGGATGCAACAGACGAAACAAAAATTTTTCATGAAAAAATTTGTCCTTTCATTTTAACCGGACAATTCTAGTTTTGTCTACTAGTGCGGGAAGGCCCTTAAACTTGTTCGTGATAAGGTTTACATTATCGGAAGGTGTCACCAAAAAACATGGCATGCCATCAATGCCAAATACCTTTGTCAGATAGAAAGAGCCATCTCGCTGTAAAAGTCGCCCAGTTCCTGAACTTGTTTGCATTTCGCCGCGAAGAAGGTAACAAAGTCTTGGGTTTCCCAGAAAGTTTGCACTTCTGCACGAAGCTTGTCTCGCACACAAAACCGAACAGGAAAGCAAATAATCAGTTTTTCCAGACCAAAAGAGGCCTTCTTCTCTGTAGCTGAAAAAAGCGTTTTCTTTGATTTGAAAGAAAACGCCATTTTCGGCTCCTTCAGTTGTCTTTGCCGCCGAGAACAAGACGACTACAAACAGGTACTCGACTTGCAGAAACATCTTTCGAGAGAATCTAAGGACAAACTTATGATTAGTAAATGTAAGGAACATATAAATTACCTGCCTATAGACAAAATAGTCTGACAAGACAGAAAAGGAGAGAAATTTTTTAACCCACCCATTGATTTTAATCGAAAACACCGCGCGACCCGCTCAAACCTTTGTGAATAAGTTTGCACCGTTAGCACCAATTGTAGTTATTCATTCCGTGATCTTCGTCTGAAAGTCTATTTTTCTATTTAAGTATAATAATACTGCTTTGACCTTTTGTTTTCTTAGCAATACGTTTCCAATTACCCCACAGTTCGTTTTGACATTTAAATGAAAACACAAGTCCTGCAGGTTTATAATGCAATTATCGCGACTTCTAGGTAAAAAGAATATGGAAATACCAGAAAGGTTGCTGTCAGCTCTTTTATGAAACAGTTCAGTGAAGAAGAAAATAATTTAAAATGCAAAGTTGAAAATAAAAATAGTTGGTGGGAGATTAAATTAAAACTGGACATGAAAACACATCTTTTATGTTTGAAACACCTGGCAAAGAAAAAGCACTTTTTTGAGCGCAAATGGAAAGGTAGGCCTGTATTTGTAGAAAATATTTATTAATATGTTATTTGTTAACCAGTCCTTTCAAACTGATATTTTTCCTTTTATTTCTTACAAGTAGTAGTAGGCTACAAGTAGTAGCCTTACCGTTTTTAAAAAGCAACTTAAAACATTTCTATTTAGGAAAGCTTTTAGTTTGTTTTGATAGATCTAATGTTTATTGCCTTTGAATATTTAAATTTTAATTAGTATAGAACTTTAACTTATGTAAAGTGCTTCTGAATATTGTTTAAAGTTTGAGCACTATATAAATTCCTTATCATTATCATTATCATTATTATTTTTTACATAAATTAATTCATGTTTGATAATTTTTTCAAGATCAAACAATCATTTTTCACTTGCTTGGGCTCGACTCTTCCACTAGGATCACGTATAAGCCAATAATCTCCAGAGCAACTATCAAATTAAAAGTAAGACCAAATTCAGCGCATACTCCGAGAGAATGGCGGTCCATAGCCTTGGGATTTGTTGGGTGAAATTTTAAAGTAGTAAAGTAGAAAAAGTAACTTTGCATAAAATTCCCTTAGCAGATGTGGGGCCATCATCCCATCACTCAAGCCTCCAAGATGTGATTCAAATTTCTCATTTTTGGCTTCTGTCCTCTTGTACAGTAAAGTAGTTTAAAGAATAAAGAGAAATATCAAAATGATACCCTTTTGCTGATAAGTTCGTTCATTTTAATTACTTTTCTGGTGGATATGGTATTGATATTGTGAGGAGAAGTTAATTACTTCTGAAGTTATTTGAGTAGAAATTTGTTAAAACCTGTCTTTCCTACTCGACTCGAATGAAAATGTTAGCATGTGGATTTGCAACATTTTTCTTTTGGTTAGGACTATTTCCTCTAAGAGGATCATGGGTAGGCCTATGGTTTTCAGTGTGGCCATCAAAATAATAGTTAGTGCTGTTATAGCGTTTGGTCATGCAAAGCAGCGGCCCATAGCTATTGTTTTGATTCGATGAAAACCTTGATGGGACAAACTCGTGACTTGGGCCAGTCACGTGTTTGGTGATCGAACAGTTGATATCACCTTCCTGCCAATCTACCACGCTGCCATTTCTCGGATCACACACCAGCCAGTTGTTTGTGTTGCTCTTGATGAGGATCTGTCTGCCGAGTTTTTCCTGAGTGAGAAGTTCACGGCGTTGTAGTCTGTTTCATTTAATGAAGGGGTTGTGGAGACAGGAACATGCCTATACCTATCAAACCAAACAGGCCAGTTTGTTCTTGGAGTGATCGCATTTGAGCGATCACGAAAGTGGCTGTATTTAGTAAAGGAATAACTCAATACTAGAGTCCAATCCCCATCACTGGTCTTCCATGTCACAATGAACCTTGAAAGCGTTGGACTGAGACACACCTTCAGGATTAATCCAATAAATACCTGTGGAGGGAGGGAGAGATTGGTCGAGGAGAGTCTTGCACGATGGGAATGCTGAATGCTGGGTTAATCCACGGGGTGCTGGCGTGTTCTTTCCTATGATCAAAGAATATGGTTATCGACCTCTGCTTTAAGTTACAGACACATAAACCTAAAAAAAGAGTTGTTTTTGTAGGGCTGTTGTGTTAAATGTGACATTTAGAGACGGAATAGGTATTTTTTGAAAACACATTCTACCGACCACGCCAAAAGGTGTGACAGTATCATTCGTTTGAGGAGTTGGTGACTTAAAAATGACGAAGTCCAGTGTGAACCTCCATGAACTGAGCTTTGTGTAAGGAAAAATTTGCTGTAAAAAAAATCACATACCTTGTGGACTAGAGACTCCTTGAAAGGTAACCTATTAAGTGAGCCAAAAACAGGCAGCCTTTCGCGTGAGTAAGAAACTTTCACTCATATTCATAGTTTGCAAGCTACGCTTAAATTTGTACATTTATTTGAAAAAAAGTAGGTATTCATTTCGATTAAAAAGACGAAGAAAAAGAAGTCTTGTCTCTGATCACTTTTTCAAAATGTTTGCCCTGATTACCTGATCCTCATCAACTTAAGATTAAGTAATCTGATTCAGAGTAGACGGGCACAACATGAAAAGAGAAGTATTTTTTGAGGCAACCGAGACTTGAAAATGTATTGATACAAATGTAAAATAAACATAATTACAAAACGGACTCGATAAAACATGCCGACTCCTATCTTTTAAGGATCTTTTATCGATCAGGTTACAGTGGCTGTGTGACATCACGGACATGAGAAAAATTTTAATTCCTACTTAATGAAAAGGACAGTGAAAACTAAATTGAAACATGAACAAGTTGTATAAAAAATTGCCATTGCATAAAACTACCCAAAACACCCGGCTCTCACTCCACTCCTTTGTAATCGCACGGACTCGAATCTCCTATACATTCGAGCGCAAGTCAATATAGAGTCAGCCTTTTCACTTTGAAAAGCATTTTCATCATCAAGAAAAACGTACCACACTATGGTCTTAACATGGAATACAAGTTGTTTTTATTAGCATTTCGAAGGTAATTAGCCTTAAAGACAAACTAAGTTTCCACGTAGAATACCATTTTCAAACTTCGTTATATGTTTTTACTATCAATTAATGCTCATTACTCAACTCGTTACTCATCACTCATTACTCCTGGCCTTTCCATAGAAATATGAAAAAAAACTGTGGCGACAATTATTTAATGGGGTAATTGATCCAGGCTTCCTTAAATGAATCTTATTTATTCATTTTATTCTAAAAATTGCTCTAGCTGATTGCACTATCTGGTTTAGTGGTTGGTACGAGTTTTGTAAACATCAGCGGTAAAAGTAGTCATGATTAAAAACATGAGAGCTTAAATTTTGTTGTACAACAACAAAGAAGAAACTAGCACCTAATCAAGTCAAAGTTTCGCGAAGTGATTTGAATTATCGAAAGTTCCATGGGAAAGTAAAATTCTGAAAGATAATCCCCCGACCTCACATGATGAGCGTAACTGGTGTCTTGCTTGCTGTCAACTTACGAGAGTGAACCAAGCTTGAACCTTCAGCCTCCAAGATCTGATCCAAAATTCTCTCTTCCGATGGGGTTTTCTCAGTAATTACGATAGAAGAATTTAGAGTTCTATCAGTTTAATACCCTCAAGGTCCTCTAGATGATTCTCGTCACACTTTTTCTAGGTAATGTAATGATTTTGTGCAGATAAGTTAAGCAGCTCTAGAAGATACGTGCGTAAAGATTTCTCATTGTCTGTCTTTGCTACTCGGCTCGAATATAAATGTTACCGTGTGGATCAAGAACATTTTTCTTTTGGTTTGGCCTATTTTTTCCACTAGGATCATGGGTAGGCCAATATTTGCCAGTGTAACTATTAAAATAATAAAAGGAGCTGTTCCAGCGCCCTTTCGAATGGAACATTGGTCCATAGTTGATATTTGGTGAAAACTTGGAAGGCGCCGAAGCTGATTCTCCACGGTCAGCCACGTATTTTGTGATTGTACAGTTGATGTCACCTTTCTGCCAATCAACCAGGCTGCCAGTTACCGGTTGACACACCAGCCAGTTGTTTATGTTGCTCTTGATGAGGATCTGTCTACCGAGTGTTTTCCAGAGTGAGAAGTTCATGGCATTGTAGTCTGTGTCATTTAATGGAGAAATTGTGGAAATTGGAACATTCCCTTTAATTTTGACCGGCCAGTTTGGCCTTGGAGTAATCGCATTTGAATCATCGTTAAAATGAGTGTAGTTAGTAAAGGAATAGCTCCATACTAATGTCCAGCCCCCTCCATTCGTATCCATGTCACAGTAAGCCTTGAAAGCGTTGGCCTTGGATCCTCCATCAGGATCGATCCAATAAACACCCGTGGACGTAGCGGGAGACTGTTTGAGGAGAGTCTGGCACGAGGTTACTGCTGAGTGCTGGTTAGAACCAGCGGGTAGAGAAGTGTTTTGCTCTATAGCCATAGAGTTGAAAATTGAAAGTGAGTCTAGTAAAGTATCTTTTGCGTGTGCTAAAGCCATGTAAGGGAAAATAGAGCTGGCGACCTAAATTCAGTCACGAGCATCAAACAAGAACCAATATTATGTTACTGAGCAAGTTAAAAGGATCTAGACTTAAACACCGGCCCAATGTTTCTTGGCATGCGTTCTAACTTGGATTTTTTCTTTCCTATTTTTTTTTTTTAAATTCCGTTGAGCTGTCTCACACAATTAGGATTCAAACTCAATCATTTCCTCAATATTAACCTCGTAAATAAATGATCAAATAGGTGAACGTACGACTACTAGGACATTCGAAACCTTTCTAAGTAGTTGTATAAGTGTCCCAATTTTTGTGTTATATTTTAATGACAATAGAAATTAAGGAAAAAGTATTCAGTGCAAAAAAACAACAACTAAAATTGGCAGCAATAGGCCAGGAAGGATAATGGAAGAGGGGAAGAACATGGAGGACACCAAAACGTGGTGGAAATGAAGAAATTGAAAATTATAAAACATCCAAGTTTATCTTGGTGCATCAAGATTTATCCAATAGCTATGGGTAGTAATTTACATTAGCGCTCGGGTTACTTACGTTAATAATACTGAATTCGTAACTCTCACCTCGGGGTGAATCAGCTCTTTCTGCAAGGTGGACCTGAATTGGAGTTAAACAAGACATTTATAGTTAGTATCCGTACTTTGTGTCATGCGCATATGTACGAAATTGTTGAAGGTTGACCGGGCGACTGTGGTCTTATTTCAGTTGTAAGTGGCTTCTGCTTAAAACTGAACGTTTCATAAAGTTTTAAATTATGATCTTGATGCTAAGACGAGCTTCTGCGGGTCTTGTCGTCTTAACATTTCTTATAAGGTCTCATCTCAATTCATTCGCGTCCCTCCACAAATGTCCTCTCATGTTTCAGCTTTTTTCCTGCTGAAGCGCAAATTACTTTAAACTTCCGACCAAGTCTCTTACGTAGATCTGATGAGCTAAGTCAAAAAGTTTGCGGTGTTCTTGTTTTATGAAATGATCGTAGTAGTTATCCTTATCGTTGTCAAAAAATCTCCGTACTGCAGCTAGGAAAGAGGATTAAGGCCATTCCGCACTAGCGAAAAAATTGTTTATTTTGGCAAATTTTCAATCATCATGAACATTTTACAAGCGCAGATTGGGGGTGAAACCCCTTGGCAAACTATGCTGTCTGGTCTTATGAATAGATCGGCCGCTGACGGAATTTGCCGGCTTTAAAATTTTTAGTGCGGATGTAGCAGACGAAACAAAAATTTGTCATGACAAAATTTGTCCTTTTATTTTAACGCTACAATTCTAGTTTTTTCTGCTTGTACGAACTTGTTCGTGATAAGGTGTACATTATCGGAAGGTGTCACCGAAAAACATGGCATGTCATCAATGCCAAATACCTTTGTTAGATAGAAAGAGCCATCTCGCTTTAATAGCCGCTCAGTTGCTGAACTTGTTTGCATTTCGCCGCCAAGAAGGTAACAAAGTCCTGGGTTTTCCAGAAAGTTTGCACTTCTGCACGAAGCTTGTCTCGCACACAAAACCGAACAGGAAAGCAAAGAATCAGTTTCTCCAGACCAAAAGAGGCTTTCTTCTCTGTAGCTGAAAAACGTGTTTTCTTTGATTTGAAAGAAAACGCCATTTTCGGCTCCTTCAGTTGTCTTTGACGCCGAGAACAAGACGACTGCAAATAGGTACTCGACCTGCGGAAACATCTGTCGAGAGAATCTTAGGACAAACTTATGATTAGTAAATGTATGGATCATATAAATTACCTGCCTTCAGACAAAATTGTCTGACAAGACAGAAAGGGAGAGAAATTTTAACCCACCCTTTGATTTTAACAAAAACAGCGCGCGACACGCTCAAACCTTTGTGTATAAGTTTGCACCGTTTGTACCAATTGTAAATTTATTATTGATTCCGTGATCTTCGTCTGAATTCTATTTTTCTATTTAAGTATAATAATACAGCTTTGACCTTTTGTTTTCTTAGCGATAAGTTTCCAATCACCCCACAACTCTATTTTGACATTTAAATGAAAACAAAAGTCCTGCAGGTTTATAATGCAATTATCACGATATCTAGGTAAACAGAATATGGAAATACCGGAAAGGTTGCGATAAGCTCTTTTATGAAACAGTTCAGCGAAGAAGAAAATAATTTAAAATGAAAATTTAAAAATAAAAAGAATTGGTGGGAGATAAAATTAAAACTGGAGATGAAAACACATCTTTTTTGTTTGAAACACCTGGCAAAGAAAAAGTACTTTTTTGAGTGGAAATGAAAAAGTAAGGCCTGCTTTTGTAGAGATGATTTAATATGTTATTTGTTAGCCAGTCCTTTCAACCTGATATTTTTCCTTTTATTTTTTTACATTTATTACATATATTAATACATGTTTGATAATTTTTTCAAGATCGAACAATCATTTTTCACTTGGTTGAGCTCGACTCTCCCACTAGCATGACGTGTAAACCAATGATCTCCAGAGCAACTATCCAATTGATAGCAAGACCCGCTTCAGCGCATGCTCCAAGAGAGTAACGGTCTATAGCCTCGGGATTTATTGGATGAAATTTTAAAGCAGTAAAAAAGAAATATTAACTTTGCATAAAATTCCCTTAGCAAATATGGAGCCATCATCTCATCACTCAAGCCTCCAAGATGTGATTCAAATTTCTCATGTTTGGCTTCTGTGCTCTTGTACAGTAAATCATTTGAAAGAACAAAGCGAAATATAAAAATGACACCCTTTTGCTGATAAGTTCGTTCATTTTAACAACTTTTCTGGTGGATATGGTATTGATATTGTGAAGAGAATTTAATTAATTTTGAAGTTATTTGAGTAGAAATTTGTTAGAGTCTGTCTTTCCTACTCGACTCGAATGAAAATGTTATCATGTGGATCTGCAACATTTTTCTTTTGGTTAGGACTATTTCCTCCGAGAGGATCATGGGTAGGCCTATGGTTTTCAGTGTGACCATCAAAATAATTGTTAGTGCTACTATAGCGTTTAGTCGTGTAAAGCAGCGGCTCACAGCCATTGTTTTGATTCGGTGAAAACTTGGATGGGACCAACTCGTGACTTAGGTTAGTCACGTGTTTGATGATCGAACAGTTGATGTCACCTTCCCACCAAAAACCAAGCTGCCAGGTCCTGGATGACACACCAGCCAGTTGTTGATGTTGCTCTTGATTAGGACCTGTCTGCCGAGTTGTTTCCAGTGTGAGAAGTTCATGGCGTCGTTGTCTGTTTCATTTAACGGAGGGGTTATGAAGATAGGAGCATTAACTTCATTCTTGGCCGGCCAATTTGGCCTCGGAGTGATGGCATTTGAACCATCATTTAAATGAGCGTAGTTAGTAAAGGAATAGCTCCATACGAGTGTCCAGCCCCCTCCATAAGTATTCGTGTCACAGTAAGCCTTGAAAGTGTTGACCTGGGATCCATTATGGGGGTCGATCCATTAAACACACGTAGCGGGATATTGTTTGAGGAGAGTCTGGCACGAGGTTACGGCTGAATGCCGGTTAGGACCTGGGAGCGGAGAAGCGTTTTGTTCTATAATGATAAAGATAAGTACTAAACCAACAACTTTATAGTCGAAAGGTCAAAAAGGACTTTGGAAGAGGGTTAAAAAAATGAATGAAGGGGGTAAGTTTGTGGTGCTGCGTCGGAGAGAGAGTATAACAGGGTAATTTGGCTCTATCAACTGAGTTGATAACTGGCGTAAATTGGCCACTTTAAAGACTTTAAAAGCTGTATTTTCGATGACGGGTTCTGAACTTCGTTAAAGAACTATTTGACTCTGAGAACGCGCAAAATCTTTCGTGAGTTTATTCAGAGATCTCGTTCACCACTGACAGGAAAAATTACACATCGGTGAACAATTAATGTTCATCAATTAATGGATGAAAATGTTCCCACGAGGCTCAGCGACGCCGTTCAACTGGTCAAGCTCACCTTTTCCACATGGATCACGGACAGGCCAGTCATACTCTGTAAGAGTATCGAAATTATAATTACAGCTGTGGGTAAAGAATATCGGTCCAAAGCCTAATCTACTGCCAAAAATGAAGGTGCTGGTGTCTCTTTGCACGTGTTAGTCACGTGTTTAATGATCATACAGTTGATGTCACCATCCTGCCAATCTACCATCCTGCCATTTTCCGGATCACACACCAGCCAGTTGTTTGTGTTGCTCTTGATGAGATCTGTCTGCCGAGGTTTTTCCAGAGTGAGAAGTTCACGGCGTTGTATTCTGTTTCATTTAATGAAGGAGTTGTGGAGACAGGAACATGCCTATACCTATCAAACCAAACAGGCCAATTTGTTCTTGGAGTGATCGCATTAACAATCACGAAAGTGGCTGTAATTAGTAAAGGAATAACTCAATACGAGAGTCCAACCCCCCCACTGGTCTTCCATGTCACAATAAACCTTGAAAGCGTTGGACTGAGACACACCTTCAGGATTAATCCAATAAATACCTGTGGAGGGAGGGAGAGATTGGTCGAGGAGAGTCTTGCACGATGTGACTGTTGAATGCTGGGTTAATCCACGGGGTGCTGGCGTGTTCTTTCCTATGATCAAACAATATGGTTATCAACCTTTGCTTTAAGTTACAGGCACATAAACCTAAAAAAAAGTTGCTTTTGTATGGCTGTTGTGTTAAATGTGACATTTAGAGACGGAATAGGTATTTTTTGAAAACACATTCTACCGACCACGCCAAAAGGTGTGGCAGTGTCATTCATTTGAGGAGTTGGTGACTTAAAAATGACGAAATTCAGTGTGAGCCACCGTGAACTGAGCTTTGTGCGACGACAAATTTGCTGTAAAAAAATTCACATACCTTGTGGACTAGAGACTCCTTGAAAGGCAACTTATTAAGTGACCCAAAAACAGGCAGCCTTTCGCGTGAGTAAGGAACTTTCACTCATATTTATAGTTTGCAAGCTACACTTAAATTTGTACATTTATTTTAAAAAAAGAGTAGGTATTCACTTTCGATTAAAATTTGCTTCTTTACAAGCAGCTTCTCTCCTACACATTCGAGCACAGGTCAATATAGAGTCAGCTTTTTTCACTTTGAAGAACATTTTCATCATCAAGAAAAACGTTTTCTTATATGCGAAAGAACATGCCCTGATCTTCTTCTGCAGATATCTTTGGTGAAACCGAAAAAGCCCATATGAGAGCAAACATGTCCCAAGCAAAGATCTGCAAGAAAGGAAATTAAAATGATATAATATCATACCGAAGAACAAGGAAAGTAGGAGGACCCTGTTGGATTGTTACTTAATACATTACATGACTTTGAAAAGAAGTCACTCACAAATTTTAAAGCCATCGTCGATGGGAAAAGTGACATTGGGAGCAGATCTTTACTCCTTGTGATTTTATCGAGTTTTTGCCAAACAAAAATAAACGCAATTCATTTGAGTACAACCTAAAATGATTTTATGGTCTGTTTTATTTATTAATACTTATCATTCTCTCGGGGATCGGAGAAAGTATGGGTGCGTGAGATTTTGGGAATAAGACTGAGTGTTCAGAAGTTCAGAACGCGTGATTCAAAACCTTGAAATAAAGATCAGCTTTAATTTGCCTTTTTTATCGAATGAGTCGAAGAAAACAATCATAAAAGGCAAAAATATCCGTAATTAAGAAATCTAACGAGAATTTATTTGGTCAGGTGGCTGAAAAAACTCAAAGTGGAATTGAAAAGCTCCTGAAATATATCAATTACGGTTTATAAATGCAGAATAAGTAATAGCAAACACTATGGTCTTAACATGAAATACAAGTTGTTTTTATTAGCATTTCGAAAGTAGTTAGCCTAAAAGGCAAACTAAGTTTCCACGCAGAACACCATTTTCAAACTTCGTTATATGTTTTTACTATTGATTAATGCTCATTACTCAACTCGTTACTCATTACTCATTACTCCTGGCCTTTCCATGAAAATATGAAAAAAAACCGTGGCGACAATTACTTCAAGGGGTAATTGATCCAGGCTTCCCCATGTGAATCTTATTTACTCATTTTATTCTAAAAATTGCTCTAGCTGATTGCACTATCTGGTTTAGTGGTTGGTACGAGTTTTGTAAACATCAGCGGTAAAAGTAGTCATGATTAAAAACATTGAGAGCTTAAATTTGTACAACAATAAAGAAGAAACTAGCACCTAATCAAGTCAAAGTTTCGCGAAGTGATTTGAATTACCTAAAATTCCATTGGAAAAAAAACATTCTGAAAGATAATCCCCCGATCTCTCATGATGAGTGTAACTGGTGCTTTGCCTGTTGTCATCTTACGAGAGTGATACAAGCTTGAACCTTCAGCCTCCAAGATCTGATCCGAAATTCTCCCTTCTAATGGGGTTTTCTCAGTAATTACGATAGAAGAATTTAGAGTTCTATCAGTTTAATACCCTCAAAGTCCTGATGATGATTCTCGTCACACGTTTTCAAGGTAATGTAATGATTTTGTGCAGATAAGTTAACCAACTCTAGAAGATACGTGTGTAAAGGTTTGTCATTGTCTGTCTTTGCTACTCGGCTCGAATAAAAATGTTGCCGTGTGGATCAAGAACATTTTTCTTTTGGTTGGGCCCATTTCTTCCACAAGGATCATGGGTAGGCCAATATTTGCCCGTGTAACCATTAAAATAATAAAAGTTGCTGTCCCAGCGCCCACTCGAATGGAACATTGGTCCATGGTCGATTTTTGGTGAAAACTTGGAAGGCGCCGAAGCTGATTCTCCAGGGTCAGCCACGTATTTTGTGATAGTACAGTTGACGTCACCTTTCTGCCAATCAACCAGGCTGCCAGTTACCGGTTGACACAACAGCCAGTTGTTTATGTTGCTCTTGATGAGGACCTGTCTACCGAGTGTTTTCCAGAGTGAGAAGTTCATGGCGTTGTAGTCTGTTTCATTTAATGGAGAAATTGTAGAGATAGGAACATTCACTTCATTTTTGGCCGGCCAATTTGGCCTAGGAGTGATTGCATTTGAATGATCGTTAAAATGAGTGTAGTTAGTAAAGGAATAGCTCCATACTAATGTCCAGCCCCCTGCATTTGTATCCATGTCACAGTAAGCTTTGAAAGCGTTGGCCTGGGAGCCACCATCAGGATCGATCCAATAGCGGGAGACTGTTTGAGGAGAGTCTGGCATGAGGTTACTGCTGAGTGCTGGTTAGAACCAGGGGGTGGAGAAGTGTTTTGCTCTATAGCCATAAATTTGAAAATTGAAAGTGAGTCTAGTAAAGTATCTTTTGTATGTGCTAAAGCCTTGTAAGGGAAAATAGAGCTGGCGACCTAGATTCGGTTACGAGCATCAAACAAGTACCAATATTATGTTACTGAGAAATTTAAAAGGATCTAGACTTGAACACCGGCCCAACGTTTCCTGACATGTGTTCTAACTTGGATTTTTCTTTCCTCTTTTTTTTGTTAAATTCCGCTGAGCTGTCTCAGACAATTAGGATTCAAACTCAATCACTTCCTTACTATTAACCTTGTAAATAAATGATCAAATTAGTGAACGCACGACCACTAGGACATTCTAAGTAGCTGTGTAAGTGTCCCAATTTTTTGTGTTTTATTTTAATGAAAATAGAAGCCGAGGAAAAAGTGTTCAGTACAAAAACAAACTAAAATTGGCAGCAATAGGATAATGGAAGACAATGGATAATGGAAGAAGGGTAGAAGATGGATGACACCAAAACGTGGTAGAAATGAAGAACTTGAAAATTATAAAAGATCCAAGTTTATCTTGGTGCATCGAGATTTATCCAATAGCTGTGGGCAGTAATTTACATTAGTGCTCGGGTTACTGATCTTAATAATACTGAATTCCTAACTCTCACCTCGGGGCGAATCGGTTCTTTCTGGAAGTTCGACCTAAATTGGAGTTAAACAAGACATTTATATTTAGTTTCCGTGCTTCGTGTCATGTGCATGTATACGAAACGGTTGAAGGCTCACCGGGCGACTGTGGTCTTATTTTAATTGTTGGTGGCTTCCGCTTATAACTGAACGATTCATAAAGTTTTAACTTCTGTGGGTCTTGTCCTCTTAACTTTTCTAATAAGGTCTCATCTCAATTCATTCACGTCCCTCCACCGATGTCCTCTCATGTTTCAGCTTTTTTCCTGCTAAAGCGCAAATTACTTTAAACGCCCGATCAAGTCTCTTACGTAGATCTGATGAGCTAAATCAAAAAGTTTGCGGAGTTTTTGTTTTATGAGCTAGGAAAAAAAATTATCGCCATTCCGCACTAGCCAAAAAGTTGTTTATTTTGACAAATTTTCAATCATCATACACATTTTACAAGCGCCGGTTGGGCGTGAAACCCATGGAAAACTATGCTGGCTGGTCTTATGAATAGATCGGGCGCGGACGGAATTTGACGGCTTTAAAATTTTTAATGCGGATGCAACAGGCGAAACAAAAATTTGTCATGACAAAATTTCTCCTTTTATTTTAACGGGACAATTCTAGTTTTGTCTGCCAGTGCGGGAAAGCCCTTAAACTTGTTCGTGATAAGGTGTACATTATCGGATGGTGTCACCGAAAAACATGGCATTTCAACAATGTCAAATACCTTTGTTAGATAGAAAGAGCCATCTCGTTGTAAAAGCCGCTCAGCTGCTGAACTTATTTGCATTTCGCCGCGAAGAAGGTAACAAAGTCCTGGGTTTTCCAGAAAGTTTGCACTTCTGCACGAAGCTTGTCTCGCACACAAAACCGAACAGGAAAGCAAATAATCAGTTTTTCCAGACCAAAAGAGGCTTTCTTCTCTGTAGCTGAAAAACGTGTTTTCTTGGATTTGAAAGAAAACGCCATTTTCGGCTCCTTCAGTTGTCTTTGCCGCCGAGAACAAGACGACTGCAAATAGGTACTCGACCTGCAGAAACATCTGTCGAGAGAATCTTAGGACAAACTTATGATTAGTAAATGTATGGAACATATAAATTACCTGCCTATAGACAAAATAGTAAGACAAGTCAGGAAGAGAGAGAAATTTGAACCCACCCTTTGATTTTAATCGAAAACACCGCGCGACAAACTCAAACCTTTGTGAATAAGTTTGCACCGTTGGTACCAATTTATCGATTCCGTGATTTTCGCCTGAATTCTACTTTTGTAATACAGCTTTGACTTTTTGTTTTCTTAGCGATAAGTTTCCAATTACCCCACAACTCTATTTTGACATTTAAATAAAAACACAAGTCCTGCAGGTTTATAATGCAATTATCACGACTTCTAGGTAAACAGAATATGGAAATCCCGGAAAGGTTGCGATAAGCTCTTTTATGAAACAGTTCAGTGAAGAAGAAAAAGTTTTAAAATGCAAAGTTAAAAATAAAAAGAATTGGTGGGAGATAAAATTAAAACTGGGCATGAAAACACATCTTTTTTGTTCGAAACACCTGGCAAAGGAAAAGTACCTTTTTGAGTGCAAATGGAAAGGTAAGGCATGTATTTGTAGTGATTATTTAATATGTTCTTTGTTAACCAGTTCTTTCAAAGTGATATTTTTCCTTTTATTTCTTACATTATTTACATAAAGTAATACATGTTTGATAATTTTTTCAAGATCGAACAAACATTTTTCACTTGGTTGGGCTCGACTCTTCCACTAGGATCACATGTAAGCCAATAATCTCCAGAGCAACTATTAAATTAAAAGTAAGACCTAATTCAGCGCATGCTCTAAGAGAATAGCCGTACATAGTATTGATAGTGTGACGAGAAGATAATTACTTCTGGAAGTTATGGGAGTAGAAATTTGTTAGAGTCTATCTTTGTTGCTCGACTCGAATAAAAATGTTACCATGTGGATTTGCATTTTTCTTTTGGTTAGGACTATTTCCTCCGAGAGGATCATGGGTAGGCCAATGGTTCCCAGTGAAACCATCAAAATAATAGCTAGAGCTGTTATAGCGTTTAGTCTTGCAAAGCAGCGCCCCATAGCCATTGTTTTGATTCGGTGAAAACTTGGATGGGACCAACTCGTGACTTGGGTCAGTCACGTGTTTGATGATCAAACAGTTGATGTCACCTTCCCGCCAAAAACCAAGCTGCCAGGTCCTGGATGACACACCAGTCAGTTGTTTATGTTGCTCTTGATGAGGATCTGTCTGCCGATTTGTTTCCAGAGTGAGAAGTTCATGGCGTTGTAGTTTGTTTCATTTAGCGCAGGGGTTATGAAGATGGGAACATTGACTTCATTCTTGGCCGGCCAATTTGGCCTCGGAGTGATTGCATTTGAACCATCATTAAAATGAGTGTAGTTAGTAAAGGAATAGCTCCATACAAGTGTCCAGCCCCCTCCTAAGTATCAATGTCTCAGTAAGCTTTGAAAGCGTTGGCCTGGGATCCGCTATGGGGATCGATCCAAGAAACACCCATGAACGTAGTGAGATAAGGTTTGAGGAAAGTCTGGCACGAGGTTACAGCTGAATGCTGGTTGGAACTAGGGAGTGGAGAAGCGTTTTGCTCTATAATGATAAAGATAAGTACTAAACCAACCACCTTTGAAAGGTCAAAAAGGATTATGAACGAGGGTTAGAGAAACTGTGGTGCTGCGTTGGTGGGAGCGTATAACAGGGTAATTTGGTACTATCAACTGGACACTGTAAAGATCTTAAAAGCTGACCTTTCGATGACGAAGGACTGACGCTCGAAACGTCAGCTTTTGAACTCTTTACGATGGCCAACCCCAAAATTCCCTGGTTAAAAAATAGTTGACGCCAAAAGCGATGGAAATCGGAAAATTTAAAAGGCTAAAGTATATCACGTGGATCAAGACAATAATTTGTAGCTCTCACTTGGGTGGGGACTGGTTATTTCTGGGAAGAGGATCTGTATTGGAATTATGTAATACACCTCAGTTACTGCATGCCATGTCCATGCATGTAGACGGAATTATCAACTATTAAACTTTTACAACTGACCAGGAGAGAACTTCACCTTATAATTCCAATACAATATCAAGCTGACAAGTGATGAAAATGAAAATAAAAATAAATTAGGAGATTATTAGTTGATCCAATACCAAATTCTCCGAGCGCGCTCATCTTATAAATATGCGCTCACGCGATTTTAATTAAAATAGTTTCCCTTTTTAACTCGTGAATTGCGCGCATGCGCAAGAGCGAGTTATAGGTACCATGTGGGGAATGGCATTCGCTCGCTCGCTCGATTGGTCGATTCCTGTAAACTTTTTTTAGATTTTAGGCTTTTGAGTGCATTTGATAGTTTTTAGCGAACAGTAAACAGAAGAAATGGCGACCTTTGTTGCTAAGAATAGTGGTGGGGTGAAAAAGAAAGCCAATGATAATCTTAAAAGAGTTTTTTTTTTTTTTTCGTTTAGTTTCAACAAGCGGCGCCAGCGACTGGCAGGCATGCAAGGATTCACACTGAAATAACAGAACAACCTTCGTTTTCATAAAATTGTAATTTACAATCCTTGAACTCGAAAACAATCCGAAGACTCATTGAAAATATTACTTACTGCGAAGCGCTCGGAGTTTACAGATGTTCAAAAGCTTTTTCTGTTATGGCGTGAGATTGAGGACAAAATTGATCATTACGTTTCGTCGCGTGTGTTTTTTTCCTGTGTGAAGCAACAAAAGATGCCGGCGACTGACGAAATTACAAGTTAACACGAAAATCAGATAACACCTAAACAAACAATTTTAGCTACCGATTTTCAGTGAATTTTTAAAGAACAATTTTCTTTTAAGTTTCAAGACAATTTGAAGATTCAACATACATACAACGTACTAAAATGCGAAAGTTACACACCACAAAATTGATAAATAGGCCTGAAATGAAATTCTATCTTGTTATTGATTATACGTTGCCTAGCACGTGACTTAAATCTACCCAGGCGGAGATCCAAAATGACGGTGGCAGGCTTGGCTTAGTTATATCACTCAAAACTCGTTCCAGTTTGTCTGATTTGATAAAGAGGGAATCGTTAATGTTTTCATTAAGACAGTATTGCCTTGATTTTCTAATATTTACAATGAAAGACAGTAAATTTCACTTTTCACCCACATTTACTTCCAACCTTTTCTTTTGAACCAGAAAAGAAAATGATAGACGTTTAAAACACATGACATCATCCACCTTGTCAAATGTAATAGCATGATCATTTCAATTGTAATGCCTTCTTATCCCAACGTTACCTTGTTTCTTTGCTACATTAGCGAATACTGAACTACTGCTCGTACTCTAGATATGACAATCAACCACCAAATTTCCTAAACCAGATAACATTAAACATCATGTGTCAAAATCATGTGTCAATTCACGAGTTTGCTCACAGAGCACTTTGATTTACTTACGACGCACTGCTGATTTAAATCCCGATTCCTTTTCGTAGTTTTGCTGAACTGAAATTAAATTGTGCGAAGTTTTTTTTCATGAAATGATGTTCGGAAAAGAAATCGTTTTCGCTGTGAAAAACAAAAATAACCTTTTGACGGGAGGGAAAGGTAATTTAACTGCATCAATTATCTTGAGTTATAATCTGAGAACCGTGCCATATTATTAACGCCAAATACCTTTCTTAAATAGAAAGAACCATCTCGCTGTAAAAGCCGATCAGCTGCTGAAGTTTTCACTTATGATCTATTGGAGGACAGACGTATAGATGACGTCATCATTAAAACTTTTTTTAATTCTTTATTATATAAAACAAATGGATTCCAAGTTGCCGTGCGTCTGTTCAGTAATAGATCACAGAGGACGTCAAAAAAGGTAATCCCCCGACTTCACATGATGAGTGTAACTGGTGCTTTGCTTGTTCTCATCTTACGAGAGTGAACCAAGCTTGAACCTTCAGCCTCCAAAATCTGATCCTAAATTTTCCCTTCGAATTCTGGTGGGGTTTTTCTCAGTAAATACGATAGGATAACTTAGAGTTATATCAGTTTAAGACCCTCTAGGTCCTCCAGATGATTCTCGTCATTTTTTTTCAAGGTAATGCAATGATTTTGTGCAGATAAGTTAACCAGCTATGGGAGATACGTGTTTAAAGGTTTGTCATTGTCTGTCCTTGCTACTTGGCTCGAATAAAAATGTTACCATGTGGATCAAGAACATTTTTCTTTTGGTTGGGCTTATTTCTTCCCAGAGGATCATGGGTAGGCCAATTTTTGGCCGTGTAACTATTGAAATAGTAAAAGGTGCTGTTCCAGCGCCCACTCGAATAGAACATTGGTCCAAAGTTGGCGTTTGGTAAAAACTTGGAAGGCGCCGAAGCTGATTCACTACGATCAGCCACGTATTTGGTGATTTTACAGTTGACGTCACCATTCTGCCAATCAACCAAACTGCCAGTTACCGGCTGACACACCAGCCAGTTGTTTATGTTGCTCTTGATGAGGACCTGTCTGCCAAGTTGTTTCCAAAGTGAGAAGTTTATGGCATTATAGTCTGTTTCATTTAATGGAGGAGTTGTGGAGACAGGAACATTCACCCTATTCGTAACCAGCCAATTTGGTATTGGAGTGACCGCGTTTGAATCATCTTTAAAATGATTGTAGTTAGTGAAGGAATAGCTCCATACAAGGGTCCAGCCCCCTCCATCAGTATCCATGTCACAGTAAGCTTTGAAAGCGTTGGCCCGGGATCCATCATCAGGATCGATCCAATAAACACCCGTGGACGTAGCGGGAGATTGTTTGAGGAGAGTCTGGCACGAGGTTACTGCTGAGTGCTGGTTAGAACCAGGGGTTGAAGAAGTGTTTTGGTCTACAATCATAAAGTTGAAGATTAGAAAAATAATTTCATCATTGAAAGCGAGTCTTATAAAGTATCCTCTATTGGAGCTGGCGACCCAAATTTAGTTACGATCATCAAACAAAGAACCAGTATTATGTTACTGAGCAATTCAAAACGATATTAACTTTAACGCTGGGCCAACGTTTCCTGACATGCGCTCTAACTTGGATTTTTTTTCCCTCTTTTTTATGATTCCGTTGAGCTGTCTTAGATAATTAGGTTTCAAACTCAATCATTTCTTCACTATTAACCTTGTAAATAAATGATTTTATCGGTGAACGTACGACCACGAGGACATTCGAAACCATTCTACTTGGCTAGATACATGTCCTAATTTCTTTGTATCTTATTTTAATGACGATCGAAAATTAGGTAAAGTATTCAGAAAACCTAAAACTGGTAGCAATAGGCCAGGAAGGATAATGGAAGAGAGGGCAGAGGATGGATGACACCAAAACGTGGTATAAATGAAGAACTTGAAAATTCAAGTTTATCTTGGTGCATCAATATTTATCCATTACATATATGTAATAATTTTCATAAGCGTAACTTTCACCTTGGGGTGAGCCAGTCAGGTCGACCTGAATTGGAGTTAAACAAGACATTCAGTTAGTACCCGTACTTCGCGTCATGCGCATGTGAACGAAAGTGTTGAAGGCTCTTTGGGCGACTGTGGTCTTACTTGTTAGTGACTTCTGCCACTAAACGAACGTTTCATATGCTTTTGAATTATGATCTTGATGTTAAGACGAGCTTCTATGGGTCGTGTCGTCTTAACTTTTTTAATAAGGTCTCATCTCAATCCATTCACGTTACTCCACAAATACCCTCTCATATTTCAGCTTTTTTCATGCTAAAGGCTTATTTCCAACCTTGATACAACGCGGTCGTTTGTTTTTGTTTTGAACCACCGCTTTTGTTTAAATAGCGCCTCTGATTGGTCAGTTATTTTTACCTTGTCACGTCTCAAAATGCCTTCTGCGTTTTCTCCGATGAATTTGAAGAACTTATCATAATAATTCTGTTTAAAACAGTTCTATACGTTTTAATTCGGTATGGAATCAGATGAATCCATTGATTTGGTAGATTCCGAGGCAGTAAACGCTTATGGATCGGTTGTTGCTAAAGAGGAACGCGAAAATCCTTGCGAGCATTCTGAAGAAGGTGAAAATGTTGAACGCCACCACGTTTTCATTCATTCATCAATTTTTTTTTTAATTGAAGTTTGCCATACTTGTTAAATAGGACCAAGGGTTAGTTGAAGTTTCCTGCTCGTGGAGAGGAACTTGCGTTCGAAAGAGTGGTCGAGGTTGTTTTCCATGCAAAAGAGCAAATAAGAATTGTAACGCAAACTGTCAGTGTCGCTGACGTTCCTGCAATGAAGTGACTAAACTTAAAATAATCAAACGTCTTGCAGTACGATATTTTTCCATATTTCTCTTCGAAATCCAAAAAATATTTATAGGAAAATGTTCTACTTTTATTTATAATCCTCAAGCGCTTCCAGGCAGCCTAAAATTTCGAACTTGATGTTCCTCGCTAACCCCTTTATACAGAGTAGGAAGCCATCCAAGCGCTCGACACGGCTGGACTCGGTCCTCAAACAACTCCACATTTCTTTTTGAAATATACCAATTTTTCTTCGGAAAATATTCTACCGTCATTTACAATCCTCAAGCGCTTCTAGAAGGTGAAAAAATGCCAACGTTATCCGTTTCGCTGACCTTGTACACAGATCCAAGCGCGACACGAAGAAAATTTACACCGGACACTACCGGACACGGTTTTCGAATAACTAAAGGTCCGGCAGTCTGATATTTTTTCATATTTCTCTTTGAAAAATACCAATTTCTTTTGGAAATATTTTATCTTTATTTAGAATCCTCTAGCGCTTCCAGAAAGTGAAAAAATTTAAACGTTGTCCTTTTCGCCGACTCTGTTCACAGAGTACGAAGAGATCCAAGCGTGCCACTTAAAAAACATCTTCTGGACAAAATTAAAAATACTGTAAAGAAACTGTAAATAATGAACAGCGAATGTATTTACCGTAAAACAGTTGACTATATGTCCAGGATGGCTCTTGAGAAAGGCGATTTTAGAAGGTTTTCAGTGATCTGAGAATTTCGTGTTACAGGAAACTAGGGCGCGGCGCGCGTTGCATCAAAGTTGGAAATGGGCCTCTAAGCGCAAATTACTTTAAACGCCCGATCGAGTCTCTTACGTAGATTTCCGACATTAGAACATAGAATTTCCAGTCGAGCCTTTAGAAAAGGATTATGAAAACTACATTGAAACATAAACATGTGAAAGAAAACAATAAAATGAAAAAAAACAACAGCAACAACCGCACAGCTTTGCCCAAAATATCTGGCTCTCAAAAGAAAGTTTCATCCATTTGTGATCGCACTGAATAAAAAAAGAAATTGTAACACAAAATGGTAACGGAAAAATCTCGAAAGTTCTCGATTTACCTTTTCAATATAGAAAGAACCATTCCGTTTTACAAATCTCTCCATCTTCCTTGCCTGTTGTCCTTCGTTAAAAAGCGAACAGGTGCCTTTGTTTGCCAAGAAATTTGCTCCTTTACAAGCAGCTTCTCTCCTACACATTTGAGCACAGGTCAATATAGAGTCAGCCTTTTCACTTAGAAGAGCATTTTCATTGTTAAGAAAAGCATTTTCTTCTATGCGAAAGAACATGCCCTGATCTTCTTCTGCAGATATCTTTGGTGTTACCGAAAAAGCCAATATGAGAGCATATACGTCCCACGCAAAGATCTGCAAGAAAGGAAATTAAAATGATATGATAGAATACCAAAGAACAATCAAATTAGGAGGACTCTGTTGGATTATTGCTTAATACATTACATGACTTTGAGGAGAAGTCACTTACAAACATTAAAGCCATCATCGATGGGAAAAGGCACATTGGGAGCAGATCTTTACTCCTCGTAATTTTATCGAGTTTTGTTTGTCAAACAAAAATAAACGTAATGCATTCGAGTACAACCTAAAAGGATTTTATGCTCTGTTTTATTTGTCATTACTTATCATTCTCTCGGGGATCGGAGAAAGTATGGGTGTATGACTTTCTGGAAATAAGATTGAGTGTTCAGAAGTTCAGAACGGGTTATTCAAAACCTTGAAATACATATCAGCTTTAATTTGCCTTTTTTACCCAATGTGTCTAAAAAAAACAATCATAAAAGGCAAAAAAAACCTGTAATAATATCCTGAAATCTAACGAGAATTGATTTGATCAGGTGGCTGTACTCAATTGCCAAAAAAACTCAAAGTGGTTTTGGAAAGCTTCTGAAATATATCAATTACGGTTTATTAATGCAGAATAAGTCATAGCAAACACTATGGTCTTAACATGAAATGCAAGTTGTTTTTATTAGCATTTCGAAGGTAGTTAGCCTAAAGGGCAAACTAAGTTTCCACGCAGTCACAATTTTGAAACTCCGTTACATGTTTTTAATATTACTTAATGCTCCTGGCCTTTCTATGGAAATATAAAAAAAAAAAAAGTGGCGACATTGATATCCAGAAATCTAACGAGAATTTATTTGGTCAGGTGGCTGTACTCAATTACCAAAAAAAAAACTCAAAGTGGTTTTGGAAAGCTCCTGAAATATATCAATTAAGGTTTATAAATGCAGAATGAGTAATAGCAAACACTATGGTCTTAACATGAAGTAAAAGTTGTTTTATTAGCATTTCAAAGGTAGTTAGCATAAAAAGGAAAACTCAGTTTCCACGCAGTACACCATTTTCAAAACTCCGTTATATGTTTTTACTATTGATTAATGCTCATTACTCAACCCCTTTACTCCTGGCCTTTCCATGGAAATATGAAAAGAAAAAAAACCCCGTGGCGACAATTATTTAATGGGGTAATTGATCCAGGCTTCCCTAAGTGAATCTTATTTATTCATTTTATTCTAAAAATTGCTCTAGCTGATTGCACTATCTAGTTTAGTGGTTGGCACGAGTTTTGTAAACATCAGCGGCAAAAGTAGTCATGATTAAAAACATTGAGAGCTTAAATTTGTACAACAATAAAGAAGAAACTAGCACCTAATCAAGTCAAAGTTTCGCGAAGTGATTTGAATTACCTAAAATTCCATTGGAAAAAAAACATTCTGAAAGATAATCTCCCGATCTCTCATGATGAGTGTAACTGGTGCTTTGCCTGTTGTCATCTTACGAGAGTGATACACGCTTGAACCTTCAGCCTCCAAGATCTGATCCGAAATTCTCCCTTCTAATGGGGTTTTCTCAGTAATTACGATAGAAGAATTTAGAGTTATATCAGTTTAATACCCTCAAAGTCCTGATGATGATTCTCGTCACACGTTTTCAAGGTAATGTAATGATTTTGTGCAGATAAGTTAACCAACTCTAGAAGATACGTGTGTAAAGGTTTGTCATTGTCTATCTTTGCTACTCGGCTCGAATAAAAATGTTACCGTGTGGATCAAGAACATTTTTCTTTTGGTTGGGCTCATTTCTTCCACAAGGATCGTGGGTAGGCCAATTTTTGCCCGTGTAACCATTAAAATAATAAAAGTTGCTCTCCCAGCGCCCAATCGAATGGAACATTGGTCCATAGTTGATATATGGTGAAAACTTGGAAGGCGCCGAAGCTGATTCTCTAGGATCAGCCACGTATTTGGTGATTGTACAGTTGACGTCACCTTTCTGCCAATCAACCAAGCTGCCAGTTATCGGTTGACACATCAGCCAGTTGTTTATGTTGCTTTTGATGAGGAACTGTCTACCAAGTTTTTTCCAGAGTGAGAAGTTCATGGCGTTGTAGTCTGTTTCATTTAATGGAGAAATTGTGGAGACAGGAACATTCACTTCATTTTTGGCCGGCCAATTTGGACTAGGAGTGATCGCATTAGAATCATCGTTAAAATGAGTGTAGTTAGTAAAGGAATAGCTCCATACTAATGTCCAGCCCCCTCTATTCGTTTCCATGTCACAGTAAGCCTTGAAAGCGTTGGCCTTGGATCCTCCATCAGGATCGATCCAATAAACACCCGTAGACGTAGCGGGAGACTGTTTGAGGAGAGTCTGGCACGAGGTTACTGCTGAGTCCTGGTTAGAACCAGGGGGTAGAGAGATGTTTTGCTCTACAGTCATAGAATTGAAAATTGAAAGTGAGTCTACTGAAGTATCCTCTATGTTTACTAAAGCCATGTAAGGGAAAATAGAGCTGGCAACCTAAATTCAGTTACGAGTATCAAACAAGACTGAACTAATTTTATGTTATTGAGCAATTTAAAAGGATCTAAACTTAAACACCGGCCCAACGTTTCCTGACATGCGTTCTAACTTGGATTTATCTTTCCTCTTTTTTTGTTAAATTCCGCTGAGCTGTCTCAGACAATTAGGATTCAAACTCAATCACTTCCTTACTATTAACCTTGTAAATAAATGATCAAATTAGTGAACGTACAACCACTAGGACATTCGAAACCATTCTAAGTAGCTGTGTAAGTGTCCCAATTTTTTGTGTTTTATTTTAATGAAAATAGAAGCTGAGGAAAAAGTGTTCAGTACAAAAACAAACTAAAAAAAACTTGGCAGCAATAGGATAATGGAAGACAATGGATAATGGAAGAAGGGTAGAAGATGGATGACACCAAAACGTGGTAGAAATGAAGAACTTGAAAATTATAAAAGATCCAAGTTTATCTTGGTGCATCGAGATTTATCCAATAGCTGTGGGCAGTAATTTACATTAGTGCTCGGGTTACTGATCTTAATAATACTGAATTCCTAACTCTCACCTCGGGGCGAATCGGTTCTTTCTGGAAGTTCGACCTAAATTGGAGTTAAACAAGACATTTATATTTAGTTTCCGTGCTTCGTGTCATGTGCATGTATACGAAACGGTTGAAGGCTCACCGGGCGACTGTGGTCTTATTTCAATTGTTGGTGGCTTCCGCTTATAACTGAACGATTCATAAAGTTTTAACTTCTGTGGGTCTTGTCCTCTTAACTTTTCTAATAAGGTCTCATCTCAATTCATTCACGTCCCTCCACCGATGTCCTCTCATGTTTCAGCTTTTTTCCTGCTAAAGCGCAAATTACTTTAAACGCCCGATCAAGTCTCTTACGTAGATCTGATGAGCTAAATCAAAAAGTTTGCGGAGTTTTTGTTTTATGAGCTAGGAAAAAAATTATCGCCATTCCGCACTAGCCAAAAAGTTGTTTATTTTGACAAATTTTCAATCATCATACACATTTTACAAGCGCCGGTTGGGCGTGAAACCCATGGAAAACTATGCTGGCTGGTCTTATGAATAGATCGGGCGCGGACGGAATTTGACGGCTTTAAAATTTTTAATGCGGATGCAACAGGCGAAACAAAAATTTGTCATGACAAAATTTCTCCTTTTATTTTAACGGGACAATTCTAGTTTTGTCTGCCAGTGCGGGAAAGCCCTTAAACTTGTTCGTGATAAGGTGTACATTATCGGATGGTGTCACCGAAAAACATGGCATTTCAACAATGTCAAATACCTTTGTTAGATAGAAAGAGCCATCTCGTTGTAAAAGCCGCTCAGCTGCTGAACTTATTTGCATTTCGCCGCGAAGAAGGTAACAAAGTCCTGGTAAAGTAATACATGTTTGATAATTTTTTCAAGATCGAACAAACATTTTTCACTGGGTTGGGCTCGACTCTTCCACTAGGATCACATGTAAGCCAATAATCTCCAGAGCAACTATTAAATTAAAAGTAAGACCTAATTCAGCGCATGCTCTAAGAGAATAGCCGTACATAGTATTGATAGTGTGACGAGAAGATAATTACTTCTGGAAGTTATGTGAGTAGAAATTTGTTGGAGTCTATCTTTGTTGCTCGACTCGAATAAAAATGTTACCATGTGGATTTGCATTTTTCTTTTGGTTCTCACTTGGGTGAGGACTGGTTATTTCTGGGAAGAGGACCTGTATTGGAATTATGTAATACACCTCAGTTACTGCATGCCATGTCCATGCATGTAGACGGAATTATCAACTATTAAACTTTTACAACTGACCAGGAGAGAACTTCACCTTATAATTCCAATACAATATCAAGCTGACAAGTGATGAAAATGAAAATAAAAATAAATTAGGAGATTATTAGTTGATCCAATACCAAATTCTCCGAGCGCGCTCATCTTATAAATATGAGCTCACGCGATTTTAATTAAAATAGTTTCCCTTTTTTACTTACGACGCACTGCTGATTTAAATCCGATTCCCTTTCGTAGTTTTGCTGAACTGAAATTAAATTGTGCGAAGTTTTTTTCATAAAATGATGTTCGGAAAAGAAATCGTTTTCGCTGTGAAAATGAGAAAACAAATATATATATCCTACGTCTTTTTCAAATTCCAACGTTTTTGAAAACAGGTGTATATTTATATATAGATAGATAGATATTATAAAATATGACCACTGGACTACTGAACAAAGCCGTGACGTTGGCGTGCCCGCGGCACAGTTGACCACGCATGTTAAAAGTAGCACCTCGTACGGTCGTACAGTCGTACGGTCGTACATCCAAGTTTTTTCGGCTTGATGGGTTACTACTATTTTGTATAATTATGGGGCTACGCTCTGCGAGCTCCGCTATAAGAAAGTGCAAAATCTTTCGTGAGTTTATTCAGAGATCTCGTTCACCACTGACGGGAAAAGTTACACATCGGTGAACAATTAATGTTCATCAACTAGCGAATGAAAATGTTCCCAGGAAGCAACCATGTTTTATTTTGTTTCTCATTTAAACACAATAGCCCTTTAATGAGAAGACAAGCCGACTTCATCAATGAATGAAAATAAATGAATCGACAATCTTCGAATAACAATCGTAGAGCGCGTTGGCGCTGACTCTTAAGATGGAAAAGGGCGTTGAATCATTATTATAAAAACGACAATGGTCGTAATTTTCAATTTACAAAATTCTCATTTAGTGGCTTTGTCCTTACCGACAGAAGAAGTCTTTCAGGTAAACGGCCAAAATCGGCCAGTGGCAAATCTTCCAGTTGTCGATTTTCACTCAGAAATGCTAACACCAAAGCCTTTGAATATGCAACTTTCGGTTTTTCTTTTACTATATTGGTTTTCTTCCCCTCCTAGGAAAGTTTGAACATCATTGTCTTTCAGCGATACGGATTTTTTAGTGTCTTAGCCGCCATAATTCGAGAAAGCTCCGAGACACACCTTGTATTGAGAATCGTGAAGGCTTTGCCGTTCATTCATCAACCTGACCGAGTGGCGCCAAAGTCGAGTGACATTAAGCAGCTGATTGACTATATCAACACACGTGAAAAATACGATTTTTTTTCACCTGTGTTGTTACGGCTTTTCTCAGAGCCGGAAACCCATTATAACACCGCGGCTTATGTGATAAACATAATTACAAAACGGACTCGATAAAACATGCCGACTCCCATCTTTTAGTGATCTTTAATTGATCAGGTTAGAGCGGCTGTGTGACATTACAGACATAAGAAAAATTTTATTTCCTACTTAATGGAAAGGACAATGAAAATTAAATTGAAACATGAACAAGGTGTATAAAAAATTGCCATTGCATAAAACTGCCCAAAACATCCGGTCCTCACTCCACTCCTTTGTAATCCCACGGAGTAAAGAAAGAAATGGTAACACAACTTATATTAATCTGTAAGATCTACAAAATTCTAGGAATACCTTTTCTATATAGAAAGGACCATCCTGTTTTACAAATCTTTCCATCAGTCCTTGCCTGTTTTCCTTCGTCAAAAAGCGAATGGGTGGTTTTGTTTGCCAAAAAATTTGCTTCTTTACAAGCAGCTTCTCTCCTACACATTTGAACACAGGTCAATATAGAGTCAGCCTTTTCATTTTGAAGAGCATTTTCATCATCAAGAAAAATGTTTTCTTATATGTAAAAGAACATGCCCTGATCTTCTTCTGCAGATATCTTTGGGTGAAACCGAAAAAACCCATATGAGAGCAAATATGTCTCAAGGAAAGATCTGCAAGAAAGGAAACTGAAATGATATAATAGCATACCGAGGAACAAGCAAAGTAGGAGTACTCAATTGCCAAAAAGCCTCAGAGTGGTTTTGGAAAGCTCCTGAAATATATCAATTACGGTTTATAAATGCAGAATAAGTAATAGCAAACACTATGGTCTTAACATGAAATGCAAGTTGTTTTTATTAGCATTTCGAAGGTAGTTAACCTAAAAGGCAAACTAAGTTTCAACATATAATAGAAAAGAAATTGAAGTGTCTTGGAAAGGTATGCACCCTTTAGAACCAAGCTTTATACCGATTTGAAACTTTGTTATTGGGAAAATATGTTTTTACTATTAAGTAATGCTCGTTATTAAACCCCTAATTTTGCGCATTTCCAAACATTAAAACATTAAAAAAAAAAAGTGACGTCAATTATGTAATGTAATGATTGTTCCAGGCTTCCTTAAGTGAATCTTATTTATTCATTTCATTCTAAAAATTTCTTTAGCTGATTGCAACTATTTAATTTAGTGGCTGCCACGAGTTTTGTAAACAGTATTGGTAAAAGCAGCCATTATTAAAAACATCAAGAATTTAAGTTTTGTTGTACAAAAACAAAGAAGAAAAAAACATGCAAAAACAAATTTAAAAAAATTTTTACAAAGTCCGGCTTGAATAGTGACTAGCGCCTCATTAAGTCAAAGTTTGCGAAGGGATTTTTTTCCTTAAAACTCCATTGGAAAGCAAAATTCTGAAAGGTAATCCCCCGACTTCACATGATGAGTGTAACTGGTGCTTTGCTTGTTCTCATCTTACGAGAGAGCTTGAACCTTCAGCCTCCAAAATCTGATCCTAAATTTTCCCTTCGAATTCTGGTGGGGTTTTTCTCAGTAAATACGATAGGATAACTTAGAGTTATATCAGTTTAAGACCCTCTAGGTCCTCCAGATGATTCTCGTCATCTTTTTTCAAGGTAATGCAATGATTTTGTGCAGATAAGTTAACCAGCTATGGGAGATACGTGTTTAAAGGTTTGTCATTGTCTGTCCTTGCTACTTGGCTCGAATAAAAATGTTACCATGTGGATCAAGAACATTTTTCTTTTGGTTCGGCTTATTTCTTCCCAGAGGATCATGGGTAGGCCAATTTTTGGCCGTGTAACTATTAAAATAGTAAAAGGTGCTGTTCCAGCGCCCACTCGAATAGAACATTGGTCCATAGTTTGTGTTTGGTAAAAACTTGGAAGGCGCCGAAGCTGATTCACTACGGTCAGCCACGTATTTGGTGATTTTACAGTTGACGTCACCATTCTGCCAATCAACCAAACTGCCAGTTACCGGCTGACACACCAGCCAGTTGTTTATGTTGCTCTTGATGAGGACCTGTCTGCCAAGTTGTTTCCAAAGTGAGAAGTTTATGGCATTATAGTCTGTTTCATTTAATGGAGGAGTTGTGGAGACAGGAACATTCACCGTATTCGTAACCAGCCAATTTGGTATTGGAGTGACCGCGTTTGAATCATCGTTAAAATGATTGTAGTTAGTGAAGGAATAGCTCCATACAAGGGTCCAGCCCCCTCCATCAGTATCCATGTCACAGTAAGCTTTGAAAGCGTTGGCCCGGGATCCATCATCAGGATCGATCCAATAAACACCCGTGGACGTAGCGGGAGATTGTTTGAGGAGAGTCTGGCACGAGGTTACTGCTGAGTGCTGGTTAGAACCAGGGGTTGAAGAAGTGTTTTGGTCTACAATCATAAAGTTGAAAATTAGAAAAATAATTTCATCATTGAAAGCGAGTCTAGTAAAGTATCCTCTATTGGAGCTGGCGACCTAAATTTAGTTACGATCATCAAACAAAGAACTAGTATTATGTTACTGAGCAATTTAAACCGAAATTAACTTGAACACCGGGCCAACTTTCCTGACACGTGCCCTAACTTGGATTTTTTTTTCCTTCTTTTTTTTTACAATTCCGTTGAGCTGTCTCCGATTATTAGGTTTCAAACTCAATCATTTCTTCACTATTAACCTTGGAAATAAATGATTTTATCGGTGAACATACGACCACGAGGACATTCGAAACCATTCTACTTGGCTATATACACTCCTAATTTCTTTGTATCTTATTTTAATGACAATCAAAAATTAGGTAAAAGTATTCAGAAAACCTAAAATTGGCAGCAGTAGGCCAGGAAGAATAATGGAAGAGAAGGCAGAGGATGGATGACACCGAAACGTGGTAGAAATGAAGAACTTGAAAATTCAAGTTTATCGTGCTCCATCAATATTTATCCATTACATTTATGTAATAATTTTCATAGGCGTAACTTTCACCTTGGGGTGAGCCAGTCAGGTCGACCTGAATTGGAGTTAAACAAGACATTCAGTTAGTACCCGTACTTGGTGTCATGCGCATGTGTAAGAAATTGTTGAAGGCTCTTTGGGCAACTGTGGTCTTACTTGTTGGTGGCTTCTGCTTATAAACGAACGTTTCATATGCTTTTGAATTATGATCTTGATGTTAAGAGGAGTTTTTATGGGTCTTGTCGTCTTAACTTTTTGTAATAAGGTCTCATCTCAATCCATTCACGTCACTCCACAAATACACTCTCATGTTTCAGCTTTTTTCCTGCTTAAGCGCAAATTACTTTAGCGAAAAAGTTTGTTTATTTTGACAAATTTTCTATTATCATAAACATTTTACAAGTGCGAATTGGAGGTGAAATCCTTCGACAAACTATGCTAGCTGGTCTTATAAATAGATCGGGCGTTGACGGAATTTGACGGCTTTAAAAGCATTAATGCGGATGAAACAGACGAAACAAAACTTTGTCATGACAAAATTTGTCCTTTTATTTTAACGGGACTATTCTAGTTTTGTCTGCTAGTGTGGGAAGGCCCTTAAACTTGTTCGTGATAAGGTGTACATTATCGGAAGGTGTCACCGAAAAACATGGCATGTCATCAATGACAAATACCTTTGTTAGATAGAAAGAGCCATCTCGCTGTAAAAGCCGCCCAGTTGCTGAACTTGTTTGCATTTCGCCGCGAAGGAGGTAACAAAGTCCTGGGTTTTCCAGAAAGTTTGCACTTCTGCACGAAGCTTGTCTCGCACACAAAACCGAACAGGAAAGCAAAGAATCAGTTTTTCCAGACCAAAAGAGGCTTTTTTCTCTGTAGCTGAAAAACGTGTTTTCCTTGATTTGAAAGAAAACGCCATGTTCGGTTCCTTCAGTTGTCTTTTCCGCCAAGAACAAGACGAATACAAAGAGGTACTCGACTTGAAGTAACATCTGTCAAGAGAATCTTGACACAAAATCAGGTATAGTCAGTAAACGTATGAAACATAAATTACCTGCCTATAGACAAAATAGTCAAACAAGACAGAAAGATCAGAAAGGAAGAGAAATTTAAACCCACCCTTTTCTGTTGATGGAAAAACACCGCCCGACACACAGAAACCTTTGTGAACAGATCTGTATCATCAATATTAAATGTAAATTTAATGATTCCGTGATCTTCGCTTGATCGTTCTATTTTTCTATTTGGATATAGCAATACAGCTTTGACATTTTGTTTTCTTAACAACACGTTTCCAATTACTCCACAACTTCATTTTGACATTTTAAATGAAATGCACAAGTCCTGCAGGTTTATAATGCAATTATCATGACTTCTAGGTAAACAGAATATGGAAATACCGGAAGGCTGATAAAAGTTCTTTTATGTAACAGTGAAGAAATAAAAAATTTGAAATGCAAAGTTAAAAAAAGAAAAAAAAGGAAATTGGTAAGAGACAAAATTAAAACTGAACATGAAAAAAAAGCCTTTTGTATGAAACACCTGGCAAAGAAGAATTACTTTCCTGAATGGTAGTGAAAAAGTGAGGCTTGCATAATTCAGCAAGAGAACTGGATCAATTACAAGTTTGATAATGATGCATATTGTTGGCTACCGTTATAAAACATGCTAAAAGGGAAGGCTAAAGATACCAAATAGTGCCGAGAATTTGCTAGAAAAGTGAAAGGATCCCTCCCTGTGATTTTTAATGATTTCTATTTTGCTTTTCCTTCTGCTTTTTTTTCTTCATGTCTTTTGTTGTTTTTGCCTTTATTCGTTTTTACTTAATAAAGTAGAAACAATTACATTGCAAAAATTTATAAAAACTAGATATACAGTCCGAAAAACAAGGATTTTCCCTCAGGGAACAGCAGCAAGTATATTGATCAAATAGTAACGTTTTGTCAGAATATTCGCGGAGGGGAGTCAAGCGGTAATTTTGTGATATGAGAAAAAACCTCAGGTTCGTCAATGAATGATTTGAATATGAGAAAACGAGAATCTGTGGTGACCTGACTTAAAGATCGCGATCAACCCCTATAACGAAAAGGTTCACGTTATTGACAAGACAAGCCAACGTTTTATTCACATAAATAAATTTAATCAAATTGCAATAGTTATTTAATTTGACAGTGTTTTCAAGAGAATGTACTACCTTGGTATTGTTGATTTATTAAAATATCATCAGGGGTTGGGAATTCTCTGTGTCTTTACCAGCTGTTTTAGCAAGAAAACTAATCAAGTAATATGAATTTGTTTCACTTGAATTTTCCTTATGACTGTTTTGTATACCCTTCCCTGGGTAAATGTGCTATAAGAAATATACGGATAACGGGAACAGGTGCTCATCAGTTCTCGGATGCAATGATTTTAAGAATTCAATCACCTCTGAAAGATATTCGTGTGGTTTTTTTACTATGTCTTTGCCACTCGGCTCGCATAAAAATGTTACCATGCGGAAAGTTACCAATTTTCTTTTGGTTTGGCTATGTTCTTCCCAGAGGATCATGGGTAGACCAATGCTTCCCTGTGTAACCGTCAAAATAGTAATAAAAGCTATGCGAGCGCTCAGTCAAATAGGACAGTGGTACGATTTTTTTGGTGCAGTGAAAACTCGGAGAAGATCACCAAGTGACTAAGGACATATATATATATATAAAAGGATATAAACCTGGTTCCGGTTCTTCAAAGGGCAGACATAGATATCCACCAGATAAATCTCTATCCGGTGGATAGCGCAATTTTTTGTTTTTGTTGACATTTATGCGTTGAATAGTTTATATATGGGAAAGTGCTGTCAAAAAAGCACCAATAATAAATCGGTACCTTTTTAATTAACGAGCTGAAGATATATGATGACTTTTTTCTCTAACGAAAGAAAGATCAAAGTCACCAGTTTCCGTTTGCTTTTTCATGTGTTTCTGGTCTCTTAGTAAAACGTAACAACGACGAAATGATCGTCTACAGTTTCCGACAGTATTATCTACCTTTTGAACAACAACAAGGCCCCGAAGACCAGCCTTATGTTTACTGGCATACGCTTTTACAGACTTTTTTCACATTTCCATTGAGCTGTATCAGACAATTATTAGACTCAAAACATTTCCTTTTCATGAACTTTGTCTGATCAATGATACTATACCAATAAGCGACCCTAGAGTCGTTCGAAACTATTCTAAGTAGCTGTATACATGTTCCGACTTTTCGTGTCGTGTTTTGACGGCGAACGAAACTTAGAAGACTGCTCACAACTTTTTAGTGCGAAAGAAAACCTAAAAATGGCAACGATAAGAAAGGAAGGGTCATGGAGGAGGTGGAAAAGGGTGACACTAAAACCGGGTAGAGATGGTGAACTAGGAAAATGTAAAAGATTCAAGTTTATTTCGGTGCATCAAGACTTCTCAGTTATATATGATAATTTACTTTTGTGCTCTAGTTGCCTATATTGATAAGAATTTGTGGCTTTCACCTTGGGGTGAGTCGGTTCTTTCTGGGAGTTCGACCTGTATTAGAGTTAAACAATGCATACCAGAATGATTAATAAATGTGCTCATATTTATCGGTGGCCTGCACCTCCAAGGGAACATTTTATGTACCTTTGGATACAAAACTTGATGTTACAACAAACTTCTTCATGACTTTTTGCTCTCGATAATGGAAGCAGAGGACGATTATGTTGAAGTGCCCATTCTCCAACAAAAAATGGCAAATTCTGCATCCTCGACCCAATGTATATAATTGATAGTTCTGTTAGTAGTAAATTTGATTGTAATATCATTCTGTAAGACTATATATTTTGTAACTTTAGCTTGTTTATCCAGATAGTTTATTTAGTTACTTTACAATTATTATATTATCTGTTATGACTGTTGTAACCTTTCCTCTCCTTTCCTAACCTTTTCCTCTTTCCTTTCCTCTCCGCCTGCCTCGTCTAGCTTTTGCTATTTGCGGGTGGAGATGGCAAAATGATTTGCATGAAATAAAGATAAAGATCTTAGTGACTTCTGTTTGTCAATTTTTGCCGCTAAGAACAAAGACCAATGCAAATCGGTACTCGACTTGAAATAACATCTGTCAAGAGAATCTCACGACAAATTTTTTTCTTTAGTAAACGTGTGAAACATATAACTTGCCTTCTTGTTGAGAAAATTGTAAAACAATCCAGAAAGGGAATTTTAACTCGCTCTTTTCTTTTAATGGCAAAACACCGCGCGACACACAGAACCTTTGTGAATAAATCTGCACCATCGGTATATATTAGTTCAAATTTACTGATTCCGTGCACGTGATCTTCCTCTGAAAGTCGATTTTTCTATTTAAGTAGAAAAAATACCCCTTTGACATTTTGTTTTCTTTACAATACGTTTGCAATTACTCCACAACTCTTTTTTGACTTTAAACTGAAAAACAAAAGCCCAGCAGGTTGATAATGCAATTATCATGACTTCTATAAATAAACAGCATTTGGGAAGAACATCCAAAAGGCTTCAACGGAAAAATGAATCACGAAAAAATTAGTGGAAGACGAATTAAAACTGAACATCTAACTGCAGTAAAGTTGTTTGAAACACCTAGCAAGGAAACTTAAATGTTTTGAGTACAAATGAAAATGTAATTGTTTAAAAATGTGTGTCCTGGAGCAAAATTATTGTTACCAACCGGCCTCGCAAACGCATTTGAGATGAAACAAAATAATAACGTAGATGCCGAAGTCAATATTTCAGTCTGAATATTTTTAAAAGTAATATGTATTGAACGTTTTAAAGAAAAAATGTTTACAAAACACTAAATTTGAATTGCGAGTCATCAGCCGGCTTGAACTTCAAAGCGATATTTAACTTTTTATTTATGCCATTTATTTCATATACTAATGCATCTTTAATATATTCAAGGTCGAACAAAAATGTTTCCATTTGAATTAACAACATTCTTCTTTTGGTTAGGCCTATTGCTTCCACTAGGATCATGGGTAGGCCAATGATTTCCTGTAAAACCATCAAAGTAATAGGAAGTGCTCCCCCAGGGTGTACTCAGGAAGAACAGCGGTCCATAGGCTCGGTTCGGCGAAAACTCAGAAGGCGCAGAAGAAAATGATATGCTTGAGTCAATCACGAGTTTAATTATCTTACAATTGACATCACCTTCCTGCCAATCAACCAAGCTGCCATTTCCCGAATGACACACCAGCCAGTTGTTTACGTTGCTCTTGATGAGAACCTGTCTGCCGAGTTGTTTCCAGAGTGAGAAGTTTATGGCGTTGTAGTCTGTTTCATTTGATGGAGGAGTTGTGGAGATAGGAACATCCACTTCGGGTCTCACCGGCCAATTTGGCCTCGGAGTGATTGCATTTGATTTGCTCGTAAAATGACTATAATTAGTGAAGGAATAGCTCCACACTAGTGTCCAGCCTCCTCCATCAGTCTCCATGTCACAGTAAGCCTTGAAAGCGTTGGCCTGGGATCCACCATCAGGATCAATCCAATAAACGCCAGACATCAAAGTAGGATATTTACTGAGGAGAGTCAAACACGAGTGTCCTGCTGAATGCTGGGTTGAACCAGAGTGCAAGGGAATGCTTTGACCTACAGGGTAACAGATGTTTCGGAAAGACGATAACAACATGTTTGGTGATCAGAAGTAGGATTTATTTCCATACTGGCAACAGTCGGGCTATTCATCGACAATACAATCATGTACGAATGGGTATAAAAATTTGACTAGTATCACCTCTTTTACAGTTTCGGGGTGATATGCATTTAAACCATCATAAAAATTAGTTTAATTGGTGATATATGTAGGAAAGGAAAAACTTCGAACCGTTTAAGTTAACCTCCCCCATCAGTCTCCATGTCACAGAGAGCTTTGAATAAGTTGACAGGGGATTCACGATGAGAACCAATCCAATAAACACCCGAAGTCGAAGTGGGACATTGGTTGAGGAGAGTCTGGCTCGCGGTTACCGCTAAATGTTAGGTTGAACCGTGCAATTCTGGGCATGGGCACTCTGGTGCTTTGTCCTGATGGAATGGGGTCGACTAATTTGCCCTGCGTTACAAAAGTACAGAGCTCAATTACAGGGTGGAACGTTGCTACAGTGACCTTATGCGTCAACCCCTTTTTTCGTTGCGGTGCATTAAAAGGTGTGGGACAATCAGTTCTTTCGAACAGTATTGCTTCTATTCGAAGAATTGGTCTTAATCACGGAGCCCTTTTGAGTACAAGGAAAACATGGTGGACACAGAAAATGTTTACATACCTCGTGGGCCAGATATTCCTGGAGAGACAACCTGTGAAGTAAACCAAAACGAAGTTTAATTTTTTGTCATCTTTTTTACTCTGGGTTTTTTCGCTAATGAATTACTAAACTTTTAGCTTACTGTGGAATTTTATCACGCGTCATTTAAATTAGTTTTTGATTTAGACTACCTGAGAGGGTACATACAGATGAAAGCGACAGGTGCAATTTTCTTTTCCAGTACTTCAAAGTAAATTAATGAGAATGAATAACAAACATATACAAAATGGATACGATAGAACATGCCGACATCTATCTTTTATTGATCAGGTCTTCCGGCTATATGGCATTTCCGACACTAGAACATAGAATTTCCAGTCAAGCTTTAAGAAAAGGATTATGAAAACCAAATTGAAACATAAACATGTGAAAGAAAACAATAAAATAAAAAAAACAACAACAACAACCGCACAGCATTGCCTAAAATATCTGGCTCTCAAAGAAAGTTTCATTCAGTTGAGATCGCACTGAATAAAAAAATAAATGGCAATGGCAAAGTATACAAAATTTACGAAATACCTTTTTCACATAGAAATAACCATCCCGTTTTTCAAATCTCTCCAACTTTTTTGCTTGTTGTCCTTCGCCAAAAAGCGAACAGGTGCCTTTGTTCGCCAGGAAATTTGCTCTTTTACAAGAAGCATCTCTCCTACACATTTGAGCACAGGTCAATAAAGAGTGAGCGTTTTCACTTTGAAGAGCATTTTCATCGACGAGACAAGCGTTTTCTTCTATGCGAAAGAACATGCCCCGATCTTCCTCTGCAGATATCTTAGGTGTTACCAAAAAAGCCCATATGAGAGCAAATATGTCCCAAGGAAAGATCTGCAAGAAAGGAAATTAAAATATGATAACATAAGGAAGAACAGTCAAAGTAGGAGGACCCTGTTGGATTATTGCTTAACATATTGCAAAACTTTGAAGAGAGGTTACTCACAAATCTTAAAGCCATCATCGATGGGAAAAGTAACATTGGGAGCAGATCTTTACTCCTCATGATTTTATCGAGTTTTGTTTGTCAAACAAAAATAAACGTAGTGCATTCGAGTACAACCTAAAAGGATTTTATGTTCTGTTTTATTTGTTAATACTTATCATTCTCTCGGGGATCGGAGAAAGTATGGGCGTGCGAGTTTTTGGGAAAAAAGATTGAGTGTTCAGAAGTTCAGAACGCGTGGTTCAAAACCTTGAAATAAAGATCAGCTTTAATTTGCCTTTTTTATCGACTGAATCTAAGAAAACAATCATAAAAGGCAAAAACACCTGTAATAATATCCAGAAATCTAACGAGAATTGATTTGATCAGGTGGCTGTACTCAATTGCCAAAAAAAATCAAAGTGGTTTTGGAAAGCTTCTGAAATATATCAATTACGGTTTATTAATGCAGAATAAGTAATAGCAAACACTATGGTCCTAACATGTAATACAAGTTGTTTTTATTAGCATTTCGAAGGTAGCCTAAAAGGCAAACTAAGTTTCCACGCAGTACACCATTTTGAAACTCCGTTACATGTTTTTACTATTGATTAATGCTCATTACTCAACCCCTTTACTCCTGGCCTTTCTATGTAAATAAAAAAAAAACTGCGGCGACAATGATATCCAGAAATCTAACGAGAATTTATTTGGTCAGGTGGCTGTACTCAATTGCCAAAAAACCTCAGAGTGGTTTTGAAAAGCTCCTGAAATATATCAATTACGGTTTATAAATGCAGAATAAGTAATAGCAAACACAAGTTGTTTTTATTAGAATTTCGAAGGTAATTAGCGTAAAAAGGAAAACTCAGTTTCCACGCAGCACACCATTTCCAAACTCCGTTATATGTTTTTACTATTAATTAATGCTCATTACCCAACCCCCAAGAAAAAAAAAACCCGTGGCGACAATTATTTAATGTGGTCATCGATCCAGGCTTCCTTAAGTGAATCTTATTGACTCATTTTATTCTAAGAATTGCTCTAGCTGATTGCAACTATCTGGTTTAGTGGTTGGCACGAGTTTTGTAAACATCAGCGGTAAAAGTCATTATTTAAAAACACTGAGAGCTTAAATTTTGTCGTACAACAACAAAGAAGAAGCTAGCACCTAATCAAGTCAAAGTTTCGCGAAGTGATTTGAATTCTCTAAAATTCCGTTGGAAAGTAAAATTCTGAAAGATAATCCCCCAATCTCTCATGATGAGTGCAACTGGTGCTTTGCCTGTTGTCATCTTACGAGAGTGAAACAAGCTTGAACCTTCAGCCTCCAAGATCTGATCCGAAATTCTCTCTCTAATGGGGTTTTCTCAATAATTGCGATAGAAGAATTTATAGTTTTATCAGTTTCATGCCTTCAAGGTCCTACAGATGATTCTCGTCACACTTTTTCTAGGTAATGTAATGATTTTGTGCAAAAAGTTAACCAGCTCTAGAAGCTACGTGCGTAAAGATTTCTCATTGTCTGTCTTTGCTACTCGGCGCGAATAAAAATGTTACCGTGTGGATCAAGAACATTTTTCTTTTGGTTGGGCCCATTTCTTCCACAAGGATCATGGGTAGGCCAATATTTGCCCGTGTAACCATTAAAATAATAAAAGCTGCTGTCCCAGCGCCCACTTGAATGGAACATTGGTCCATAGTTGATATATGGTGAAAACTTGGAAGGCGCCGAAGCTGATTCTCCAGGGTCAGCCACGTATTTGGTGATTGTACAGTTGACGTCACCTTTCTGCCAATCAACCAGGCTGCCAGTTACCGGTTGGCACATCAGCCAGTTGTTTATGTTGCTTTTGATGAGGAACTGTCTACCGAGTTTTTTCCAGAGTGAGAAGTTCATGGCGTTGTAGTCTGTTTCATTTAATGGAGAAATTGTAGAGATAGGAACATTCCCTTCATTTTTGGCCGGCCAATTTGGCCTCGGAGTGATTGCATTTGAATCATCGTTAAAATGAGTGTAGTTAGTAAAAGAATAGCTCCATACTAATGTCCAGCCCCCTGCATTTGTATCCATGTCACAGTAAGCTTTGAAAGCGTTGGCCTGGGAGCCACCATCAGGATCGATCCAATAAACACCCGTGGACGTAGCGGGAGACTGTTTGAGGAGAGTCTGGCATGAGGTTACTGCTGAGTGGTGGTTAGAAACAGGGGGTGGAGAAGTGTTTTGCTCTATAGTCATAAAGTAGAAAATGAAAGTGAGTCTACTGAAGTATCCTCTATGTGTACTAAAGCCCTGTAAGGGAAAATAGAGCTGGCGACCTAAATGTAGTTACGAGCATCAAACAAGACTGAACCAATTTTATGTTACTGAGCAATTTAAAAGGATCTAAACTTAAACACCGGCCCAACGTTTCCTGACATGCGTTCTAACTTGGATTTATCTTCCCTTTTTTTTTTTTACAATTCCGTTGAGCTGTCTCAGACAATTAGGATTCAGACTCAATCATTTCCTCACTATCAACCTTGTAAATAAATGATTTTATTGGTGAATGTACAACCACTAAGACAGTCGAAACCATTCTACGTAGCTGTACAACTGTCCCGATTTTTTTGTGTTTACTTTAATGACAATCGAAATTAAGGAAAAAGTATTCAGTGCAAAAAAAAAAAAAAAAAATTGGTAGCAATAGGCCAGGAAGGATAGTGGAAGAGGGAAGAACATGGAGGACACCAAAACGTAGTAGAAATGAAGAAATTGAAAATTATAAAAGTTCAAGTTTGTCTTGATGCATCTAGATTTATCCAATAGCTATGGCTGGTAATTTACATTAGCGCCCGGGTTACTGATCTTAATAATACTGAATTCATAATTCTCACCTTGAGGTAAATCGGTTCTTTCTGGAAGGTTGATCTGAATTGGAGTTAAACAAGACATTTATAGTTAGTATCCGCATTTCGTGTTATGCGCATATGTACGAAATTGTTGAAGGCTCACCGGGCGACTGTGGTCTTATTTCAGTTGTTGGTGGCTTCTGCTTATAATTGAACATTTCATAAAGTTTTAAATTATGGTCTTGAATTAAGACGAGCTTCTGTGGGTCTTGTCGTCTCAACTTTTCCTATAAGGTCTCATCTCAATTCATTCACGTTCCTCCACAAATGTCCTCTCATGTTTCAGCTTTTTTCTTGCTAAAGCGCAAATTACTTTAAGCGGCCGATCAAATATGTTACGTAGATCTCATAAGCTAAATCAAAAAGTTTGCGGAGTTTTTGTTTCGTGAAATGATCGTAGCAGTTATCTTTATCGCTGTCAAAAAATCTCTACTTCTGCTAGGAAAGAAAATTAGGGCCATTCCGCACTAGCGGAAACGTTGTTTATTTTGACAAATTTTCAATCACCATAAACAATTTAAAAGTGCGGATTGGAGGTGAAATCCTCGGCAAACTATGCTGGCTGGTCTTATGAATAGATAGGGCGTTGACAGAATTTGACGGCTTTTATATTTTTAATGCGGATGCAACAGACGAAACAAAAATTTTTCATGAAAAAATTTGTCCTTTCATTTTAACCGGACAATTCTAGTTTTGTCTACTAGTGCGGGAAGGCCCTTAAACTTGTTCGTGATAAGGTTTACATTATCGGAAGGTGTCACCAAAAAACATGGCATGCCATCAATGCCAAATACCTTTGTCAGATAGAAAGAGCCATCTCGCTGTAAAAGTCGCCCAGTTGCTGAACTTGTTTGCATTTCGCCGCGAAGAAGGTAACAAAGTCTTGGGTTTCCCAGAAAGTTTGCACTTCTGCACGAAGCTTGTCTCGCACACAAAACCGAACAGGAAAGTAAATAATCAGTTTTTCCAGACCAAAAGAGGCCTTCTTCTCTGTAGCTGAAAAAAGCGTTTTCTTTCATATGAAAGAAAACGCCATTTTCGGCTCCTTCAGTTGTCTTTGCCGCCGAGAACAAGACGACTACAAACAGGTACTCGACTTGCAGAAACATCTGTCGAGAGAATCTTAGGACAAACTTATGATTAGTAAATGTATGGAACATATAAATTACTTGTCTATAGACAAAATAGTCTGACAAGACAGAAAAGGAGAGAAATTTTTAACCCACCCGTTGATTTTAATCAAAAAAACCGCGCGACCCGCTCAAACCTTTGTGAATAAGTTTGCACCGTTAGTACCAATTGTAAAGTTATTCATTCCGTGATCTCCGTCTGAAAGTCTATTTTTCTATTTAAGTATAATAATACAGCTTTGACCTTTTGTTTTCTTAGCAATACGTTTCCAATTACCCCACAACACTGTTTTGACATTTAAATGCAAACACAAGTCCTGCAGGTTTATAATGCAATTATCACGACTTCTAGGTAAAAAGAATATGGAAATACCGGAAAGGTTGCCATCAGCTCTTTTATGAAACAGTTCAGTGAAGAAGAAAATAATTTAAAATGCAAAGTTGAAATAAAAAAAAATTAGTGGGAGATCAAATTAAAACTGGACATGAAAACACATCTTTTATGTTTGAAACACCTGGCAAAGAAAAAGTTTTTTTTTGAGTGCAAATTGAAAGGTAAGGCCTGTGTTTGTAGAAATTATTAATTAATATGTTATTTGTTAACCAGTCCTTTCAAACTGATATTTTTCCTTTTATTTCTTACAAGTAGTAGTAGGCTACAAGTAGTAGCCTTACCGTTTTTAAAAAGCAACTTAAAACATTTCTATTTAGGAAAGCTTTTAGTTTGTTTTGATAGATCTAATGTTTATTGCCTTTGAATATTTAAATTTTAATTAGTATAGAACTTTAACTTATGTAAAGCGCTTCTGAATATTGTTTAAAGTTTGAGCGCTAGATATATTCCTTATCATTATCATTATCATTATTATTTTTTACATAAAGTAATACATGTTTGATAATTTTTTCAAGATCAAACAATCATTTTTCACTTGCTTGGGCTCGACTCTTCCACTAGGATCACGTATAAGCCAATAATCTCCAGAGCAACTATCAAATTAAAGTAAGACCTAATTCAGCGCATGCTCCGAGAGAATGGCGGTCCATAGCCTTGGGATTTATTGGGTGAAATTTTAAAGTAGTAAAGTAGAAAAAGTGACTTTGCATAAACTTCCCCTATCAGATGTGGGGCCATTATCCCATCACTCAAGCCTCCAAGATGTGATTCAAATTTCTCATTTTTGGCTTCTGTCCTCTTGTACAGTAAAGTAGTTTCAAGAATAGAGAGAAATATCAAAATGATCCCCTTTTGCTGATAAGTTCGTTCATTTTAATAACTTTCCTGGTGGATATGGTATTGATATTGTGAGGAGAAGTTAATTACCTCTGAAGTTATTTGAGTAGAAATTTGTTAAAATCTGTCTTTCCTACTCGACTCGAATGAAAATGTTACCATGTGGATTTGCAACATTTTTCTTTTGGTTAGGACTATTTCCTCCAAGAGGATCATGGGTAGGCCTATGGTTTTCAGTGTGACCATCAAAATAATAGTTAGTGCTGTTATAGCGTTTGGTCATGCAAGGCAGCGGCCCATAGCTATTGTTTTGATTCGGTGAAAACCTTGATGGGACAAACTCGTGACTTGGGCCAATCACGTGTTTGATGATCGAACAGTTGATATCACCTTCCTGCCAATCTACCACGCTGCCATTTCTCGGATCACACACCAGCCAGTTGTTTATGTTGCTCTTGATGAGGATCTGTCTGCCGAGTTTTTCCTGAGTGAGAAGTTCACGGCGTTGTAGTCTGTTTCATTTAATGAAGGGGTTGCGGAGACAGGAACATGCATATACATATAAAACCAAACAGGCCAGTTTGTTCTTGGAGTGATCGCATTTGAGCGTTCACGAAAGTGGCTGTATTTAGTAAAGGAATAACTCAATACTAGAGTCCAACTTCCACCACTGGTCTTCCATGTCACAATAAACCTTGAAAGCGTTGGACTGAGACACACCATCAGGATTAATCCAATAAATACCTGTGGAGGGAGGGAGAGATTGGTCGAGGAGAGTCTTGCACGATGGGACTGCTGAATGCTGGGTTAATCCACGGGGTGCTGGCGTGTTCTTTCCTATGATCAAACAATATGGTTATCGATCTCTGCTTTAAGTTACAGACACATAAACCTAAAAAAAGAGTTGTTTTTGTAGGGCTGTTGTGTTAAATGTGACATTTAGAGACGGAATAGGTATTTTTTTAAAACCCATTCTACCGTGCACGCCAAAAGGTGTGGCAGTATCATTCATTTGAGGAGTTGCTGACTTAAAAATGACGAAATCCAGTGTGAGCCACCATGAACTGAGCTTTGTGTAAGGACAAATTTGCCGTAAAAAAAATCACATACCTTGTGGACTAGAGACTCTTTGAAGGGTAACCTATTAAGTGAGCCAAAATTAGACAGGCTTTCGCTTGAGTAAGAAACTTTCACTCATATTTATAGTTTGCAAGCTACACTTAAATTTGTACATTTATTTGAAAAAAGTAGGTATTCATTTCGATTAAAAAGACGAACAAAAAGAAGTCTTGTCTGTGATCACTTTTTCAAAATGTTTGCCCTGATTACCTGATCCTCATCAACTTAAGATTTGAGTTTTCTGTTTTAATGACTGTAAAAGCTGAGGGAAGGGGTTTTTGGTCTTAAAGATATTCATTTTTAAACTTAAATTTTATCACCTTTCCTTTTCTGCCGTTCTCTCGTCTAATGTTTTAGTCAATAGTTAGAAAATTGTCCCACAGTCATTTTAAGTAATCAGAGTAGACGGGTACAACATGAAAAGAGAAGTATTTTTTGAGGCAACCGAGACTTGAAAATGTATTGATACAAATGTAAAATAAACATAATTACAAAACGGACTCGATAAAACATGCCGACTCCTATCTTTTAAGGATCTTTTATCGATCAGGTTACAGTGGCTGTGTGACATCACGGACATGAGAAAAATTTTATTTCCTACTTAATGAAAAGGACAGTGAAAACTAAATTGAAACATGAACAAGTTGTACTAAAAATTGCCATTGCATAAAACTACCCAAAACACCCGGCTCTCACTCCACTCCTTTGTAATCGCACGGAGTAAAGAAAGAAATGGTAACACAACTTACATTAATCTGTAAAATCTACAAAATTCTAGAAATACCTTTTCTATATAGAAAGAACTGTCCCGTTTTACAAATATTTCCACCTTCCTTGCCTGTTGTCCTTCGTCAAAAAGCGAATGGGTGGTTTTGCTCGCCAAAAAATTTGCTTCTTTACAAGCAGCTTCTCTCCTATACATTCGAGCGCAAGTCAATATAGAGTCAGCCTTTTCACTTTGAAAAGCATTTTCATCATCAAGAAAAACGTACCGCACTATGGTCTTAACATGGAATACAAGTTGTTTTTATTAGCATTTCGAAGGTAATTAGCCTAAAAGACAAACTAAGTTTCCACGCAGAATAACATTTTCAAACTTCGTTATATGTTTTTACTATCAATTAATGCTCATTACTCAACTCGTTACTCATCACTCATTACTCCTGGCCTTTCCATAGAAATATGAAAAAAAACTGTGGCGACAATTATTTAATGGGGTAATTGATCCAGGCTTCCTTAAATGAATCTTATTTATTCATTTTATTCTAAAAATTGCTCTAGCTGATTGCACTATCTGGTTCAGTGGTTGGTACGAGTTTTGTAAACATCAGCGGTAAAAGTAGTCATGATTAAAAACATTGAGAGCTTAAATTTTGTTGTACAACAATAAAGAAGAAACTAGCACCTAATCAAGTCAAAGTTTCGCGAAGTGATTTGAATTACCTAAAATTCCATTGGAAAAAAAACATTCTGAAAGATAATCTCCCGATCTCGCATGATGAGCGTAACTGGTGTCTTGCTTGTTGTCAACTTACGAGAGTGAACCAAGCTTACACCTTCAGCCTCCAAGATCTGATCCGAAATTCTCTCTTCCGATGGGGTTTTCTCAGTAATTACGATAGAAGAATTTAGAGTTCTATCAGTTTAATACCCTCAAGGTCCTCTAGATGATTCTCGTCACACTTTTTCTAGGTAATGTAATGATTTTGTGCAGATAAATTAACCAGCTCTAGAAGATACGTGCGTAAAGATTTCTCATTGTCTGCCTTTGCTACTCGGCTCGAATAAAAATGTTACCGTGTGGATCAAGAACATTTTTCTTTTGGTTTGGCCTATTTTTTCCACTAGGATCATGGGTAGGCCAATATTTGCCCGTGTAACTATTAAAATAATAAAAGGAGCTGTTCCAGCGCCCTTTCGAATGGAACATTGGTCCATAGTTGATATTTGGTGAAAACTTGGAAGGCGCCGAAGCTGATTCTCCACGGTCAGCCACGTAATTTGTGATTGTACAGTTGATGTCACCTTTCTGCCAATCAACCAGGCTGCCAGTTACCGGTTGACACACCAGCCAGTTGTTTATGTTGCTCTTGATGAGGATCTGTCTACCGAGTGTTTTCCAGAGTGAGAAGTTCATGGCATTGTAGTCTGTGTCATTTAATGGAGAAATCGTGGAGATTGGAACATTTCCTTTAATTATGACCGGCCAGTTTGGCCTTGGAGTAATCGCATTCGAATCATCGTTAAAATGAGTGTAGTTAGTAAAGGAATAGCTCCATACTAATGTCCAGCCCCCTCCATTCGTATCCATGTCACAGTAAGCCTTGAAAGCGTTGGCCTTGGATCCTCCATCAGGATCGATCCAATAAACACCAGTGGACGTTGCGGGAGACTGTTTGAGGAGAGTCTGGCACGAGGTTACAGCTGAGTGCTGGTTAGAACCAGCGGGTAGAGAAGTGTTTTGCTCTATAGCCATAAAGTTGAAAATTGAAAGTGAGTCTAGTAAAGTATCTTTTGCGTGTGCTAAAGCCATGTAAGGGAAAATAGAGCTGGCGACCTAAATTCAGTCACGAGCATCAAACAAGAACCAATATTATGTTACTGAGCAAGTTAAAAGGATCTAGACTTAAACACCGGCCCAATGTTTCTTGGCATGCGTTCTAACTTGGATTTTTTCTTTCCTATTTTTTTTTTTTTTAATTCCGTTGAGCTGTCTCACACAATTAGGATTCAAACTCAATCATTTCCTCAATATTAACCTCGTAAATAAATGATCAAATAGGTGAACGTACGACCACTAGGACATTCGAAACCTTTCTAAGTAGTTGTATAAGTGTCCCAATTTTTGTGTTTTATTTTAATGACGATAGAAATTAAGGAAAAAGTATTCAGTGCAAAAAACAACAACTAAAATTGGCAGCAATAGGCCAGGAAGGATAATGGAAGAGGGGAAGAACATGGAGGACACCAAAACGTGGTGGAAATGAAGAAATTGAAAATTATAAAAGATCCAAGTTTATCTTGGTGCATCAAGATTTATCCAATAGCTATGGGTAGTAATTTACATTAGCGCTCGGGTTACTTACGTTAATAATACTGAATTCGTAACTCTCACCTCGGGGTGAATCAGCTCTTTCTGCAAGGTGGACCTGAATTGGAGTTAAACAAGACATTTATAGTTAGTATCCGTACTTTGTGTCATGCGCATATGTACGAAATTGTTGAAGGTTGACCGGGCGACTGTGGTCTTATTTCAGTTGTAAGTGGCTTCTGCTTAAAACTGAACGTTTCATAAAGTTTTAAATTATGATCTTGATGCTAAGACGAGCTTCTGTGGGTCTTGTCGTCTTAACATTTCTTATAAGGTCTCATCTCAATTCATTCGCGTCCCTCCACAAATGTCCTCTCATGTTTCAGCTTTTTTCCTGCTAAAGCGCAAATTACTTTAAACTTCCGACCAAGTCTCTTACGTAGATCTGATGAGCTAAGTCAAAAAGTTTGCGGTGTTCTTGTTTTATGAAATGATCGTCGTAGTTATCCTTATCGTTGTCAAAAAATCTCCATACTGCAGCTAGGAAAGAGGATTAAGGCCATTCCGCACTAGCGAAAAAATTGTTTATTTTGGCAAATTTTCAATCATCATGAACATTTTACAAGCGCAGATTGGGGGTGAAACCCCTTGGCAAACTATGCTGGCTGGTCTTATGAATAGATCAGCTGCTGACGGAATTTGCCGGCTTTAAAATTTTTAGTGCGGATGTAGCAGACGAAACAAAAATTTGTCATGACAAAATTTGTCCTTTTATTTTAACGCTACAATTCTAGTTTTTTCTGCTTGTACGAACTTGTTCGTGATAAAGTGTACATTATCGGAAGGTGTCACCAAAAAAACATGGCATGTCATCAATGCCAAATACCTTTGTTAGATAGAAAGAGCCATCTCGCTTTAATAGCCGCTCACTTGCTGAACTTGTTTGCATTTCGCCGCCAAGAAGGTAACAAAGTCCTGGGTTTTCCAGAAAGTTTGCACTTCTGCACGAAGCTTGTCTCGCACACAAAACCGAACAGGAAAGCAAAGAATCAGTTTCTCCAGACCAAAAGAGGCTTTCTTCTCTGTAGCTGAAAAACGTGTTTTCTTTGATTTGAAAGAAAACGCCATTTTCGGCTCCTTCAGTTGTCTTTGACGCCGAGAACAAGACGACTGCAAATAGGTACTCGACCTGCGGAAACATCTGTCGAAAGAATCTTAGGACAAACTTATGATTAGTAAATGTATGGATCATATAAATTACCTGCCTTCAGACAAAATTGTCTGACAAGACAGAAAAGGAGAGAAATTTGAACCCACCCTTTGATTTTAACAAAAACAGCGCGCGACACGCTCAAACCTTTGTGTAGAAGTTTGCACCGTTTGTACCAATTGTAAATTTATTATTGATTCCGTGATCTTCGTCTGAATTCTATTTTTCTATTTAAGTATAATAATACAGCTTTGACCTTTTGTTTTCTTAGCGATAAGTTTCCAATTACCCCACAACTCTATTTTGACATTTAAATGAAAACAAAAGTCCTGCAGGTTTATAATGCAATTATCACGATATCTAGGTAAACAGAATATGGAAATACCGGAAAGGTTGCGATAAGCTCTTTTAGGAAACAGTTCAGCGAAGAAGAAAAAAATTTAAAATGCAAATTTAAAAATAAAAAGAATTGGTGGGAGATAAAACTAAAACTGGAGATGAAAACACTTCTTTTTTGTTTGAAACACCTGGCAAAGAAAAAGTACTTTTTTGAGTGGAACATGAGGGGACGCAAATCGTCTGTACTCTAATTATCCCGGAGAGTCCCCTTCATTTTCTTAGACTTTTAGTCTAAGAAAATGTATGGGACTTTTTGAACGCTCCAGGCAGCTTTCCTGTAAGGTGTCATAATCCTGTTGCTACTGACATCGATGTGACAGATAATTGCTTTTCCACTGTTTTCTTTGCCGGCTTATACTTGTCATCAAGTTTCAATAAGACGGCTATCATTTTTCACAAGAATAATGAAGTTTTCGTAAATTGTGATATGTACTTACAGTGCAGACGATTTGCGTCCCCTCATGTGAAAAAGTAAGGCCTGCTTTTGTAAAGATGATTTAATATGTTATTTGTTAACCAGTCCTTTCAACCTGATATTTTTCCTTTTATTTATGACATTTATTACATATATTAATACATGTTTGATAATTTTTTCAAGATCGAACAATCATTTTTCACTTGGTTGAGCTCGACTCTCCCGCTAGCATGACGTGTAAGCCAATGATCTCCAGAGCAACTATCCAATTGATAGCAAGACCCGCTTCAGCGCATGCTCCAAGAGAGAAACGGTCCATAGCCTCGGGATTTATTGGATGAAATTTTAAAGAAGTAAAGAAGAAAAAGTAACTTTGCATAAAATTCCCTTAGCAAATATGGAGTCATCATCTCATCACTCAAGCCTCCAAGATGTGATTCAAATTTCTCATGTTTGGCTTCTGTGCTCTTGTACAATAAATCATTTGAAAGAACAAAGCGAAATATAAAAATGACACCCTTTTGCTGATAAGTTCGTTCTTTTTAATAACTTTTCTGGGGGGATATGGTATTGATATTGTGAGGAGAAGTTAATTACTTCTGAAAATATTTGAGAAGAAATTTGTTAGAGCCGTCTTTCCTACTCGACTCGAATGAAAATGTTACCATGTGGATTTGCAACATTTTTCTTTTGGTTAGGACTATTTCCTCCGAGAGGATCATGGGTAGGCCTATGGTTTTCAGTGTGACCATCAAAATAATTGTTAGTGCTGGTATAGCGTTTAGTCATGCAAAGCAGCGGCCCATAGCTATTGCTTTGATCTGGTGAAAACCTTGATGGGACCAACTCGTGACTGGGGCCAGTCTTGTGTTTGATGATCGAACAGTTGATGTCACCTTCCCGCCAAAAACCAAGCTGCCAGGTCCTGGATGACACACCAGCCAGTTGTTGATGTTGCTGTTGATTAGGACCTGTCTGCCGAGTTGTTTCCAGTGTGAGAAGTTCATGGCGTCGTTGTCTGTTTCATTTAACGGAGGGGTTATGAAGATAGGAGCATTAACTTCATTCTTGGCCGGCCAATTTAGCCTCGGAGTGATGGCATTTGAACTGTCGTTTAAATGAGTGTAGTTAGTAAAGGAATAGCTCCATACGAGTGTCCAGTGTAAGTATTCATGTCACAGTAAGCTTTGAAAGTGTTGACCTGGGAACCATTATGGGGATAGATCCAATAAACACCCGTAGGAAGAGGAGGAGGAGGGTCTGGCACGAGGTTACAGCTGAATGCCAGTTAGGACCTGGGGGTGGAGAAGCTAGCGTTTTGTTCTTTAATGATGGAGATAAATACTAAACCAACAACATTATAATCGAAAGGTCAAAAAGGATTGTGGAAGAGAGTTAAAAAAATGAATGAATGGGGTAAGTTTCTAAAGAAACTGCGGTGCTGCGTCGGAAGGAGCGTATAACAAGGTAATTTTGGCACTGTTAATTGAGTTGATAACTGGCGTAAATTGGCCACTTTAAAGACTTTAAAAGCTGTATTTTCGATGACGAAGGGTTCTGAACTTCGTTAAAGATCTATTTGACTCTGAGAACGCGCAAAATCTTACGTGAGTTTATTCAGAGATCTCGTTCACCACTGACAGGAAACATTACACATCGGTGAACAATTAATGTTCATCAATTAATGGATGAAAATGTTCCCACGAGGCTCAGCGACGCCGTTCAACTGGTCAAGCTCACCTTTTCCACATGGATCACGGACAGGCCAGTCATACTCTGTATCGAAATTATAATTACAGCTGTGGGTAAAGAATATCGGTCCAAAGCCTAATCTACTGCCAAAAAATGAAGGTGCTGGTGTCTCTTTGCACGTGTTAGTCACGTGTTTAATGATCATACAGTTGATGTCACCATCCTGCCAATCTACCATCCTGCCATTTCCCGGATCACACACCAGCCAGGTGTTTGTGTTGCTCTTGATGAGGTCTGTCTGCCGAGTTTTTTTCAGTGAGAAGTTCACGGCGTTGTATTCTGTTTCATTTAATGAAGGAGTTGTGGAGACAGGAACATGCATATACCTATCAAACCAAACAGGCCAGTTTGTTCTTGGAGTGATCGCATTAACAATCACGAAAGTGGCTGTAATTAGTAAAGGAATAACTCAATACTAGAGTCCAACCCCCACCACTGGTCTTCCATGTCACAATAAACCTTGAAAGCGTTGGACTGAGACACACCATCAGGATTAATCCAATAAATACCTGTGGAGGGAGGGAGAGATTGGTCGAGGAGAGTCTTGCACGATGGGACTGCTGAATGCTGGGTTAATCCACGGGGTGCTGGCGTGTTCTTTCCTATGATCAAACAATATGGTTATCGACCTCTGCTTTAAGTTACAGACACATAAACCTAAAAAAAGAGTTGTTTTTGTAGGGCTGTTGTGTTAAATGTGACATTTAGAGACGGAATAGGTATTTTTTGGTGACTCATTCTGCCGAGCACGCCAAAAGGTGTGGCAGTATCATTCATTTGAGGAGTTGGTGACTTAAAAATGACGAAATTCAGTGTGAGCCACTATGAACTGAGCTTTGTGTAAGGACAAATTTGCTGTAAAAAAAATCACATACCTTGTGGACTAGAGACTCCTTGAAAGGCAACTTATTAAGTGACCCAAAAACAGGCAGCCTTTCGCGTGAGTAAGGAACTTTCACTCATATTCATAGTTTGCAAGCTACACTTAAATTTGTACATTTATTTAAAAAAAAGAGTAGGTATTCACTTTCGATTAAAATTTGCTTCTTTACAAGCAGCTTCTCTCCTACACATTTGAGCACAGGTCAATATAGAGTCAGCTTTTTTCACTTTGAAGAGCATTTTCATCATCAAGAAAAACGTTTTCTTATATGCGAAAGAACATGCCCTGATCTTCTTCCTGCAGATATCTTTGGTGAAACCGAAAAAGCCCATATGAGAGCAAATCTGTCCCAAGCAAAGATCTGCAAGAAAGGAGATTAAAATGATATAATAACATACCGAAGAACAAGGAAAGTAGGAGGACCCTGTTGGATTGTTACTTAATACATTACATGACTTTGAAAAGAAGTCACTTACAAATTTTTAAGCCATCGTCGATGGAAAAAGTAACATTGGGAGGAGATCTTTACTCCTTGTGATTTAATCGAGTTTTTGTCAAACAAAAATAAACGCAATGCATTCCAGTACAACATAAAAGGATTTTATGGTCTGTTTTATTTGTTAATACTTATCATTCTCTAGGGGATTGGAGAAAGTATGGGTGTGTGAGATTTTGGGAATAAGACTGAGTGTTCAGAAGTTCAGAACGCGTGATTCAAAACCTTGAAATAAAGATCAGCTTTAATTTGCCTTTTTTATCGAATGAGTCGAAGAAAATAATCATAAAAGGCAAAAATACCCGTAATTAAGAAATCTTACGAGAATTTATTTGGTCAGGTGGCTGAAAAAACTCAAAGTGGATTTGAAAAGCTCCTGAAATATTTCAATTACGGTTTATAAATGCAGAATAAGTAATAGCAAACACTATGGTCTTAACATGAAATACAAGTTGTTTTTATTAGCATTTCGAAGGTAGTTAGCCTAAAAGGCAAACTAAGTTTCCACGCAGGACACCATTTTCAAACTTCGTTATATGCTTTTACTATTGATTAATGCTCATTACTTAACTCGTTACTCATTACTCATTACTCCTGGCCTTTCCATGAAAATATGAAAAAAAAACCGTGGCGACAATTATTTCATGGGGTAATTGATCCAGGCTTCCCCAAGTGAATCTTATTTACTCATTTTATTCTAAAAAATTGGTCTAGCTGATTGCACTATCTGGTTTAGTGGTTGGTACGAGTTTCGTAAACATCAGCGGTAAAAGTAGTCATTATTAAAAACATTGAGAGCTTAAATTTTGTTGTACAACAATAAAGAAGAAACTAGCACCTAATCAAGTCAAAGTTTCGCGAAGTGATTTGAATTACCTAAAATTCCATTGGAAAAAAAAGATTCTGAAAGATAATCCCCCGATCTCTCATGATGAGGGTAACTGGTGCTTTGCCTGTTGTCATCTTACGAGAGTGATACAAGCTTGAACCTTCAGCCTCCAAGATCTGATCCGAAATTCTCCCTTCTAATGGGGTTTTCTCAGTAATTACGATAGAAGAATTTAGAGTTCTATCAGTTTAATACCCTCAAAGTCCTGATGATGATTCTCGTCACACGTTTTCAAGGTAATGTAATGATTTTGTGCAGATAAGTTAACCAACTCTAGAAGATACGTGTGTAAAGGTTTGTCATTGTCTGTCTTTGCTACTCGGCTCGAATATAAATGTTATCGTGTGGATCAAGAACATTTTTCTTTTGGTTGGGCCCATTTCTTCCACAAGGATCATGGGTAGGCCAATATTTGCCCGTGTAACCATTAAAATAATAAAAGTTGCTGTCCCAGCGCCCACTCGAATGGAACATTGGTCCATGGTCGATTTTTGGTGAAAACTTGGAAGGCGCCGAAGCTGATTCTCCACGGTCAGCCACGTATTTTGTGATAGTACAGTTGACGTCACCTTTCTGCCAATCAACCAGGCTGCCAGTTACCGGTTGACACAACAGCCAGTTGTTTATGTTGCTCTTGATGAGGACCTGTCTACCGAGTTTTTTCCAGAGTGAGAAGTTCATGGCGTTGTAGTCTGTTTCATTTAATGGAGAAATTGTAGAGATAGGAACATTCACTTTATTTTTGGCCGGCCAATTTGGCCTAGGAGTGATTGCATTTGAATGATCGTTAAAATGACTGTAGTTAGTAAAGGAATAGCTCCATACTTATGTCCAGCCCCCTGCATTTGTATCCATGTCACAGTAAGCCTTGAAAGCGTTGGCCTGGGAGCCACCATCAGGATCGATCCAATAAACACCCGTGGAAGTAGCGGGAGACTGTTTGAGGAGAGTCTGGCATGAGGTTACTGCTGAGTGCCGGTTAGAACCAGGGGGTGGAGAAGTGTTTTGCTCTATAGCCATAAATTTGAAAATTGAAAGTGAATCTAGTAAAGTATCTTTTGTATGTGCTAATGCCTTGTAAGGGAAAATAGAGCTGGCGACCTAAATTTAGTTACGAGCATCAAACAAGACTGAACCAATTTTATGTTACTGAGCAATTTAAAAGGATCTAAACTTAAACACCGGCCCAACGTTTCCTGACATGCGTTCTAACTTGGATTTTTCTTTCCTCTTTTTTTTGTTAAATTCCGCTGAGCTGTCTCAGACAATTAGGATTCAAACTCAACCACTTCCTTACTATTAACCATGTAAATAAATGATCAAATTAGTGAACGTACGACCACTAGGACATTCGAAACCATTCGAAGTAGCTGTGTAAGTGTCCCAATTTTTTGTGTTTTATTTTAATGAGAATAGAAGCTGAGGAAAAAGTGTTCAGTACAAAAACAAACTAAAAGAAAATTGGCAGCAATAGGATAATGGAAGACAATGGATAATGGAAGAAGGGTAGAAGATGGATGACACCAAAACGTGGTAGAAATGAAGAACTTGAAAATTATAAAAGATCCAAGTTTATCTTGGTGCATCGAGATTTATCCAATAGCTGTGGGCAGTAATTTACATTAGTGCTCGGGTTACTGATCTTAATAATACTGAATTCCTAACTCTCACCTCGGGGCGAATCGGTTCTTTCTGGAAGTTCGACCTAAATTGGAGTTAAACAAGACATTTATATTTAGTTTCCGTGCTTCGTGTCATGTGCATGTATACGAAACGGTTGAAGGCTCACCGGGCGACTGTGGTCTTATTTCAATTGTTGGTGGCTTCCGCTTATAACTGAACGATTCATAAAGTTTTAACTTCTGTGGGTCTTGTCCTCTTAACTTTTCTAATAAGGTCTCATCTCAATTCATTCACGTCCCTCCACCGATGTCCTCTCATGTTTTAGCTTTTTTCCTGCTAAAGCGCAAATTACTTTAAACGCCCG